AGACTTCATTTTCACTAATTTGAATTTGTATTCCAATTAATATATTCCAAAAATATAGCACCATGGTAAATATATTTTGTAATGTATTGTCACATCTGGCTTAGCCTAAGGTTAGAATGCTAATGTTGATCCCATAAAGCACTTGGACACACAATTAACATTCACAATGAATTATTCATGTTCTTAAGAGTGTTTAAAAGCACTGTATGAGCCAAAACTGAATTAAATTAAAAACAGTTTTAGCTAAAGAAACATGACATTAAATACATCCCTGTTCTGACCATAGTTGTCATTAATGCACAGAAGGACCTCAGAGATACGTGTTGCTGTCTATGTCAGTTAGTCAAGAGAGTGTCTCTGCTAAGGACTACTGGACAGATGAGTTGGCCACAAATCACCCAGTCAATCAAATAAATGGCCCTTAATTACTTATTTAAACTGATATGCTTTTGCATCAACAAGATCGCTCCTTGTGGTTCTTTAGCTGCTAATCAACTTGCCTGTTAAGATTATAACACTGGTCAACAACAAATTTGTTGTCTGCGTTTTTTCAGTTGATTTAGGACGAATCTGATGCGCTGAATCCAAAAATCACATTGGTTTTGCTCAATCAGGTCAAGTTTTTGAGCTATGGCCACATGTCTTTTTTACGTTTTTGTTCACATGTACGCTTGTGTGGAGCATTTTAGAAGAAGTTGGTGGGGGTAAAATGCCATGTTGAATAATTGTTTTGATTGGAAATGATTATTTTAATGACAAGAAGTATTCAGGTCCGATAGTTCTGGGTGATTATGTCGAAAAGGGATCAGTTTGAAGTCATAAAACCTCGAAATCTTCCATAAATTGGTGCAGCAAAGCATAAAGTTGGGGGATCAAAAGTAAGTTAATGGGGCAGCCGCCCCACGAAGTATCCTGATCTTCAATCAGCACGTCGTCCTGTAGCTCATTGTGATGAAATTCCAGTGCCTATCTTCGGAGAACTTCCTGACATTAGTGACGGAGATGCCTCCAGTGTTGAAGGACATGAAGAAGAAGAAGTGGTTCTTGAAGATGATGCTCCACATCCATTTTTCCAAAAGGAGTTGAATGATCTAGTTCGCGACCTCAGCTTGTCAAAGGACTCTGCCGAACTGTTGGCATCCAGATTGAAGGGAAAAAACCTCCTCTCTGACAGTGCTCGCATCAGCTTCTTCCACAACAGGCATCAAGAGTACCTCTGTTTTTTCTCGGAAGAGAAGGACTTGGTGTACTGTGCAGATATTGCGCAGGTTCTGCTCAAGCTTGGAGTGCCACAGTACCAACCCAAAGATTGGAGACTGTTCATTGACAGCAGCAAGTGATCACTGAAATGTGTTCTGCTACACAACGGCAACCAGTTTGCCTCTATACCCCTGGCTCACCGGACTACACTGAAGGAGAACTATGAAGCGGTGAAGTATGTGCTGGAGAAAATTGGTTATGATCAGCATAAGTGGTTTATTTATGTTGACCTGAAGATGGTGAACTTTTTGTTGGAACAACAGTCTGGCTTCACCAAGTACCCATGTTTTCTGTGCATGTGGGATAGTAGGGACTGTGCTCAGCATTACACGAAGAAGGACTGGCCTGTGCAGGAGGAATTGGTGCCTTGCAAAAAAAGGAACGTCATCAACAACCCTCTGGTGGACAGAGACAGAATACTTTTCCCACCGCTGCACATCAAGCTTGGCTTAATCAAGCAGTTCACCAAGGCTCTGGACAAGGATGGTGACTGCTTCACTTACTTGTGCCAGGCTTTTCCAGGATTGACCATGGAGAAGTTGAAAGCTGGCATCTTTGACGGTCCTCAGATCCGTCAGCTCATCAGAGATCCAGAGTTCGGAAAGTCAATGAACGAAGTGGAACTGGAAGCGTGGAAGGCATTTGTTCTGGTAGTGAAGAACTTTCTTGGCAACAATAAGGCCAGAAACTACGCAGAACTTGTCAACAACATGCTGACTGCTTTCAGAAACCTGGACTGCAACATGAGCGTCAAGATGCACTACCTATTTTCACATATGGACCGGTTTCCTGAGAACCTGGGTTCAATGAGTGACGAGCAGGGGGGAGAGATTCCATCAGGACATGAAAGAGATGGAGACCAGGTATCAGGGTCGCTGGGACGCAGTCATGATGGCTGACTACTGTTGGACTCTGAAGAGAGACCTCCCTGCCGCTGAGCATTCCTGGAGTTCCAAGAAACGGAAATTCAAGCCCTGAAGTTTGAAAAATGGTGAAGCAACATGCAATTTACGTGTACTTACCTTTATCAATGCCCACCATTCAGTTTACAGTAAACCTGACCTGATGGAGAGAAACGGATGCCATTTCCTGATTCAGCAGTGCAAAAATACCCTAAATCAGTTGTAGAAATCTAGACAACATTCAAAAAGTAAAAAATTGTTGCCCAGTGTAATCAGAATAGTGGTGAAAAGAATAAATATTCTGCAAGGAGCAAATGCATGGAAATACCTGGTAAGTACAAATATATGAGGTTGCAATTCTTAAAAAGTTACAAGGGAATAAGACCCACTGGACATAGTGTGGTTTACTTGTGAGTAAACAGACACATGCACAAAAGAATTTGAGGAGCCCATTGCTTTATCAATACTAATGATAAATAAATAATACTTTTTTACCCTGGGGTTAAAGAACAGGAAGCAGATAGTAGGACTAAATGGATTGTTCTCACAATCATCAGTACTGGGACCTGGAGTTAGGAGTAACTTTACATATACATTTACAAGGTTTGAACTGGTGGGGATTGACCAGGAACGAGACCTCAGGATCATGTTAGATACCTTGATGAAAATGTTAATGCAGCATGCAGCAGCTATGAAAAGGACAAATTCCATGTTAATAATCATTTAAAAAAGGATTGAAAATAAAGCCGGCAATATTTTAATGCAATTATACAAATCTGTGGTGTGACTGCACTTGGAACACTGTGCCAATTCTGATTGTCACACCTCAAAAAGGATATTGTAGAACTAGAAAAATGCAAGCAAAATGATTATGAGGCTAGAATAAGTCCTTTATGGCAAAAAGTTAAATTTGGGGTTTTTTTAGTTTAGAAAAAAAGTCATGGAAGAGAGATATGATAGAGGAGAGGTGTATAAAATTATACAAGGTCTTGAGAAAATAGAGAGAAATCTTCCTGCCTCAGCTGAACGCTGGAAGATTCAGAACAGATAAAAGGAAGCACTTCATAAAGCAGAATATTTAAGAAATGCAAACAACCTTGATAGCCAAGGTGTCTGTAACAGTAACTGTCTAGTAGCACACATGGTGCAGAAAGAGAAAGGAGCTGACAGCATAGGAAGCTGCTCCCGCTGCAAGGTAATGTGGTTTAGGAAGTAAGAAAAACTCCAGCTGCATGAATATTGATCCTGAAATTTTAAAATATGCAAAAGTTGATTGTGCATGTTGCAATTGCATGCACGGAGTTTTATAGATGCAAGTGCATTTTCAAGTTTGAAGAGGTGTAAGGCAGGGTTTTCAGTTCAACCATGCATTGATGTTCTTTGAATTCTTCTGCTGGGTGCTGTTTTTGCTCGAAGCGAATAAAGGAAGACCTTCACTTTGTAAAGCAAATTTTCTTTCTTAAAAGTCTAGGGAGAAGATTAAAAGTGAAAACTAAGGGATGCTACTAAAAAGTAAACATATGCCTCTGGGAAACAGCTGTGTGTGTATGTGATGGTATGCATCTCTCTGGGTTAGGAAGAGTCATTATGTATGGGTCTCTCCCTGCGCACTATTGGAATGCAGCTCTTAACAGCTTTCCACTGGGATAATGTGGCCCATGCTCCAATAAAGTTTCCTACCACTCTTGTAAGTAGAGGTGAATGAAATTTGGCACAAACTATCATGCATTTAAAATTAATACATTCTAAATGTATTTAAAGGAGATACATTGTCCGTTAAGTCCTATATCTGCACTTCATTGTGAACCTTGGCAAATGCACAAGCTTAGCAGAGCCGAGTCAGATAACTTGTGAAGTATTTATAGACAAAGTGCCTTCAGGGAGTAAATGCTGGTAAGCTCATGCTTTTATCTAGATTTGCAACTTAAAGAAAATGTAATTGGGGAAAGGACACTAAACCAGGGAATAGGAACATAGTATGTGTTTTTGGCACTACCTAATACAGTTTTCTAAAACGAATGTCTCATAGCAAGCACAGCCAGACACTGTTGGCTGCAGTCAGTGAAAATCTGCTACGACTTTACAGTTTCCTCTAATAACAGCAAGGTCATTGCCACTGTGGGTTCAGAAAGAGCTGCCTAGTGTAGAAATTTGCAGAGGAAGTGCACCTGTGCTAGCAGTAGAGCTTCTCTTTTCTGGCTTCTCCTCCATTTGTTCTGTTCAAGATGAAATTCCTTGCCCTGTTCAAGTATTGTAATGTATTGCTGAGGATGAAAAGAAGCACTAAGGTATATTGACATGGAAATTCAACTGGCTGTGTGCGTGCTTAGGTTATTATTACTTACCTCTTTTTGTATTAAAAACACATTTTCAAACATCTTAACACATTCTACATTAAAAACCACGGCCATCAAAAGTTACTTGTGAGACCCAATACATTAAAATAGCAAAACGCCTTATCACCCTCTAATAACAATAATTTAAAGTTTCCTCTTTCTAACATAAAAGAAAAAGGATCTGTTTCTTATTAGCCAGTCTCTATTTTGTGTGTGTGTGTGTGTGTGTGTGTGTGTGTGTGTGTGTACACGCCTCCACTATCCGAGCGGTATTTTGGCAGACTGCATGAAGCCCTATTAAAAAACCTATATAATGAAATTTGCACTCATTGATGGACGGGCGTGTGGGAGAGAGACAAGAATACAGTAAGCTTTGGAAAAGAGCTGCATATATTTGAAACAATGGCTCTCTCTTCCGCCGCCCCACGACGCCGCCTTGACACGCGCGCGCACACGACAGACTTCAGCGAGCAGGAACAGCGGTGGGAGGGGCGCCGTGGCGGGGGGTGGCGCATTCTTGACAGCGGCGGCGGCGGCGGCTGCTACTGCCAGGCGCTGAGGGAGAGCGGCCGCCTCTTCTTCACACCACAGAGGAAATAGCGGGAGGAGGCGGCGGCGGGCTGCTGTCTCTTGCAGACATTTCAGGCAGGACTGGAGAGAGAGAGGAAGCGAAAGGCACGGGCAGAACATGCCAGGCGCCCTGGCGAAGAGAAGCCGCCTTGCTCTGGGCTGAGGGAAGAACTCCACGACCTGATAGTTCCTCCCTCGCCTCTCTGCTCCGAGCCGGCAGAGGAACGGGCTGCTACTCGGGAGTCGGACACACCTCCTCCAGGGGGCTCCGCTCGGCTTCCCGGCTGCGGAGCGAGCGGCGCCTCGGAGCCCCGGTGGGTGGGCGGGCCAAGAGAGCAAGCGACCCGCGCGCCGAGGGAGCCCGGCTGGGTCGGCGCCCAGCATGGAGAGCAAGCGCTGCTTCGCCAACCGCTTCGACGACTACAAGGGCAGCCTGCTGGCCGGGCAGGGCAAGGAGGCGGTGGCGCCCTTGGTGACGGCCACGGTGGACCGCATCCTCAAAGAGGTGCCCCCGCTGGGCGGCGCCGAGGCGGCGGGCGGCCTGGGAGGCTGCCAGGGCGGGCTGTACGGCGGCGTGGCCGGCGTGGCCTACATGCTGTACCACGTCGCGCAGTGCCCGCTCTTCGCGCCGGCCCGGGACTCGTACCTGCGCGCCGCCAAGCAGCTGGTGGACGCCTGCGTGCGCTACGAGGAGGACTGGGCCGACGCCGACGCCGACACCCGCGCCGCCTTCCTGCTGGGCGGCGCCGGCGTCTATGCCGTGGCCGCGCTCGTCTACCAGGCGCTCGGGCTGCCGGACTGGGCCAGGCCGCTGGGCAAGTTCCGCGAGCTGTGCGAGCTGTGCGCCCCGCTCACCTTCCTCGACTGCGGCTCCGACGAGCTCTTCGTGGGCCGCGCCGGCTACCTGTGCGCCGCCCTGGTGCTGAAGCAGAAGCTGGGATTGGAGGTAGCCTCGAGTCCCTGTCACGCGCCACACTCGCTCTTTGCCTCGCCTTAGGACAGGGGTTCCCAAACTTGTGGTTTTGGAACTACAACCCCCATCATCCTTAGCTAGCAGGACCAGTGGTCAGGGATGGTGGGAACTGTAGTCCAAAAACAGCTGGAGACCCAAGCTTGGGAAACCCGGCCTTAGTACTTCTTCCTTCCTTCCTTCCTTCATTTCCCTGCAGTAGGCATGTGAGCCTGGTGCAGCAAAACCTGCAGAGAGTCTTGTGGCACATTATAAACACATAAGCCTTCATGGGCTAGAGTTCATCAGATCTGAGGAACTGGACTCTCATCCAGGAAAGCTTATACCAACTTTAAAAATAATTGGCCTTTATAAGCTGCACCAAGGTTCTCTGTTGAGCTTTGGTGAAGGGTAAAATGACTTTCCTGGATGCAAGAGAGAAGGTATTGGCTTGTTTCCACACAGGTCATCCCACTCTTTTGGGATGTTCTTTGCTCCTGCCTTCACAGTTCTGGATGTGATATTTGATCTTTTTGTCTTTACAAACCACTGAAACTTGGTTCATGCGTTTAGCCTTGTAGAAATGGAAGGTGTGCAAGGTGCGTGCAAGATCATGCTCTATTCTTGACTTTCCCATATTTACCCAAACTTGTAGCTCTTTAAAGATATTCTAACCTTGTAGAAGGCAGATGCTACCTTGAAAAATGTGTGTTTGTCTGAACATCAGCAGCAATGGATTCAAATCACATGAAAGGGAATTCCAACTGAACATCAGGAAGATCTTTCTGACAGTAAGAGCTGTACAACAATGAAACAGACTCATTTGGAAGGTGGTGGACTCTCCTTCCATGGAGGTTTTTAAGCAGAGATTGGATGGCCATGTATGATCTAGTTGAGATTCCTGCATTGCAGGGAGTTGGACTAGATGACCCTTGTGGTCCCTTCCATCTCTATTATTCTATTATTCCAAGCTCTATGCACTTCCAATTGATTTATAGACATTCTGATGTTCATAGGCACGTAGGTTGGTAGCAGAACTTGCTACTACACCCCCTTCCATGCACACATGTATTTGTTCTGTACTGCAGCATGCCTGTGAAGCAGGGATAGGGAACCTGCGACCCTCCAGATGTTGCCGTGCCACAGCCCTCTTCATCCCTGACCATTGGTCATGCTGACTAGGATTGATGGGAGTTGGGATCCCCACATCTGGATCCTTTAAAGGGTTTGTGGATAGTGTCTATATGTGTACAGGTTGAACTTATGTAGGTTTTGTGCACAGGTTCAAGAGAACCCATGGTAGTTGGCGACAGGAATGGTGGGCATGATTCAACTCTTCCACTCTACATGCCCATTTCTATATGATGATGAGTGCCTGAAAAGACTTTTCCTTCTTACTAGAGGTTCTCCAGAATAAATAATTTGGTGTCTTCCAGCCTTAACTTTGTTGCCTTAATCTTGCTTCCCCTCCCTAATATCTTGAACGCAAGGGTGCAGTTGTTTCCTCCTCAAGGTGACAACATCTGGGACAGGAAAGGAAGTGTGATCTCTTAAGCAATTTTGCGTTTGCAACCTCTTATTTCCTTGCTCCACAAACAGGTGGATGGATATTCTGACCTAATATGGGGTAAGGCGCAAGGGGCTTCATTCAGAAAAGCCAAGAGGCACAATTGCTCTAAAGCCTCAAAATCTGTTATCTGAAGGGTTTGTCTGGAGGCAAGCAGTGAAGAGTGCTTCAAACACAAAGGAAAAAGCTGCACAGTGAATTGGTTCCAGATATTTATCAGGGAAGTGTCTTTCAATGCTTCTTGAAAAATGCTTGGGGCTACTTCTCTTCCAGCTCACCTAAGCAGCCCCTGGACTTTTTCATTGGTATTGGGGGGGGGCAGTTAAATACTTAACTATCTGAGGTTCTGCACCCCTGACATAAAGCCTGGCTACACCCATGGACTTTTTCCATCTGGGCTGGGGCAGCAACTCTTTAGCCTCTGTTGCAGAGATGGGGAATCTGTCCCCCTCCAAGTCTTGGACTGCAACTCACATAACCCTTCATGGTTGGACATACTGGCGGGTGCTGAGGAAAGCTGAACCACATCTGGAGAGTCACAGGTCCCCCATCTCTGTTCTGTTGGCTTGGGCTGGTATGTGTTTCTCAACTGTACCAGGTAGCCTATTCTTCTACCCCATTCTTGAGGGGAGATTGATTATACTGGGAACACTTGGCTAACCCTTTTTTTTGGATGTAGAAATGGTGACTCACTGATCACTTTCACTTTTCTTCATCTCAGGGGCTCAATTTTAGCAGAAACCTAGTGTTACAACGATGGAAGTTTCATATATAAGTAGAACTGACAGGTCATGGAGAGAACAGGATGTGAAATTAAGGACATCTGGTTTTTGGTCTCGGAGCAGTGCTTTTCTGAAATATGGGACATTGCTATATATTTAGAGGTAGCCCTTGAAATATGGGATATCCATATTCAAGTGTAGTTGTGGTATAAGTGATGTGAGAATCACCCTCTTGATACCACATGCTGAAATTACAAGATACAAGACACTGTGTTGTGACGCACATGTTTGTTTGGAAATTCATCTTGTCTTGCTTCCTGATGTTAGTGTGTGCAGGATGAAATATTCCTAGTTTGAGAAGCACTCAATCAGTAATTCAGCTACTATTGTAAAAGTCAATTAGTTATATAAGAATCAACAAAGTTTACTTACACAACATCTTCAAATCTTTCTTGTTTAAATTTACTTTTAAGTTCTCTCCCACCACCATAAAAAAACTGATAGAAAGTGAATGAACACTAGGTTTAAAATAGGTGTACACTTGTGCTATATAGTATAAAGCTAAGTGTAGATCAGTTTAGGTTCAGATTTTGGTTTTGGATGAAAGTGGTTTAGGGATGAGCGACTTCACAACAGTTAACTACAGATTCTGCATAAAGTTGGTTATTGGTTTCCATGATAATGATTAAGATTGTGTGTCTCCAAGTCATCATCAGTATTCCTGTTTACTATACCCTGTTCCCTCTCCTTGGATTCTATTTTATAGGAGGCTTGGTTATAAATAAATCAAATAATTCATTGGACACTTTATTCAGTTTATATCAACATTTGTCAAAACAAAGGAATGACTTCAGGAGGCTGCAGTCTAGCAAAACTAATAATAATAGTGTTCTTCTAGTTCATATAGATTGTTTTCATAAACCACTTTGAGTTTAATTCTTTAAAAAGTGACTAATAAATAACTGTGAGCATAGAATATAATAAAAGCATTGCCCTTTACTTTAACAGTTTTTATTAACACAGCCACTTGCATGTTGGGTGCTGATTAATCAATTCCTCCCAACTTGTTGCTTTAGAGGAAGAAATAAATAGTGGAAGTTGCAGACCATGGAAATCATTACAAAGGCAGATTTAACACACATAAATAGGTTTAGGTTTTGTCTTTGGTATGTGGTGTGCATGACCATATTAACCAAACTATTCACTGACAATATTGCAAGAAATGTTTGCATATGTTTCCCCCCAAAAAATATATGATCTTCTGTGACTAGACCTTAGACTAGGATGTGTGAGCTGCTTACTAAGATTTTCCCCATTTTCCAGCCACATAACTGCATTAATTTTAAATGGAAATTGCAGTTAATCCCACATATTGTTAAGAGCCGTTACTTCCACTTAGGACTCACAGCCCTAAGAATGTGGTCTGCAGGGGATTTGATTTTATATTGTGAGAAGGCTGAACATGAGAATTTATATTTTATTCATCTAAATTAGGCACCCCATATGCCATAATAGACTTTTTAATACCAATATAATTGCATTCACACCAGGGAATTGCACCAGCAGAACTGCTTCAATTTTGACAGCATAAAATCTCCGGTCTAGGGCAGCATGAAAAATAACTTTCTAACATTTACGACTGGTTTAAGTTACTGTACTGCTTATAGCATTAACAGCATAATATATTTTATAACTGCAGCATTTTGCATCTGTAAATTTTAAGCAGCAGGAGCTCAGTGGTTTATTATTGGCAGTGTACATCATTAAGCCCAGTGTAGAGAGCCATTTTGCCCTTGAGCTAGTCAGGGGGCATGAGCAGTGCAGTGGCTCAGGAGGGGAGCTTGGTTTGGGGCAGTCTGAGCTTAAACTCACATTAGCCATTAATTCACTAGATAACCTTTAGATAAGGCTGTGTCTCTTTCCTTCAGTCCTGCTCCCCTCCAACTGTAGTATTAGGATACTGTTACTCACGGTACCTATCTTAGAGGGTAAAGATGACTGGAATAATGTGCTTTAAGTGCTTTGAGCACTATAAAGACATGTATCTACAACATTATCTGGCTCAGATTTCTCTGCAGGGTGGGTAGCCAATGTGGTGACCTCCATTTGTTGTTGAGCTACAGCTCCTGTCATTCCTAACTACAGACCATGTTCGCTAGGGCTGATTGGAACCTTTGTCCATCAACTCCAGATGGATGCTATGTTGGCTGCCCATCTCTGGACAGCTTCCTTACAGTATCAGTAGGTACATAGTATGTTCTCCATCATGTGTAAAAGGCAAATGCTCCTTTGTTTTTTAACAATGGGTCAAACTAGGTGTGACATTTGCATAGCTGCTCTCCTCTGCCGCTGCCCCTGCACTTAATTGCATAGCTGGCATTGGAGCCTCAAGATGGATTGACACTGGTGGTGCAAGAGGAAGAGGGTGTTAACCCTTTGCCCCTGCTATAGTCCATATTGTAATAGAGGCCTTTTGAACCTACTATTCACAATGGGAGGAAAGCTGCTGTTGGCACCAGTCTATCATGCGTGGTTTGGCCATGTCTGTACAGATCTACCCTCCAACATTTCTCTGATAAAAATAGGGACATCCCATTCCATACCTTCCAACATTTCTCCTAGGAAAAAAGGGACGTCCTAAGGAAAAGCGGGACATTCTGGGATCCAGTCAGAAACCGGGACTCCTTCTGTAAATCCGGGGCTGTCCCTCAAAAATAGGGACGCTTGAAAGGGTCTGCAGGGGCCTGTTACCTAAAGCCAAAAAAGTATGCATCTCTTTCCCCATGCCTCTGTCTCTTGGATACATTGTATCTCCTTGCATGCCTACTAAATTTCCAGTGAGGAATATCTGTAAGTGATTATCCATCAACACAGTTCATTTTGGAATAATGAAAGTGTGGTTTTCTAGGCTTAATCCTCAAATGTAGAGGTTCTCAGTGGGAGTGAGGCTCCTAATGTTGACAGCGCTGCCTGACTTATCGCCCCCCCCCCATCACCCTTTCCTTTGGGGCTATGTTGGTGGCCATCACTGACTTATTGTGGGAGCAAATTCTATATTTTAACAATGTTGTGAGCCCAGTTCGGTGGTACAAATGTGACATGTTGGCTTTTACATGTTATTGTAATTATGACCAATCCTGTGGCTGCATGTTAATTCTATCAAAATTCATAATGAGAGTTGGTTAAATGAATGTTATGGGATTCCTCATTTCCTAAAAACTATGTTGTAAATATTTTTATAGCATACGATAAAACCCATTTCCTAAAAACTAGAAGAAATGTTAATTGAATTTTGGGTCACTTAAACTGAATTCTGTTTGACACTATTTAAGGTAGGACAGTTAGTATATGAAACAATAATTTCAATTTTTAGCAATATTGTAATTTTGCTGCCCACCTAACCTGCTGCCTGAGGAACATGTCCCCTTTCCCGCTCTTAGATCCTGCACTGAGACCAGTTGAGAAAGAACAAGGAATTCGAAAAGCTAATCTTAACAGATGGCTTGTTATCAAAATGAAGGGCTGGTATCCCAGGACAAAAGCTGATCATGGACAAACGCTCTAATTTTAGCAACTCTGCGGGAGATATTGCAGAGTTTAAAATACTGTATTAACATTTGAAAGTTTCATAATGGCATGCAAGGCACAAAGCCCAGTCTCTGCACACCTATTTGCAGCCACTTTTCCATAAAGCACCTTTAGGTTCTACTTTGCCACTTGTTAGTTTCAGCCCCAGAATGAAAGACTGACAGTCCTCGAAGGAGGTAACCTCAGCAATCTTGCTCTGCATCACAAGAGAACAGCATGAAGAGAGGAGTACAGATTTCCATGCTGATTCTATTCTGCATACAGAGAGCACTTCAAACCTAGCACTCCCTCTGAGCCATATGGCTGCTACAGAAGCACCATTATACAATGTCACTTTATCACAGAAGTGCTGATATAGTGCTGCTGTCAGGATTTTCCTCCCCCAGGATAGAAGATTAAGTACCAGAGCTCATAAAGTGTCAGGAGCACAATTTATTTTCTTTAAGAATGTGCAAGTGTGGCATGCAGATTCTAAAATTATAATACCCCCTAAAGAACTAAGCCGCTTCAAAAATTGTATACATAGTACTGCTTGGTAGTGTTACTGTTGTAAACTAAAATATTATGCCTTTTGAGACAGAGGGCAAACATTTAAATTAATTAAATATTACATGTACCTGTACAACCCTCCTTGTTGGAAGCTTGAATACCTATTGGAAGATTGATCCACCTGCGTGGTTGCCAAGTTGAGGCCCTGCAAGGACTAGGGATGCATTGATCAACCTCTTTCTGCCCCACACCAATGTTGTGTGTACACATATATATAACTAATACATACACACACACACACACACACACACACACACACTGGTACACTACTAGTACATGCAGAAAATGAAACCAATGTCCAGCATTTTGTGCGCTGATTAGACTGAAGACTGAAATATTAGGAATCCATTCAATCCCTCATGCTTCTTCTACCCCAGGCCAAAATTATTCTGAATAGCTTTTATTCTGCATTCATGGATACTGATGTGCACCCATGCTTGTGCTTCCTGACTCTTGTGTACTAGGGACTGCGGAGGCCTGCATAATTCTCCTTGAGAACACAAGCCACAAGCTACAATTACTTAATGCAAATCTACTGTGCTTGTGAAAGATGAAAAGTTTTTTTAAAAAAGAAAAATCAGGCAAATGTCTTCAGTAGCTTGGAGGTATATTTAAAATTCAGCCATAATTAAACTCCATTCATTGTTTCTAGTCATCCAAATGCTTGCTGACCTTCAGTTAATCTTATGCACACTGTATTCTGCTTGAGCAAAATATAATTAATTTTATTTGCAAAATATGCATTAATTTAGTGAATTCAGGGATGCTAATCTGTCGAAGAATTACAATTCTAATGTCATATACAAAAATATTCTGAGCTAAGGAATACAAAAATTTTTGGAGCCTGCACACACAATATGGCAAGCTGCTTTCATTCCCTTGAACATGTACTGCTTAGTCCTACAACGTATCTTCTGACAACAAATTGGACTACATAACATCAGCCATACTATGAAGTGTTCATCCAGCTGTACATTCTCCAATGTGATCTATGCCATCACCTGTCAATAGTATCCTTCTGCTGTTTATGTAAACCAAATAGGTCACTCTCTACGCAAAACAGTAAACTGAAACAAATTAGACATTAAAAACAGCAGTATTCAGAAAGCAGTGGGAAACCATTTTACTTCGCTGCTGAGCTTAAAAGTCACCCTGCTTCAATGAAACAGCATCAACAAAGGGCCCCAGAATGAAGATGCAAAGTTATAATTCATAATATTAAACCATATCTAATTTCTGACTGTGCTGATGATCCACCAGTATGTTGCTGCTTTGAACAATGAGTCCCACATTGCTTGACTCTTGCATTTGTTTGAGCTCTGTCTTGGAAGGGGACAACTTGGAAAAGGTAATTTTATATACAAAATGGAATGCGCAGCCAGAGGAAAACCCACATCTCCCTCTGCACAGAACAACCCTCTAACCACATTTCCTCAGGAGGAAACTGGAGAGTAGCTCATGATTAGGCCTTTATAGTTTCCTGGGTAAATCCTCATGACATCCCGACCCTATAGCTCTTCACCTGAGAAAAGGGTAGAGTTTTCCCACATAGAACAGAAGTCTGTACTGTTGCCCCTCTCTCCCTGATTGTGAATGCCACGCAACAAATTTTATGAAATACCGGTAAATTCCATTTCTCGATTCACACATACTAATTGTATCTGAAAGAACGACTTATCCTAATCTTATCAACAGAGTACCATTGTTGGCATCAAGAGACAATGGAGTGCGCCTCCAGGGGCGAAGTCAAACTGCTGCGTTAGCAGCACTGAAGTGACCTCCCCAGGGTGCAAGCCTGGGCAGTGTGTATTTAGAGCCTAGGGCTTGCCGATCAGAAGGTCAGTGGTTCGAATCCCCGTGACGGGGTGAGCTCCCGTTGCTTGGTCCCTGCTCCTGCCAACCTAGCAGTTCGAAAGCACGTCAAAGTGCAAGTAGATAAATAGGTACCACTCCCGCAGGAAGGTAAATGGCGTTTCCGTGCACTGCTCTGGTTCGCCAGAAGTGGCTTAGTCATGCTGGCCACATGACCCGGACGCCAGCTCCCTTGGCTAATAAAGCAAGATGAGTGCCGCAACCCCAGAGTCATTCGCAACTGGACCTAATGGTCAGGGGTCCCTTTACCTTTACCTGCCCAGATGACAAGACACCCCCACCACCATCCCGGCCTCACTGATGTGGCCCAAAGGAAAGGAAAGCAATATGTTTGGTACCAGCTTAGCTACAAGAATTGCGGAAGGAGGCATACACTTCTTCCAGCAATTCTTCTTTCTTTCTTTTAGCTGTTGCAGCTAAAACAACAAGGAGGAGACTTCTGGCAATTCCAGAAAGTTAAAGTGGCATAAGCTTTCATGGGCCAAATTCCAGTTCCCCAGATGAATGAAGTATAATCATAAACTGGCAGGATTATATACACACACGGGTGGTGGAGAGGAGCAAGACCAGATGGAAATGAATTATTATTATTATTATTATTATTATTATTATTATTATATATCCCGCCCATCCGGCTGGGTTTCCCCAGCTACTCTGGGTGGATTGTAACATATAAAACACAACATTAAAAAAACCAAGATAAACTATACAAGCAACAAACAAACCAATAAATCAACAAAAACCAATAACAATAATAACAACAATAATAAATAGTTTACAGTTATATCCAAATGGAAGTAACCGCCAACCCCAATTTAACATTTAACCAACACCAACCCGACAAAAAATGAAACAGAGGAACCAAAATTATAACCATTTAAAACATTTTAGCCAGTTGCCCCAACCCAGGGAGCAGGTCTTTCTTCCAGCACTCAGGCAGCAGCAAAAGAACAGTGATAATTGACACAAACAATTGACAAGTCAATTTCTAGTAAGGTTGCCATGTTGCTTGCTTGTAGCACTTCAAATAATGACCATGGCTCTGTGGTATAAAATAATTATATGAATTGTTTCACTGTGTCCTTTTAAGGCTCTTGTAACCAGATGACCCTAAAATTATAATAATAGCAATTTCCCATAAACTCAAGAAGTGACATTTCAGATAGGCCTTTCTTCCCCTTTTAGCTCCCTGCATGTTGATTTTCTATTTGAGCCTGGACTTCCTAAAGATTTTTCTGTTTAATATTTTGGCAGCTATTCAGCTGAAAAGCCCAGAATTGCATTCCTCTGCCTTTTCTACCCAATCTGGAGCAGCATTCGCCTTCTGGTTCTTCTTTTGGTTCTGCTCTATCTTGTCTACTGTATTGCTTACTATGTTCATTCTTTTTGCCACATGCTGCCTGCATCTGTCCTTCTGGCCCTTCTCTTCTGGCTTTGTTTGTCCAGTCTCCCAGGCATCACCAGGCATCTGCTGTCTCCTCAGAGTGCCTCCTTTTCATTTGCAATCTATTTTCACATTCTGTTTTCCTGAGCTGCTCCAATATGTTGTGCTGGCACAGGGGAGCAGACCTGCAAATTGAAATTCAGCAGACTATTTTTGTAAGCGTCCCTTTGCAGACACAATGACGTGCATGCTAAAGAAGGGAGCTAAACAGCCAGCCAGTTGGTCGCTGGAGTTTTCTTCTTCTGAGTAACTCATGTGCCATCTTCTGCAAAGTGAAATTGGGGTGAGTGGGGCTTCCGTCACTTTCTCCAGAATTGCCTTCCTGTGTGATTACATTACACCTCATTTCCAGAAGGCTGTAGGTCAGTGGAAGTGCATGTGCTTTGCATACAGAAGGTCCAAGGTTCAATCACTTGTATCTCCAGGTAGGGATGATAGGAGAGTCTCTTTTCTAAAATCCTGGAGATCTACTGCTAGTACAGTGCTGAGCTAGATGGACCAATGATCTGATTCAGTATAAGGTAGCTACATTGGCTGAGGGTTATTTCCGTTGGGTTGTTAGTTGAATATACAGCAGATAACAGTGCACACTACTGCTAGTTCATGGGTAGCCAGCATGTTGCCTTCCAGATGTTGGATTGCAGCTGGCATCATCCGTTGCCATTGGCCATGCTGCCTGGAACTGATGGGAATTGGAGCTCAACGACATCTGGAGGTCACTACATTCACTACCCTTGCTGTAGTTACTTCTCAAAATAACTAATTGCACTCTGAATCTAAATACAATAGTTGCACCTATTTTCAAGCAATAACTATTGGATCAGGAGTTTATGGGGTTTTTATCTCCTAATGCCATGTTATTTCTCTACATCTTTTTTGTGCCTGAGGGTGACTTTGTGTGTTACATCATGGGTTCTCACAAAATGGTGGCACAGGGTGGAGCCAGTCACAAAATGGTGGTGGACTTGGTGCTGGGCTTGTTATAGTCAGCTTTTACCTAATATTTGAAAGGCATTCCTGTGGCTGAAAACACACCGTGAACACACCCTAGGCAATTGCGACTCAACTGAAGAGGCACCTGTGTGGTCATGTTTCAGACACAAAATGTCTATTAAAGATTAGAGAAAATATGTAATAGACTCACATTGAGGGAAAAGGGAGTCTTCTTTACACTGTAATGTGTGAAAAGAATCTATCTGCCCTTCCTAGAACAATTTTAGTGCTTAGCATTTAGCATTTGAATGCAGGTGGGATGAAAGCATCACCATTAAGTATTTGATTATTAGAAAATCTTTAACCATGTAATAAGCTGCTCCCATCAAAAAACAGTGCCTTAGCAAACCCACCTTGCATACTAAGGACATACTGTTTTGGTTTCTAGTGGTGCTCTTGCTTGTCTTTGTCTTGAAGAAATGTTTTTTCTTTCTACCTACTGGGAATATTTTTATACTGACTGAATCACTTTTTCTGACAAAACAGTCTTTTCCTCCCCCAAGGAATGCTTATTTTATATGCAGTGACAGCTGAGAAGGAGGCACAGGAAGGCAAGACTAACATAGCTTTAACCTTGCCTGTATCCAAGGCTGAAATGCTAAATGTTTAATGAGGAGAATTTACCTTCCTGCTCTTTTGCTACTGCAGATTGAATGGGGAGAATGTGCTTCTTACTTCCGTTGTTCTTCCAATTCGTTTTTGCTTTCTCTCTCTCTCTCTCTCTTCTTGAAACAGAGCAATATCGAGCCTTATGTGATGTCTGCATTCAGAATGTGACTTCAGTTGTGCTTGGATTCATGTGCTTGGTTCCAGGCAATGGCAACAGCTGTCTCTTTATGCCACAGGAGTTTCTCTAGTTGTCCTTTTGTAGTTGTCTATGGTGTGTGTGTGTGTGTGTGTGTGTGTGTGTGTGTGTGTGTCAGAGAGAGTGTGTGTCTTATATAAGAAATGAAAATGGATCTGGCATGGAGGCTACTGGGTCAAAATCATAACTACTCATTTATGGGGGAGGGCATAGAATACTGTAAAGTTAAAGTGTCTTGAGACTTCACAACCTTCATTTGATCTTCCTCTCTTTTACAGATCAGCATTCTTCTGTAGCCTAAGCTAATGTTTCCATTCATTGGGTTGTTAATGCAGCACAAATTGCAAATCAGCAGGCAAAATAAAAGTGGCTCTTTGCCAATGTGGAGTTCTCTTCTCTTGTGCTTGCTTGTTAGCACCAGTGGAATATTAGGAATGCTGAGAGTATATGAAAATGAGCCACTAAAGAAAAACAGACAAGGTGTTTTTTTGGAGTGAGCATTTGTTATGGCTTGCTTTATTTAATCATAGCTCTTCTAGATATACATTTTAATTAGCTGACTCTTCCACCAGTCAAATACACTTTTAGAGGTCACTTGACGCGGGTGGCGCTGTGGGTTAAACCACAGAGCCTAGGACTTGCCGATCAGAAGGTCGTGGTTCGAATCCCCGTGATGGGGTGAGCTCCCGTTGCTCGGTCCCTGCTCCTGCCAACCTAGCAGTTCAAAAGCACGGCGAAGTGCATGTAGATAAATAGGTACCACTCCCGCAGGAAGGTAAACAGCGTTTCCGTGCGCTGCTCTGGTTCACCAGAAGTGGCTTAGTCATGCTGGCTCCCTTGGCTAATAAAGCGAGATGAGCGCCGCAACCCCAGAGTCGGCCACGACTGGACCTAATGGTCAGGGTTCCCTTTACCTTTACCTTTAATTCTGTTCTGTTTTACAGTGAGTTGTGAAAAAGGATGAGAGAGCCATCATCGCCTGCTGTGTGTTTTCTCTTTTAGCTATGAGCATTCTTCTGTAGTATGAGTTGATGCTTCCATTTTAGGGGCTGTTTATGAGGCATAAATTACAAATAACTGAGCCAAATAAAAGTGGTAAACAGATTTTTTTCAGGGTTCCAAAATAATTTTGAACAGAGACAACAGCGGAGAGACCAGAAATGAGTGCATACAACAAGAGCGACAAGACCTCAACACTCTTAGAAACTCAAAGTCTTTCTCCAGTCACTACTCTGTAACAGTGTGCCATCTCTCTCCCTCTTTCTCTCTTTTCCCACTTGACAAAATAACACCCATAAATGGATAGATGAGTTGCTGTTTGATACCAAGAGTTGCAGATAGCTGTTCCAGTTTATTTTTTAAAAATATATTGTTGTGACAGTTTACAGAGCAGGACATGGTGACTTTGTCCCACAGTCCTGCAAGTCATACCATTGCTACAGTAAAAGAAAGATTATTTTGGGTGACCGTAGTGCTTTAATGATATTGTTTCTGGGGTAACCTGCTCTCCATATAAAGAGGCTACACATAGATACAACAGATGTGGGGGATTTTCCGTGCATGACATTGTAACGATGGCGTAGTGCAATATATTTTTTGATCTTAGGTTAGATTAATAGCCGTTGTGATTTATCTTCATCATCTTAAGGGGTGAGGAACGATTGTCTTTAGATTAACATATTATGATTTGTTGGCATCAGGTACAAATTAAAATGAAACCATTGCTGCCTAACTTGTGATGGGTGTAGGCTTTTGATTGTCTTTTCCTAATTTATATATTTATGGTTTGGTGGGAAGACTGGGTGAACACTTTTACTGTATTAAATGCAGCAATACAGTTTGCACTGGAAATGGGGCAGCCCCCAAACGTTGGGGCCAAATTGTAAGTAGTGTCCAGTAACCCAGTTCTTATACCTGGTATTTCTATAGCTGCATTGGCTGTGAAATAGTTATAGTAATAGTATATGGGCCTCACTTCTTATTTTGTTTTGTTTTTTGCAAAAGTATTCTATTGTGTCTTTTGCCCTTTTTGGCATCTCCCCACCAAACCCTCAAATAGATCTTTAAGAATGAGAGTTGGAGAATCATTTTGTGTGTTTTGATGCAGATGATGAATGTGCTAAAGAAAAAGAAAAAGTAGTCCTGAATCATGAAAAGTAGCTAGCTTGCTTGTTAAATCCCTGCTCTTTGAGATCACTGGCAAAATTCAGAAACAAAAAACATACAAAGCATCACCTTCCATGACAAAGACTTGGAGTAAATCACTGTTCCTATAGGCTCCATCAGGAAAAAAGAAACTGACCTGATGGCATTCAAGACCACTTTTTGATGTGCTGCATTGCAGCACAGCTTTAGAAGCCTATTCTGCTGGGCCAAAACCCTCTGAATGCTGAAGTTAAGTTAGCCTGTTGAATACAAACTGTGTTCTTCATTTCATAGCATTCTTTGTGTATACCGCAGCTGCTGCAAAAGCTCCCTCTGCTGTTCGTTCTCCACAGTTGTGAGATATAAAATGAATGCCTTTTGTTGATGTCCTTACAAACAAGTATCATAAGAAATAAATCAAATCTACATAGCTGACTAATAAATTCAGCTTGTTAATTCTTCATCCTACAGATTATAAGCTCTTGTGGGTTGTTGTTTTGTGTGTGCGCGTGTGTGTGTGTGTGTGTGCGCATTTTTCTTTTCTTTTATGGCAGTATATATGGAACTCCAAAATTCAGAGTTGGGGAATACCTTTGTTAGGACCAACCCAAATATGTACCACAAAATTGTGGCAAGCTTTCAAGTTCTCCAAAACTCTTCAGAGCTCTTTAGGTGAATATTTACTTCATACAGTGGTACCTCGGGTTACATACACTTCAGGTTACATACACTTCAGGTTACAGACTCCACTAACCCAGAAATATTACCTCGGGTTAAGAACTTTGCTTCAGGATGAGAACAGAAATCGCGCAGCGGCAGCAGGAGGCCCCATTAGCTAAAGTGGTGCTTCAGGTTAAGAACATTTTCAGGTTAAGAACAGACCTCCAGAACGAATTAAGTTCTTAACCTGAGGTACCACTGTATATGCAAAAGTAAAGTAGTGAAGGTAGGAACACTATTCAGGTGTTGCTCCAATTACTTTGGCGGAAGGGAGCAGGTTTTGTCTTCCTGAATGCAGCCTGTTTCTTATGCTCCATTGAACTTCAATAAGAAGACTTGAGAATCAAGCCCACTCTTACGTGTATAGCCATGCCTTGGGTGACATTTCTTGGTCATGCTGGAGTGTGACAGTGAGAATGAAAGCAGTAACTGTCTTTTAATATAACATAAATAAATCAGTATCCTGCCCTATAATGATGTAGTGCAATAACCCAAAGTTATGAGTGTTCTAACTATTTAGGGGAAAGCATCAGACATGGGATATTGCTTGACAGCCCACTCAGCTGTGATGAAGGACACTGAAGGTTGATTCCACCTGGGTTTCCATGTTATATAAAAGTATTTTGTAACATTTGGGGCTTTATATTGCTGTTTATATAATCATGTGAGGGGTTTTTTTATAGGCTTGGACCAATGAAGCATGAGTGGGACTCCGCCCATGCAACAGGCTTTCCTGCTGCGCATTATTGCATGCCCTGAAAAGCTTCTCCTGAGGGAGAGCCTGTGGATTGCTGTGGAATGGGAGGTTGCGGGCAGCTGCAGCAGGAGAGGAATCAGCAGAAATCATTGGTAGGCAATTGCGTGAGCAGAAATGCCTTCCCCTCACACAAGAGACCTTTTCTCTGCTGTAAATTCCCCCTTTAAATTCTTCCTAAATGATATGAAGCCTACCGATGAAGAAAAATAGATTGAATAGGTACTGAGGAAATGGTTTAATTAACTGAAGTGCATATCGTTAGGAGTCTAATTAAGAATATGCAAAGGAGATTATTCACTCATTTTGTACGCATGTTCTCCATCATTGTATAAAACCCATTTCAAACAAAGAAACTGGTGGCTCCTTCAAATGTACCTTTTGTGTATTTCATTTCATCCTTCTGGATGAAACATGGAACTCCCATGATTCATCCTGTTGCCACAAAACATCTCTACCCTGTTTGCAGTGATCTATCTCTAGCAGCACGCAAAATCCACCAATCTTGTTTACCATTTTTCCAGCATTGTTCTAAGTGATAAGGAACATTGTTCTAAGTGATAAGGAACACCCGTAGGCAGTGTTTACTGGGAAGTAAGGAGCAGCGGCAAGGTGCTGGAGAGCAGAGTTCTCTTTGAATGTTGTACAGCCTTCCCTTCACCCCCTCAGACAGGCTGCCACCCTCACACACTGATGGACTGATGGAAGCTGGAGTTCAGCAACATCTAGAAGGCCATAGTTTCATCAACCTTCTTTAAGGATTTGGGGGATCTTTCACCTTTCAAAGGATACCTCAGGATGAAATGTTAGAAATTACATTTCACGCCTACCACGTCTGATGGGTTTTTCTCCCTTTAGGTGTTGACTGCACCGCAAATTAAGTCAATCTGTCAAGCAATGTTAGAGTCTGGGAAACAGTATGCTCTGAGGAAGAGAAAACCAGTTCCACTCATGTACTCTTACTATGGAACAGAATACCTTGGTGAGTAGCTTAAAATTAAAGCTTCTAGGTGTATTCCTGCTGATTTTCTAGCAAATTTCCATTGCATTTTAATGGTGCAGGATCTAAGAGTAAGCCTGAGTAAGTCCCATTGACCTAAACAGGGCTTGATTCAGAGGAGACATGCATAGAATTCCACTATGAGATATCAAATCTGTGCACCCAAAGAAATATAATATACAGACTGACTATCTATCTATCTATCTATCTATGAGGACCCAGTGCTTTTTTCCCCTTAAAAATCTTTAAAGGTACTCTCATTTTCCTACTCATATTGAAATACTGCCCCTCAATGAGGCCAAACTTAGATTCACAAAATGTTTAGGAGTATGCGTACCCCTGCATCACCCCAGAAAAAAGTACTGTATGGACCAAATGCACATCCTTTGTTTTCACTGTCAAGTGTTCAGATGGATCATCAGTAAGAATTATTTTATACTAGGGAGTCAAAACAAGAAACCTGGCTATGAAGTGGTCTACATGAGCAATAGGTGAGGATGAGGCTAAAAAATAGTCAGATCTAGAAACATTCAACTGGGGGGGTTTTGTCCTGAAAGACATACTAGGAAATATTGTATAAAAATTGATATATATGCAAGCAGAAATCTTGTCTTTAGTGGTGAGCCAGAACAGGATAAATTCTGTTAGGCAAAGCTTTTCACCCTTACAAAAAAAGGGCACCATATCAGCAGTCTTGTGAGGACAGGGGTGAAAATGTTGAGCTCTTTTTTAAAATAACAAAAGCCACTTTGAAGGTTACTCGCTGCACGATACTCTGAAGGATCCTCTTCATCTCTGTTGCCAAGCCCTTTGTCCCTTCCATTCTCTTGTTTAAATCATTTGTCAAATGAGGGAGAGGGTTCACACTGTGCAGTGTCTGACACAAAATGTACCTTTTCTTTTGCAAGAGGTGGCTTGCCTTTGAGTGGAGCTTGAGCCACCCAACAGCAGGTTTCGTCCAAGATGCAAAACCCTGCAAAAATTCAGTGCACCGCAACCTACTTTATTGTAACTGTTTCTGTTCTTCACAGGAGCTGCTCATGGCCTTTCATCCATCCTACAGATGCTGCTTTCCTACTATGAATATATTCCGCCTGCTGATCAGGAACTAGTATGGCAGAGTGTTGACTTTCTTATGGATCAAGAGCAGAATTGCAACTGGCCTCCAGAACTAGGAGAGATGATTGAACGGGAGAATGAGCTTGTGCACTGGTGTCATGGCGCTCCAGGTTCTTCTCAATGTAGATGCTGTGAAGTAGATGCCAGAAATTAGTCATTAAAACACAATTTCACCCAGTGCTGTTTTGCTGAGAAACAGGCCAAATTCTATCCATTCGTAACATTTGATGTGAGGCTGCCACATTTTTAACGTTACGCTCTTACTTAAATATTTTGTATTACTGAAGTGACTAGAAGATCAGACAATGGAGGGAGCTCTCAAAACACATAGAGATTCCTTTGCTACTGCAGCCATTAGAAATCTGAATGCATTGCAGCGTAACTTGTTCATGTGACTATGACAGTTTACTTGCATTACCAGAATCCGGAGCATCCTTTGAGGGACTTCTTTCTGGTGGAAATTGACGCAGAGAGCATCATGGTCCTTCTGGGACTAAAACCTACTCATGAAGAATCAAACAGGGTCAATCACATTTGTGATCGGCCCTATTCATTCTTTTACAACATCCCCTCTGTATATAGTAATGCAGCTCAGAATGCAATAACAGCCTGATAAACTGCTTAATTGTGCACTGCTGCATGTCTAGTGGATTTGCAGCAATGTAAGCAACACAAACATTCTTTAAATCCCACCTTCTGCAAAGTGTCTCCCCCCCAAGCCTTTTTATTTATTTTAAAAGCCCACCAGTGATCTTTGCTATCATCTATGCTACCAGCCCCTCCTTATCATCCCACCTTTTCCTGCCCATAATTTAGATTGCAAACAAGCATCTAGGCAGGTGCCCCCCCCTTAATTGCAGTAGGCAATAGGGAAGGTGTGGAGAACATTTCACCCTGTGGATGTTGCTGAACTGCAACTCCCATCAGCCACAGCAAGCATGGCCAATGGCCAAGGATGATGGGCATTGTAGTTCAGCATCACTTGGAGGGCTGCAATAGGGAAGCAGGTTAGTGAAGCAGAGTACTTTAGTGAGGATAGCTGGGGATTTGATTTAATTTTAATTATGTTCTTACATTTATATTCAGCTTTTCTTTTCTCGTGGAATCATGGTTCCCAGGCAGTAACTGGCTAGACCTGCTTGGCTCTTCTCGTGCCTTCAGAATACATCTTATCTGTCTATCCATCCTACTATGAATTATATCATTCAGTCATAAAATAAGATGCCTTTTCAATTTCATTGTTCCGCAAGGGACAATGACAATAAAGATATCGTATCGTATCGTACCTGAGTGGGCAGGGGCGGGCTTTTAAAACTGAAAAACAGTGATTATTTCTGTTACCAGTCAACTAACCTGCACTTCACACCTATAAATATGAAGGAGAGAATACATATGATCTTATGTAGTAATTGTTCCATTATTCATTTCTTCACTGGTACTTACAACATTTCTTTGGTTTGCTATTTTCCTAGGCATTGCATACATGTTTGCAAAAGCATACTTAGTTTCTAAGAAGCCCCAATATTTAGACAGTTGTATCCGCTGTGGAGAACTAACTTGGCAGAAGGGACTACTGAAGAAAGGACCTGGAATATGTCATGGAGTGGCTGGCAGTGCTTACGTGTTCCTGCTCCTATACAGGCTAACTGGAAATTCTAAGTACATCTACAGAGCACAAAGGTTTGTTCTTTAACAGAACCTCTTTGAATATTGGTGTAATCCTTGTTCGGCGCACTTTTTTGTTGTAGATCATATTGCTTTTTAATGCTCCTTTAAGTTTAAGCTTCTTGGAGGTAACAACGTCCCTGTTGTATTCAGACTGATTTCTCAGCAGTGAAGAGAAGAGACCTAAAATACTGTTATGCCTCCCTAAGGACCAAGTTAGATGTACCATTAAAAGCATTTTTCCATTTAATGGACTTGTGAATTTTTTAAAACATGGAAATACAGTGGTGCCTCGCAAGACGAAATTAATCCGTTCCGCAAGAGTCTTCGTCTAGCGGTTTTTTCGTCTTGCGAAGCAAGCCCATTGACGGATTAGCGCTATTAGCGCTATCAGCTGTTTAGCGGCTATTAAAGGCTTAAAGGCTTAGGGGATTAGCTGCTAAAAGGCTATTAAAGGCTATTAAAGGCTTAGCAGATTAGATAAAGGGGGGGGGAAGCGAAAAAAAATCTCAAGACTCGCAAGGTATTTTCGTCTTGCGAAGCAAGCCCATAGGGGAATTCGTCCTGCGAAGCAACTTCAAAACGGAAAACCCTTTCGTCTAGCGGTTTTTCCGTCTTGCGAGGCATTCGTCTTGCGGGGCACCACTGTAGCTGCTGTAGGGGTCTCCTAACAGCAGAGGTGGGGAGAGAGTATAAACTCCCCCCCCCAGCTGTAATACTATTTTTTTAATAAAAAAAACCTGGACACTGCTATTTTGCATTGGCATCAATAGGAGCTTTTCCTCCCAATGCAAATAGCAACATGGGAGGTAGAAGAACATGTTTTTAATTGGGATCACAGCAGAAGACAATTTGTAGGATCACTTTCTGAGGTAGTGATATTGCTCTCCCCCCTCCCCCCACACATACATGCACGACAGCTATTTCCATTTTTTAAATAAAAAAAAAATCATGCAAATAAAATGCAATAACACAGTTTTAATGTCACATGTGGCTTGGCCCTAATACTCCAAGCAGTGAGGAGCAACTGTTTAGTTTCTTTTGAATGAGAGAGCACTAGGGTGTTATGGCATTTCTGTGATATTTTCGTTATTCAAAAATATAAAAGCAGAGCATACACATGGAAGCAAACAGGCACTCCTCCAAGTCAGTAGATCCACTTCACCACACCAGATCCCTCACCCTGCACCCCAAAGTACTTCACCTTGGGCCAACTCACAGCTCATTCTCCATCTCAGCCTCTGTCTCTGTGGTCTCTTCAAAACTGCCAATTCACAGCTCTCTCTGTCTCCTCCTCTGAAGGTGAATTGCCTATTCAGGAAACATTCACGGCTATTAAACAACATTAACATTCTTTTGCCAAAGGTGCTGACTCCTATCAGTTGTCACTTTAAGCAAAACTAAAGTGATAGACCCAATTACTGGTGTCATTCAGAATAGCACAATAGCTCCTCCATGAGGCTTTTGGAGCCCTCTGACTCCAACGGGCTAGGAAGCCAGATAAGCCCGAAGAAACAGGACAAAGGATTGTTATCTACAGCTTCCTGTTTCTGGTGCGCTAGGAATGGAGTCTTCCCCAACACCATGGGAGACAGACAGACAGAGATAATCAGAAATGGATGGGGAAATTTCATTATCTGCATTCGTCTTCGAATGAAAGAGGAACCAGGCTCTCACCTGCAGTTTGCCTGGTGGTCTGGCATTTGCTTCCCCATGGAATGCGAGGGCAAGCAAAGGCACCGAGTGCATGGAGCACTCTGGCTGCCGTGACCACCCCCCCCCATCCTGTTCCTGGAAGCACAGGTTTTCCTGCTAATTGGATTTTAATTGGAGTACACTACAGACATGTGCCAGAGATGATGAAATTAAAAACAGCAAAAACAACCCAGCTCCAAGGATGTAAAAGGTTTGGACTGAGAGCAGATTTCATTCGGTGAAAGAGGCAGGGGAGCCCACGGTTTGCTTATTTAAAGCTTTTTTCTACATTTATGTTATGGCAATCCTCCCCAGAATGCAAGTTTTATTAAAAATATCCGCACAAGTGAGGATGGAAGAAATTGGAATATAATATGGAATTTAACAAAACTGGAACTGTGTGTGAGAGAAAGGAACTGAGAGGGAAGGGGGGTGGAGAAACGATATGCTTTGAAACTATAGAGCAAAGTCCTCCCTAACCTCCATTATCCACAAAGGAATGTATTCGAGATAATGATAATTGGCCATAAATCAGCGACAGGGAGGAAAGGAGTCTACCACCTATGGGAATACAGTGGTACCTTGGTTTACACACTTAATCCATTCCGGAAGTCCGTTCTTAAACCAAAACCATTCTTAAACCGAGCCATGCTTTCCCTCATGAGGCCTCCTGTTGCCGGTGCCCTTCCACTGTTCGGATTCTGTTCTTAGACCAAGGTAAAGTTCTCAAACCAAGACACTATTTCCGGTTTTGCGGAGTTTGTAAACCAAATCGTTCTTAAACCGGACTGTTCTTAAACCGAGGTACCACTATAGATGTTTTTGGATTAACTATCTGCAGTCTGGATTCAGACCCTTCTTCCTAGGCTGGAAAAATGGTGACGTCGGCTTGTTTATGGAAGTCGAATCACGGGATGAAGCAATGCAGTGACTTTTAGAAACTGTGAGATAACAACTTCTCCTGGGGCATGATGGGAACCATCAACAGTTGCAGAAATGAACAATACAACACCATATATGGATGGGGAAACATCATGGCAAAAACTTTCACACACAGGAAAGAAGAAGGATTATAGCTATAGTTCCTCACTTGAAACTTTACAAATTATCTGTTATACCAACATGAATAGAAATCACAAGGTTGAAGCTGCTATATAAGAGATTATTATATCTGAATGGAATGTGATGGAAATTATCAAAACTTTGGAATGCAGAAGAAATGTAGAAGAATGAACTCATTAACTATAGCATGCAAGGGGGCCAGTTTAATTAAATTATATAATTTGACACTTGAATAATTGGTATTAATAATTGTATTAACTGGATAAAATTGATATTGTTATAATGAGGCTATTGGAATGACACTGGAAAATTATATATACATATACATATACATATATATATATATATATATATATATATGGATTGTTATATCTACATCTTGGTATTTTAAAGTTTCTGAAGTAGTATTTTGTAGTTTGGCTTTGGAAAGTAGCTATGAGTATTAATAAACATATCAAGACATAGGCTTCTTTTCACCACAGAAAACCTCGACTCTTATTTCTTGCTGTCTCTATGATCAGCCAAGAGCACCTTCTTAATTTCTGCATCAAATTAAGGCAGGAAGGACACATAAGGATGCTTTTGAAGGTTGCACCACAGCTATGGAAGCTAGGACAGCTTTTCATCCCAAAGAGAGTCATCCTTTGAAGGCTTGGTCTTGGATGCATTTCATGATAATTGCAAAAAAACAAAAACCCTAAAAACAAATCACACATTTGCTGGTTCATCGTGGGTGGGGATGTGTGTGTTACTTTGCTTTTGTATTATAGAGATATGAGTAGTAAAGGTTTTGGTAGAAACTGCAACCTGAGGTTTTTTCCCGTGGCAACCAAGACACCACTATCCTTAATGGAGTTTTGTGATTCCCCCCTCCCACCCAGATCTATGGAGCTCAAGTTGGGATCCAGGAGGTCACCTAGTCCAACTTCCACATTGGTTTTTTTTTTAATGATATTTATTACTTTTTCAAAATTTCCAACACAACACTACAAACAAAAAGAAAAAGAAAAAAAGGAAAAAAAGAAAAAACAATACGAATACAATACAAAAACGCTACATGGACTAACAAATCAAGCAAAAACAAACAAAAACAATTTAAAAACACCTCAAACATTTTCAATATCTTATATTTCATTCACTTATTTCCAGCGACTTCCTCACACCTCCCTTTTTGTATTCCACTTCTATTATTTGTTTCAGCAATTCCTTTCCATCTTACTCTGTTTTCTGTTCTATAATTATCTTAACACATTCTTGCCATACTTTTCCTTTAATTTTCTATTAATCTATTTATACTTAATTCCTTATGACATTTCTACTAAAGCCATGTAATTTCATTCCAACATTTTTCTAACATTCCTTAATTTTACAATATTTCTATAAATAGTCTTTAAACTTTTTCCAATCTTCTTCCACCGACTCTTCACCCTGGTCTCGGATCTTGCCAGTCATTTCCGCCAATTCCCTATAGTCCATCAACTTCGTCTGCCATTGTCCAACACTTCAGTGTTTTCAAGAAGCAACCATTCTCTCAACCAGCAAAAGGCAGATGGTTCACAATGAAATTTAAAGGTCTGGCAGGGCAGGCCCACCTCCTTCTTTAGCATCCATCAATATCTTAAGCTTAACTCGAGGCTTCCTGCCCTGCCAAACAACTCTAGGAGCATCCCTCTGCCACCTCCTGAGACCCTCCATCCCATCCAGAGCTTGCAATGTTTGAAACAAAAGCAACATCCCCAGCAACACAGCAGCCCTCATCCCCACCACAATAACTCGGCCCAACAGTAACAACTTCTGATTTGTCCATATTTCCAAATCCCCCTTCTCTTCAATCCAACATCCTTCACAGTTGTCCTTAAGCAGATTCACATTTTTGGCGGTCATACTAACCCCCAAATACTTCTCTTTCTCAGCCAATGTTAGTCCTGTCGCCTCCTGAAACTCTGTCAGGCTTTCCTTTTCCAATTCAGATAGGGCTCTGGTCCTCAAATTCATCCATTCTTCTTTAAGTTCAATCATAACGAATGTCAGCTTATGTTCATCAAGTTGTCTTTGTATGGATGGGACTCTCCTCTCCAGTTGTGTTACTTTAGATTCAGCAGCAAGGGTTTTTTCCTTGACTTCATCTGCAGTTTGCCGTATCAGAGTAGATTCCTGTATCAGTTTCTGGGTGGTTTCTGAATTGGTATTCACCTTTTGTCCCAAATTATTTAAACTTTCTACAATTAAATCAGTTTCAATATTTGCAACATCCAATTTCACATTTATCGCATCTGTTTTCTTATGGAGTTGTTCCAGCGAATCGTTTATTTTCAATAATGCAGCCACTAAGGCCTCCTCTGTCGACATCCCGTCTGTTTTTTCCTTTCCGTTTGCCATAACACTTAAGAGATTCAAGGTCAATTCCAAAGTCTCACACTTTTCTTATCTTATCCCCTAGCCCAGCTCCTATAAAGTAACCAATTTCAAAAGCTTCCACTAGGGGAAAACAGGTTGTATTTGTATCGGTCAATATGTCCTCTTTTAAACACAGTTTCAATAATCCGAAGTTAGTTTCAATTTTCAGTTACTTTCCTCCTTTTTTAAAAACAACCGGAAACAGTAGAAACAATGTATTTCTCTTATTTAGCTAGCTGTCAATGAACGTTCTAAGCGCTGTCAATGAACATTCAAAAAAAAAACCCAACCCCATCAGTCTTACTAGCAGCCCGTTTCCAGGGTCAGAGCGGCGGTGTTATAAGCCTCTTCGCTCTCTCCCGCAGGCGTACTCAATCAGCAACTTCCCCCTCTCTTCTCCTGCCTCCAAGAGGGGGTTTAATGTTCTTTACCGTTGGAAATTTGATCTTTTACAAAAGACCTTCCAGGACTCCAGCTTGCAACTTCGTTGCCTCAGTCTATTTACAAAAAGGGAAGGCGGACTTCCTGTTTTGAACCGTCCCGTTACGATACCAAAATAAACTTTTAGAGATCCAATTCTTCCGTTTCAGCTCTACTCACGGGTAATTACTTTAAAGTCAAATTGTCCACAGGAAAAGGTCAGCGCTCTCCGGCAACAGCTATGCGGCTTCGCTCCGTGGAAGAAGCAGACGATTCGATGCACTGCGCCGCTCACCCCACGTCGCTCCGGAGCCCCAAAAACCGGGGTTCCCCGCGAGTGGGGGAGGCGCGAAAGGTGCCCGCCGAATCCCACGTTCACAGGCTTCTCCCGCCTGTGATTTTAACGGGTCTCCGCCTTCGCCGTGGCGGCCAGACCCAGATTTCCACGGAGCAGATTCCTCCCGGTCAGAGGAATTCTGCCATTGCTGGAGGCGCCTCCCCCGGAAGTCCAACTTCCACATTGCAACACGTGGTCCCCCATCCAATTTGAAACCATACCAAGACATAGCTTAGCTTTGTAAATGTGCTAGCAGTTATATTGCTGCCACACTCTTTCATTGAAGTTAGTGGGTTCTGGTGGGCTGAGGAGTTTGCAACAATGCAGCAGTGCCAGTGTTCGCTCCATGTGTGAGGTGTGGGGTGGTTTAAAAATGGTCTGGATGCAGCCGACCACACAGCCAGGAAATGAATCTGTCCATAACACATAAGAACATATTTGATTAAATCTGGTTCCAAACTGAGGACAATTTTGAATCCGGCTTGAAATAGCAACATGTTGACATTACTGTACAGAGTAACTCTCTCTTTTTTGTCTTGGTTTCTTCTTTCCCTTAGGTTTGCTGAATTCTTGTTTACTGAAGAATTTAAGGCTGGATCCCGGGAACTGGAAAGTGTTTACAGTCTGTATGAAGGTTTCTCAGGGACAGTTTGCTTCCTGGTTGACTTGCTACAGCCTAACCAAGCTGAATTCCCCCTCTTCAGTGTCTTTGTGTAAAATGGAACATGTTCCACTGCCGGGACAGGATAAAGGCACTGTTTCAGTTCACTATCAAGGAAAGTGATTTTAGAATATGTCCATTTCTGCATTGCCACTAATGAGATAGCCTTAACGTTGCAGGGTGCGGGGTGGGGAGAGCAGGTTTAACACACACACACATATATATTCTGGGGCATGGGAAGGGAAGCATGTGGTTTATAAATAATAGGTAGCAATTTTATTCGAAGGTTAGAAAAGGGTCTGGCATTTTTACAAAACTGAAAAGGAATCAAAATTCAGATGAATGAAGGGAAGTTAAATGAAGTTCACAAAAACTGACAGCGTTCTGTCTTCCACAAGGTAGATTGGTTAAAGGACAAAATGCAAATTTGGATTTCAGAGAAGTGCAAGTGGGGGAGAAATGTGAACAATGCATTATTTAAAAGCACACGAAAAGTATATTTTTATGGTACATTGGCACATTCTTTTGGGGAAGGCAGGCAATAAGAAAAGTAAAACTGTCAAACATGTTTGACATATTCCAGAAATTCATATTAGGGCAATGTCTTTATTAGGCCAACCAAAATGCCACAAAAGAGCATGCCGGGTTTTGAGCTCCCCAGAATTCTTCATGAGGTTAGGTGGCAACAACCTGGGAGAAAGCTGCCCAGCAAGAGTCTTAAGATGGAGTGTAGGAGGTAGCAGACATTCAAATAAAGCCCATTTTACGTACCTTGCAGGAATCAAGCTCCATTGTAGCCTCCTGGCAAGGACTAACTCATAATGGCAAAGTGCCCTTAAGAGATGGGAACTCTGCCATTGTTGGCTGGGAATGAAAGGTGCTAGTCCATCAACACCTGCAGGGCCAGAGGTTCCCCACCTCAATTCTAGGTCACTGTTTCCCAGTGTAGGCAGGTGAAATTGTTGCCTTTGCTTACCTCTTTGGCAACAGGTTTTCTCCCCTCATTCTAATCCTCAGCTATAGTAAAATTGCAAAATCCTGCAACAGAGATGGGTGCTTCTTATTGCACGGGTCCTCATAGGATAAGAAAATAATCTTTGCTGATGAGCTACATTTGGTTTCATAATATATATTAAACAATATCCCCTTGGGTTGAATCAAAGGCTCCCTGTGGGTGATGTTCTGCTCTCAGGATGCTAAGGGAGCGAAGTAGAACTGGTGCAAATTGTGCCCCGCCCCCACCGCCACCACTGGCGGTATACAAATTAATTAATAATAAAACAACTATATATTGTACAGTTTTTTCAGGAATGGGTAACATCTACCTAAAATTGCAAAAACAGACTGAAACAACGCAAGATCTTGTAGGAATCCAAGCCTACACATTTGTTTAGAAGTCCCTTGTGTTCAGTAGGACTCGCTGTCAAGAAAGTGTATTTAGGATTTCAGCCCAGGTTAAATTCTTAAATGTACTAGGTTGCTTCTCTGTGTAGTTAAATAGAAGTTTAAGTAATATAATGTGTTTTAATTATGCTTTCTTAAAGAAAATGGATTATTAGTCTTTGCCATATATTGTGTGCCTATTTGTGATGTATAATTCCTGCATCCTGGTGTGTTAATCATCCCCTAAGGCGCTATGGCCATTTGTGACTCATGAGGAACAATCTTCAGATCATAGTAAAGCCAGCTATTTTAACTAAATGTAGAATTCTTGAGTAAAAGTATGAAATATTGTACAAGCATTTTTTATTAGAGCTGAGCTATTGTTTTAGTACCAAATATGTACATGTTAGTAAATACCTATTGCTTTTCTACAGATTTAAAATTTGCTAGGAATACTGTGGTCCTAGCTTTGCTTATAATGTCCTCCCCTGACACTTTGTTTTTAAATGTTACAAATATTCTGTGGGGGCTGGGAAAGCAGCTTCTCCCCCTTGATCTCTCTGCATTTTGATGTTGTGCCATGTAACTTATTTCAGGGAGAAGTGCCACTGTCCGCCTCTTTACATAATATTATTTCAGTACTAGTCTGTGTATGAACTCTTATTCCTCAGCCAAGGCAAACAGCCACCACTATACTATATTATATTCAAATTGTTGACTGGAGGAGAAAATAGAATTTACAGGGAATGTGTCCAGTCCAGCAGCTTATCTCCTAAGGCAATCCCACGTGGTCAAGTAAAGGAGGCCAAAGTGCACATTAAAAAAAATAGATGACGAAGATGTAAAATCATTTTATGGATTTGTCTTTATTAAAAAGGAAGGCTCTTAGGAGAATTACATATTATGCTTCCACTTCTTACTTTCTGAAGTCAGCCATACCTTGGATCTCGAACACCTTGGCACCCAAACAAATCGGCTCCCGAATGATCAAAACCTGGAAGTGAGTGTTCCAGTTTTTGAATGTTCTTTTGGAAGCTGAACATCCAATGGGGCTTCTGCAGCTTCCGACTGGCTGCAGGAGCTTCCTTCAGCCAATCAGAAGCCGCTTTGGTTTTCAAACGTTTTGGAAGTCAAACGGACTTGTGGAACAGATTGCATTCGACTTCCAAGGTACAACTGTATTGCCCCAGGTGTATTCAGTAGAGTGTGAGCTTCCCACCTCTGTGACATGAATATAGAATGCATACCATAGTCAGGATCTGTTGGGTATACAGAAAATAAAATTTCAGCAAAGAAATACATAAGTCTAACAAATATAACAAGTCCACAATATAATGGGAAGCTAAGCCAACAAATACACAAGGAGCTACACAAAGTCCTGTCTCAGTCTGATATCGCAGCCCTTGACGCTGACTTGCTCTTGCAACAATACAATTGGCTAAGTAGCTACCAGCGCAAAGGTAATTTCAAGGCAAGAAACTTACAGTGCAGTCCCGTGCACATTTCCTCAGGAGCAAGTTCCAGTGAGTTCAGTGGGACTTATTCCCAACCCAAGTAAGTATGCATAGGATCACAGCCTTAAAGCGCAATCCTTAGAGTGTTTTCTCAGAAGCGAATCTCTCAAAGTTTAATGTGTTTAAGATCGCGGCCTTAGAAAATAACCAAAAAGAGTCTTATACTGCTGAGAGAAAAGCATACATACTGCAAAGCCATAAGCCAGCAATACTCAGGGCCCATGAAACAATACAGCATTTTTAGGGATGTGGCTAGGCGTATTCCAACAAAACAGCACAAATCTTGTTTCATCATACAACTATTTATTCCCCATATACTGCACTTAAAGAGTTGAATTGCCTTGAATATCAACTTCAATTATAGCAGGATTTTAGCATAATTTGTGTGTACTGATGAATAATTTCTGTTCATACAGACTTTGCTAGTAGTCCCTCGTGCTATCAATTTGTATGTATACTTAAGTGCATATTTTCAGTGAACAATATTGTGATAAAAAAATATATTCTTGTGTTTACAAACTGTAGATAACATAGCTATGTTATTTGAAGAGAGCTGTTATTATACTTTTGGATGAAGTTTATCAAAGTTATTATTGCTTTTAGGTCTCTGTGCATGCTCCTCACATTTTGGCATGTTTTGAAAATTGTAGTTTTCACATGTTAACCCTGATAGTAATTGGTTATCAGTTAAGTTTAACTAAAGCAATATGGTATAGCAGACCATGATATTTAATATTTATTTTACAAAGCAGAGTGCTGCTTGCTGATCAAAAATATTTATAATGTAGTAAGGTTATATAGTGATAGACCAAAAATATTTTCTATACAATATTTGTATAATATATACAGTGGGGATAATATTCTTAAATCCCTCTGTTACATGTAGAAAGAAACTAATCTCAACCATTACATTCTGTGTTAATCCTTGTTGCCATTTCCCTGATGGAGGGAAAATAATACAGTGATAGTGGGCTTGAGCCTCTATTTGGGGCTATTTTTGGCAGGAGCTCAGAAATACAAACAAAGACTTCCACAAAATCTCTTAGGCCTCATCTGCACTACACATAGTGGTTAAGAGCGGTAGACTCGTAATCTGGTGAACCGAGTTCACATCCCTGCTCCTCCACATGCAGCTGCTGGGTGACCTTGGGCTAGTCACACTTCTCTGAAGTCTCTCAGCCTCACTCACCTCACAGTGTTTGTTGTGGGGGAGGAAGGGAAAAGAGATTGTTAGCTGCTTTGAGACTCCTTAGGGTAGGATATCAAATCCATCCTCTTCTTCTTCTACAGCAGTATCATACCACTTTAAACCATCACGGTTTTCCCCAAACTACAGTTCCCAGGATTCTTTAGGGGAAAGCCATGACAGTGAAAGTGGTATAATGCTGTTTTAAATATGTAGTGCAGAGGGGGTCTTCAATCCTAAAAGGTGATGTGTCAGGGAACACTTACTTGGAATTAAGCACATCACTGTGAAGATGAAGATGATTACATTTATACAGCTTCCTATCAATGAATATTCCCTGACTAGAGAAAACCAGGCCACATCTAATGCATTGCCTTTGAGGATGATTTTGTCATTTGTTTGTTTTAGAGCGCCCATCATCCAAATAGGATGACAAGGGGTTCATAATACAACAATAAAAGAACAGAATAACTTAAGAATAACCACTGGATACAAGAAAATACTAAAGTAACTAAAATCAGAGGATTGCAGCTCCCCACATGAGTACTGCAGACCACAGAACCAGCGCACACAATGACCCTGACCATACCTCAGTATCAACCAAAAGCCTGGGTGAATAAGTAGTGACTTCAGTTAGTGACAAAATAAGGGTGATTGATGCACCTGTAGAGGGAAGGAATTCAATAAACAGACGTCGCAGCATTATCGCTATAAATGTTGGCATTGACTGAAGTAGATTCAAGCTCAAAATGTTAGTAAAGACCAGAGGTCTGCTCGCAAATGTCCATTAACAAGTTCATGTGCTGGCAAAGCCACAAGCTGGTGGCAATGCGCATGAGGTAGTCTTAAAGTAATGTGTATATCTGAGAACCAGCAAAGAGCAAGAAGAAATGTTTTCATGTTGCTGATATGTACCCTTTATTAGTTACCTCTGTCCATTTCTTTCAGCACATGGTAGTCATTTCATTAGTATTGAAAACCCTCTGCTTTGATACCTGCTCAGTGTCATATATCGTCTCTTTACCAAACAAACTTGATTTATTCTTGTAGAATCGCACCTTAAATAAAAGTCCATGCCATGTTTTAAACACTGTGATATTTCAAAGCGTGTCTCTTGTACTCGTTTTGTATTGTACACTGGAGGGATAGTTAAAATAGGGTTGTTGTTTTTTAGCTTTTAAAAGCAGTGATCAGAATATTGGCTTAGCAATGAGAGAAGAACTCCATGTATCCATGCTATTTATAGTTAACCTATGTGATATTTTGCCTTAATTCAAATAAAGTATAACTGTATTGTGGCTATTTTGTATTTATTGGAACAACGGGCCAGTACAGATACAATGCTAAACTGTGGTTTGGGAGAGGGATGGGGGCACCTCTCTCCCTCCAGATGTTGTTGGACTCAAACTCTCATCAGCTCCAGCCAGCAAGGTCAGAGAAGAGGGATGGTGAGATTTGTATAACACCAGCTGCTCCAGGGAATGAATTTTTAGACACTTTGGAAGCCACAGTGACCTGTCTACAAGCCACTTTGTGGATAAAGTAATCCACCAACAGTGTGAGGCAGGCAGAAATGCTGTCAGCAGGGTGTCATGCAGTGAAATTTTTCGTAGGAGAACAGTTGGGACCAGAGGCACCAGCTTGCGAAGGTGATGTGGAGTGGTGGGGTGATGTCCTATGTGTGAGCATTGCACCTCCCTCCCTAAGCTGGGCAGAAGCTTCCCAGGCTTTGGGAAGGGAGCACCAGGCCTTAATGCTTTAATACTCTTAATTTACCAGGAACATTTAAGGGACTAGCCTACCTATTTCCCCCTAGTCCACTGACCATATGCCACTGGTGACAATAGGGCATGCACACCTGTGCAGCTTACAGTTTCATACACTTCAAACAATTCTCAGAGTGGAAGGAAATGGATTTCCAGTGACACTGATGGGTGATGATATCCAGACATCCCTTGTGCAATGGACTCCTGCTTGCACAAATGGGTCTTCTGCTTCTCCCAGAACCTGCTGTACCCCCTAAAATCTCTTCCAGGGGGTTGGGACTCCTCCAGAGCAGATTGAGAGCTTGGGGAGCTTGCAGGGGGAGGTGAAGTAGGAGAGTCCTGCTGTTTCCACTCTGGCACAATGTTGAATCTCACCCAAGGTAGGTGCTTGTGGAATGTCAACTACATTTCTCTTTTTCTTTACAAAAAATGTTTTTAAAAATCAGCTGTTCTATACCTAAAAAACAAAACCTGTCTTTTGTGGTTTGAGGGTTTGCTTTTCTTTTGTAAGTCTGTATGTGTGGTTGAACTATTTGTTCTGGCGTGGGAGGTGATTATACATAGGGCTCCTGATTGGTGTCATTTCTTTGTACTGTATTAAAAAGTCGAAACTAAACAATTACCTTTGGCTTACCTTTGTACTGCAGCTTGAGCTATCAGGCCACTATAAGAAGGTAATTCCTTGGCACAGTAAGCTCCACCCAAACGCTGGTCATAAAGTTCAAATACAAGCTGTGAGGAAAGTGGTAGTTGTTCAAATATGTAAATAGGACCAGGGAGTCAGAAACCTGTAATGCAGAACAAGGAAACAGTGGAGAGTCATGTCCACTAAAAGCACCTTGTTGGAATGTTTAGTAAACAATTCCAAACCTTAGCATTTATTAGGGATTAAGTCCTATTGAACTCAGAGGGACTTACCTTTGTGCTCTGTAATAGACCGCATATTTAAGATATGGACACAGGAGCCTTGTGGAGTCAGACCAATGAACCATTTAGTTCAGCCCCCTGTTCTCAAGAGTGGCCTACTTTTATCTTGCCTTTCCTCAAATTGGCAGTATGCATGGACCTCACCCCACCCATTTTATCCCCACGGCAACCATATGGGGCCAAGCCTGAGAGACTATCCAGTTTGCCTCATGCCTGGGCAGATACCTGAACCTGAATCCTCTCCTGGTAAGTGGTGTTGCCAGCTTCTTTTCTGGCGAGGCTCATCTGGCATTTAAAAAATACACCAGGTGGAGTCTCTTATCTCTGGGAAAATACAGGCAATGGCCACCCATTGAATTTCTGCCTGTCAGGCATAAGTTAAAAGCATATTTAACATGTCTCTGGTTTGGTGGGAGGATGGCGATCCTAGTAGCAAACACACCAGCCAACTCCTAAGGGGCCAAATCCCCAATAAAATATTTCAGGGGGCTGCCACCAGCAAGGTCAATGGGCATTGCCATTTGAATGCTGAGCATGTGTGGTGACTTGTGATTGATTATGTGTGGCAGGGCTTACCTGCCCCCTCCCCCAACATTTTACTCAAATTTGTCCTGCTGGTGGTACAGACTAGGATGGGCTACCCCTGAGCTTAACCTGAGCCAGGCCCAGGCCTTGGAATCTAAGAAGACAGGTGAACAAGAGCGCCCCTGCGCATGTACAGAGCGGCCTTCTCGACTGGGGAGGGAGCCGCAAGCAAGCAGCCAGCCCCCAAGGGTCTAGGAGACAACGGCAGCTTTCGCAACTCCAGGCCCGGCGCTTCGGGTTCTTTCGTGGATCCTCCTCCGCCATCCCCTCGAGCGGCGCCGAAGACCACGAGCCTCGTCCAATTGGGCGGCCGGCGCCGCAGCAGCAGCTCGCCCAGGCCTGCCCCCTAGCGGGCGCTTGGCGAAGGCGCGGCTCGGGCGTCTCCCGCCGCTGGCAGCTTGGCTCCTCGCTGGGCTCCGGGAGATGGGCAGCTGGCGGCCTCGGCTGCGGAGCTCCGCGCGTGGCCAGCCCTGCCCTGCTGCTGCCCGCTGACTGAGCCGCTGCCCGGCTGGCTTCCCCGCCGGCGGCGATGAAATTCCCGGGCTCGGTGCTGGTGTCGCTCTTCCTCTTCGTGGCCGAGACGGCGCTGGCGCTGTACCTGAGCAGCACCTACCGCTCGGCGGGCGACCGCATCTGGCAGTCGCTGACGCTGCTCTTCGCGCTGCTGCCCTGCGTGCTCGTCCAGTTCAGCCTCGTCTTCATCCACCGAGACCTCAGCAAGGACAGGCCGCTCGTGCTGCTCCTGCACATCCTGCAGCTGGGACCCATCGTCAGGTAGGTGGGGGGGGCGGGGGCCCCGATCCCCGCAGGTGCTCCTGCAGGAGAAGGACCGCCCAAGCGGGGAGGGCTGGCCGGGGGCGGAAAGGGGGTCAGGGGAGGGGGTGGCCGCCCAGTTGCGCTGGAAGAGCAACGCCCCACAATGGCTGTCAGACATCTCAGAATGCTGGACACGCACTCGAGTGTCTGAATTGGGGACCAGTTCCAGCCTTATTGTTAATTTTAAAAAAGCTGATCGCTTCAATGGTGGATTCTATGCCGAGAGATCTGGATAGGGAATTGTGACCATTAAAATAGCGCAAGGGCTCTCTGTTGGGTCAGATGTGCAAGATAATGGACCGTTTTGTTTATAGTGAAATAAAGGTGTTGGGGTTTTGTGTGTGTTAAGCTGTTTGCTGCATCCATCAGGACGTGGTCTCCTTTTATATGCTTGGAAATCTCCCTCCCTCCCCATGCATGTTAATGGATCTGTACTGTGTGCGGTTAAGGGTCTGTGATGCTTCCTATCTGCACAGCTGCCTGCTCCGGTTTTGCCTGTGAGCAATAACTGGCAGAGAAGCATGCCTGCGTTTGGTCACAGGCACGCCCATCTGTAGAGTGTGCTTCTGGAAAGCTGTATTGGAATAAGGGAGGCAGTGGTGAGAGAGCTGGACTTGAGAATATAACAGGTTCACACATCTTGAGTAGTCTCTACCTTTTGGGTTGAGTGAAAATATTTCAGCTTGTGAGTAAGACTAAATAAAGAGGAAGGAGGCTGAGTTTCTTGTGGACCACACACAGTTGCTCTTTGAAAATTGAAGCAGAAGAAGCTGTCAAACCTATTTTTATCTACTAAAAATATTTATAACCTCCTCTTCAGGCACCTTGTTTTTTGTTAACATAATAATAACGTAATAATGCCAAAATCAAACTGCTTTGATTTTATTATTATTTTTTAAAATATCCACCCACACACGTCATCATCCTGGAAGCAATTTGCCATTTTCAAGTCTCTCTCTCTCTCTCTCTCTTTCACCACCCAGAGGTAAATTGTGTTGCTTCAGCATGTATTGTTTCAGCAAGTATTTTCCTAACAAATTATTCTATCGGTTTCCTTTCTGTTTCTGTTGTTTTTAATTTCAGGGAGGTAACTGTGATGGTCGGTTGCAGCAAAAAAAGAGAGAAAAGCTCATGGCGTAATAAAAATGTCTTAGTCTTTAAGGTGCCTTAAGACTTAAACTTTTGTTACCCTTTATTGCTTTTGTTACCCTTTATTGCTCTCTGAATATATCATATCTCAACTTTGACGACATTGTAAGCCACCCAGAATGGAATTTTTTGCCTAGAAAGGCAGGTTATGCACTTTAACAGAAATAAATAAATTTGATAAATCATTAACTATTGGGCAGTTATCCCTTCAAGCAAAGAAGCATGAGCAGTATTAAGTTTCTTATCAGTTTGTTCCTGAAGCCAAATTGTACATGCAAATCAAACACCAAATTGGGGGTAAAGCAGAGGGAGGGATAACATAGCAATGTTTTACAGGGCCTAATACTGTTATCCAAAACTTTTCTAATATTATTGGATGTATGCCATCACCTGCCAGCAATCCCCTCCTTGCTTTCTAAATAAAAGGTGGGGTATAAATGCAATGTTAATTAATAAATATTAAGCTCTGGAAAAACATTTCAGTCTTCCAAGGTATTCTGCTGTTGACCTAAAAGTTACCATGTTTCAATAAAGTAACTTCAGAGAGTAAGTCCATATACACAGCTGCACATAAGGAGCCTGAACCGGAAGCATTTAGTAGTCCTGCATCAGAGCAATCATTCCATGGTTTCTCAACTGGCCATGGTGATTGTAGGAACTCTTGACATAGGGAAAGCCAGTTAAGTGAATTAGCCATCAAGTTTACACATCTTATTTATACACTATTATACTATGTGTTTCTGATGCACAATAATAATGATTGAAATGTTATTATACAACAATAATACATATTAACTTCCTAAGCAGGCTGCAGAATGTCATTCCTTAAATGTTCTCAAGAACAATTTGGGCAGGGACCTGTCAAGAATGTGTTCTCCATAGGATTATGTGATTATGTGGAGTTGTGTAGAGCTTAGTGCAACACAAATATTCCATCAGCAAAAGGATCTCTACCTGTGTAATGGAATGCTCTTCCCCTCTTCTCCCTTTGCAAGTGGACATCCTTGTGCTTGCTGGTGAGGCATGGTGGTTGAGTTCCACCCATGATTTTCAAATCTCTAGAATGGGCAAAAGGGGTGTTTCTCATGCCCACCTTAACTTCTTTCTAATCGGACATCCTACTTAAAAGCAATTGTGAACTTCAGAAAAGTTATGTTAAAGCAACATCTACTCTTGTCCATTTCGCCCCACAGGTGCGTGGAGGTTTTCTATATTTACTTTCATGCAGGCAGAATAGAGGAGCCTTATGTCAGCATCACCAAGAAGAGGCAGATGCCAAAAGATGGACATTCGGAAGAAGTTGAGAAGGAAGTGGGCCAAGCTGAGGGCAAGCTGTTTACACACAGATCTGCATTTAGTCGGGCATCGGTGATCCAAGCTTTCCTAGGCTCTGCACCGCAGCTGACGCTTCAGCTGTACATATGTGTCCTCCAGCAGGAGATGACGGCAGCCAGAAGTATGTATAATTGGTACATTTTTCAGTATTCCATTTTGGTGAGTGTTTAGAGATAGGGATTATGGGTAAGTAATAGCTATATCCTCTCACTTAATGTGCTATTTAGGAAACCAGATGCAGGTGGAAATGGTTAATGACCTACTTTATGGTTGTTTTGGCACCAGGTGAAGAGTTATTAAAATTCTCCCACCCCTTTTGAAAACCTGTGCTTTTAGCGTTCTGAATCTCTGTGTATGTGCTGTAAATATATATTTATTTGCTTTTACTCTACTCCTTGTTGGAAATGTGTGCACCAGAAATCTTTAGGATGCAATTTGTTATTTAATGTAGGCTATTACGTTTTTGATTGTACTACTGTCATTTTTGTGCTGAAAGCCAACCAGAGAAAAATGTTATTGAGTAGCTTTACATAAATATAGCAAATAAATTAAGCAGACTGTTTCTCTACTAAGAGTTACAGACTAGGTTATAAGAAGCGGAAAGCCCTTCTACGAATTATAGCAGGGAGAAGAGAACTCCCAACTTCTGTCAGCCCCAGCCAGCATGGGCAAAGGTCAGAGATGAGGGAACTGTGGTCCAGCAACACCCGGAGATAACAGGTTCCCCATCCCTAGGGATGCATCCCCCCCAGTGCTTAATTCATAAAAGTAGAAACAATGAGACCAAGACTCCCCACTCTGTAATATCTCATCCCTAATCTTAGCTGCTTGGAGCATACTAACAGGACATCTTAGAAGAAGAAGAGGAAGAGTTTGGCTTTGATATCCCGCTTTATCACTACCCAAAGGAGTCTCAAAGTGGCTAACATTCCCTTCCTCCCCCACAACAAACACTCTGTGAGGTGAGTGGGGGTGAGAGACTTCAGAGAAGTGTGACTAACCCAAGGTCACCCAGCAGCTACATGTGGAGGAGCGAGGAATCAAACCCGGTTCACCAGATTATGAGTCCACCGCTCTTAACCACTACACCACACTTAGCGCAGGGGTAGGCAAGGTTTACCTCACCTGGGCCAGTTCACTCCAGAGGAGATCTCTCCGTGGGCCGGACTGCACACACACCCATGATTTCCGGCATCTGCGTCCGTGCAGATACAATTTTCAGTGTCATGGAAGTGAGTCCCCGTGCTGGGGGGGGGACACTTGCTGAGCGGGTGGCTCGGTTTGGGGGTGGCTCATGGGCCGTTTAAATGACCCCCGTGGGCTGCTTGTGGCCCATGGGCCTTAGGTTGCCAACCCCTGTCTTAGCCTTTTTCAAACGTTAACAAACTTCTATGGACACAGACAGCTGGCTACTTGATTTTTAAAACTATGTTTAAAATATTTGCTTGCAGTGATGCTTGGGGAGGAGTCACTAAGAATGCTGATGTTGCAAACAAGCAAAGAGCGTAATTTTGTCTCGCATCAGAAATACATATAATATAGTAAACTGTTCCAGATCTACATTGGTGAATCTGGATATAGAGACAACTTCTTGTGACACATTCTATGTGAAAATTAATTCAAAGGAGCAGCTTGAAGACACCCAGAGTTACAAGAGTATATGTATAGGAAATCCTATTAGAGGTCTGAAATTAACTTTAGCACTTTCAGACTCATGTCCAGAGATTAATTGCTTTAAAGTTAAACAAGTATCAGGAGTACATTGAAATAGCAGTGAATGTGGCCCTGAAAGATTAATAAACCAAAAATCCTGATGACCGCAGACAAGTGGATGGTTGCTAAGTATTAAATTAAAATAAATGGAGCAGTTGTGGTGAGCTAGTCACTTGACTGATCTTGCATTCCCCCCCCCTCCCCCGGGCAGTGTAAGTAGATTTAGATAAAGCACATAAAGTTGATGTGCAGGTGACTCATGCCCTATTGTAATAGCCAATCGTGTACATCTGTTCTGTGTCAGCCTTTGGTCCATCTAACTCAGCATTGCCCACGCTGTCTGGCAGCAGGGTTTCAGACAGGCAGTCTTTCCCAAGCCTACCCAAAGATGCCAGGGATTGAAGAACCTGGGACCTTCTACATGCGACAGCCGTTTCCTCGAGATGCATAAATTCTCATACATACATTTGGAACCTGCATATCTTGCAGTGCAAGTATCCTCTTCATCGGCAATGTAAAAAATCAGAAACCAAGAGTGTGGATCACTCACATACCCACTTCTTTGGAACTTCCAGTTATTGTGCAAAATGGATTTGGGCTGCCGCATAATGTGTAAATTGGCATTTTCATTCTCCGCAGGGCAACCAATTGAGCATCTAGCAAACACTTTCCTTTCAGAAACTAAGATGAAATGACTAGATACAATTTCTTTTTTTCCATTGAAAATTGCTGAGGGTTCTAGGCCTGAAGTTCCCCATACCTGCATTGCATAAAATGAGACAACTGCGGTACCTCAGAGAGCAGGCACTGGGGGGGGGCACATAATTTGCATCCCCAGCTACTGTTTTCTTTCTTCACTGGCCCACCTACCCAGATTGTATGTAGCTCTGCAGAGACATGCCCTGCCTTCCTTCTCCCCACTGCAACCTCCCCTCCCCTCCATTTACTCCTTTCCTCCCTCCTGAGTGGTTATGGTCAGAAAACGTATGATATGGGAAGCTAGCTGTAGGTAAGCAGTTTGGGGTCTCTGGATGGGAAATCACCCAGGAACCAATGTAAGCCATCTTGAGTTCTGTCATGGAGGTGAGGTGGGCTAGAAATGCAATGTGATCCAGTTGAGACTTTGGTCTTGCTACAAAACAGTGAAATGCTCTAGGATGCTGGCATTATTTTATTATTTATTTTTATCTATTAGATTTATGTACCACCCTTCAAGGTGGTTCACAAGATAAAAATGCAAGATAAAAGCACAAATAATTAGTCAAAACAGAAACAAAATAATAGAAAAAGATTGCTGAGTCCTGAGTTCCCTCTGTGACCCCGTGAGACCCTGTTTTTATTTGTTTAAATCTACGGAATTCCTGTTTTAATATGATTTTATACTACTGTTTTATGTTTGTTTTAATCATACTGTTTATTGTATATATATAGAGAGAGAGAGAGGGAAGTTAAATCTTGCCACCCTCCTAAATCTCTCATCACACACACACAAATTATTTTTTAAGGTTATGAATTTAAGGTCCTAAATTCAGAAGGGCTTCAGAATTGCGCCTCTTCTGATAATTTGGCTCTTCTGCTATACTCATAATTTATTTCATTTGTTCCGTTTAGTTTTGAGTGTGTGGTCAGTTGCCAGTCTTTAGCAAGTATGGAGCAAAGTGTGAAATTTTCACTGACACAGTCGAAAGAAGGTAACTCAGCAGGACGTGCAGAAATTCAGGATTCCTTTGTGCAAGTCAGTCAGGTTGACCGGCCTCCGTGGTGGAGAGGCTGTCACAGGGCTGCAGCAACGGGACAAGGGCGGGAACCTGCACCTGCCAAGACTCCCTCAACGGAAGAGCCACTGAGGGCACGGGAACCCTCCCTTCTGTGGCCCTTGCCAGAGCGGCAGGCTGAGGAGAAAGCAGCATCTCCTCTTTCTCTCCCAGCCACTGGTAGAGGATTTGCTGGAAAGAGGCTGAGGAATGGGGTGCTGTAAGCCCCCGCTTCCTGTCTGAGCCTTGGCTAGGGGTGTGAGGCGGACAGAAGGAGTGATTTGCCTATTCCTGCAGCTTTGGTGGCAGGTGGAGGGGCCAAGTTTCACTCCCCTCCCGTACCTTAAAAAGGAGGCATGTTTGGTTTCGTTATTGTAATGCGTCATTATGATGGTATAGTTTGCTTCTTGAGGATTTGCAACTCGCCATACAATTCCACTTCCAGGTGTGGCCCTCAGGCTGTTCTAGTGCGTCTCCGATCACCCTGACTGCAAAGCCTTGGCACAGTCCCTGACGCCGCCCCAACCAAGTGACAGCCCTGTGCTGCTGCCTTGCTTGGTTGCTCCTTTGATGTATGGTTTGAGTAATAATGGGAGTTGTAATCTGAAATAATCTCCACCTGACATAGCTATGGGAAGGTAACAAAGCAGTTTCTGGCAGGATATGGCTGAAATGAATGGTCTGGAACAAGTCCAGTATTGGTTTAAAAATACATTGAAAAACCAGTTTGAGTGGCAAAAGAAATCCAGTACTTGTATTTTTAAAAAATGACCTTCAAATGTGTGACTTTCAAAAATAACAAAAACCCAAATACCTGCAAAGCAACAATTAAAAAAACAACACAAAATCCAAGCATTAAGACTTCATCAAAATAATATCCATGTTCTTCACTCCACTGAAAGATAATTGCTGTATGTAGATATATTTGGAGCACCTGAATGACAAATGAAATACATTCTTGTAAGGTCTTGTTATTCTGTGAAAGCACTTGCACATTTTTCCCATAACAAGTCAAGGACCCATATTTTAGGAGAAAGCAAACATTATATATGAATGGCTAGACTCAACATGTTGATCTAATTTCATTCACATTGCAACAGGATAATCCAGAGAGTAGATTCAAGACTACAGTGTATGTGGAACACTATATTAGATTGTATTGAACTTGCAAAGCTTGGTAACAGATTTCATGAGTATGGGTCATCATTCAAAGCTCTACCCACACAGAGGCACCCCAAACACTGTGATGGTTAGTATTGTGTCATTCATCTCTCTCCCTGCCACCCTGTTTGCCCATTCAGTGCATAGCACCTCAAAGAGGTAATTAAGATGTGGAGAACCAGAGGATGTGGCAGAGACACCCCTCTTGATTGCAACACCCTGCCTGAATTTAAAATAAAACCCTAAGGGAATTGGGCATCTGAGTGTTGCCCACAGTTTGAATCCCAGGAAGCCAACTGGCATGTATTACTCCAGGCTTCCTCAACCTCGGCCCTCCAGATGTTTTTGCCTACAACTCCCATGATCCCTAGCTAGCAGGACCAGTGGTCAGGGATGATGGGAATTGTAGTCTCGAAACATCTGGAGGGCCAAGGTTGAGGAAGCCTGTATTACTCATTGAAGTGTTTACATTTGTGCCTGTGGAAAGGGAACTGAATTAAGACAGTCACCCTCTGTTTGTTAAGATGAGAAGCATCCCAGAAGGTCCTGGCTCAACACCTATCTCAACTACAGAATTAGGAAGTTGCTATCTTTTCTTTTTTAGCTGTGGCCCCTCCCCCAAGTGGGCAAAACAGGAATAACACAGTATTATTGAATGAGGAATAATGAAATGCTGCTAGTTAGCACTTTGCACACTTAAAGCTCAGTGACTGAAAGCCTTGAGTTTGCTCTTGCAGCAAATTCAGTACAGCTGCTGAGACTTGAATAGCTTTGTGGTTTGTACCTGATGCTGATGAGAATGCTGGAGATTCTCTCAAGGCCCAACATGCTAAAATATTGTCCTGGAGCTGCCATGCTCACAGTGTGAACATAATAGTTCAAGGAAAGCCTTTAGCACAGGTCCAAGGAGCATGCATGCATTTGAGGGCCGCAGTTCATTTCTCAGTGTTTCTACATGGTTTAGGCACATGGACTAGGAAAAGTGTGTACCGTACTGGGATAGTGCTTAAGAAGATACTATAAGCTGCATCAGTTTAGGCCACTTGAGTCAGCCACTTCCAATGAAAGCATGTTCCTGCCATACAATGTTCTCTGGCTGCTTTCAGAAATGTTGATTGCCTTCTCTTTCCTCAGGCATCTTCATGGTCCTTTCTCTCCTGTCAATCGTCTATGGAGCACTGCGATGCAACATCCTGGCCATTAAGATTAAGTATGACGATTACGACATCAGTGTGAAGCCTGCTGCCTACCTCTGCATCTTCCTCTGGAGAAGCTTTGAGATTGCCACTAGGGTGATAGTCCTGGTCCTCTTCAGCTCTGTCCTTCAAATCTGGATCCTCCCTGTGGTGCTAGTGAATTTCTTTGCTTTTTTCTTTCACCCGTGGATTCTCTTCTGGCAAAGTAAGTGCACTTTGCCGGAAAATATAGAGAAGGCTTTGAGCAAAGTGGGCACTGCCATTGTCTTGTGCCTTCTCACTTTCCTGTATGCCGGTATTAATATGTTTTGCTGGTCAGCTGTGCAGCTGAAGTTGAATGATTCCGACTTAATTGACAAATCCCAAAACTGGTACAGGCTGGCTTTATATTACATTGTGAGGTTCCTTGAGAATGCTTTCCTCTTGCTGATGTGGTATATGTACAAGACTGATGTTTACACGTATGTATGTGCGCCTTTGCTGGTCTTACAGTTGCTGATTGGCTATTGCATAGCTGTTCTTTTTATGCTCGTCTTCTACCAGTTTTGCCACCCGTGCAAAAAACTTTTCTCCTCCAATATTTCAGAAGGACTGGCACTGTGTTTCAAGTTGTTTTGCTATGTATGCAAACCTCTTGCATCCAGCAACTCTGGGGAAAAGGCAGACTTGAAGACCCCAGACGATACTGTTGACGATGCCCAGGACAGCTGCAAGGCAAATGAATCCTATAATGGAAATGCCCACCAAAGTGTTTCGTCCAATGCCTAGAACTGCTGTCAAGGAGCCACCACTCTCAAGACATGCTTATTTTAGCCCCTGGGTCTGGAAACCTTTCTGGGAAACATCCCAATGGTGGGCGGGTCTAGAGGAAAAAGTGGGCGGAGCAGCAAATGTAAATTTTTCCTTTGTACAGAAGGCTAGTTTCTTCACATACTCCTCTCTCCTTCCTAAATCCAGGCAAGCAAGAGGCATAATCAGAGTTCAAGGGCACATTCCTGCCAAGCAAAAACATTCAAGGTGGGTGTGACTTGGGTGGGGGGTGTAGATTGGGGAGGCCTGGAGGGCCACATATTGGGGCCTCAGGTTGCCACCCCTGGTTTGGGTTTTTTAGAAAGAAGGATGCACTCTGATTATCCCTCTGACCGCCATGGCAGGAGGCACATTTAAGTCCTAGCATTGCAGTGCTGGTATGGTAGTTCAGTGTGTGAAGATAATTGGGATTTTAACTGTTGGAAACAGACAGCACCCCCTTATGGATGGGATGCTTCACTGCACCTTGACTTTAGATCAGGGATTTGTAACCTTTGTCCGGGTGGACCTCTGCAAGCCATGAAACAAAAGGCAAGGCAATGACAAAGTGGCTGACTCAAGGAACTTCTTATTTCATGCAAGGACCGAAATCGATCAGTGAAAAGGAGCGTTCAAAACCTCACAGGTTAACAATGTGCTTTAAAGCTTTATACAAACTGGGCTCCTTCACCTGCCACTGAGTGCCGAATTTTTCTGGGTTACGTATGACATGATCTCATCCTGACTGCGTGCATTGGAACTGGGAGCTTCTGAATCCATAATGGAAAGTGATAAAATAACTTGCTGTTGATTCAGGCCTTGGCCCCATCCTGTCAATTTTTCCTTCAAAGTGCCACAAGTGTTGATTCTCTCCAAACAGCTTAAACACTTGGTTTTTAGGTTTGCTTCTGTTGTTGGATTCTGATTGTCTTGGTCAATTACATTTCTGCTTTGTATGATGCTAAGAAAGCTTTGGTGAATGTAGCAGTAGTTAAGGAAGCATTTAGTCAATGAAAATTTTAGCAATGTCTTGCAGTTGATATCCACTCTTTTACATGAATATTTCCAAATGTTTCCATTAAGTCAAACCTACTGATATTACTGAAAATGGGGGGGGGGGCTATTCACTAGAATTATTACATTAAAGTGATTAGGTCTCCAAAACAGTGGCCAGGTTGGCAGAGTGGATTTCGACGTTGAGCATGGGAGGACCTGATCCAAAAGCCAGTGAGCTGCAAAAACCATTGGACGGGTTTTGAACAAATAATTATATTTGACTGTTTACTGGGTTTGCATCTTGCCTTTCTTCTAAATTTCTCAAAGTGATGATTTGCGGGCTGGTCCTATGCATGTTTACTTGGAAGTAAGTCTTACTTTGTTCAATGAGGCTTATTCCCAGGAAAGTGTACTCCCAAGAGAGAACTGAAGTCTTAACCTCCCAATAATTTTGACTGGTCAATAGTATCTTTTCCAAGGCCACATCAGTGCTGGCCAGAATCAGTCCGACTCCCAAGATCAACACTCTACTTACCCCACAAGGTTACTGTGAGGATAAATGAAGTAAGAATTGTAAAGCAACTTAATACACCGAACCAGTTCTATAGAAATGTTTAAATAATATTTAAAATGACCTTTGCCACCGCAGTGCCGACAATAGTTGGCACCATGGTAGCTGAAATCCATGGTGCAATTAGCTGGTGCAACGTGGAGTCATCGTTTCTTGCTTCTGGTTTTTATTGAAACACACATAAAAAAGTGCTGGCTTTTGCCCAGTTCTACAACCGAGCAGTATATAAATTTTATAAAATGAATTAAGTGTGTTTGAACAGTGCAGCCATGTAACAGCAGGATCAGGGGGCAAGTTTTAGCGTGAATTAGCATGACAAATGTGTATCTTTATCTTTTTATACAAAATATAATACGGTCACCTTATCTGTGCACATGTAGCAAACTCCCCCTCCTTGATATTCTTATTTTTAAAAAAGAAAAAGAAATAACACCTGGTGGTTATTGTTTTATATCTGGAAAGCTGATTTGTTCCCAGAATAAAATAATTAGTCTCTAAAGAGAAAATGCTGTATGGGTGTTTGTAATTTACCTTCTTTGAGTTTTGAGTTGGGAGGGGAGGGCAGCGCATCACTTGGAACGCAGAATGTTATAGTCAGTAGGAGAAGTTAGTTGAGCTGTTGGTGATTTTATTTATTATTTTCACTTCCTTATTTTATTTATTTATACAAGTATTCCTATACTGGCCTTATAGCCTGCCCGTTGTAAATTATCCTAGAGTGGGTTACAAAAATGTCACAATTAAAACAAGCGCAAAGCCAGAAAACCAGTAAACTAACCAATATCAAAACAGCAGCACAGAACAGCAATGCAGTAGGGAATATATCCACTAAACCCAAAGGCCTGAGTAATGGGATGTGCCTTGACCAATAGTTGAAAGGCATACAATGATGGCACAAGATACACCCTGGAGAGCATGTATTCTTCTACTTGGGGGACCATCACAAAGAAGGCTGTCTCATGCTCTGCTGCCCAGTCAGTCACAGAGGGTGGCGGCACTACCAGCTATCCCCTCTGGTTCTCCCTAGGCAGGGTGATGGAGGAGGAGGTGCTCCTTCAGATATTTGGGCCCCCCCCCAAGTTGTTTAGGGCTTTATACAGCAGTATTCAGACCTTGGTAGCAAATTGGCAATGAATTTTGTCAGTTGGAGAAGGAGAAAGGAACAAGGATTGGCTGGGAAGCAATGGGTTTAGAGATTTCTAGTGCTTATCACATTCGTCTTAGATCTCATTTTACTATGGATTTGTTTTAGCACTAATCTGAAGCATACTTTAAGCACCATATGACTGTGGCACAGTTAATTCAATTTTATTATATTTTTGGCCAAGAAATTAATTTATCAAACATAACACCTGAGAACGCATCTCTGAGAATATTTAACCGTGCTAGAAGGCTTAAATAATCTTTATGCCTCTGTGCTGCTATTTAAGTGAATATCTGATAGTTAAAATCGAAGGGAAAGTAAAAGAGATAAATTTGTAAGAATTCTGGCTAGCACATATTTTACCTTCACATTAGAAACCAAGAGCATTTGTAAGCAAGAGTATCATACACACAAGTTATGTACCTCAATTTCAGTTAGGTCTGCTTCATAAATGGGGATTTTCCTATGCTTGGATCATCTTAAGTAGAAAAACTGTTGCATATGAAATGCTCAAGTCTCTCAAATAGGAGGTACTGAGGGTCAAACAGGTGAGTCATACATGTCAAGATGTGTTTGGCCAATGTGCTTTGTGTTTTCCCTGTTGCACTGGTCAGATTTTTTTTACTGGTTCAATCTGACACCAAGATTTGAACATAATACCAAACCATAAGTTGGTTCTATGAGGTCAAGCCTGGATGAAGTCTCAGACTTGTGTGCTCCGTCCTTCCCTCCCCTACTGATTAACTGGTTACTAACTGGTTTTCAGCAATCCATCATTTGGCATCATATTCATGCCAGCATACTGTGGTTTGTACTTGCCCATTAAAACGTATCACAGGCCTCCTCTTAGGATTCAAGAATCATATAAATAAATAGAAATTCCAAGTTATAAAGCACAAGAGTTAAAAATCAGTGCTTTATTCAGGGAGTGACATTATCATGAAGAGTGATGGTAAATATTAAGCCTGACTTCTCCATATAGCTTTTCATAATGTTAACACTACAAAAACAAAAATCCAAAGGTTATGTGTTACATCTGTGCCTCTCATACCTCAATCTCCTAGGCTGACAGAAACAAATTGAATTTAAGGCGCTAAAGGCCAACGAGAAACACACTCCTCAGTAATCAAAATGCAGTTTCAAGCTTCCAGATGACTATAATGAAGATTAATGGAAGAATAATTGCTTTACAGGAGTTCAAATTTAGGCACTGCACCATCTTAATGGGGTTTTTTTTGGGGGGGGGGTTAGTGTCTTTACAGCAACATCACAAGAACAGGTATAATAATCTCCAGTGCACAGAACTCCAACTAAATGTGACATTTAGTTATACAAACAACAGAACCTTGTAAAGCAAAGTCCAAGGTAACTTTAAACAAATAAGGTTTCCCTGCCGATGGACTGTTGCTGTCACATGGCAACTGTGAGTTCTGCTCTGAGCCTGGAAACAAAAAATATACTATATGCTTTATTCAAAATGTTTAAAATCTGCTTTCCCCCATAAGTCCCAGTGTTAGAGCTCATAAAGCTGCCATCAGGATCTCCTGAATGTTGTTCTGTCTCCTTAATCGGTTCATTTGCCCCCCACCCCCACCCCCGCTAACTTGAGCTCTCAGGTATGCTTCAGCGAGTATCGTTTCCTTTCTGCATATTTCAGCATGGTGGGCACTATTGTCTTCATTTGTGCAAACTGAAGTCCAGACCCAATTCTGACACACAATCTTGCATACCTCCCAAGTATGATCCGTAGAATCTGGCTGCCAGACTTGTCCTTGATCCTCCAGATATTCCAATATGTTTGGTTGGCATTTGTGCCTTTAATAAGTGGGGGAAAGCAATCTCCGTTCCATGTTTAAAATGTGTGCAGCCCCTGTCCCTATCTTGCTGTTCACCAATGGCACTCTTTCTTCATGCCTGGCGTGGAAACACATTACAATCTCCTCCTGCAATTTGTAGGTCCTGTTTCCTTTTCTTTTGTGTTCCTCCCCACCCCCTCCCCGCTCTAGCCATTTGGTTTCTTATAAATCATTTATGGGAACTCAGCCAGGTTAAAGATTGAGGGCTCACTGCTTTCTTCCTGTGTGTCTTATTGAGGTAGTAGGGCGTGCTTGAAATTCTAAAAGCAGACAAAAAGGGGACACATTGTATATGAATTAGTAGGGAGAGCAGGAGAGAGGGGAAATGGTAAGACATTACACATCAGCAGCGTTGTAAATTTCAGTGCTGGGTTTGCTTAAACTCATGCAGCCTATTGCCAAAGCCTCACCAATTGTCAAACTGTTCTTCTTGACTGCTTCTGATCATGTACTTTATTTATGCATGATCTACCTTAAAACTCTACTTCTTTTCTAGGTCAGGCTGTATTCAACTTTTTTTTACTAAATGCAAACACAAATACATGGCACACATTTTACCTCTGAAATGTGTATTTTCTTCAGTATTCTCCTTTAATATAAGCTGGATTCAAGGAGGTGTGATAGTGAAGACTGACCTCTCTGTGTGGACTAGGGGTGAGTAAATTTGTCAATTTCAGTTTTTCTTAGTTTCTCATTTTCCCACTCTGGAGTTCAGTTCTCTGCATTTTCGCATCAGTTTTTTATATAAATTTGTAGCGACCTCATGAAAATTCGTGAGTTTTACTGTGACTTTCTTCTAATATACACATTTCTGCTCAATATGTGCATCTTTGCAAAGCAGTTTTCCCAAATGGAATGCACTGTTTTGTGCTGTTTTAATATCTGCATTTTTGCACACATTACTTGGCCAGAGAACTGCATTGCAAAATTCAGGAAAGTGCAAATATTCTTTTGGAATATTATGTAGATTTGCCTTCGAATGCAAACTGAATCCTATTTCTCCTTATCCCTAGTGTAGACAGAGGGTAGGAGGAGCTGGAGTCAAGTCTGAAATGATTGTCTGTGGATACAGGAAAACTCTGGTTTTACATAACCAGAAAGAAAAGGCGGGGAAATTCTAAATGAACTAAAATCTTGGCAATACCCCTCTGAGAGGCATTTTCATGTGATCAAAGTGTTGCAAAATCAATGTGAATTTTCCATTTTTTACACAAAACTTTCAATCACCACATCTCATTTGTTAGATGGGGGAACTTTCTGATGAATAGGTTTATGACTGTTACACATGATATGCTGTTCTCTGTACTATGAGGGAGTGGCTGCCATTCAGACAGAGCTGGAAAGAGGTGGGAAGAAGAAATAAGCGCATTCTTTGACATACATCAAACTTGATCATTGCATTCCAATGAAGAGTCAGTGTGGTGTAGTGGTTAGAGTGTTGGACTAGGACCTGGGAGACGAGAGTTTAAAACCCAATTCAGTCATGAAGCTTGCTGGGTGGCCTTGGGCCAGTCTAACCTATCTCACTGGGTTGTTGTAGGATAAAACAAGAAGTAGGAGAACCATGTAGACCACCTCAATCTCCCTGGGATGGAAATGCAGTAAATTAAAAATATATTTATTTGAAGCAAATTCCATTGATTTTACTAGAACTAACTTCTGAACAGTAGCACACAGCCTGTTTATTTCAGAAGCACTCTTTTGACAACCAATCTAGTATAAATTAATAAATTCGTGATTTCAATTTTATTCCATACTGAAGTAGAAAACAATGTTTTGATGGGCAGGCTTTGGATTTAAGACCACAAGCTTATGGGGCTTATGCGTTGCCCCTAACAGTTGTACGGTGCCTATCAATTTTAGGTGCTCTAATAATAATGAATGTTAAATTGACACGAGAAAGCATTTCAAGCATTGTCTGAAACGAGAGTGATATTTTTAGTTGGCAGCTTAGTTTCTGCCATCTGGCTTTCTTTTTCCAGCTCTGTGGTGTGTGTCTCTGTTCTACTGTCTTCTTGTCTGAGAGAGAGAGAGAGAGAGAGAGAGAGAGAGAGAGAGCGCCATGTAGACCAGTGGAGGGCAGTGCAGAGTAGAACCATGCAGCAAAATGAGGATAGGTAGCGAATCATTTAATGAGCTGCTAGATCAGCATCTTACATTAATTTCACTGTTTTATAGTGCTGTTCCTTAACACTCCGTGGCCGGTATTCAGTTGTCTTTTTCTCATAGTAAGTAGACCCACTGGATTTAATGAGCATGTCAAAATTAGCTCTGTTCATTTCAGTGGGTCTATTCTGAGTAAAACTTAGTTGAATACTACCCTGTGTGCCTCACATGCATTATCTTTGTAATCCATACAATGCACCTATGTACTTAGGCCAATTATATAGTGTATCAAATAAACAGCATCATATTGTCAGATAATGCATCTGATGAAGCAGATTGTGGTCAGTGGGAGCTTATGCAATAATAATACATTTGTTCGCTCTTTAATGTGCTGCAAGATTCTTCACTAATAAACCCTGGGGTGGAAAGAATGAGGATAGTGGTTTGTTGGATGCAGTAAGTTTATGGCTCAGTTGAGAATTGTAACATCTCCTGCCTCATGCTGTTAACTATTATGCTTGCTCTCTTGCAGGTTTTGTTTCTGTTCCACTCTCAGGACAGAACACTGTACAAGTGTTACATGGGATCTCAAAATTGCATCTGTGTGCCAGCTTTTCTACAGGCAGACTATAATGTGCAGTAGATCTTTAGACTGCTTCTCAGGCAAAATATGCCCCCCAAAGCGGTTTCCATATTATTTGTTAACACATGCACAATACAATATAATATTAAAGCTATTTTATACACCCATTTCCTCCACAGCACTATTAAAAGACAGTGTGAGTCATACAATCATAATGATCAGCATAATTATAATATTTCAGAGCCAGACTACAATACATTCCTTCAGCCAAAGTCATAATTAGCCACTAAAGGCCATGGTTTGTTTTGTTTTGTTTTGTTGTTTTGTTTTGTTTTGTTTTGTTTTGTTTTGTTTTGTTTTTAATGTCTTTTTCAAAGCAGAAAGGGGTGGAGATCTGATATCTTGCTTACAGACACATCACAGCAGATACACTGGCAGGCACAGAGTCCCCTTACCCTGCTCCTCAGCTGATACTTCCAGATCAGCAGAGGAATTAGGCATTGCATTTTCCTCTCCGTCACAGCACTGATTTGGCTGGGGCAGTTGTGTGGTTGCGGGGGGTGGGTGTGAGTGGGATGGGATGTCTCGGAGGCCCAGACCTGGCACCTAGGGCAATTCAGCCTTCACAACTGCTGATCCATTTATATGGATGTGTGTATTGCAGGAGGCTACTTCAAATTCCTGGGAAGTAGACACTAAGAAAAATTCCTTTGTGCATAAATGAAGGTGCAACAAAAGTAGAATTCAGAAGATTAAGTTATCTTGTCTCTCTCCATTGTTCTGAAGCTCAGGGTGGAGGGAGACAGGGAATTAAGCAGTGAACCTGCCTGATATAACAAATTATCAGGTGACAGCAGTTCCCCGTGTTGCACCATTTATGTTACTGTACTCAAAAGTTTATATCAAAATCTGCTTGGGGCTGGCGCAGGGGTTGGATGGTGTTGGATGGTGTCCATAAGGCTGCAGATGGAGGGTGGAGTTGGTGGAAATCCTCTCCCCTGCCCCACACCAAATGAGCAACACAATCCAAGCCATTGACCATAGGAGGAAGCAAGCGCATTCATTCCTACAATTCATTTCATTCAACAATTCCTTTCATTCATTTTACTAATGTGAAAAGAAACATGTATGATGTATAAGTGATTAGCTAACTGCATGCAAACCGAAACAGGGAAATAGGCTGTGGCAAGCCTGTAAGCTTTCACTTCCTGTGGGGGGAAAGTCCCCAAAACTCACATACCTCAGAACGATCTGTTCAGTGTCTCTCAAGCAGCGATCAGAATGGGCAACTGGATAGAAAATGAGGGACTTTCCATATTTGTCATTGTAAGTACAATAATAATTTTTAATAAGACTATTTTTCTTTCTTTCAGTGATTGCCATTGGTTTATTATCATGCAAACTTCTTCATCAATAAAAGGTGTTTTTTAAAATATATATAAAAAAATTAAAATAAAGGCATTGGGTTGTATCCAACTACATTCCACTCTGAAATTAATGTACCTCAGTGGATCTATTCTGTGTGTGACCAGCATTAGATACACATCCTTAATGTGATGGAAAGGAAGCATTCAGAATGAGGAGATTCATCAAAAGGCTTGCATAAGAATGTTTGGTCTGTGAAAAAACAGCAACATTGAATTGAAATGTAAGAAAATATTGTAGCTTTTTAAAATGTTTAGTCAGTTTAGCTTGATTGAAGGCAATCAATAAATAACAAAATATTCAATTGGAAGGGGCGGTAAACTATGTCGGGCATGGAAACCACAGCTTACAGAAGTCTTACAGAAGTTTTCCACCTTTCTGACGAAGTTCTTGATGCTACCTTCCAACCAAAAATCCATTAATGCGATTAATCTAGCCATGGGTAATAGAAGGGGCTCAAAGTCTCAGAAAGTAGAACTATGTATGAATTTTTAGAATCTGTGTTGTACACGGATGAGTAGCTTTAAATACAATTTTTATGTTATTGTACAGTATTTTCTTTATGCACTTGGTTTTAAATATATGTAACCTTTGTGTATGTTCTGGAACTGAACATCACTTTAATAAAAAATTTCTTACAAATTTGATAAATAAATTGGGGGGCTACACTGCACATGAAATATATACTATCCCTAATTTGCAATTTACCACCTACATTTTAAAAAATGTTATTAAATAACAATCTCATTGTTTAATATGCACAGTGATCACATGGAACTGATAATTATCAGACTGTTTGGATTAAGTTGAACAAGAATTGATGTCAAAATTCCTGAGATGTTCAAACTAGTTTTGACAAATCTTTGAAAAGTTGTGCTCGTCTCATGTTAAAAACTGGTATGATTTATGACTGGAGAAAGGGGTATTTACCAGAACATGGAAGATTTCCTCATAACCATGGGTGTTTCAGGGCTAGTTCCACATTTAACAAGACTTCTGTAAAGTTTTCTCTGGAGAAACAAATTTCTGCATCAATGGGCTTCCTAGGGTGGCAGCAGGGTGGCCTTCCATGCCAGGAAAGTTGTCACCAGCATTTAATAACACCCTTGATGTGGCGAGGCTGTGTCATTGGGCATTGTTGAAAATGCAAATGGCTACCATCACCACCACCCCGTCCCAGCTCCTAGGGCAGTTGTCAGTGCAGTTGAGATCCTAGCTGATTCCCAAGGGTATTGTGAGCATTTCCCTTTGCCAAATAATTTTAGAAAATTAATTTGATCCAGTTCTGATCATTTGTTTTGTATTTTATGTTGTTTCAATTATTTTATTGTAAGTTGCCATGATTTTTTTTTTAATGAGTGGGTAGTTATTATTATTATTATTATTATTAATAATAATAATAATAATAAAACACTCTGTTCCCTAGGAAGAACAGACTCAAAAGTGTTCCAGTTTAAGTGTTCCAGTTTAAACTCTTGATTTCTCAGCAACTGAAAATAAATTAAGATCATACATTTTTTCCCTTCAGATTGTGTGGCTGGCTATAAATATCTTCCTCTTCTGGTGGTACTACTTGGTATATGACCTTGGAAGGGAATACATCTATACAAGAGAACTTCTTGGGGTAAGTACTAGATGCATATTTACTGTAAAGGTAAAGGGTAAAGGGACCCCTGACCATTAGGTCCAGTCGCAGACGACTCTGGGGTTGCGGCGCTCATCTCGCTTTACTGGCTGAGGGAGCCAGCATACAAGTTATGTGACCAGCATGACTAAGCCGCTTCTGGCTAACCAGAGCAGTGCATGGAAACACTGTGTATTTACTGTACACTGATGTATATTTACTCTACCTCTGTCAAAAGAATGTTAATTTATGCTGCATCTCAGGCCTCCTTAACTGGGTGTAAGTAAGCCCCATTGAATTCAATAGGACCTACTGCTGGGTTAGACACAGACCCCATCTGCACTAGACATATGAAGCAGTATCATACTTTTTAAAATAGTAATGGCTACCCCACCCCAACTGTAGTTGGTTTCCAGGCAACTCTGAGAATGCATGAGAAATGTGAGGAAAAATTGATTGACATGACATCATATCACCTCCCTGTAACAAGTTGGGATAAATGACCAATAAACAGGTAATCCTAGAGCAATCGTGGTTTCAACTTGACTATTCAAAAATGCAGCAGTCTGGGATGTTCCCACCCATTCACTTTTAAGCAATCATAGAAGTTCCAGTATGGCCACTTCCCTTCCTTGCTTCCATTTCCCATTTTCTTCTCTCACTTCTTGTCAGAATCAACTACCAACTCAGCTGTGACTCTCAAAAAGATGTTTGTTATTTGGAAATGACTGTGGTGATTTGGCAAGGCCTCCAGAGATCAGTTGTAGGAACATTATGCAAAGGTTCACCTTCATGATTCTTCTAAGATCAAATTAGACGTTGTTGGTCTAGGCAACTCTTATCAGACTCAGCTAGCATGGCCTGTGGTCAAGGATTATAGGAGTTGTAGTCTCACAATATCTGGAGGGCCACAGGTTCCCCATCCTTGGTGTGGAGACTGTATTTTTCAATTTTATCATCTTCCAAAACAGTTTTTAATTAAAAACTAAACAAAGAGAAATATCACATTTAGCATATGAAAATATTTCCTGTTCAAGTGTCTGTGCCATTACAACAGGTTTAAGTTCCCCAGTGGGACAAAAATAAACCAAACAGAGAGAATAAAATTCCTTCACACGTACTCACTCATTCCAAGCTTGCAACACAAGTTTTATTTTAAACTGTGTATGTATGTATGGGGAGAGCAGGGTTGGCCCCACTGGTAAGCAGAGTGAAGTAGCTGATTTGGGGCAATATGAAAGGAAAATTAATTATTATTATTATTATTATTATTATTATTATTATTATTATTATTATTATTATTATTATTATTATTATTATTATTATTATGTATTTACTCACAGTGAGAGTAACTTTTGGAATTTTATGCCTCAAGTGCCAAAAGTAACTTGGCCTGCCTTGGGTACTGTATATCTTGACTTGGGGCCTGGGTGTCAGGAGGGACATTTCTGCCTCAGGCAGCAAAATGTATTGGACTACCTCGATGGTACATCAAAATGTACTTCAAGGTACAAATGGAGTGCAAAGAAGAGAAGGGATTTTGGGGGGTGCCTGGTAAGATCCCCCCCTTCTGCTTAAGCATGTGCTTTTAGTTATTTCCCTTCCCATCTCAAAAGGAAGGTAACCTTTTTTTTGAGGTGAATACTGTAAGGAAATGTTTCATTCTGGGCTCACTTAAAATGAATTCACCCCACCAGTTGAGGTGGCAATTTACCAGGTAATATTCTTGCCTCCATTAGAGGTATGGAATTCACCTGTGGTAGCCAGTTGACTAGACGTGTTATCTTCTGCTAAATCTGATCATGTAAATTAGCTTTCTATAAACCATTTTGCAATAGACAATCTGTCCTTCCATTTAGTCCAATTCTCGTTTTCTTCACGTTCATATATACTGGTCTGGCATCCTTAACGTTGGTGTACCTGGAACATAAAGGTTCAGATTAGTTTTCTACCTCTCTTCCAATTTATTCTTCAGATAATGCTGCTTAGTTAATTTGAATCCTGTTGTCTTACATTTTAGCCTTTCCTGGCCCTGGCTCGGGCACCTGCAGCATGCCTGAATTTCAACTGCATGCTGATCCTGCTTCCTGTCTGTCGAAATCTGCTTTCCTTCCTCAGAGGCTCCAGTGCGGTAAGATGGAGAAGTATTTTCCATTGCTAGTGATAGTAAGCAACCTACAAAATTGTGCTTGTTCAGTGCAACTTTTCTTACAATGAATGAAGTATCTGTGAACATATTCACCTGATCTGTTTCTGTGATGAAAGTATGAGAACATTCAGTGTTGATTCATATTTCTTTCTGTCCTTTTGACACAAAATGCAGGAGAGCTTTCAAAATATGTTTGTTCCCTGTCAAGAAAAACTCCAGATATTACTGCTTTTAGACAGTTGGCTTCACACACTGACAGCCAGCCAGGACAGAACGGGGGCGGGGGGGGGCCTACAATTTTGAGAAGACCTACTCTGTGTCCTCCTGGTTAGAGGCAAAGGGGAACCTTTTGGTAAAGATTATTGAAATGGGACCTACATTTCCCATCTGCCCTGGGCCTATTACGAGCTGTGCATTGCCCTGCAGCCAGCATGCACACAAAGGGAAGCTGCAATCACACTTTGCTGGCAAGTGCACCAGCATGTTAAACATTAGCAGAAGGCAAAGATGGGGTGGTGGCCCAATCCTCACCTGACTTGCAGTAGATTGCATCACTCAACCTTACTGAGAAGCAGAAAAGGAGTGGTTGGTGCAGTGCAAATCAGAGGTCAGATGAGCCCCGCTGCCCCAGTGTGCCATCCACTACTGATAATAAACTTTTGAATTCACAAGTTATGTTTTTGGATGCAAAGTTGTTTTTTTTAAAAAAAACAACACAACTTATATTCATACCTTTAAATGTTAGTCTGTGAGAATTCTCTGTCACATTATTTTGGAATGCCAAGGGTGACCTTAAAGTCAGAAATATGAAACAGGTAAGAAAAATACATTGGACTGTTTTGATTACAGTGCTTTCCAGAAGAGTGGTGTGCTTTGATGGATTCTTCTCTTTGGCAAAAGGAATTCTCTGCCTGATAATTAGGCAGCATTTGCCTGTAACTTGCACTGTAATGTAATAAGCACCCAGTATCTCATGGGAGTCCAGCCACTGTGGTTCTTATAGGAGATAGTATTCCTGCCTCATTACTCTTTATCCCCCCCCCAATTGTTTTGATTACTTTTGAGCTTGTTAAATCTATCATTAACCCAGGACTGACACACATAAATTAAGAAATCATATATAAGAAAGCAAACATGCTCAGTTCATCAACAATGATGTCTTCATTACAAAAACAAATAGTCAGATCAGCTCAGCAAGAACATGCTAGTTGTATCAGCTACTGGTAATGCAAGCTCCACTGCCCCCCATAATTGGGCTTCCTCATTCACTTAAGTGGTGATATCAGCTCTGCATACAGAGGAACACACTTAGCAAATTTAGGATCTGGCTACAAGAAATTACTGGATTGGATCAAATATGTCCATTCTTTATAAGATAGCATAGCAAAGAAAGAGATAGTCATGCACTGTGTGTGCTTTTTTTTGTTTTAAGCCTTCATTTTTCCAGCGTCATCTTGAATTCAAAAAGACACAGTATGCATTTAACTTAGCAGAGTTGCATGGAATCTGATTCTTCTTAGTTTTAGCAAAGCAGCTTCTAAATACCATCGACCAAAGCAGCCATATTACTCAATATCTGTCCAAGCTAAATCAGGGAACAAGAAACTTCCTTTACTGGCAGAACTATGGGGAAAATAGCTCTTTTTCAAATTTGGGGGATTAATTTCACTTCTACTTTCACAAGTAACTTCTAAATTTTCCAATAAGATTTTCTTTACTGAATGAGACAAAAGCAGAAATAATGGCTACATTAACATCAAATATCCACCCTCTCAGATTCTCATTTGTTGCTCAGTCCTTACAATGCATGGGTTGACAAATTGTGGCCATTCATTCAGCACCCTGTCTGTTTGTTTACTAGATTCTGATACCACCTTTCAACAAAAGGTTCTTGGTTGGTTTACAGAGAGAAATACAAAAACCATTACATGCAAAACCATAAGATACAGTTCAGACAGTAAAACAACAAGGAATCGGCTGATATATAAAATCATAGAATCATAGAGTTGGAAGGGACCCAAGGATCATCTAGTCCAACCCCCTGCAATGCAGGAATCTCAATGAAAGCATCCATGACAGATGGCCATCCAACCTCTGTTTAAAAACCTCCAAGGAAAGAGAGTCCACCACCTCTTGTGGGAGTCTGTTCCACTGCCGAAGAGCTCTTACCATCAGAAAGTTTTTTCGAATGTTTAGTCAGAATCTCCTTTCTTGTAACTTGAAGCCATTGGTTCGAGTCCTACCCTCCAGAGCAGGAGAAAACAAGCATGCTCCCTATTCCATGTGATAGCCCTTAAAATATTTGAAGATGGCTGTCATATCTCCTCTCAGTCTCCTGATATATGCAAAGTTAATGGTAGTTAAAACTGTTTTCAAAGCCTGCGAGGGTCAAAATGTATTTGCCTGGCACTGTGAAGAGAAGAGAGGTACCTAGGCAGACTCTGTAGAGAGACAGTTCTATCTTGGCTACAACTGAGATAGTTTATTCCTCAGCTGCCACCAGCCTCAGACCGGGAGGCAAGGAGCCCTGGAGGATGGTCTTTGTCCATCAGCAGGTTCATATGGGAGAAGGCACTCCTTTAATGTAAGCATGCACTTTAAAACAATTATCAGCTATGGGTGAAATATCAGATTGTTATGTTTCCCAGCACGGGATGATTCTGCGTTGTGATGAAAATCCCCATTGGAACTCTTTAGGGAAAAAATAGTATATCATCTAATTCAAGACTGAATAATAGCGTATAAATATAGGCTTTCATTGTCTTACTTCAGTATTTGATTTTACAAAGAATCTTCTTTTAATTAAGATATATGGTATGAATTGGTTACTTCACTCCCCCTGCCCCGCCAAGGTGGCAGAATAATTTATTCTGAAAAGGTGGGAATGTACTGCTTCTTCACTGTTTTTATAGTAAAATTTTGAGTCAGAGGACATGGGAACACTTGCTGGCTTCTCTGGCTTGGTGAATGCATTTTTTTCTGAACCCCCAGCTTGGAATCCAGAATAAGCAAGCATACTCTCTTGCAACAACTTCATCTCCATATTACATTGTTAACATACCAAGCTGGTTTTTAGCCACTTTGTTGTTATTATTCTAGCAAGAAATAGCTTTGTTTATCAGATTGTACGTTCACACTTCTTTCACCAATGGGATCTCTGCTGAAACTTGGTAATATGCAAATAAATGTATGTAATCAGTTAAAGGCAGGTAAACAAATGGTTTGTAGCCTTTTCCCCCCAATAAGCATCTCATCAGAATTTTCCTGGCTTAGGTTAATCTCTTCACACTTCCTCTTTTAAATCGCTAGTGCTGCTCAGTACGTGTCAGAAGACAGTTGGACAGGAACCTCACATTTCACAAGCTGGTGGCTTGGGCGATTGCACTCCATACCAGTAAGTGTTCTGAAACTGAATTAGGAAGAAGCATTGTTGGTTTTAGTGACTCCTATGAGTGTAGCATTTTGCAGGAAGGGTTCAGAAAGTGAAGGGTCAGAAGGTGAAGGAAGGTGTCAGTGGAATCGTTTCTAGAAAATATTGGGGCTGGGAAGAAAGTAAGTGTTTTCTAAATAATAAGGACATTTATTTATTAAGTGCTGCAAGTCACCAGAGCTTGATTTAAACCTTTAAAAACATAGGAATCCTGACCCTCCATAGCTATTTCCATCACATTTAGAAATACAAAATGAAGGGGGGAGGGAGAGGGTAGGGACGTAGATACAAGGCCACTAGGCCGTACTCTCACACTTACAGTTCAGCGGGTTCAGTACTTTAGCACTAAACTGATAAAATCAGTTCCCCTACCTTTGTCATGTCATATTCCCTGCACAGTAAGTGCACTTGTTGACTCTGAAAGTTCTTATTCTTACTTCCTTTCACTTCTGCCTAAGACAGACACCTGAAAATCCCACTGAATATTATTAAGTGCTGAGGTCTAATTAAAACTGTTGCTGGCAGCTGTGGGGGGCAGCAGATGTGGGGGGGGGAGGGGTAGAGCAGAAACAGTTTAAGAACCAATGGCTGTAATCACATGTCTGTTTATTCTGTTTTCATAACTTCTCCCTGTTAAATTCCACATGATGGACCATCACATGATGTAAAAGCCACTTATGGAACTATTTTGAAAGATAGTGCAAGTTTAGTGCTCATTTCTGTGCTACTTTCTTCCAGGAAAAAAAATCTTGTTTGCAAATAGTATGGAAATGGGTGCTAAACTTGCTGGAAGTGGCTTTATGGTTGTGCAAAAACTTAAATATAATGTGGAAATGCACAGTTAGGGAAACATTGTGAAAACGGAATAAACAGCCATGTGAATGCAACCTAAGAATACCAAGGTTTGTCACTTGTACTTTTTCCAAATCTATGTTTCTGACTGAGATGAGAGCAGAACTAAGGACTAAGTTAACACCAAATATTCTTATTCTGCCGAAATGGTCTTTGGGCTGTCCCTCAATCCTTACAGCACAGGGTTTAACTAATTAATCTGTTGAAGGGCCACAGTCAGCATCGCCAGCAGTCAGGGATGGAGGAATTAAATTACAAACTCATGGAGCGCATCTACTTTGTGGACAAGATAAAAGGCTGCACATTTTCTACCTGCAGTAACTGATAAGAGGAGAAAATTCTTAAAAGAGAATGCTGTGCCTTGTCAGAATTTTGAGGGTTTTTTATGCTTCCATTCATTTAAGTTTTGTATAAGTTTAATCAGATTTGCATGAATTCTTTTCATCTTCTCCCATTTTACTTAAAAAATTTCATTTAAAATAGGAGCAATCTTTCCTTTTGAAAGGGGCATGTCATAACATCTGTCAGGAAAAATAGGTATTTGACGTTTACTGTCTTGTGGTTTATTTAGATCTGATTAAACTTCTGTTGATGTCACCTTGTTTGTTTCATATTGCTATAAATTTACGTTTTGTGATTGTCTGATGGCCAGATACAAACAAATGAATCTGAATTGTAGCCCACAACATGTGGAGAGCAGCACTTTGGCTACCCCTGTACCACATTATTCTAACACCTTTTGGATATGTCTTTATGTTTTTATTTTTAAGCAATCCATACAATTGCACATTTATTTAATGTTGAACGGTTGGTGGATGCTCGCACTGAACAGCAAAGAACCCTTAAGACTGCGCTGTCTGATTTGGGGGATATTCCTGGAGACTCTTACCTGAATTTTGCACGATCTAAATTTGAGGTAAGCAATCACATTTCTAGAGAAACAATTAATTAGTGGTGGTTGCAGAGAGATAACTTTTTTTTCCTTCTGCAACTACTTCTGTTCCATTATAATGCTGTTTGCATCAAAACAGACTTGGTCACCCTGATTGATGACCATCAGGGGAATGTGACCCTGTTGGTTCTCCTTGACCTCTTAGCAGCTTTTGATACTGAGGACCATGATGTTCTTCTGGAACAACTCAAGGAATGGGAGTTGGGTGTACTTTATTACACTGGTTCTGCAGGGTTGCTACCAGAAAGTAGTACTAGGAGACCATTGATCAGCACCATGGCTTGGGGACTGTGGGGTCCCACAAGGTTTCATTCTGTCTCATCTGCTAATTACCATCTATAATATGAAATCATTGGGAGCTGTCATCCAGGCATTTTAAGCAATGTCATCAGTATTTTGGTGGCACACTGCTGTATCTTTCCTTTCCACTGGAATCATAGAATTGTAGAGTTGGAAGGGATCCAGAGGGTTTTCTAGTCCAACCCCCTTGCAATGCAGGAATCTCAATTAAAGCATCCTTGACAGATGGCCATCCAACCTCTGCTTTGAAACCTTCAAGGAAGGAGAGTCCACCACCTCTTGTTGGAGTCTGTTCCACTATCAAACAGCTTTTACAGTCAGAAATTTCTTTCCAATGTTTAGTCAGAATCTCCTTTATTGTAACTTGAATCCATTGGGTTATAGTCTCAGGTACAGGAGAAAAGAAGCTTGCTCCATCTTCCATGTGACAAGCCCTTTTCATATTTGAAGATGGCTATCATATCTTCTCTCAGTCATCTCTTTACCAGTCTAAACATACCCAATTCCTTCAACCACTGCTCATAAGGCTTGGTTTCCAGACCTCAGGAGAGTCTGTGAAGATGCTGGACAAGTGTCTGGAAGCAGTGACATATGGGGGCAATAACCTGGAACTGAATCCTGATAAGATACAAGTGTTGTGGGCATATCTGGGAATTAGATGTCTGTTCTGCACCTCCCTGAAGGAACAGTTTGGAATCTGGGAGTAATCCTGGATTCTAACTTGTCACTTGTCAGTTTCAAGTGCCTTCAGTGGCTAGGGAGTGCTTATGCTAAGCTTAGGCTGGGTCTCTAGCTATGGCTGTCGCCGGATAGCCTGGCCTCAGGTATCCGTACTCTAGTGACCTCCTTGCTTGGACTATGGTAATGCACGCTACATGGGGCTGCCCTTGAAGACTTTATGGGGGCTACAGCTAGTCCAGAATGCAGCTCCTAGGTCAGTAAGTTGGGCAGCTCAATAGGAACATGTGTCACTGGTTCTGAAAACACCACACTAGTTGCCAGTGCACTGGGGCAAATTCAAGGTGTTAGCATATAAAGTCCTAAATAGCATGAGACCCAAGTAGCTAAGAGAGTGCCTCCACTGATATCAGCCATCTTGGGCCCTACAGTTAGAAGGTGGGGCCTTGTTGATGGTACTGCCTCCAAGGGCTCCCCACACAGCACTGACAAATGACAAGGACTTTTCAGTGGTGGCTCCCCATTTGTGGAATGCCCTCCCTGGTAAAGTGCATCTGTCACCAACATTATTAACTTTCAGGAGGAATTTGAAAACATTCCTGTTTGCCTAGGCATCCCTGAGATTACTGGATGAAAGAATGTTTTAAAGTGTACCCATTTTCAGATATCTTAACTGTAGCTTTTTAGAATACTTTTTATTTTAAACGATTGTGGATATGTTTGCTGCTCTGCACTCCTTTGGGAGGAACAGCAGGAAATATATGTAATAAATAAGTATAATCAATTGTTTTTCATGTAGAGCTTTATTCCCTCAGCTGTCTTGAAGAAAGAGATGCTGCACAATTCAGTGGTGAAATATTTGCTTACGTTCCCATACTTTTCTGTTCACAGAGCCCTGGGGGTTGTCTCTATGTAGCATTCACAACCCTGGCCGGCCTCACTGGTGTTATCATTACACTGTGTCTAATCTTAATTATCACATCATCTACTAAAACCATTCGAAGGTCATACTTTGAAGTATTTTGGTTCACCCATCATCTGTTCATTTTCTTTTTTGCTGGTCTCGTCATCCATGGAGTTGGGTAAGTATCTACCGGTATTTATTTTGATACTCCACTAAATAACTAGATGGAGATGGAGTCAGAGTACCTTTATTAGGACTAGCTAAAGATCGCAGAACAATGAATTTGTTCTCCGGATTCAGTCAGAGAACTCTTCTTGCAGCTAAATGTTAACAACCAGATATAGGAACCAACTCCTAGGGGCTAAGGTCCCTTCAGTCTCTTCTACAAAATATTTGAGGAGGGCATCCCCCCCCCAAGCTGATGGGCATTGCCATTCAAATAGGGTGGTGTGCTGTGTCTTTTGATTGATTATGCAGGTGGGGTTTACTTGGGCCCCCCAATATTTTATTCAAGTTGGCAGATAAGGAGGATGATCAGTGCACTTACTGAGCTGAAATGAAGCAAAAGCTTTCATTGACAACTGTCCAGTTCATCAGACATATACACATGGTTGCAGGAGATCAGAAGGAAATGAAATGCAGAAAGCACACATAATGATCTTTATTCTGCTACTAACAGTGGCAATTCACAGGCACACAAAAAACAGTCATTGAAATTCTGATACAAGTTAGACAATGCATGTAGAAAGATTATTTGCCTTGACTTAATCCACAAATGATAGAAGCCCTCTGAAGTTTCTTTGTTCAGGATGCAGTGTCCTGGGAGGTGGAAATGTTCCCACTGCTGGTTTTTTGATATTGCCATTTCTGATTTCAGATTTGGGTCAATTTATTCTTTTGCATAGAGAATGACCTGTTTGTCCTATGTAGAATGCAGAAGAGCATTATTGGCAGATAATGGCATATATGACATTGGGAGATGAGCAAGCAAATGAACCTCTTAACTTGTGGGGGACATTATTATGTCCTGTAATAGTGTTGCCAGAGTAGACTTGGGGATATCATTATAGGGCAGCATTATTATTATTATTATTATTATTATTACTATTATTTTCCCTCACCCTTCATCAAAGGGTTCCAGGATGGGTTACAGCAGTTCAAAAATTCAATATTATAAAGAAATCAAAACATATTATGATCATAGGAACCTGAAAAACACCTGCCTCAGGTATCAAAGGCCAGGGTGGAAGGGGAATCTAATAATGTCATCCACAACCTCAGAGGTCCATTCATTTGCTCATCTTTCAGTGTTGATATATTCCATCGTCAACTACCAATGAACTTCTGCAGTCTATATTCTTCATCAATCAAAGAATGCATCCACACTGCAGATGATTTGAACTAGGATTTGTGTCTCAGAATTAACCTTCCTAAAATTACACATTACAAAAAGCAGAACATACATGCTATGCCTACAAAATAAAACTGAATATATTTTATCTTATGATATGAAAGTAATTACTTTTAATTTTGGTTATTATCCATTATCAACATTGCTCATGTTGATTTTTGCTGTTGTTCCCAGAAAAATTGTACGTAAACAGACTCCAGATAGTTTGAGTGTCCATGATCCAGATACCTGTGCCAAGAATTACACCCTCTGGGGGGAAATACCTTCATGTCCTAAACCACAGTTTTCTGGAAATCCTCCTATGGTATGATCTGTTGTTTGCTTGCTTGCTTGCTTGCTTGCTTGCTTGTTTTAAAAATCTAGGCACTGAGACCATTGAAGATCTTAATGGGAATGTTTAGCAGTCAGATTACCACCAGATAGGGCAAGAGTAATGTCAATAGCTCAGGGCCCAGCCAGGTCAAGAATTAGTAATTCTCACACATTCAGTAAATTTGTATGTATTTACTGATGAAAAGGAAAGATATAATAGATGTGCACTTTCAAGAGTAACTCTAAACATTAAGTGAACAGTAAGAACTCTCTTGGTTGGCGGTTCGAATCCCCGCGATGGGGTGAGCTCCCATTGCTCGGTCCCTGCTCCTGCCCACCTAGCAGTTCGAAAGCACGTCAAAGTGCAAGTAGATAAATAGGTGCCGCTCCGGCAGGAAGGTAAACAGCGTTTTTGTGTGCTGTTCTGGTTCGCCAGAAGTGGCTTAGTCATGTTGGCCACATGACCTGGAAGCTGTACGCCGGCTCCCTCGACCAATAAAGCGAGATGAGCGCCGCAACCCCAGAGTCGGCCACGACTGGACCTAATGGTCAGGGGTCCCTTTACCTTTAAGAACTCTCTTAAAAGGAATAGATTTTAGAAATCAGCCCATTGTGAGCAAAGTAACTTTCTAAAGAGACAAAGCACTTGCAGAAGTTCTTATGAACATTGGCTGTGGTGCAATGAGCCCTCCGAGTTAATTGCTGAAACCAGTTCCTGCATGCATAATGCAACCTTATATGTATTTAACAGAATTTCATACATTCCTTCCTGTCCTTGCTTCCTTCATTCTTCCTGTTCTGTTGACAGACTTGGAAATGGGTAATAGGCCCCATGATTCTATACGTCTTTGAACGGTTGGTACGGTTTTGGCGATCCCAACAAAAAGTTGTTATCACAAAGGTAAGAGTGATATAAATCAGCTTGCATGTTTCACTTCACTTAAAGCGTTATTCATCCTGGAGTTACCATAGAGTAAGTCCAGGATGATAGGAATGTCACCTAAAGTTGATAGGAATGTTTCCTAAATTTCAGAATTTGTTATCTGCATTTATGCAGTCAATATCTGTAGAAAAAAGAACCATTGCTCTATTATAGTTTTCATTAAAATGTACATTAAATTTACATGAAAGTTACAGTCCTGGTGAGAGACTAGTCCCTCTAAGTGTCCCTATTTTCCAGTGACAGTCCTGGATTTACAGAACACATCCCATTTTCTGACTTGATCCTGGAATGTCCAGTTTTTCCTTAGGACATCCCTATTTTTATCAAAGAAATGTTCGAGGGTATGGGCCTATTGACTAACAGGATTATGGCATCACAAATTAGTTTCCTTAGCTATTTCTTTAAAAGTTAGCACGTATCAAAAAACGCAGAAAGGAAACCCCAGCAGAATGGCTGCAGTTTGATCAGTAATCACTGGGAAATCTATACTGTGATGTCAACAGTGCTGTCAGCTAATGGAGGGCATTTTCAGTCTCCACTGTTTCCAGGCAAGCCTTAAAGTAAATTCCATTGAAAACTATAGTAGAGCAATTATTTTTGTTCCTCTACTTCCCAAGTATTTAAGTCAATGCAATGATAGAATAATTATATTAAAAAATTAATATATATAGATATTGCTGAGTATTGCCTGCAGTGCAGTATTTTATTGTTGATGCTGTTTTAATTGTTAATGCTGTTGGCTGCATTTTTCTATTTCTTGTCAGCTGTCCTGAACTCCTATGGGAGAAAGGGTAGGCATGAAAAATAAATAGTTGGGACCAAAGGCACTTCCAGACTTTTGCTATTTCGTGGGTGGGGTTTTTTTGCATACTGGCAAATGTGGGTTCTTTAACTAGAGAAGATTTGCACAGCAACAAAAACCCCTGGCCTTTCTGCATTTAGAAATATGCTTGAGAGGATGTCATATAGCCAACCTGCAAATAAATCAGAATGAATTTCAAACATGCAGCTGACACCTGGACACAACCTGATACTAATATCTGAAAGAAGAAAAAATCCCTGTTTATCCTCTGGAGAAAATGAATCCCATCTTGGGGGAAGGGCCGTAGGTCAGTGGGAAACCATCTGCTTTGCATGCCGGAGGTCCCGGGTTCATTGCCTGGTAGGGCTGGGAAGCTCCCCGTCTGAGACCCTGGAGAGCTACTACAGGTCAATGCACATCATACAGTCTGAGGGAGCCTGCTATGTTCCAATGCTGGAAAAATACAAAATGTTACAAACCATCGATATAACTTACTTATAAATTATTTACTATATCTAAAACTCTACAGTTAATCATATATGTAGCGCAAGACTTGGAAAGTGTTTGTCTTAAATTCTTCATTCAGATAATTATTTTTAGAGAGTAAATGGGCTTAGGATTTTGCGACCATTTTTCACAATTCCTTCGGCCAACCCATCCTGATTACCTAATGCAAGCTCAGACCATCCCATCCTTCCGGTGTTCTGAGAGCTTTACTTCCTGCCTCCTAGGTTGTCACGCATCCTTTCCAAACCTATGAGCTCCAGATGAAGAAGAAGGGCTTCAAGATGGAAGTTGGGCAGTACATTTTTGTCCAATGTCCTGCAGTGTCCATGCTGGAGTGGCACCCTTTCACATTGACTTCTGCCCCCGAAGAGGATTACTTCAGCATCCACATACGTGTCGTTGGGGACTGGACAGAACGCTTGTTTCAAGTCTGTGGATGTGACAAGCAAGAATTCCAGGATGCTTGGAAACTGCCCAAGTATGTGCAGAATAAACATTCTATGAAAATGTTAGCAACACTCTATGTAGATCGGCTCAAGCTGCTGATGTGCTGCAAGTAGTGGCATCACCTTCACTATAGGGAATAGCCAGTGTGTGCTTGTGCTGGCCCATGAAGCTTCTAGGGGCACAAAAGGTCCACAGGATGCAACACAATGGGGTGGAAGGGGATCTTGCATCATTCCTACCAGCTGCCCACCATTGTCAGTATGGCATAATCACCCTCACGTGGCTCAGTTACACTGTAAAAGGTCAGTTAGTCCTAGTGCTGAGGTTGAGGCCTCCGACTGACTCAGGGAATGAGCACAACAATGCCCTTGTTCTTACACCAGATTTTATAACCTGCCAGCACAGAAACCAAGTAGAGAGAGCTATCAGTTGCTAGGCTTAGTGGTCTGTTAACCTTAGATCCGCACACCACAGTCACTTTTGGTCTTTGCCTGTTCATAAAAACCAGTTTTCTAAAAAGGCACTGTTACAAGATGGGTTCACTCTGGCATAAGTGTACATGCAACCTACTCCTGTGCATGCCTTGGACTATTTTTGTAGCTGCTCTAACTCCTAGTTCATAGGCTACTCCCTGTCTCAGGATTCATGGGCCAGGACTACCAAATGGAACTAGTCCCTGAACAGTGCCACTGCAAGATTGGCTTGACTCTGACCTGTGCAACCATTGGATCATTAGAGTATGCATGGGCCAGTCCCAGTTGCTGTTGTTAACTGTGTTCTCACTGTTCTAGGATAGCTGTCGATGGCCCCTTTGGCACTGCCAGTGAAGATGTATTCAGTTATGAAACCGTGGTGTTGGTTGGAGCTGGCATTGGGGTCACCCCTTTTGCATCAGTCCTCAAGTCTGTGTGGTACAAATACTGCAATGATGCCTTAAACCTAAAGCTCAAAAAGGTTTGTTCCTGACATATACCAAAGCATGTGACACTTGTTTCCTAGTGCTGAAAAGTGCGTGGAAACAGAGATTGGGAAGTATATAAAGACAAGTATTGATTCAGATCTTTATGTGTGAAAACAGTGCTATGAAACACTATAAATTATTAGTTTTATGTCCGTATAAACAAATCTGGCCCCTTTCCCATTCTTAAGTCCATTCTTAAGTCCACTCCTGCATCAGCTTGCTTCTTTTTTTCAGTCTCATAAAAAATTATCAGCATTTTGGTGCACTTTTCTCCTAATATGCACATTTTTGTATGTACTTTTGCCCAATGTATACTTTTTTGCAAGCAACTTTCGCTAAAATTATGCATTTTCTGTTTTTACGAATTCATACATATTTATAATACTTTCCCCAAATATACATATTTTTGGATACATTATTTGGCTGGAGGTATGGCATTGCAAAATTCAAAGACAAGTGACTTTCAAAGGACAGGTGCATTTCAGCTCACGTATGTTTTAGGTGAATTTGCATTAAAGTATGACGCTCAACCCTCTCCCTACTGTTAGTTCATGTAGATGCACTTTCACTTCTACATCCAAGCATGGAGAACTAACAGCAGAGATTCAGCAGCATCTCTACCCCAGTCCCAATCCACAGTGGGTCCCTCTTTATATGCACACAGTGACATCCTCTATCATTTTAAATCTAATCTCTGCAATTGCAAGATCTATTGGCGCATGCAACCAGAGTGCTGTTTTGGGATGAGTATCAACATGTTTATTTTTAAAATGTGTGCATACCACGTACATTCAAAAATAATCAGTGTACAAAAAATTAAAACATGCCCCATACAAATGACAGTAAATAAATGTCATAATATCAATAAAGTAACAGAAATATGGCTGGCTACTTCCTACACTGACCAATAATAAATGTTGCTGGTATATAAATGCCTTGGGAGGCATTTATAAAGAAGAGGATCTTAACATGGGTCAAAAACCTAGGATCAGAGTTGCATATCTGTTATCAAATACTTCAGCTCATAGAATGACAGCCCCAAATTCAACTTTAACAACTATTGCAGTTCCCATTTGTCTTTTTCATAAAGCAATAGAATTGCTTAGCTAGGGATAATTCCAGAAAAACTTATGGTGGCAAAGACCATTCTTAGTTGAGCAAGCATTTAATTTACTATGACTGAAAGCTACAAGAGCAGCACAAAATATTTTGAAGAATGCCTACTACCCCTTGCTACCCATTGGAGTCAAGTCTGAGTTTTGTCCTCACCTTGCCTGAAGGTTATCCTTCATGCTGCAGAAGAGAGGACGTCTACTCATCACTTGCACATGAAATCAGTTCATTTTGAAGGACTTCCTCAACTTCTTCCTAGACAATAAAGGTGGTCACTATTGTAGCCTTACAATAATACTTTACTGCTGACCAATGTGGTCATCAGAGGTAATCCAGAGAATTACATTTATGTCTTCGGGATTTTGGAGCAGGGGAAAAGGAAGAGAATGAACTTGCCTAATTAAACACATAATCTAATATGCTAACCAGTTCCATCTTGCCCCTTCCAGATTTATTTTTACTGGCTCTGCAGGGACACTCATGCCTTTGAATGGTTTGCTGACCTCTTGCAATCAGTGGAGACTCAACTGCAGGAGAAGAATAATCCAGACTTTCTCAGCTACAACATTTATCTGACTGGCTGGGATGAATTTCAGGTAACTTGCTGCTGTCGTCCTTTCCAAGCAGTTAGATTCTTGGGAAGACAATGTAGTTACAGCAGTCCTTCTGCCCACACCCACCCCAAAGTAAAAACCCCATGGACACACTTCTGCAAACTTTATTCTCACAGTGATGTCAGATCTAACTCCACTTTTACTGGCTGCCACATGCTGGATTCTAGTTATGAGATGCCACCACAAATATTTGAAGGGGGCATTTGCAATGGCGCACCAAAAGCAGAATCGTGTATGGAATGGTCATGTGGCCTGCTTGCCCATTTGACTGGGAACCAAAATTAACTGCCTTTTCCTAACATTCATTTGTGGCACCAATGGGATTTCTTCCCCATCCCATTAGTAATTGCAGCATGGGGTGATTTTGTTGCAATCTCAGGTGTGTAATCACAGCTCTCTATATGCGGCCCCAATAAAAATAGGGGTGGGTACACTCAATATTAAACAAAAAGCAAAAGCAAAAAGAAAGTCATATAATGAGCCAGGACACAGTTAACATGACATGCAGTTAGTTCCTGAAAAAGAGCTGTCTGATGGTAATTGAAGGAATAAATGCATGGGTCAGATTCAAGCACCCCATTCCACTAGCAGGAAATAGTGCAAGGACTCCCAGTAGAGATTTGGGGTTTTCCAGCCTCTCCCCATTGCATGTGCTTCCACATCTCCCTGAAATCTGCTCTGGAGGGTTGCCTGATGGAACAATCTCCTTAGTGCTACATTGAATTCCACTCAAAGTGTATGGTTGGAAATGCAAAATATTGCAAGTCATAATAGGGCCCCCCTCACTCAGTTATTCCAATTTCATATTAGTTCATCTGCTAGAGCTGTGTTGTTCCACTGTTGAACTTCACTCTGCTATTTTAGGAGTATGGGGTGGTGGTGTCTGTCTCTGTTTCTGTCTCTATCTTTTATCAGTCTGTATCTCTCTCTCTCTCTCTCTCTCTCTCACACACACACACACACACACATGCTATTACCCTCTGGACCCTACAACTATCTAATAAGGACATTCTTTGCCTTCCTTTTTCCAGGCTGCTCATTTCATGGTACATCATGATGAAGAGAAAGATGTGATCACAGGCTTGAAACAGAAAACCTTATATGGGAGACCAAATTGGGAGAATGAGTTCAAAACAATTGCAAGTCAGCATCCAAGGTAAATTTGTTCCTTAGTGCCTGCAGAATATGGCCTCACTTTTGCTGCTATACTTTATCTGATAATTTCTCTTGCTATCAGTTCCAGGGTTGGCGTTTTTCTGTGTGGACCTGAAGCCTTGGCTGACACCTTAAATAAGATGTGTATTAGCAATTCGGAAGCTGACCCACGAGGAATACATTTCATATTCAACAAAGAGAACTTTTGAACACACTCAAATGTTTGTTTGTTTCCAACGAAAAGCTACATCTTATCCTTTGTATTTGGGCACTATGTATCTTAATTTTGCTACATTGAGCTCTTGTCTCTCTGGAATTTTTCCAAAAGTTCCACATCTGCTTGCCTTGGCTTTTGCATTCTGTATAATTTGACAGAAACCAAATATTGCATATTAGACTGCCTTAGGTTATAATCCTATACACACTTATCTGAAAGTCAGCTCCAGTTAACTTAATGGGACTTTGTAATGAGTAGGCATTCATAGGACTGCATTGCAGGTTTTTATATTTCTGTTCTCATTTATTTTATATAAATAAGATTGAATTGCAAAGAACTAGAACATTTTAAGTATTTGTCACGGTTATGTTTTAAACTTCATAAAGGTGCTCCTCAGGTCCTAGTTTCAAGAGACATTCTACTTTTGTTTTTATTATTTAACCATCACCCTTAATCATTAAAATGGAGGCATGATGTGGTGTCTAGTGTCAAACATATTGCTCAACTGAGACATTGCATATTTTTGAAAGTGGCAAGAGTTCCACTTGACTGAAGTTTATTTTTGGCAAGCCACATAAATAAACATTCCTGCAACTTCCTTCTGTCTCTTAGCCTTCTGATTCAATGTGAACAAATTTAAATGAAAATAAACATTACGTTTTACAGATTTCCTCTCATTTCTACATCATGGAGAAATTCTACAATGATACAAGTTTGTTATATAGTGTCATGCTTAATCCCATATTCTCTCAGGCACACCTTATTTGTTTGACCCTATCACAGTGTGGCAGGCGATTTATGTGGTACAATCATCTCTTACTTTCAAGCATCTGCAACTGTTAATTATGTTCATGTTGCTCATGACTTATGGTTTTGTGGGTCCTGCATATGTCAAGCAGGATGTTTATTATTACTCAGTTCATCTTTTGCTAGGTTCTGGAGCTATCTCCCCAAGAGCCTTGTCCAGTCCCACCTCCCTTTCAGCTTTTAGAGAGCAAGTGAAAAGTGACTTGTTCTTCCATACCCCAAATTTGACATGTGAGCGGGGTCACCCACCAGTCAGTCACCTGACATCACAGTGACCATCACAATGACATCAAGTGACCTGTTCAGTTGATTGTCTGGTCTTGTGAAGCCCCTTTCAATGTGCTGCTTTGCAGAGTGCTTCATGAGGGTCTTAGCAAGATCTGACTACCAGCTACAAAGGTCACTTGATGTTATTGAACAGGGCTTTGTGGGTATCACTGATCAGTGGTGCTTGCAAATCCCCTTTTGGCTCTGCCAGATTATTATGATTTTTACATGCCACACACCTGATGTAGACAGTACATTAATATAAAAAATATATTGATGTTTGTGGACAATGTTTTCCTTTAATCACCAAATAACCAAAATTACACTATACCATGCTTTTTTCAAAAAAAAACCAAAAATGTTTAGGGGTACTCTCATTTTCCTACTCATATTGAAATACCGCCCCTCAATGAGGCCAAACTTAGATTCACAAAATGTTTAAGGGTATGCGTATCCCTGCGTCCTCCCAGAAAAAAAGCACTGACTGTACACACATCAAGATTAAGAGGTAAGTCTTCCTTTATAAGCAGTTTGACTTCCAAGCTGCTGTGAGTTCTGTAAAATTCGCAAATTAAATGCTATGCCCTTTGGACCAGCGCCAAGATGACAGGATGTATTGTATCCATTTACTGTTGTACAGGGCTAATAATGATCATAAGCATGTTGATTTGGAAGACGGTTCTGTTGCAGTAAGACATACCTCCCCCCCCCCCCCATGTATAAGATGATATTTTTTCATAGGCAGAAATTGTGGGTCGTCTTATACATGGATAACAGAGGGGCAACAGGCGATTGGTGGCAGCAGTCAGTAGGGGAATGGCAGCAGCGATTGGGAGTGTGATTGCTGTGGCAAGGCCTGCTGATGATTGACTGCTGCTGTGGCAATTAGGCGTTTGATTTACGCCAGTGGCTGGTTGCGTTGAGTGGTCAGGTGGGCTTTTGGCGGCGAGCATGCTGACGATTGGTGGCTGCAGCGATGCATGAGATTTGCATTGGCAGGTAGGCTGTAGCGCGATTGGTGGTAGTGCCCCCCAAAAGCTCACTAACTCTGGGCAATCCCCCGAAAAAAACTCCACAACTTTGGGCAATCCCCCCCAAAAAAGTTTTTTGTAGTCCCCAAAAATAGGGGTTGTCTTTTACATGGGGGCATCTTATACATCTTATATATGGTACTTCCTTGTAAGTGTGCACAGGATTGCATTATAGAAGCATTGGAAAGTTGTTTCTTTGGTAATCAAAGCCTGAACTAGCATTTCATCATAAACAGCGAGGAACCACATCTGTTGTAGTCACATAGTGCAACATTCCCAAATGAGCAAGACCTTGTGAATGAGCATGTGACACATCAACAGGCAGGATCACACCCTGTTTTTTACTAGAATCTAAACCAAGCCTTATGAGGAACAGTTGAGGGAGCTGGGTATGCTTAGGCTGGGAAACGGCTGTCGCATGGAACAAGCTTGTTTTCTGTTGTTTTGAAGGTTAGGACCCAAACCAATCAATTCCAATTAAAAGAAAGGAAATTCTGCCTAAACATTAGGAAGATCTTTCAGATGGTAAAGGCAGTTCAACAGTGGAACAGACTACTTTGGAAGGTGGTGGACTCTCCTTCATTGGAGATGTTGATACAGAGGTTGGATGGACATCTGCCAGGGATTCTTTAGTTGCTATTTCTGCATTACAGGGGGTTGATAACCCTTTGGGGCCCTTCCAATTCTATGATCCTATGAAACCACACAGAAAGGCAAGGAAAATGGAGGCAAAGATCAATGCAGGGGAGGACATATACAATTATTTCTGTGGATTCAGGGCAGTCCAACAAAGCACTCCTTCACACAGAGCATAATTAGTTGATGGAATTCAGGATCCAAGTATTGATGGTGGCAAATAGCTTGGATGTAGTGGTTGCTGGTCTGCTGGAGCAAATAAGCCTGTACGCTGCTTTCAACCAGCCCCTCAACCTTGCTGCTTGGCTTCTTACTTGCAGTCAGTCTTATGAAAACTGTTGGGACCAGATGTAGATCCTTCTAATTACTGATCTATTTCTTCTTTCTGCTTGCAGAAATTAGCACTGAAACAAAAAGGGTGATGAAAGGTTGCCCGTTGTGTAATAATTGCCAAATGGCAAGCTGTCATTACATAAAATAACCACTTCCTCCAAGAAACAGCAGATGTTTCCTTGCTTTGTTGCATAGTCTCCATACTCTCTTGTTCATTTTACTTATTGTTACATACTTTTCTTTCATTGAAATCTTTTTTCACTCTGAGTCTTGGAGCATGGGGGAGGTCGGTGGAATGAGATGAAGCATTCTAACTCCAATGGCCCCTGAAAATCTCCAGTGCAACTTATTGGGCTGGAAAAACTTCAGCCACTCCACATTGCTAAAAGCTGTTGAGAAAGGGCTGGGGAGACCAGAGTTCAAGTCCCTAGTCAACCATGAAGCTCCCTTAGACTAGCCACTCTCAGTGCAACCCTTGCAGGTTGCCTATGAAGATAATGTAGCAGAAAAATAGCTTGGAGAAAGAGGGGAAATAAGTGTTGGCATCCGTCTGGTTCGAGAGACAAGTGAGTGCACCACTAAGGGTGAAGTCGAACTGTGGCGTTAGCAGCACTGAAGTGACCTCCCTGGAGCGCAAGTCTGGGCATTGTGTGTGGAGGTCCTGGGCTGCCCAGGGAAATATATATGTAATTAATAAGGTAAAGGTAAAGGGACTCCTGACCATTAGGTCCAGTCGTGGCCGACTTTGGGGTTGTGGTGCTCATCTCGCTTTATTGGCCGAGGGAGCCGGTGTACAACTTCCAGGTCATGTGGCCAGCATGACTAAGCCACTTCTGGTGAACCAGAGCAGTGCACGGAAATGCCGTTTACCTTCCCGCTGGAGTGGTACCTATTTATCTACTTGCACTTTGACATGCTTTCAAACTGCTAGGTTGGCAGGAGCAGGGACCGAGCAATGGGAGCTCACCCCGTTGCAGGGATTCGAACCACTGACCTTCTGATCAGCAGGCCCTAGGCTCTGTGGTTTAACCCACAGCGCCACCCACGTCCCTATGTAATTAATAAACAGTAATAAATTATGAAACAGGATGCAACCAACCAACCAACCATATCATTTAGGTTTATAAAATGTTTCAAAGTTACATACACACACCCTTTGTAAATCACAATCCACTTTCCTCTTTGGTTCACATACTTGCCCCCAGCCTTTCTTTGTTAACAGCATCATTATGTCATATATGCTAAAACTTGCAAGTGTCCCTGATGAACCACTACGAGGGGTAGCCAGCCAACATTTATTCTAGCGCTGTTTTGATGGGACAGAAGGAAAATATGCACCAAGTATGGTGGTGACACCAGTTTCAGAAAAGTAGTCAGAGCTCTTTTTCAGCAGAAAAGGATCTCTAAATTAACATTTGAAACCAATGCTAAATACATAGGGCTTATGCTAAATACATAAGATCAGGCCTAAGGCCATGTAGTCCTGCATTCTGTTCTCACAGTGGCCAACCAGATGCTTATGCAAAGCCCAGAGACAGGACCCACTCTCCCTGCTTGAGACTCCCTGCTACTGGCTTTCAGAGCATTCTGCCCCCAACAATAGAGAAATAACATACCTATCAGAGTTAGTAGTCACTGATAGCCTTGTCCCCCATAAATTTGTCTAATACCCTTTTAAAGTCACCCCTAAGCCATTGCTGTTCCTTGAGAAAGAAAATTCAAGAGTTTACATGTTGCGTGAAGAAGTATTTTCTCTCTCCTGAATCTGCCAACATTCAGCTTCACTGAATGTCTCCTGAGATATTATACTGTGCAAGGCTGAATGAAATGAATGGGAGCTGTTCAGAAGCACACTGTGATCTCACATGGCTAGCACACACTTCAGTGGGGCCTGTGGAGGAGAATGTTATCAGGGATTGTGCCTAAAAAGCATTAGGTACAGTAGCTTGAGGAGTTGTTTTAACACAATAGAATATGACAAAGAAAGCTTGATCTCAACACATCAAGAAAAGACTAGAATATATTTTTAGAACAGAAAATACCCTATTAAATGCTCTAGCAATCATTCATCTGAAAGACACAAGAGTATAGGTAAGGCAGGCACATTTTATTTTTATTTTTTTTTTAGTTAAAACAAACTGTACCTATTTTAAAACCAATACCAGCATAATTTCTAGTGCAATCTTGCCATAAGATATATTGATGAGCATTCATTTTATGTTCAACTGCATTTTTTAAAACCCAGAAATACAATTGCGAATAAAACCATCTAGTCTCAGTAACAGCATCAGAAGTTTACTATAAAAAAGAGTAAAAGGTAGATTGTACCTTTGTCTTTATTTTCTGGCCAAACCCTTTACTAGCAGTTGTTTCAGACAACTGCATTCATCTATATTCTATAGTGTTTCCACCCTCTGAAAAATGTTCTCTCTTCATTATTATCTTTTACTGCTTCAGGAAAAAGATGAAAATAGCTTGCACCCAGAAAAAGAGCAAATTTTGAATCCAGAGCTGTGAGAGAACTTCGCATAGTATTTTAGTTCTGTTGCTATAGATATGTACATTCATTTAAAGAGTACAGAGATATCTGTGTTCACACTATAACAATATGGAATATAAACATGGTATTTGCTTAAATATGCAACTTTATTAACGAAAAACAGCTAGACCTTTGGTGCTTTACATATTATAATGTTAAAGTAATTCAAAGCAAAACCATTGCAATGATAAAAAAATTCTAAACATAAACTGCAACTGAAACCAGCTTGTTGCAGTTCTGACAAAAGGCAAAAATGCTTAATGCAACAGTATAGCTTCAAGTTCTACTAGGTATATAAATAGCTGCAAAACAATGTAACTTTTTATGAAAAAATAGAATCCTATATACTAAACATATTTGCAAAGGTACTTAATATTTGCTTGAGTGGTTCTTCAAGTTATTAGGATTACCCACTTGACTGAAGTGGAGAATTTTCTAATTTAGGTAGATCTAGGAAGCAAGAAGCATACTGTTGACTCCCTGCATGTTTACTCAGAAGTAAGTTCCACTCTCTTCAATGCAATTTTCTCTCAAGTAAGCATAGGATTGCAGAATTATTTTAACTAATAACATAGATAGCAAGGATTTATGGTCTAACTCTATGAACACTACTAGGAAGTAAGGACTGTAGCCAGTTAATTATTCTGTAAGTCACATACCTACAGCCTAAGTGCACCTTAAGACACAGACAAGTCCCCACTTCAAATTATTCTATTTCCAAGTGCTACATATGAAACATCACTTTTATATAAAATAAAATGGTATCATGAGAGCATTGCTAAACTTTTAATGTCCTAATCTAAAGTATTTGCACATGTATTATCTGCACATTATTTTAATGCTTTTGGTTTGTGGTTTTGTGCTGATGCACCAAATATTTGTTAATGCACCAATAACTGAACCAAATGTTGCAGAATGTTTTAATACAATTTCCCTACTTCGACGAATGTGCCTTAAGAACTGTGCCGCAGTCTAAGCACAGCCTTACAGCATGAAAAATACATTATTTTGCTGAACATTCATACCCTGTTTGAGAAAAGTAGGTACTTTGGCTTTATACATTTTGTGCCTAAAACATGAAAATATTCTTTTACAACTTGTTGGGTTTTTCTGCTTCCTCCCCCCTCGCTGCTTAATTTATTACGCGTTACAAATCACAAACACCAATCGTCTAAGCAGCAGTGGATTTCAAACATACAGCTTTCAGGGAACTTTTTTCTCCTGCCGTGGGACCTATTCATGATGGAATTATGTTCTGGGTTGCGCGCATGAGACTATGTGGTAGCTGTTGCACTGCATCAAATGAGTGTGTGCATTACAGCAAACAACACGCTCTCACAACTCTAGTTTTCAGGGGGCAGAGATCGGCCATTATACTGAAGCAGCACAGATGGGAGTGCAAGGATTCCCTGGAACACACAGGTTTAAAACCACTATTCTAAGGCATCAACTCCCATAACTCAGAACCAATTATATATATGTGTGTGTTACAAATAATACTCTCTTGCCTCTTACTGATTACATTTATCTTAAGCTGCTGTGTATGAAGTGCCAGTGGTAATGTGGGGGGAAACATGCATTTTCTTATTTTTACGTAACTTTTCCATCACTTCTTGCAGGTTGCAGGGTGGGGAGCAGAGAGAACCACAGTCCTAGAATGCTCAAAACATTGTCCTTTTCCTTTTACAGCTGGTCTCTAGCAAGCTGCCAGCTGGCTAAGCCGAACGATTACACTTTACTATAATATATACTATAATATACTATAATATAATATATATTGTGCAGAGACTTTTTTAAATAGCACATTTCCTGCTCTTTAGTGCATAAATATAGTTTTATTTAATCATTCTTACAATGTACTATAAGAAATTTGATAGTTTTGTTCTTAAAGGCTTTGGCATAACTTAGTGCGATTTGTCCAGTTTGCTACAGAATAATGGCTACGGCAAAGACATTGACGATGCAGTTCATAGTTCGGTTTTCCCATCGAACTGTGCAGGTACCTAGAGTGGATTTAAGAAGAGAAAGTGGTCAAGTTCTATATTCATTCTTAAGAGGACAACCGAATAACCCGAACTCATTTACAGAAGATAATCCCTAGAGGCTGTCAGACATTGCTTTTGGTGACAGATCTGGGCCACAACCCTAAACATGCTTACAAAGAAGTAGATCTCTGTGAACTCTGCAGAACATACTTCTGGATAATCATTTTCATGCTCTTCGTCCCAACGCTTGCACAATATTGCATCTTAGGAGTCAGAAACTCAGAAAAATCCTTCATAGATGGTCACTGGGGTTAAATAGAATTAAAACACACTACAGCATGGGTTCAGTTTGTCAACAGGACTTTGATAGTGGGCATGTGATCTAGTCCAAGTTGCCATTCCTGTAGTTGACTAAGACACTACAGCACTTTGAAAATCAAACTTTTTGCCAATGATAATGAACAGGGCTGCTCTTATAAGGCCACAGGCAGCCCCCTGATTCTCTCCAGCTACTTCTTCTGCAAAAAATAAAAGCCCTTGGGTCATCAACTCAGGCACAATGACGTGTTTTTCCTTTGTGCTGGTGGCTACTGCTACCCCAGGCATAAAGCTATGGCCAGCTCAGTGCACTAAAACTGTATGCGTCATTGCTAGGGTTCTTTTTACATTTTGTTGCATTTTTTGCTAAGCTGCCTTGAATGTGATTTTTCTTAGAAAGTAAGGACAACGCCAGTGCTGGTGCACATTTCAGCATTTTCCTGCCAGTACTCAGCATAGTAGAAAATGAATACAGTGGTACCTCGGGTTACAGACGCTTCAGGTTACATACGCTGCTAACCCAGAAATAGTACCTCGGGTTAAGAACTTTGCTTCAGGATGAGAACAGAAATCGTGCTCCGGCGGCGGGGCGGCAGCAGGAGGCCCCATTAGCTAAAGTGGTGCTTCAGGTTAAGAACAGTTTCAGGTTAAGAACGGACCTCCAGAACAAATTAAGTACTTAACCCGAGGTACCACTGTACAAGTCTGTACAAGTCTGTAGTGTAATATATTTAATCAAGTAACTTACTGAGCACAAAACAAAAAGAATATAAAGTTACAACAATATGAACATTCTTTCTTCGTTACAGCTTCGAGTCATATCGGTCACTGAAGTACTGGCATATATGATTACTTGGTGATTATTTTTTTTAACCTTGTTAAGCTTAGTTCTTCTCTTTCAATTGTATAACTATGAATTTGGAACAGTCATGCTGAGGAGTGAAGTCTGCCAGGGCTGTTCAGCGCTTTGAACGAAGTCTGCCCTCATGAACTAGAACCACCTATCCAGGAGACTAGTCTCTTATCTTTCATGATGCCTGGCAGTAAGACGGATTTGATCCAGAGAGTGAATGAAGTTCAAATACTACTCAAACTTAGGCATCAATAACGATTCCGTGTCAGATTTAAACTCATCTAAAGAAACAGTCCTTGGCCTTCTGCCAAAGCATTTTTTCCATGCAACCAAAAGCGATTGGTCAGCCCTTTTCATTTTGGCCTGGCCTTATCAGCAGGTTTATATCTCTTTCTCATTTGGGGACCTGGGTAAAGAGAGTGGGTAACATATAGTTTGGGTGAAATGATCCTAATTTCAGGAAGTACCTATTATATACCTATTATATCCTGGGGGCTATATGTGGGCTGCCAATTCAAACCGCCTTTCAACTGCAGCATAATGTTTCACAACAATAAGCGAAAAGTTATTTTTTTCATGAAGTAGTTTGCTTCAATTCTGCAGGCAGGCACTTACCATCAGTTGTGGTATCCCAAAAACATGAGCTTGCTGTATGCAGACCAGCTCCACACTTCTGCATCACTGCACAGGTAACTGAAGACAGAACAAAATCCCATGTTTATCAATAAAGTAGATTAATCAATCAGACTTCACTAGTCCTTTATACAACTGAAAGGACTAAGTGGTGGTTAAAGTATGAATTAAAATCCCCTGCCTTTTTCCAAAAACAAATTCTGTTGAATTATAATATTTAAGTTGCCACTATGCTGCAAAAGCGTGATCCTTTTTCCTTAAATTTCCTTTATTTAAGAAAGCAGTGAGACATATTCCTCCTCAAAATGGTGGGCTGCTTCCTGAACAGCCCTGATATTCTAGGCTTATGAAGTCTGCTGAAAATGCCTGGCTAATTTTCTGATGCAGATAATCAACAGCAGATGACCAATAAATGCCACGGGAATCTGAAAATAGAGCCCTCGCCAACCCGCCGCATCCCATATTATTATAGTAAAATGCGTAATAAATTGGAGCAAAACTGCCTTCAATGCTCTCACGAAGGTGGGTGAAGTGCAGCACATAGAACCTTATATGCCTCATTCTACTAACAAAGTATATAGGAACGCGGGTGGCACTGTGGTCTAAACCACTGAGCCTAGGGCTTGCCGATCAGAATGTCGGCGGTTTGAATCCCCATGACGGGGTGAGCTCCCGTTGCTTGGCCCCAGCTCCTGCCAACCTAGCAGTTTGAAAGCACATCAAAGTGCAAGTAAATAAACAGGTACCGCTCTGGTGGGAAGGTAAACAGCATTTCTGTGTGCTGCTCTGGTTTCACCAGAAGCAGCTTAGTCATGCTGGCCACATGACCCGGAATAACTGTCTGCGGACAAACGTCGGCTCCCTCGGCCAGTAAAGCAAGATGAGCACCACAACCCCAGAGTTGTCTGTGACTGGAATTAACTGTCAGGGGTCCTTTACTTTACCTTTACTAACAAAAGTAGGCCTGAAATAATTTTCTCCCCATTAATTGTAAAATTAATATTAACTGCATATATGCACAGAATCTTACCAATGTACTTGTACGTCTTCCCCAGTTTTACCAGTTGTGTTAAAGATTGTTCTACTATAGCTGCAGTCCACTGATTGACATTGTCGTGATTGTAATCTGCCTTGCCCAGAACACCTTCTATGCACTAAAAAGGAATAAAAATCTGATTAAATACAAGTATTAAAAATAGATAGTAGTATAAATATATATACTTTTAGGCCAGCCCCACTTTGTTATGTAAAGGAACTCAAATGTCAGAAAGAGATTCTCATTTGCCTCTTTTCCTAGGCTAGAGCTCCTAAATGGAGGCACATAAATCAGTAACTGAACTGTTTATACCATTCCCATCTCAGTGGTAAGAGTCATGTAACAAACATGCAGAATCCAGAAGAGCATTTTAATAATCTGAATTTCTTTCCCAACAGGACTAAAATATCCTGCTGAGCTGGATATATTATTGTAAATGGTACAATTCTGAGTTGCTGCAGCATTGAAATTCAGACAGGGTGGTCCTATCGCCTCAGTATCCTCAGCAGCTTCTCTGCCGGGGCTAACCGTGGGCCACAATCAAATAACAGTCAACATAACAACAGCTACAGAAATAAATCCAGTTGACTTCAAGGACAGTTAAACAGTTCACCTGCACAGGACTGCCATCTCAGTCACCATTACAAATTGTGTTCTACGGGGCGGGGGGGGCGTGTAGCAGAATTCAACAGAACACATACAGAACACTTAGCGCTACTTAACATTACAGTGGAGTGTTATAAAGGCAGTATCTATAATTGTATTTTCATGAATCAAAAGGGTTCCTTCCATTCATGGAATGATTCCATTACAACAGAGGCTTCCCTCTAGCACAAGTAGGGGAAGTGATTTCCCCCTTATATCCCTTGCAGGCTCTACTGCCACCTCCCAGTGTTCCACAATGTCCACACTCCCTGGAGCAGATTGTCAGAGGACTGCGGGGGGGGGGGGTGTGAATTAGCAAAAATCACCTTCCTCTTCTGTTAGCAAGAGAGTATGATCAAAGCCATTGGTCTTGCTATTAGAATGTACAAAATTTTAAACATCGAATATTGCAAATGTAGTATAAAGAGTTTGGATCTTGATAGTGCAATCCTATGCATGTCTATTCAGAAAAATGCCCCATTGAATTCAATTAGCTATATTCCCAATAGACGTCCATATGACTGCAGCTCAAGGGTGCAATATTAAACACAGCAAGGTAGCATGCCCCACTAAATTTAGTGGGACTTAGTTTTGAACAGGCAAGACAGGTTGTCTGGTGCAAGTCTTTCAGGGATATACCCATTATTCCTGGAAACAGAAAACTGCAAAAATTCATTTTGTCACCAAAACACATAAATACTGTACTGTATACTAAAATGTGCAACTTACATCTTTAATAATACTGTGTGCTTCTTCACCATTGAAGGTCATCTGTAATAATATAAGAGATTTATTTAATTAAATTATTATTTTTATCACCCTTCATAAAATTTAATTCTAGAGCTGCTTACGCATTTTAGAATACAAAATATAAAATAAAATTGCAGCTGCCACACAGGTTTTGGAAGAAATAATGAACCAAGACAGAATTTATGTATTCAAAAAGTCCACAAAACTCTCCAAAACAAGGTCCATATATTCATAATCTTCATTTATTCTGGCGATATCACCAGCTCATGAATTTGATGCACACGGCAGCTGCATAAATGCCAAGTTCTTATATCTTACTGAAAACTACGTGTGTTATTAAAAAATCACAATCACCAGAGTCCCAAATGGATTTTACAATCACACTATTTCTGGCTGTGTCCTGAAATTCATGCATCAGCATCTAAGGTCTATGTCAAAGCTAATGTATCACCTTATCCTAGTGAGCAGTATCCTCTATTACACAAGACTGACACAGGATAAAACAAAACTACATCCTAAATCAGGGGTCAGCAACCTTTTTCAGCCGTGGGCTGGTCCACCGTCCCTCAGACCATGTGGTGGGCCGGACTATATTTTTTTTGGGGGGGGGGAATGAACAAATTCCTATGCCCCACAAATAACCCAGAGATGCATTTTAAATAAAAGCACACATTCTACTCATGTAAAAACACGTTGATTCCCGGGCCGTCCGCAGGCCGGATTGAGAAGGCGACTGGGCCGGATCCGGCCCCCGGGCCTTAGGTTGCCTACCCCTGTCCTAAATGCTTTGACATGACAGTCAGACCCTCCAAAGGTTGTAGTCAGCATAGTTCTACTTAGGGTAGACCCACTGAAATTAAATAGGCTTAAACACAGGTCTGTTCTGATTATGACTGGCAATGGATAAAACCCCAACTTAAAAAAAAAAAAATACCAGGCTAAGCATGTCACAGAATCAAGGGATAACAACAAAGGGAAGGGTCTGCAGGAGAGGGGAAGTGGGAAAAGAGAAGAGGGATTGTGTGTCTGAATGCTGCCACATTAAAAAGATTCCCTGGATGCACACACAAAAACTCATCATACCAGGGAGAGCGCTACCCTTTCTCTTTTACACCATCCTTCTCTACCTGAATGAGGTTTTGTCTTCTCCTTTTTCAATTGTGTGCAGAGGGGGGCAGGCATTCAAACACGGGATTCTTGTCTGACGTGCTCCTCTTCCCACCCCCTCCTCCATCCTCCCTTGGCCTTAACCTTGGAATCCACTGCACTTCCAAATGGAGCTTCAAAGCAAAGGGAGGCTCTTTTCACTACCCTATTTTGTTACCATCATCACCACCGTCTGCCATTATTCTGCAGTGGCCTCAAGTGGCAGCGGGGGCGCGCGAGTGCGCGCAACCCTCCTCGTCCACGTGAGGACCGGCGTCGCAATGACAGCATTCTTGGGCGGACTAAGCCTCCCCCGCCTACGATCCCACAAGCGGCGCTTGCGATTGGCTGGGTGGAGACGTACACAAAATAAATAAATATATTTTTTTTAAAAAAAAAACTTGAGCCAGGTGACATTTTTATGCAGACCAGGCCCACCCACGTCGGAGCGAGACTGAAAAGCGCAAGCCCGGCCTGTTAAGAAGTCATGGTTGTTGTTATTGGGGTTTTTTGCGCCACTCTCCTCCCGTCCTCCACGCACACGCTTTAAAGCGGGTGGCAGGAACGGGAGGCGCCTCCGCCCCCGCGTGTCCGGAGTGGAGGGTCCCTAACCTAATTATTCCTCCGCCCAAGTAGAAGCGCGCGCCACGGCCAAGCGCGAGATCCTTTCCTGCGCTGCGCCGAGGAAAAACCAGGTCACTGCTGCCCGCCGGGGCGACAGGGCGCTTGGGCTGGGGCGAGGAGGGCGCCCCGCTCCCGCTGACCGGGGGAGGAGGGGGAAGTCCGTACTACCTCGTCGTTATGGGGGTGAAACTCTTCCATGGCCCCAGGAGCTGCCGCGGCGCGTCCCAATTCCCGGCAGTGGCGGAGGCGGCCCCGGTCCTCGCCCTGCGCTGCAGCTCCACCTTCCCTAAGCCGGAGGCGCGCAGAGAATGGCGCCACCCCCTCCTCCTCCGCCAGCTCCCTCTGCCGTCTGAAGGGAGCACTGGAGGCGCCCTCGAAGATGCCGCGGCTTCGCGCACACGCGCGCCTGTAGCTGGAGCGGCGCTGCCGACACAAGCAAGCCTTTTTCGCAGCGTCCGCACGACGTCGAAGCAGCAGCCCCCCGTTTCCCCCCCTTTACCATGGAAAATCCGATTATTTATGGTGCCAGCCACCCGTTTGCCACATCCCCCCCATCTGGAAACAACACTTGATTCTTAGCAGGGTCGAGGCTCATTCTTGAAATCTGTCTTGGATACTAGGGCTGAGTGCTGGAGTATTTGTGAAGAAAAACGTCTCCTGCCACTTTCAGGCTCAATGCGGCTTTTAAGGGCATACACGTGTACGTACATACACATACATAGACTGCCGACAAAACGTTTTCGGGCAAAGGGCATAGCCTTTAGGTGGACTTCAGCCCCAACACTTTATAGCAGGGGTGTCATAGTTGCCATATATTGCCTGTGATGTTGCTGTTAGCTGCTCTGAACCTGGTTTGCCACGGAAAAGTGACAAAGAAAAAAAGAAATGAAGGTGGAGATTTGGTCCATAACTGAGGTCTGTCCCACCCATATGACCCTTTCAGGGGCAAAGGAGCAACTTAAAATGGAAATACACTTGCCTGACTTCTATTCCCTGCTCTTTTAGGCCCCAGGCTAAAGGGATGCAAGTGGAAGTGCACTTAATTCCAATCAGACTAATTCCTAGTCTCTGCTGCGATGTTTCTTGGGGGCGCCTCTGCTCCTGCCAGTTTGGAGGGCTTGCAGGAGGCAAGGGTTGTTCTGTGATGTCCCAGTATTTTTCCTTGCAGCCCAATCATACTTCTGAACAGGGAAGAAGTAGGGTGTTTCCATTTAAAGCTATGGGTTTTTGAATATATGATGGGAAGGAATTACTGCAGGCTTCCCTGCAAAAATATTCTTAGTTTTTGTATTAACTCACCCAGGGCCAAAATTTCTCCCAAGATGCCCCAATTACGAGAGTCAAAGATCATTTTTATTTCATTTATTAATTACTTCCCATGAAACATCCCAAAGTGATTAAACATAAAACATAAAAAATAGGGGAAATGACAACAACAAATACAAATACAAAAAACAATTTCAAATCCAATACAAATACCATAAAGATTGGAATAAGTTTGCATTGGCTTCCAGTGGGCAGAACCACCTTTAATCTTTCTTTCTTTCTTTCTTTGCTAAAGTGGCTTGAATCAACAAGTACTGAACCATGCACAGGGCCGGAATGCACAGGATTGAGTCATGTGTAAAGTCAATTAAAATGACTTCTTGTGTTGATAAGAAAATGGTTGTAAGAATCTCTCCTTGGTGATTGCAAAGGATCAATGATCTTTCATAAAAACCACTGCTAATTCTTTATCATTAGTGTTCTGTTTACAGTGGTGGCAAAAATCAGCTCCAGAGGTGTAGTGGTAAAAATAGCCATGATACTTTGCCTAGATATCTCTGTGCTTGGTGCTCCCCATCACACAGAGAAAGCAAAGCCCTTAATTGCAAATGCCAAGCTACCCTAAGACAACAAAAGACTTTCCAGCATCTAATAACTGTTCAACACAGATGCAATACAGAGGTTGTATTGTGAATAGTATTCTGAAACAACAGTGTTCACACCAGAAAAACTCTTAAGGCAATTAAGCAGCCTAGCAACATCCTTCAACATCAAAAATTGTCAAAGGGGCTTGGCAAAACTTAATAGTGTTTTAAACAAAGCCATTTTTTCTTAGTTAGCAATTTTCTGTTGGTGTAAGGAAAACAACAAGTATAAAATGAGAATTCCTGGATACCAAGATCCAAGTTTGGGGCAAATACTCTTTAATGAGAGAACCCAAGCAGATATTTTAAATCACAAAATATGCAGCATGGAAACAAAACATAGAAATATAGGCTGTTAGGCTTAAAATATGTGCCCTTTAAAGTGAGTTCCAAAGTTTCCCTCTTCCCCTAGCATAGAAAAGACCACATGTTTGGTAAGGAAAAATCATTTACTTACAATTTATCCAAAGATCAGATTCATGTGCTTTTCCATACAGCATTTGGAAAAAGTTTCAGAAACAGTAAAACCTGGCTTAGTTATAGTGGTGAAAGCTCCTACATTATTGTTATAGGTCACTCAAGAATGGTTGACGAGAGGCATACGGTTGAGCTGGAGTAACCAACTCAAACCTATTTATATGCTGAGCTTCTCAGGTAGACTGGGAGAAAACAATAGGCCTGATTACCTAGTTCAGGCTTCCTCAACCTCGGCCCTCCAGATGTTTTTGGCCTACAATTCCCATGATCCCTAGCTAGCAGGACCAGTGGTCAAAACATCTGGAGGGCCAAGGTGAGGACCTAGTTCTTCCCAAGGTGAGGGGAAGTGGACACAGCTAAGCCTGGCAGGTATTAACTCCTTCATGCATTAATTAGACTTAAGCATGTTGGTTATACGAGATATCTCACATTTTCTCAGGTCTTCATTATCACCTCTGTTGCGATCAGATATAGAGCCACTTGTTTGTGAGAAAAGACCACTTGGCAAAGTATGCAGGCTATGAAGAAACAGGGCAACAATCAACAACAATTGTATTTAGGGACACAACAGTTTCTAAGAACATAAGAGCCCTGCTACATCAGACCAAAGGCTCATCTAGTCCAACATCATGGTCAACCAGAGGCCCATGTTAATGGAAGCCCCCCAACAGAACATGAACACTTTCTCCTCTAGGGTTCCCTAGCATTATTAAGAGGCATACAGTCTCCAATAACTAGTAGCCACTGAGGGGTAATACCTCTGGTGGGGAACATGTTGTGCCCCTTCTGGAGTAGTTTGCCCAGCTTTGGTCCCTACCCTGCACTCGGTTCTCACCTGTGGCTCCTACAAGCTGTCAGCATTTGACAGCAGCCACACCCTGGGAAATGGCTTCGACTGGCCAGCAAAACCAGGTGAGGGTGACCAATGGATCAAACCCTCGGTGAGTAGGGGAATTTTCCTGCATGCGAAGACAGGCTCTGCCAGATTGAGCAGGTGAGACCAATAGTGGGTCCAATGGTCAAGAAGCTTTCTGCACATGTAGAGGGAAGTGAGGGGCAGATGGGGCTCATCAATCTGGGAGGGTGGTCCTTCATGGAGAAGGAAAACGCTGATCCTAAACTCCCACTACCTTGCAGGACATCTTTGGGATTGTTGTTTAGTCGTTTAGTCGTGTCCGACTCTTTGTCACCCTATAGACCAGAGCACGCCGGGCACTCCTGTCTTCCATTGCCTCCCGCAGTTTGGTCAAACTCATGCTGGTAGCTTCGAGAACACTGTCCAACCATCTCGTCCTCCGTCGTCCCCTTCTCCTTGTGCCCTCAATCTTTCCCAACATCAGGGTCTTTTCCAGGGAGTCTTCTCTTCTCATGAGGTGACCAAAGTATTGGAGCCTCAGCTTCAGGATCTGTCCTTCCAGTGAGCACTCAGGGCTGATTTCCTTAAGAATGGATAGGTTTGGTCTTCTTGCAGTCCATGGGACTCTCAAGAATCTCCCCCAGCACCATAATTCAAAAGCATCAATAAGAAAAGGCTAAGGAGTAAACCCTACACAAATCTGGAGCGGAGTTGCTAAGAAGGTTGGATAGTGACTTTTAGGGCTCCTTCTAGCAACTCCTGCAGTACAGCTGGTGCCAAACCTATTGCTCTGCTTTCTCTTGCACCACATCAGCGAGGCTGGTGTGTGTGTGTGTGTGTGTGTGTCTTGTCGTCTGGTGGACAGCCCAGAAGCTCCATACAGACTGCCCAGGCTCGCATCCCATTGCAACAGTTTGACTTCACCCCCAGAGGCGCACTCCATTGACTCTCGAGACAGACGATAACAACAACAGCTGAGAGACGCTTTCTCCATGAATTCACCTAAATCCTTACTAACCATTATTTATTTCATTTACTAATTAAATTTCTACACCGCCTTTCCTCCGAGAATCGCAGGGCGGTTTACGACATAAAAGCACAAAACTTGCAGTTTTGCAGGTCACTCTGCGTGTGTAACGCAGGTGCCAAACTTTGCCCTCCTCCTTTACAGCCAGCACTTAAGCCATCGAAACCACCACTTCCTCCCCGCCCTTGTTCTTTCCTACTGAGACTTCTTAGCCGAGCCTCCCCAAATCCTTGCGCGCCCCTCCGAGGTCTTGCAAGGGCGCAAGGGGCTCGCCCTTCTTTCGGAATATCTTCTGCCCGCACACTGCCTACTGCCGCGGCGCTTCCCGAGCCGCGCCAGCAGAGGGCGCTTGAGGGGCGGCAGTCGGCGTCCGCGGGCAGCTGTGCGCCAGCCCGGGCAGGGGTCTCGCTTCTCTGCGCCGAGCCTCGGCGGCGGCAGCAACATCAACAGAGAGCCGCCCGCTGCGCTCGAGCTGGGAGGCGTCCCCAGGGCCCGGCTGCGCTCGCGGGGGCGGGAGGCTGGCGGCGGGGATGCTCCTCCTCGTGCAGGAGCTCAGCACCAGCAGCGGCCGGGCGGGAAGCCGCAGCAGTCTCGCTTGGGACCCGCGCCCAGGCGGCACGAAGAGGGAGAAGCGAGGACTTGACCCGGAGGGTAAGCTCGCCTCCTGAGCGTCGGTTTCCCGCCAAGGAGCTGCTGCCGCGGCCGGTCAGTGTCCGGCTGGCCCCTTTAGCAGCTTCGACGGGGGGGGGAGCGCCCGCGGGGGAGGCAGCTGCGCCACCCCCTTCGGTTTCTCCTTCCCCCGGGGTCGAGTAAGAGGGAGAGACCTGGCCTCCCCCCCCCCTCGCGCTTCCATGGTAGAGTCCGCGTGCTTCGAAGGCGAGCGCGGAAAAGGCTGGTTGCGCCAACCCCGCGCGGAGCGAAGAGGCGGGAGGAGCCGAGAAGAAGTCGGTGGACTTCTCTCCCAGGCTCCGAAAAAAGCGGAGTTTTACTTCAGGCGTTTGCGGTTCGCTTTTTGAGACGGGAGGGAGAGAGATGCTCTTAGGATTCTGGCAAGTGCTGGGATTTTGAGGGTGGTTTTATTTATTTGTTTAGAAACGAGCGAAGGACGGGTCTCGAAGAAAGGCGCTCGTGTTGTTTCCCAGAAATAATTTCGCCTCAGGTTAGTGTTCCCGGGAGTTCGTGCCGGGTTCACCTGCTCGAGACTTGGGCAGCTGCGCGTCTGCTGCCAGTCTATCTGCGGGGCAATTTCGGTCCGGGTTGTGCTGGGTGGATGGAAGCGGCGGGGGAGAGAAAGCCTTGCAGGCAGAAAGTCCCAGGTGCAATCGATTCCTGTCCCCCCCCCCTCCAGGTGTGGCTGGGGGTTGGGGAAGACTCATGCCTGCAACTCTGAAGAGCTGGTGCTAGTTAGAGTAGGATAATACTGAATAAGGCAGCTTTCCTATATTGGAGTATGTGTGTGGAGCAGGTGATCCTTCCCTTTTGTCTAATTGAGCTGTTTTCTTTTTTAAAAAATAAGCATTTATTATTATTAAAAATATTTTATACTAGCAATTACATTAAAGCAAAATGCAATGTAACATACAGTATGCAGAGAAATAGGGTTGCATTTGTTAAATTGTCTACTGAAAATCCTAGACAAAACTCAAGAGACAAGTTATATACAGTACCAGTTTTCAGGTTCATGAAAAGGCTCTTAGTATATATGACCTTGAAGGAGTCTACAAATAAGGTTTGGGATGGTAACCAAGGGTTAGTTTCCACTAAGCCAGCTGCGATGTCCAGTCCACACCATGGCAGTGCAAGAACATCAGTTGAATTTACCAATGTAAGTATTGTCTGATGAAGAGGAGTCATATAACTCAGGATTTATGTAGGCTCTTTAAAAAAAAAATCTGAGATTAATTCTGCAAGTTTTAACAGGGTTTCCATATTTTTATGGCTGCCTCATCAACTCAGGATATTAAACATTGCTGTTTTGTGATACAACCACAAAATGTGGGAGAAGTTCAAAATTTAGCCAGTAAGGTTTTTGGTTCAAGAAAATAGATTACAAAAATTAAGAGAATGACAAGTTTTTCAAGGTGCCACAGGATAACCCCCAGAAAAAAATGGCTATTCTCCCTTAATTTGTATAATACAGTGGTACCTCAGGTTTCAGACGCTTCAGGTTACAGACTCCGCTAACCCAGAAATAGTACTTCGGGTTAACAACTTTGCTTCGGGGTGAGAACAGCAGCAGGAGGCCCCATTAGCTAAAGTGGTACCTCAGGTTAAGAACAGTTTCGGGTTAAGAATGGACCTCCAGAACGAATTAAGTTCTTAACCCGAGGTACCACTGTAACTGTTTATAGGCCAGGAACCAAAACAGTATTTCAGGTGTGCCTAGGGTTCTTGGTATGTCTTGTACAATTTTAGCTTTCACTGTTACTCCCCACCCCCCCATATCATATCCAAATTTGTGGAACTCTCCTCTAGTTCAAAAGAGATTTGCTGCACAGCACCGGCGTGTGTGGAAGGGAGGGATCATGTCCAAACCTTTCTTGGCTCTTGTACCTATTCATGTGGTGGTTGTTAGATCTATGATAGAACTATTTAGTTCAGCTGTTCCTGTGGCAGAGTCATTAGGAAAGCACCATGTAATTTCACTTGCAGATCAAGGTAGTGATTTGAACAGGGATTTGGGAGGAACAATTAAACTGAGTACGCATTACTGCCTACTTGTCCACTCTCATGTGCTCCCACCGCTGGTGTATGAAGCTGAGTACACATTATTTTAGACACAATCCATCTGTATCCCTTAGCTTTTTGAGAAAGGCTCTTTTGATGTGCTTCCCCTCAAACCAGTGGAAGCTGTAGTTAAACTGATGTGTGTACATTTCAGGCTGACATTGACCCATGCACAAATAAACTAGAATTCACCGTGGAGAAACAAATTGGACATGGTATGAAGATACCCCTGTCTCCTCTATGGTGTGTACAGCAGTGTTTAAAAAGCAACTTGAAACCCGGTGGGGGACCTCACTGAGTTTCAAGTCATAGACTTAGTTGAAAGGAAATTACAGTAACAGTCAAATTCTGTGCATCCTGACTAGGAAGTGTCCCTCTATAATCAGTGGGGCTTACTGCTATGTCAGTGTTACAGCCTAAACTGCAACCTAAATTGCAGTGTTGCAGACAGAATTGCAGCCTAAAGCATATTATTTCTGTGGGTTCAAAAACTGACATGTATTCCTGTGAGTAACTTGCTCAGTTTTTCCCCCTCATTGTAGAGTAGGTGGGGTTCTAACTGAATGGATATTGGTTTTTGGTGTTGGCTTTTTGTGGTCTTCTGTTGTGAAACAGTGTTAAGTTCTCATTACCTTACCTACTTTAATTCCTGATTTCATGCAGATGAAGATCCAAGGTTAGATTTGGGCCCTGTATTTGCAAGCCTGGATGAGCTATCGCTGGCAGAGGAAGAGGAGTGCGGGGGGAGTGCACTGCCCCCAGTAGTGTGATCCTGGTGGGGTTCCATTGCAGCTACTTCCCCCACCCACACTGGGTGCCATGCCCCCACAGGCGGTGTGCCATGCCCCCAGGATGCACGCATGCCCCTGTGGGCAGCGCACCATGCTCCCACCTGCTCTCCCCCCCCCCCCAGTGCCAGAGCATGAAGCTTCACCACTGTGAGCTATCATTTGGAGTGACAATAGTGAGGAAACATATTGGCTGTAATTGGGAGTCAAGGCTTTTCCCTATGGCTAGACACTTAAGCTTCAGTTAGACAAAGTATTTAGATCCTGAATAAGCGTGTTCCATCAGAAGTAGCAATAATGTACCTTTCAGGCATATACCCTCTGCTTTTGTCTAGCAAAATGCCCACCATTATAATGGCTGGAATGTATGAGAGAGTAGAGGGAAGTCTTCTACTGTAACACAAAAAGGGAGCAGGAAAATATTGCAGTGTCCTCTGTAGGCTGAGGTGGAGTTTGTTCAGTGCACCTTTGTTGTATCCCCTCTTCAGAATTTCTGTTAATGAGTGACACACATGCTATAACTTCATTTGCATGTAGCACTCAGCCAAATCGTGGCTTAATACCAAGGACCAAATGTGCAAATATCCTGTTGAGGATATTGTGGCCACCTAGCTCCTTCTGTGGCTATTTTGCTACTGTGCTGGACTAAGCCATGGTTTGATTTAGCCTGTTATCTGAACCTGGACCTGTGGTCTAATTCTCAGGCAAACCACCTTGGTTAGCTCACAAGCCCAGGTTCAAGCAACACACTGACTCGTGACTTACCACAGTAGAGCAGCAGAATGACTGCAGGAGGAGCAAAGTGGCTGTGAGCTATCTGGGAACCTGCACATTCGCTAATTTGTGCTAAGTTATAGTTTGCCTTAGTATGACATGTGAACCTGTGTCAGCAGTAGAAATCAGGGTTTGCTCTCATAGCAGTGGTCTGAAGGGCAACACCTTTTATTTCCCTATTGGGATGAATAACAAGCACTTGTTTACATGGGAGAGATAAAGGACTGCACTTGGGATTACCATTCAGATGGCTGCTCAGCCTGACCCGTGCCTCTAATCTCAGACATCAAGATTCAGACCTGCTACTTCAGCATAGCTCCTCTTAGTTCTGTTTCTTGAGGCGCTTCTAGAATGTCACTGTTCTGAGGTGGGATTCAGTCACATACTGGCAAATTCAGGTTGCACAATTATAGTTGTTTGGGAAGTCTTGAGCAGAAAACTCATGTCACTCAGAGGACTTTTTATGATAAAGTGAGGTGAAAGTGTACTGGAAAGTGAGAGAAATAACACCTGTTTTGACATAACACCATCTGACCTCCCCACAAACAAATCAGAACAAGCTCTCTTTAAACTGCTGTTGTCTAACCTCCCTAACAAATCAAGATGAATAAACAGGTTTTCTGGAAGCACCCTTGATTTTACTAAAATGTTATCTATGTGTAATATAGTTTTAGACAGAAAACATCTCGTCTCCTATTCGTTAGCATTCTTAAACTAATCCCAGACAGATCATTCTTCTGACTGGGATTAGTTTAAGAATGTTAACCCTTCATGCCTGGCTGCTTCCAGACTACTTTGGATTCAGTATATGTAGCCAAAATGTATCCATTTATAGTACCTGCATAATAAAGAGCATTCTTTACCCTTTCAGTACATTGCTGCAATATGGAATAAAAATGCAACTTTTGCAATAAATTGTACATCGGGAGTTGGCAAGTGTTTCCTGAAATTGCTTAAGCAAGTTTTTAAACTCATGGTTTTGGAAGAAGGCAGGAAGAAGGTAGATAACTGAAAAGTAGTTTATTTACAAAGCATGTCTTAAAAAATATATCTGCAGCAATGTCCATTCCTGCTTGAAATGTCTTGAACAGAGGAGTCAGAGAACTGCAGTCCACAGAGTGATGTAAGCAAGAGAGTATGAGTCATGGTGTCTGAAAAGGAAGCCGATAAACCTCTTCATCGGTGGACACTGAACAAATTCAAAGCTTGTATAAGCAAGGCGGAGGTCTGATTAAGTTTCACTTGATGACGACAGATCTGACTCTGGTCTTCAGCACACAGTATATCTAGGATGACATTCACAAAGTTTACTAAGGAATTAAACTTGTAGTGCAAAAGAAAGGAAGAGAGCAAAGGAAAAGAGCTGCAACCTAAACCCATATTGGATTTTACAGCAGTTATGGGGGGGAAATGCAGAACGTTACAAATATTTTTCTAGTAGAGTTCAAGAGTCAGAAGCTTTTTGAAAAAAGGATGATAATCAAGTAAGGAATTCAGGAGTATACGGGCTGGTTTCTAGTCTAGATGGATTCTACATTTTTTTTTTTAATTTAATTTTTATTAGTTTCAAATTCATTATGCAACACCAAACATTAAAGCAACAAAAAAGACAAACAAAACACAAGAAAACAACAAAAAAGAAGAAAAACATTACATAACATAAAACACCAACAAGTTAAACTTACAATAACTAAATAACTAAATCACACAACAATAGTTGACTTCCCCTCAACTCGGTTTTGGAATATGTTACAAAAGGTTTCCTATCTGCAGTTTCGTTTTCTTAAAACTCTTTGCGTCGCAAGCGTTATATCGAGCCTACTGTGATTTTTAGATTTTTTACATCTGTTTCAATATATGTCATAAATTTATTCCATTCATTATTAAACTTTGTACCTTTTTGGTTTCTTATTTTCTGTGTCATTTTTGCCAATTCTATATAGTCAAATAATTTTGATTGCCACTCATTTATAGTTGGGATTTTTGATGTCTTCCAGTTTTGTGCTATTAGTGTTCTAGCAGCCACTGTTGCATATTGGAAAAATGTTTGGTCTTCCTTTTTAATTTCTTCTCCAATTATCCCCAGAAGGAAGGCCTTGGGTTTTTTTGTGAAGGTATATTTAAATATTTTTTTTAATTCATTGTAAATAGATTCCCAAAACTTTCTAATTACTTCACAAGACCACCACATGTGGTAAAAATTGCCTTCTTTAATCTTGCATTTCCAGCATAATTTGTCTCCGGTTTTATACATTTTTTCTAATTTTACCGGCGTGATGTACCACCTGTACATCATTTTATTCATGTTCTCTCTAAGTGTTGTACATGCCGAAAATTTCATACCTTTATTCCAAAGTTTCTTCCACTTATCAAACTCTATGTTGTATCCAAAGTCTATCGCCCATTTCACCATTACTTCTTTTATTTCTTCATCTTTAGTGTCCCATTCAAGCAACTGGCTGTACATTTTTGATAGGAGTTTTGATTTGTTTTCTAATATTTCTACCTGGAATCTGGATTTTTTTTCGTTCATCCCATTCTTTTTATCTTCAGTCCACATAGCATTGATTTGATGAAATTGGATCCAGCCTGTCAATTTATTTTTTATCTCCTCATATGGCCTAATCTTCCATCCATTTTCTGTTTTTACTAGCAAATCTTCATAAGTCCATCTTTCTCCTTCAGTATTTATTTTTTTTATTGTTAAGATGTCGATAGGTGATAACCACCAAGGGGTATTTCTTTCCAATAATTTTTTGTTTCTCTCCCATACTTCCAGCAGTGGCCCTCTAATAATATGATTAGAGAATCCTTTGTGGACCTTTTCCTTATTGCGCCATAAATAAGCGTGCCAACCAAATCTTATGTTGAAGCCTTCTAAATCTAATAGATCTGTGTTTTTGATAACAATCCAGTCTTTAACCCAGCAAAGGCACGAGGCTTCATAATACAACTTCAAATTTGGAACCGCAAATCCTCCCCTATCTCTTTGATCTGTGAGTAATTTGAATCTAATTCTTGGCCTTTTCCCTTGCCAAATAAATTTCGAGAGTACTTTCTGCCAATCTTTAAATACTGAGGTTCCCCTGATTATCGGTATATTTTGAAATAAGAACAGCAACTTCGGTAATAAACTCATCTTAATTGCCGCCATTCTTCCTGACCAAGAGAGTTTTATTCTATTCCAGGTATCCAGGTCCTTCCTTATTTCTTTCCATGTGTTTGTGTAGTTGTCTTCCATTAAATTTATATTCTTCATCGTTAGCCAAATTCCGAGGTATTTTACTTTTTTAGTTACTTTGATCCCGGTCTGTATTTCAAGATGGTTTTTTACCTCTTCTATCATATTTTTAGTCATCATTTTAGTTTTTGTTCTATTTAGTTTAAAGCCGGATAACTTTCCGTATTCTTCTAGCAAATCTAACACTTTACCGACGCTTTTTGGGGGGTTTTCCAGCGACAACATAAGATCATCGGCATATGCTTTCAATTTGTAGTCTTTCACTCCAATTTTTATTCTGCGTATCTCTGAAGTTTTCCTTATCTTATTTGTAATTATTTCTAACACCATAATAAACAAAAGAGGTGTCTTGTACCCTTCGAAATTTCTAAGGATTCTGTTAAGTTATTATTAATAATTAGTTTAGCACTTTGTTGTGAATAAATTGCTTTTATTCGTTCCAGGAATGTGCCCTCTATCCCTGCTATTTCTAAACATTTTATTAGAAAATGCCAGGATACATTGTCAAAAGCCTTTTCGGCGTCAATGAATATTAATACCGCGGGGATCTCATTCTTGCATTCTAAGTATTCAATAAGATTTATTTTATGTTGTCTTTTATTTGCCTGTTAGGTAAGAAACCGGCTTGATCATTATGAATGAATTTGACTAAGCACTTTTTAAGTCGACTCGCCATTACATAGATGGATTCTACATTCTGCTGTGGGTGAGGGTGAGTGTGGTTACTCAATATGCACTTGAAAACCCTCCCCTTAATTAGGTTGTCCACTCCTCTTCGTCCCTGCAGGTGTCCCAGGTGGTGATTGTGATCTTGATATACACCACTCACAATGTCATTGGACAGGTGTGGTGTCCATCCCACCACCCATTGTTAGGTAACACAAAATCAATCTGCTATGAGCTCTTGTTTTTGGAATGAAACTTCCGGGGTGGCGCCATCGGCAATGGCGGACTCCCTCTGAACTGGAGGGACTAGCTCCGCGTGAAACGGGTCTTCTCCGCTATGGCGAAGCGGGGACCCCTTTAAAAATCACAGGCGGATGAAGCCTGTGACCGTGGGACTCAGCGGGCACCTTTAGCGCCCCCCCCAACTCGCAAAGGAACCCACTAACGGGCTCCGAAGTGAAGAGGGGGAAGTGGCGCGGTGCTGTGAGTCAACTGCTATTTCCGTGGAGCTAAGCCGCATAGCCGTTGCCGGAGAGCACTGCCTTTTTCCTGGGACAATTTGGACTCTAAAATAAGCACCCGTGAGTACTTAAACTTTGAGCAACTGGACCTTAAATAAGGACTTGCAAGCAGAAAGGAATTGGATTTAAAAATTTGTTTCAATTTGGTACTGAACGGGAAGGTCTAAACAGGAAGTCAGCCTTCCGTTCTTTTGTAGACAGAATAAAGCAAAGACAACGTAAACTAGAGCTCAGAAAATCGCCTTTAAAGGATTGGATTTCACCATTTAAAATTGTGGAACCCCCCTTCGATAGCAGGAGAAGAAGGGGGATCTTTTTTCGGACTGTTTAAAGTGAGTTTAAAGTAAAGTAACTTTCCACCGTCCTGATCCTGGAGCGGGGTGTCAGGACTGACGTTTGAAGCTCATTGACCAGAGACAAACGTTTTTGACAGATAGCTAAAAGAAGAGAAACATAGTGATTCCACTGTTTCGCTTCGCATTTTAAAGGAACAAATATTGACAAAATATCTTAAAAAGGAAAACTTTGTTGCAAGAACAAATAGAAGCTTTCCCCCTAGAGGGAGATTGTGAAACTGTAACCAATTCCAGGGAGCTGGCAGCTGTTACAGATTACAATCGTGGGAATAGACATTTGACCTTGCAGGACAATGTATTCAGAAGCTCTGTTGTGTGCTTTCTATAAAACAAATGCCCTACTGGAACAGTTACATGAGAAGATGAATTTGATGGCGACTTCGACTAGAAATTTTGAACAGGCAGTGGGAAATTTTGAACAGACAGTGGGAAAATATGTGGAGCCCACCCAGGAATTAAATCAGGAGCGTGTCCTGACAGAACAGGCCCAACAGGAATATGAGCTTTCGGACTTGACAAATGAACTTGGAAAAGCCAGATTTGGAAAGAAAAAGTTTGGTTTGGCTTGGAAATGGGGGGCTGGATTGACCCCCCTATGCTGGGATGTTTGGACTTTTCAAATCTGGCAATGGGCCGTGAGATGTTTGGGATTGTGGGGGCTCTTAATTTTGGAGGGTTTTTGAAACATGTTTTTAAATACCACATGGAATTTAGTGTTGAATATGGAAAAGGGGCTGATTTGTTGAGAAGGGTCAAAAATATTGCCAAGCTGGAGTTACCACAAGTAGGAGACAAGGGAAAATACAGTTACAAATATGAAGAAGAGCTGCGGAAGGGACATGGAAGAGACTTGAGGGCCTCAGATATAAGGTTGCCAGGTTAATGCGCTAGATCGATGGGATAATAAGGACTGACAAAACCCGGGACCAGGAGGAAGGGACGCTGGATGAAGATTGGATCTGTTTGTATTTCTTTTTTTTACTATTAGGACTGTTTTATAAAATTGATGAATGTTAGAAAAATGTTGGAATGAAATTACTTGGCTCTAGCAAAAATGTTTAAAGAATTAGGCAAGAATATTATGGTTATGAGAAGTGGGTAAAAATAAGATTTAAGTTTTAAGGTTTTTTATAAGATAAGATGAAAATAGAATGAAATTACTTGGCTCTAGCAAAAATGTTTAAAGAATTATGAAAGAATATTATGGTTATGAGAAGTTGGTAAGGATAAGATTTAAGCTTTAAGTTTCAAGGTTTTTTTTTTATAGAAAGATAAAATTAAAACAGTTTAAGGTAGTGTAATGACAGAATATTATGAAATATGGAAAGGATTTGCTGGGATAATTAATAACTAGGATACAAAGAAAGGGAGGAGGAGGAGGTCAAAGAAAGAAGGTAATGACAGTTGAGGATTTGAGAATAATGAATTTGTTTTTAAATGTTTGTGGTGTATTTTTGTTTTTTTGTTTTGTTTTTTTTCTTATTTTGAATTTGTATTCGTATTGTTGGAAGTGGTTTGTTTTTCCCTTTTTCTACTTTGTTAACCATTTTTATTTTGTATTTTCCTCTTTTTCTATTTTTATTTTGTAACATTTTGAAAATTTCAATAAATATCTTTAAAAAAAAAAATGAAACCAGTTTCTGAGGAAGTGCTTTCAGCAATAGAAACATGCAATAGAAAACAATTAATTTCCGACGATTCTAGGCTAAAATGTTGTGTGTATGTACGTCATACATTTAAAACATATTTCCCCCAAAGTGGCAGTGGAACTGTAGTTTACTACCACTTATAGAGCAACAATCCCTACCAGCCTTAACAAACTACAGTTTCAAGGTTTCTTTTGAGGGAGGGACAATGGCTTTAAATGTATGGTGTGTACACAGCCTCACAAGGGTGGAGAACAGAAAGGTAAATAGGGAAATGCTCACTTTCAGTTACATTTCTTCTAATACATATTGCTCCTCAGTAGTCTTAGCTTTCATGAGAATTCTGTGGAAAGAGCTGGGAGAGCTGCAATTTAGGGAGTGATGTCAGCAGAGAGCGTGAGTCATCAGTTTTGATTTAGGAGGAAGGTTACATTTATCGGAACTTAAGAAGATGCCTAATGCAGAGTCAGGCCACTGATAATAGAATCATAGATTTGCAGAGTTGGAAGGGACCACAAGGCTCATCTAGTCCATCTCCCTGCAATGCAGGAATCGTTTTGCTAAATGTGGGGCTTGAACCCACAACCTTGAGATTGTACACTGGGCAGCAGTGGTTCTTCAGGATTGCAGGAATCGGGTATTTTCAGCCCTACCTGGAGTTGCTGAGGATTGAACCTGGGACTTAATGCATGCAAAGCAGATGCTCTCCTATTGAGCTTCTCATTGTTGGTTTCTGGAGAAATTGAGAGCTGGTGCAAGCAAGGTGCTGTTATCACAGTACTGAGCTTCACTTAACGATGGTAGACTTGACCTGATTGTGGCTCTTCTAGTAGTTTTCTTTTTCACATCGCACATTATAGTTTGTAAAGTGAAAATGCAAAGAACAGGTGCAGTCAGGATCATTTGGACCTTTGGGAATGCGCTCTCTCTCTCTCTCTGTGAATACATATATGGGAATGGATGAGTTTAACCTTCTTACCACCTGACATTTCTCTGCTTCAACTCACCTCAAGCTGCTGTGGAACTCTTGCACTCAGTAGTGTTCAACATATACTTAATATCAGTTACTGAAATCGGTGCTGAGATGGTTCCTGTCCTTAGGTTTACAATCTAAAAGGGCATGACACATGAGAAAAATACGAATGGGAAGGAGGAGGGAAAATTTTTAAATTACAGTTGTTGTTGTTGTTATAATACAGTTATATAGTTCTGTCTATGCAGATTCTGGATGTCTTAGAGGGCATCAACTTCCCACTGATGTCACTAGTGGTTCTGACTGCCTTGCCCTTGATGGAGAGCAGTTCCTCTCCAGAAGCATTTTTTCGCCCCACCCCAATCAGATCTGGCAGGAGAGTGGCAACAATGTCCAAGCCAGAAGGACAGGGCTGCTCCTGCCACACACAGTTCTTTCCTCAGACAAAATTTGTGACCAAGTCCAAAATTACAGCTCTGTAGAAGATCTTTAGTTTTTAACCAATATGGGATTGGCTTTTCAGGATCTGGGACATCATTCTCATGGATGAAATTTATGTGGGAAGTTCAAAGCTTCACAGATAGTATGTCCTCTGAAGTTTATTTCAAGCATTGGTTTCTCGTTCATAATTGGTTTCTGCTATTTATTTGGAATAGCATTCTGGTGTTGCTAAGAAACTAATTTACTCATAAATATTCATTTGTGACAAAGTATTCGGGCAAATTACCAGACATTTGGTAATTTTTTTATTGGAAAATACCCATTTCCTAGGAGAATCCTGGGCATAGTCTCATGGTTGGTGATCAGAGCTGGGCACAGTAACTTTATCTGTTAAATTGCCTTATCTGATAGTGGGCCTTTTCTATACATGGATAGTTTTAACACTGCCAGTTCACTGAATGCCTCTAATTTAGGAACTGACCAGAATGGTGACAAATGCAGCAATTATTAATTTTGGGAGGAGGCAGATTAGAATAGATTGGCCATAGCATCTAGTCATGCCCTGAAGCACTATGCCAGAGGACTGATTTCAGCAAACGTTTCATGGTCAGATTATTATACTGTGTGTGAAAAGCATAGAGGCTCTGTTAGAAAAGGGAGAGCTTATATAGACCTGCTGGGTATAACGTTTTACAGAATTGGGTTTTGTACATATATCTATTACTAGCCCATGTTTAAAAGGGAATAAACTACCAACAATAGCATGTTTGAGGACTCTGATTTTGATGAGTATTAGAAGACTTATTAAACTACAGATCAAATACCCGGAAACGTCAGCTGGAAGATCGTTCTATTTGAAAAGTTGTCCATCTGTCATCCAGATTTTTGTGCAGTTTTACCACTAGCACTTGCAGTGTGACAGAACTCTTCATTCTGACACAATTCAGTAAGCTGGAGACAAGCCTCATTATTACTCTTTAAAAATAATAAACTTATTGAGACCTGGCAATTCGCCAGTGAGGAGCAGCGGTTCCGAAAAAGCATTACTGAGGGAAGAGAGCTTGACTTTTCTACAGCTCATTGGCTAGTCTGGAGAACTTAGCCATGAGCCTGGGTTGGGCCCATGTGCTAAGTCAAAACCTGGCCTGGCTTGGCAAAGTATAGCAGCAAAAGGACTGGAGAGCCGCAAATTGGCATGTGAAGTCCAGGTTATTATCTCTTGAAAACTCCATACTGAAATTAGATGCAATATTAGATTCTTGATCCTAAAACTACTGTTCCTTTCTAAGTAAAAAGAGATTCGGAAACTCTTCTTTATATTAGCAAATGGTAACAGGGTCCCTGTCTTATGATAAGCCCCAATCTTCTGAAAATTTGTGATAATTTCTTGGCAGGGTAGGGTAGGGTAGGGTAGGTGTTGCTCAGCCCTTTCCCACAGTGGGCAAGATGTTCTCTGCAGTCCCTGCAGGGACTTAGTTCTGGTGCCAAATGTTTACTTTGTTATATGAGATTTCTTCCTAATTTGAACTCAAGATGCCTCCGTAAATATGACCTCTACGTGAGGCAAACAGTGCAGATCTGTTCAGCTTTGCAAGTTCCTCTTGGTTGGCGCAGAATTGGAATCTTGTAAAGCTGTTAGACAAGTATATATAACTAACTAACTAACTAACTAACTAACTAACAGCCGACTCAATACATTTTGCTGCCTAAGGACAAGATGGCATCTCCCATTCCATATAAAGCAACTGACTGAACTGGCATTGCATCTTACTCAATACTAGGTTCTTGCTGTTTTTAAACAGATCTTCCAACTGCACAAATTCCCATCAGATACTCCACACTAAAATAAAAAAGTGGACTGAACACAAAGCCTTATTTGCTCCTTGCACCCTGTTTTAGTGGGCGCTTCATATCTACTATACAGTGACAATTCATTTATGAATCTTCCTTAGTTCCGTAACAACAGGCACAAAAAGCCCCAAGGGTACTTTAAAGGTACTTACAAAAATGAGACAAAGCAGTACCCACCTGAAGGTGAAGGTGAAGAAGAGGAGGTTCCAGCCATTTTATTTTAAGCATGAAAACAGAGAACATTCTACACACACACACACACACACACACACACACATACACAAACACATTTTCCCCCAACTCTATGTTTTGTGTCTACCTGCGCACGCACACCCACCCACCCATCCCCCTACACCCCTTCTTCAACACTGGTGACAGGATAGTGCCCTCTACCACACCTGAATTTAGGGGGTCTAGGACAGACAGCAGAGCATACATGGGCCTGTTATCTAGCAAGAACAGATACACCTTAGGAGAGTGAGTGAGGGAGAGTTGCAGCTCCTGCCCTCCAACACCTGTTGCCTGATGTAGTTTCTATACTTTGCCTAACAGTAGAGAATAACATGTTTTTGTATTGTGTTGTGGTGTTCTTTTTTTCTTATTTTTTGCGTGTGTTTGAATTGTCGGAAAAGTAATAAATATTATTTTTTTTTTAAAAAAAGAGAATAACATTTTCCAGGCAATGTACAGTAATGGTGTATAGTAGGATGTGTTGATAAAGTTCTATTGATTGTAATGAAACCAGATGGTATCTGTAAGTGGAATTATCCTTTCTACCACCATTTATTTAACATTTCTTTGTCATAGAAAATTAGTGCAACAAAATTATTTGCATCACAGTGTGGTTCACTGCTAAGGCCCTGTTTGCATCTTTTGAGTAGGTTATTTCAGAGCTATAACATGTCTGAAATTGCAAAGCATAGCCCAAATGTAGCCCTTGTACTTCGCCCTTTGAAGTTCAGGTTTTCTCATCTAAAGGAGTGCAGCTGATTTTTGTCATGTTTCCTAAACCTGATTTCTGCCATTTGGTATTGAAAAGGAAATTGAACAGATGTGTAGCTTAATTTCTTCTTATTAATAGCCTAATCTCAAAAATTGAAACAATTTATATAAAAAGCTTTTTCTAAAGGCCGTATTGAGCATGTAGACTGTGCTACTGAATAATTTAAATCTTATAAATACTGTGCAAGGACTTGATTCATTAACATTAGCCTGACATGCTTAAAGGCCAATAATTCTAGAAAGATAACTTGTTGCTCTTCTTTGCCTGGTATTAATCACCCAGACATTAATAAGTGGACACAGGAACAGGCAGCAAGTGTGCATTCGTTTTCATCCCAAGATTTGTTTCTGGCACTTCTTCTTTTTAATTCCTCAAAGAAAATGCTGTCAGCTTACCAAGAGTGGGTTGTTGAAAGGGAAGTTCCAGCTTCATAGAGCTGTAGGGAAGAGAAACGGAACTATTTAAATATTTCACAGAGGCCACAGAAGAGCCTTTAGAAACAATTGTTTTCACGGGGAATTGGAACAAGGGAACATTTATTTATGAGAATTGTGTAAACCTGGGATTCTTTTTCTCTAACCTTTTAAAATGCTCTGTTCTGCAGGTGCCTATCAGATGCCATTAATGTTTTTGATAGCCACCTGTGGTGATAAGGATTAACATTTCTGGATTGCCAGATTGAAATGTTTTAAATACTGTCATTTAGTATTTTGATAGTAGATTTCTCGTTGACGATAATGACCTTTTCCCATTTCCTTTATTTCATTGCTCATCAAAAATAAGTTAAAGTGGCATGCATATATATGCATGCAGTGGTCTTTTCCATGTGAAGTAAAATAAGTTTAAATTTAGAAAACAGTATTGCTTCCATAGCTGTTAAGAGAGGGAAGTCTCATTACATCTGAAGGCAGCCCTGTTCAGGGAAGTTTTTAATATGTGACATTTTAGTGTATTTTTCATCTTTGTTGGAAGCCGCCCAGAGTGGCTGGGGAAACCCAGCCAGATGGGCGGGGTACAAATAATAGATGATTATGATTATGATTATGATTATGATTATTATTATTATTATTATTATTACAGATTGTTTAGTAGGCTGTTGACTGTTTTCATAATACTAAATTTATGTTTTGGGATGTTCTGATTTGGTTTATTGAAGATTTTATGTTTTGTTTAAATTGCGTAGACATGTTTTAAAATAAGAGTTTTGAAATGATAAATAGTTTTTTCAAAAATATTGGTGATGGTTTTTGATGTTGTTGTAAACTGGGCAGGGTACACAGTGGGAAAACAGAATATAAATAAAGTTCCTAACACAGTGATCCCAACTAAATCCATTGGAAGGAGATGGGATCACTCCTAATCCTCTTGTACTGGTGGAGGCTAAAGATACACTAGCATAGCGATTCTACATTTCTGTAGCTTCATTGTTGCACCAGTGGGAACTACTGCTGGTAAAACCCTGTCAGTGCAAGGGAAGATCAGAAGCTAGTTGGAATTCTGTGTTCCTTGGTTAGTCCCTCCCTTTAATAGTAGTATATGAAAATGTGTAAGTTAAAACTCTCAAATTTAAGTTAGAAGAGATTTTTAAATGAGTGTTTCCCTCCCCCTCCCCCCGTCCAACCAGCCACAGTAGAGGAAAGGATTCAGCTAATCGTGGAGTACATAAGCCTTTTTCAGAGAACATTGACTGCAAGTACATGGCATAGGACTACATAACTCTGCCTCAATGCTTATAGAGCTGGAAGCCCTCAAGTGGAGACATTAATGATGTGTCATTGGGCAAAGAGGGAACACTTTGCACTAATGGCAGATAACTAACAGCCAGAGAGGACAAAAAGAAAGGAAGAGAAGATGTATAACACTTGGCTTCTCAGAACCCTAATGGGTTCATTCTCTCATCAGGGGATGAGACACTATGCTTCAAAGCATGATGCCACCAATAACTTCATCCCTCTTGCTGAAGCTTTCTCAGAAAAGAGTGGGGGATATGGGAGGTTTCTTCAGCAACCAAGGGCATAATATGTCTTCCACCTCCACCCTTTGCATGAGGGAAAGCTGTTTATGTTCACTGTGCTAACAACTGTTACTCTGTAGGTTATAAAAATGTCTCCCATACAGAGGACCTAAGTTTGTCATCTGCAGTAAGTGGTTTAGTGCCAGCAAACCCAAGATTGTGGCAGAGCTTTGTTTTTAAATACACAGATCTGCCACTGTTGTATTTACTTGCCCTCTGTGTGTTCAGAGTGTAGTGCAGTAAAGTCACAATTTCTGTTGGCTTCCAAACAAGATTCTTATGCTAAGACACTCATGTGAGATTGTGTGTGTGCAATCATTACTTCTTTCTGTTTCTTTTATCCTCTTGGCTTAAAGATATCAAATAGCAAATGTAGCAGTAGAATTAGACAAATTGATGTCCTGTTGAGCAAATGAAAGGAGGTCAGCAAGACCTAACAACCTGCTGTAGTCTGCAGTCTGGAAAGAATCTTCTTCTAACCACTGTGGAATTTAACACTGTCAGAACGTTTTGTGTGTGTGTGTGTGTGTGTGTGTGTGTGTTTTAAGTGCTGTGAAGCATATTCAAGACTGGCTCTGTGAAAAGAGATTCACTTAATACAAAGATGGCCATTGCATGTCAGGAGACCGTATTTCTCTCTTGTTCTGTAGCCTACATCTTGTCCTGGCACTGCCTACAATTAGACACTGGTGGTTAACAATGGCCAGCAGCTGTATTTGTGGGCTCTGTTCTTTTGCCAAGGTTCTGTCAAGTTCTAGTAGGTGTGGGAAAGACCACAATTCAATGGTGTGGCACCTGATTTTCATGCAGAAGGTCCTGGGTTCACTCTGTAGTGTTCCTGTCAGGTAGCAGGTGAAGGGGATGACATTTGCCTGAGATCGTGGAGAGGAGCTGTCAGTCAGAGTAATAATAAATAATAATAACTTTTATTATTTATACCCCGCCCATCTGGCTGGGTTTCCCCAGCCACTCTTGGCAGCTCCCAATAGAGGACTAAAAACAGAATAAAACAGTAGGCACTACTGGGCCAGACTGACAAAATAGTTTGGCTTGGCATAAGGAAGCTTCCTGTGTTCCCTAGCATTGCTGAGAAATTGAACCCAGAGGATGGAACTGTGTAGATGGACAGGCATGATTCTCAGTGACTGGGGTGACCAAGGGCAAGGTTGCTCTTGCTAACAAGGCCAATGACAGGGTTGCTGTGTTCATGGTGCAGTTGTTCTTGTGGATAGAGTTGATTGCAATAATAATAATAATAATAATAATAATAATAATAATAATTTATTATTTATTATTTATACCCCGCCCATATGTCGATCCTTTCTCTAAAACATAATGTTGCCCCTTATAATAAGGGGGGAGGAAGGGGTAAGATTTAATGAAATCTAAAACATCACTTGTTCTTATGGGAAAATATGAAGTTATTTGAGCATGTGAGTCTTTCACATGCTGGTGTTTTATCCTCCCAAACACTTTTACTTGGACACAAGTCTGATTGATTTGAGACATACTTACCAAAAAGTGTCCTTAGGAAACAAAGTCATGTGTCCAAGTTCTTTCAGGTAGCAACTTTCACTGCTTGAGCACTACCTGCTTCCCTTCTACCAGGAAGAACTTGGTACTCTAGAGATGCTGTGATATGCAAACAGCCCTGTGTCCTGGGGTCTTCTGCCATTGTTTTGATTCAAGCTGTGTTTGACCTACAAATTGGTATAGTTCACTGCAGAGTTGCACCATCAAAGCAGGTTGCTAAACAATTCTAAATTAAATTGAAGACAAACCTTTTGCTGTCACGTACCATTTGAGGACATACTTTGTATGGATTTGTAAAGAAATACAGAATGACATATGGATAATTCTGGCCAGATAAAACCTATTACTCAAAGCTAAATTGATCAGAACCGTGTAACAAATGTTACTCATTTTCTGCTCCGAAACAAAAAAAACATCTGTGGTGTTAAATCACCTGTGGAGAAGGGGAAAAAAAGGCTTGGGCATAACTCACCTCAATCTTATTGTTTTGTCTGCAGCATTTGTACTGAACTAAAACCTGTCTTTTTTGAGATAAACTATATACCTTGTGCTTCATCACTGTCATTGAATTTCCATTTTAAGTACTACATTTCAATGGGAAATGAGATAAATATTAAAAACTTAAAGCAGTGCAGAGGTTTGGGATAGCATTCTGTCAGTTTGTTAGATTGTGTCACACTCATCACAATTTAAGTTGCACATATTATTTTCTCCGCACACTGTTGGCGTGTTCAGGCATTGACCTCAACATGCAAGTGCAAAACTGTGGAGCAGGGTCAGGGGGTCAGGGCTGCATGTTCATGCCCTTCCCTTGATGTACATGGTTCTCCTGTGGAGATCTTCCATCTGTTAATGTGGGGAAAGTCTGCTTACGATGCAGTGCATCTCTGTGTTGTTGTCAAATACTCCCTTTCAGAGAGCAGCTTAGGGATGAGATGAGAAATTTTGAAATCCACAGAGGCAGGAGCAGAATATGAGCGAGCTAGAGGCTGGAAGCATCTTGGGATTGTAGGTGCTTCTCTGGAGACCTGAAGTGGGGCAGAGGATCTGCTGCCTGATAGGAGTTCACATGCTGCTTGCCTCCACCTGTGCTCCACTTGTAAATAAGCCAAATATTACGAAAGCATAATATGTGTCTAGTGTTCTCTCGTCCAAATGAAGCTAAACCAAGCTAATACTCCTCCTGAAACCTCTCACCACTTGGGAGAAGTGAGGAACACATAATACTGTATTTTTTATATAAAAACTAATGTTTATTAAATATTTTCTTGGTTTATAAAAGTACGTGCATTGTCTCTTTTTCAGGTTGTTAAGTCTTTTCTACAGATCAGTTACATTTGATATGAGACTTTAGTGTTATATACAGTATAAGATCAAGGAAGAAGAGAGGGGAGAGATGGGGTGGTGAAACTTACATTCTTTTATATAGTGTATGTATGGGGTTTTGTGTCAGTGTCAACTGGATAGGTTCTCTTTCAATTCGCTTTTTACATTTCCTTGGTAGTGAGAGGGTGTGGTTGGTTGTCTGTAGTTGGCTGCAGTGAGGTTTGTTTGCGTTTGTGAGTGGGGGAGGGATGGTTGGGTCATGTAAGTCATCTATTTTCCCATGTCAGTTTCGGTCTGTCGGTTAGCTTTTCTAGGAAGGCTGTTTCCCATGTTATTTGTACCAGTGGCCCATGTTCACTCCTGACAGATCTCTGCAGTGTCTGGCTATGATGCTTTTGTCTGATGAAAGTAGGTGGGTTATAAGCTCTTTATAATGTGAATGGACATTATTATCTTGGAAAATATTCAGTAGAGCCAGTTCTGGGGTGAATTCTAATACCTGTTAGTTATTTTGCATATCTCTTGTAGGACTGCTGTCCAGGAGGGTTGGATTTTGGGGCATTCCCACCACATGTGAAGGTATGTGCCTGTGGAGGTGCAGCCTCTCCAACATTTTGGCTCCTGGGCTTATCAATGCCAGTTTCATGGTGTTAGGTACCATCTATAGGTAAGTTTAAGAGTGAGTTTCCTTCTTTCGGCTGAGATGGATTTAAAGGGAGGTTTAGACCACATTCCAGTCCATTGGATGGGGTTAAATTTCATACCCTATGTTGTGCTCCTGTTGTTTTTGATTGCGTCATGAGGATTTGTGGGATTTTGGAGCAGTATTTTGTATACTGTGATTACCATCTCCTTGCCGTCTCCCGTTGCTGTCAGGAGAAGGTTTTTGAAGGTAGCCAAGGGCTTAGTGGCTGCTGATTTTACTGGTGGATTGTTCAAGAAGGCGTGTAGTTGGTGCTGCATTAGCCAAGGTATTTGGGTGTCCCCTAGTTTGTCTTGTATTTCTTGTGTCGGTATAGGTTTGTGTCAGTATGGGTAGAAGTCTTTAAATGATGTAGGCCTTTGGCTTGCCAGGTTTTTATCTGGAGGCTTTGTGCTGCATGTTGGAATAGTGGGTGATGAGCCAGGGGAATTAGTGAGGCTAAGGCTGGGGACAGTTTGCCTACTTTTTCCTTCCATGCTTTAGGCATGGACTGTGTGAACCTGTTTAGTATTGTGGGGATTTTCTTTAGTTTGTTTTGGAGAAATGGGTACAGTTGAACCTCCTCCTCTTCTTATGGTTGTTCCAAGTCGTGACTGCGGCAAACTCGGAAGTAACTGTCAGGTTTGCTGCCGTTCGCGCATGCGCAGGAGCGGCGATCGCCATTCATGCATGTGCAGAAGTGGCAATTGCCGCCCGTGCCTGCGCACAACAGCGCCTCTCCCAGCAACCCATTTCGACCTCTGGACAGACCTCCGGAACAGATTATGGTCGCAAATAGAGGTTCCACTGTATGCTGTTTTGGGGAAGTTTTTGATTGTTCTCTCCAAGTGGACCCATTGTTTCGTCTCGTCATCTAGAATGTATGGGATTATATGGCACACTTGGTTAGCAATGTAATATGATTCTATTTTGGGGGTTCCCCATCCTCCTCCTCAGGAGGGGAGGCACAGGTATTTGGGGCTTATTCTTGGCTTTTTGTGAGAGAAAATAAATGAGTATAGTTTTTTCTGCCATTTCTGGAACTGGGGATAATACTGTATTTCTAAAGCTAACTGGTATTTATCAGCTCAATTGGCTTTTTAAAAAATCTTCAGGCATTAAGTGTTTTAGCCTGAGTATTAGTATTTTAATACATATGTGCTACTGCTTCACACTTCTGTTTTATAAATTTGGTACAGCTTGGAAGCACAGGCTTTGATCTAACAGAATCCAAGACAGCGTGCCAGGGAAGCTGGCATAATTCCAAAAAAAATGAAAGAGTCGCTTCTAGCTTCTGTTTTTACTTGAGCAATGAATGTGCCAACAAGTGTCCTTTTGGTGCTGTGTATTAACTGCTGATATGTAACTTCAGGAGATGAAATAATAGGAATTCTAGCAAGATTGCGGTGTTTGTTTAATGATGGGCTTTTTTGTTACTTCAACTCTTTACCATGCCTTCATGTCTAACCATTAAAAAATGTTTTGCAGTATTTGATAATTAAACATTGTCTGGGTATAAAGACACTGTCTCCACCTGACAGCCTGAACATCAATATGTTAATACAAAAAGGTTACTTTTTATTTGTTGTGATCCAGCAGTGACATGAACTGTTTATTCCAATTAGTTACATTGAACTTTGTTCAGTTGATCATAAGCTCATTTATTTGGAAGGAAGTCCTATTAGGTTCAAAAGGGTATACTCTGGAGTAAATGTACATAATACCACAGTCCCGCAACATGTTTTGATATATTTAAAAGCCATGCTGTTGGCCGTTTTAGTATAATGAAGGCTCCACTTGCAGAGCTAAGGAGTGTGTGTTTGGCATTCCAATAACTCTTAATGCTATTCACGCTGCAGCCATAATCCAGCTTGTTGCATATTCCTCTGTTTTGTTGACTACCAGGGCATGTTGCAGGCTGTACAGTGTCAAGAGAGGGTGCTCTGAAGCGATCCTATGGATGGTCCATTGTGTCGCCATTGCATAATGAGACTAGGAGCCTCAGGAGGGTTGCCATTTCTAACCACTGGGAAATTTCCCAGAGTGCTGAGGAATCTATCAGATTTTTAAAATGTCCATTATATTCCCCACTTATAAAAACAAAATACTATCTGGCGTGAATGAAAATAGTCATATATGCATTACAAAACAGGAAACAATGCTAGTTTGAACTCCAGTTTTTGATGGTTTGTCCTAACATAGTAAAGTGCCTCTCTTACCTCACAGGGTACTATTAAATTAGGGGGTTCATTTTTTTGTTTGTTTTACTCTCTTTATGTATGTGCTTTTTCTCCCTCAGAAAAGTGATCTGTTGGTTTTTTAAAAAATAAAACAGAAGAGTGGCATCTAGCAAGTGTCGCTCTGCTTATAGAAGACATCCATCAGTGGAATGGGGAGTGAGGCAGTTTTTGCCAATGCATCCTCTCCCTTTCAACTTCATTGAGCCTCCTCAAAATCAGTATATTTTGCAGAGGAGATAATCACACACACACACACACACACACAATTCCTCATTCTGTTGATGGATGCCTTCCATTAGTGGAACAACACCTGTGGTATTCTGTTGTAAATGCTTCATACAAACTGAAATACCCACTGTGCAGTACTAATGCAGTGGCATTCCTTCTGGTGATCTGACTAGTTCAGACCTTAGAGCCATAGCTCAGGAGCAGAGCATATGCTTTGCATGCAGAAGGTCCCAAGTTCAGTCTGTTGGTAGGACTGGGAAACACTCCTGGTAAGCTAGATGGAGGGAATGGCCTGACTTGGTATAGAGCAGCTTCCTAGACCTAACCACTTTTTACATTTTCAAAGCAATCAGTTACATCTGTATGATTGGGCATTATAAATGGTAGTTAGTAATTCTCCTTGAACGACTGACATTACAGCTTTTTACTTTGTTGCTTGATGAAGATGGTTCTAAAAAGATGGAAGACTTTCATTCCTTCCTTTGAAAAATGATTAGGTTGGTGCTGCAGGTAGTTCCTTGTACTTTTGATAACCAGGCGCTGGTGGCAAATATTGCATCACGCTGCTGGGTGTGTGCTTTGTGCAAACAGATTGCCGGTGGAAGAACAGCTGGTTTTTCTAGTTTTGTAAAGAGTCCACTGCAGTAGTCCTCTGTAAGTTGACCAGAAGTACTTCAGCTGTTAGCACTCTGGATATGGTAAGACCTATGTATTTAGAATGCCATTTGAAGATTTATTCTCATTTTAAACACTCAGTAGCTCTTGTCCTACTGTCCAGCAAAATAAGACTTAAGAAAAAGGTTTTGTAAGAATGCTTCTTATAACTGTAGACTTCTTTAACTGAACAGGAAGTTTACTGCCTGTTTTGTTTTATTTCCTGATGTCTCAGTGAATGAAGCTGGGCTATTTTAAGGTTATAGTTTCTCTGATACTATCTTAAAGTATTGCATTGTTATAGCATAGTTGGCTGATTAGAATACATCACGGCACAATGAAAATACCAGATTCTGCCCCTCTGACATTAACCTGAAAGTAAATGCAAGGGTGGGTGAGTTTTTATCAGTAGTATCTCTCAGAGTGGTGAATGGCACTATTTAGTGAGAATAAATTCCAATGAAAATCCTCATATATATATATATATATGTTTTATGATGGCCTATATTCATAATACCTAATACCTAAAAGGTTTGGTGAAAAAAATATTAGAATACTTTCTGATTAAATGTTATTCCCGATTAAATGATATAAATGTAGATCAGGAATGATCCTATTTTGTTGTCCTTTCACAGCAAGGCTATTTTTGGAATTTTATTACTAATTTGAACAGAGCACAGTAAAATTACTTCTGTTTTACCTGTGACACTTAAACTGCTATGTTGGCTTTTCCTCTAGCAATGAACTGGAATCATAGCTTAGACAGAGACTTCAACAAGGGGGCAGTTTTTATAAATATGATTGATTATGTACGCAGTGCATACTGAGGCAGTTTATTAATGCTTTTGTTGACCAGAAGTCAGACTGTTCTTCCTTGCCTGTTCTACTCTTGGAGAATCCCTGCTTATATCTAAGGAAGCAAAAACTAAAAATTATTCAGTGTATTAATAAACAGCACAGCATGGTCGTTTCACATATGGAAATATCTCTGTTCAATACACCATCAATTTAGTGTGCAAACTGACAAGCCAAGAATGGTTTACGCAATAATGAACCATTTATCATGGATCATGCTCACACATGACAAAAATGAGTACCACAAGTAATAATTGATCATTTGCTTTACCTAGTCTACAAATCTGTTAAAGAATCACCCACTTAACACTTCACATGTACCCTAAAAATAGCACCCTTGCTCCAGGAGATCTGTTGTATATTGATTAAGAAGAAAAAGTGAATACAGATCTAAAAGAAGTATTTTCTGTTTGATAGTATTGATCTCCCTTGCCTTCTCTCTTGTATTTACCTCAGAATTAATGGTACCAACTGAGAAACAAGAAAGGAAAATGGGATGGAGAGTTTATTTGTTACCTGCTCTTCACTCTTAAGGTCCCAGGGCAGGTTGCAACATTAAAACACAATATTAAAAACAGTTTAAAACAACTGAGTAAGATTATATTTTTAGTGAAAGAAAATTGTAAATACTGTTTTGAATCTTAGAAGTACATATTAGTAGTTGCCTGCCAAATGACAGATTAGTCATGGTTTTCCGTTATGTGGCTGAATCTACGTTTAGTGCAAACTAGCAACTGTATGAATATATCCTCAGAAAATTATTTTGGCCATGTGGTGGAGCAATCAGATAACTGTTTTCCATTCTTCCAGTTGTTAGGCAAATTGAACTCGCCACATAGTCTGGCTGATTTTGGGTTTGGGAACTGACTGTTAGACACAAGCAAGTGTGGGCCGTCTCCAGTTTATTCAGCTGGTAAAATCAGGGCTTGTTCTTGCTGTTTCCATGGATGTACTTTAATACCAGTGGGACAGTCAGAGTCACAGATGTCTACAATGAATGTTGTGAATGTATCAGCACTTAGGTATTTGGTATTGTCTTGAAGACACCAAACCCCTGTTTGATTTCAGCTGCTCATGCGACACACTGATTATGTCAAGTGACTTATTTTCACTTTTGTTTCCAGGTACAAAGAATCGAAATAACCAGCTTTGGGGGGAAACGATTAACTTGAGGATAATTTATGAATGAAGACCCACAGCATGTTCAGAAGTTCCAGCAAAGTTGCAATGGACACTCAAGTCACTAAGTTGGACTTTGTAACTTTTGGTTGTTTGCAATGATGTGCCTTTAAACTTTATATCACAATTCATGCCCTTCATACTACATAAATTATAAAATAATACAATCAAAGCAACATGTCGAAAAACTTGGAGATTATCAATCTGTCATTTTTACTGGAACATGAGAGGGAAATGATACTGGGAGTGCTGAAGAGAGACGAGTATTTGAAAAAAATTGAAGATAAAAGAATCAGGTAATTTTGAAACTTTCTTCTGAGGTATTTAAACTTCTGAATACTGGAGTTTGATTTAGATATTTGTGCATATGTTGTTGTTGTTGTCCACTTAACTCATGGTTACAGTGTAGTTCAGGGTTGGGAAGACATCAGACTTGTGGAATCTACTTTGTTTTTTACTACAACCCTGAGGTCCACCAACCACAGCCAGGTTCAAAATAGTGGCTCAGGTGAACAGACTAAAGCTAAAAAGGAATTCTGGTTGAGCAATGGGACTTCTTCTCCCTTTGCATGCACTCAGTGCCCTTCTGAAATCTTTTCCAGAGGGTTGAGCCCCTAGAGCAGAGTTAGGGTTAGCATGGGAAGGAGAGCAGGAGAACATTCTGTTACACAAGCAGAAACCCCTGCCCTGACGGAATTTTCACACAGTGCTATGTGTACAATCCAGGGTACCTCTGAGCACATGCTCAGAATTTGTGATCAGTAGCAGAACTGTCCTCACGAGTTCTCTTTCACACAAAAATCCACTCTTGGTTTCTTCCTCAATAGTTACTTTTCAGCAACCTGATTTAGAAAGGAAAGCTTTTTGTTGCTATTGTTAAGACAGCTGAACATCAGAAACCCTTGCTGATCTTAAAGCTGGTCAGTACAGGCGGCGACCATTTTGCACATGTCCAATTAATGCATGACTGTTGATGCATGGATCCTTTAGGACCTGGAAGAGGGCAGAGCAGGGATATGGCGTGGCGTAACGGGGTGGGCTGGGCTTATGTACACTTCACCAATGTGTAGGGGGCCAGGAATGGGACCCCTGCTCAAAATGATTGCCGCCTGTATTTACTTTCCGCATTTGCATGTGAGTATATTGTGGTTTGTTATTGCTGTCTATAAAATATAACAGGTGGTATCATTCATCTTGCAACATCCCCCCAATAATAATAATAAAGAAACCATTTCCGATCTACTACTGTAGCACCTAGAGATCTTTCAGTAGATTCTGATATGTCCAACTCTACTTTTGTTCATAAATAGCGTGCATCTGTTGTTGACCTATAGGTTAAATTGACTATAGGCTAAGATGATTGCCTTGCTCTGTAATGTTTTATGAGGCCATGTTGACTAATCTTTATCCTCCACTTGGAAAGGTTTAGCTTATTAACCATCACACTGCAGTTTTATGTGCAGTTTCTGTAGTCTATGTAGCATGCTATCCATGTTAACATCCTCACTTTCTGACCCTTAACCTAAAATCTTTTTAAATTTAAGAATGGCTAGCATGAAACTGCCATTGTGTGATAAAAATTAAAAAGGCCTAAATGAATACAATGTAATTGCTGTCATGCCGGCAATATAGCAAGGTGGCCGCTGTTCAGACAGAGAATGTAGCACAATGGAATGTCATAGAACCATAGTTAGAAGGGATCCTGAGGATCATTTAGTCCAAGCTCCTGCAATGCAGGAATCTCAACTAAAGCATCCATGACAGATGGCCATCCAACCTCTGCTTAAAAACCTCCAATGAAGGGGAGAGTCCACCACCTTCTGAGGAAGATCATTTGACTGTTTAACAGCTCCTACTGTCAGAAAGTTCTTCATGATGCTTAGTCAGAATCTCCTTTCTTGTAACTTGAAGCCATTAGTTCGGGTCCTAGCCTCCAGAGAAGGAGAAAACAAGCTTGCTCCATCTTCCATGTGACAGGCATGTGACAGCCATTTAGATATTTGAAGATGGCTATCATATCTCTTCTCAGTCTCCTCTATGCCAGGCTAAGCATATCCAGCTCCCTAAACCATTCCTCCTAAGGCTTGGTTTCCAGACACTTGATCATGTTGATTGCCCTCCTCTGCACAGGTAGCATGACAAGAATGTGACTTGGTGAGCCTTGAGCTTGGGTGTGCCCCCCTCTCCTGCTTAATGTGGTGCAGCTCTGAGAAGGAGTTTGGAAGCTTTCAGCTCCATTTTTGCTTGGCTTCAGCTTGTCATGTAGACTGAACTTCGGATATATGGTTAATGTTTCTTTGAAACAAGCCAACTTTTAACCAATGATTTCAAAGTTCCAGTGACATGACAGGTTGTGGTTAAGGAAGAACAGGAGCAAAAGCTTCTGAACCCCTCACAGCTATAGCAGAGGAGAGGGGAGGAAGGGAGCTAGAGGCTCACTGCAGCTCATTCACACCATGCTCAACTATGACTTAGCAGATGGGAATCCAGTATGCTCTTCAACTCCCATAAGTCTCAGCCAGCATAGCTAGTGGTCAAGGATGATGTTAGCTAGCAATATCAGGAGGGCACCATGTTGGCTGTTAGCATGATGCATGAACACTGCCAATATCTTTATTATGACCAAGTTAAAATTGCAAAAAACAATGAGCTAGCTTTCAAGTTTCACAGTAAGCTTGAATTTAATTTTATTGTCCACCCAGGTATATCTATCTACCTACACACACATCCCCAAATCAAACAAATTTCATGTGAAGAGTAGAAGGATAATAGGTAGCAAATTAGATTGCACACAGAGAGAAATGTCCAGCTCAAAATCAAAATGCAGGGAAGTGGGTGACTAACAATTTGCTCTTAGATAGACTTAGTCACTCCTAACCCCACCAACTTCAATCATTAACAGGATCAGCTGTAAGCAAGATGAAACAAGGGTTCAATAAACAGAGCAGAATGCACTTAGTGACTATTCACCGTTGAATGTCAATAGAACTACATGGCTAGAAAAAATAAAAGCAGGAAAGGTCCCTAAAGGCTAAGAATCCATGACCATTAAGACTACAGTAGAACCCATCTATGCTTTTCCTGGAATTACTACTTAGTCATAACCCATTTCTTAGTTCCACTTCAGTGTAAATATGTGCTTACCTGACCTTCTAAATATCCAAATGTTCCACATGGCTGAATCTGGACTGAAAATTCCAGCAGTGTTGCAGGTGTAGCTGGTGTAGCTATGTTAATTGAGCTCTCATTTCAACTCTCTAGTATTTAATTTTGCATTAGGACCCAGTGGGTTCTATTCGGGTGTCTAAAATGTCAGGTCTTCTCATGTGCTGCGGTCATCTGCTGATACTCTCCTCTGAGTGTCCCTGCCGTTAGAGGTAAGATCAACTGTGACATGGGCATCATTGGTTGTAGTGCCAGGAAAATACTGATTTTCTCCCAGCCCTTAAAAAAAATAGAATTAAATTTTTTGGGTCCTGCTGCTGCTTTTCATTTATTATTGAGATCTGGTGCACATGTGTTTCATGTTCAAACTTCTGTTCTACCTCTGAGGATAAGGAAAGATGCAAAATACGCTATAATGTGATATATACCTTGAGCATAAGATTTGTATGTTCAGGACACAGTTCTGCACTTCACATTCAAGCACCACCTCAATTTACTGCACTCATTTCCAAGTATACTAAGGAAAACATAATGCAGGGTCTCCTCTGAACATTGAGATCCCAGGTTTTCTTCAAACGGCAGGAGGAAAGATGCAAGACCCATTGTAATGGTACTTCAGAACATTGTGCTTTTCAGGTATTCTTAGACTTTTATGCATTTAATTCCTTTTAATTTATTTTAGTCTTAAAAATTAGTCAGTTCTGGTTTTGGGCAAAAGATGTTTTTATACAGCACATAACTGCTTATTCTACTGACGCACAGTGTTCCTTTTCCATAGTGTTTGACACAGCTAGATAGTGGCTGTTTAGAAAATGTGCTCATGGTAGATTGAGATAGGATGACTCATTCTCCTCCTCCATCTCTTGTACTCTTGGAACACTTAATTCCTCCAATTTTGAAATCAGAGCACATTGTCACAGTTGTTCAGTGATTCACTCTTGAATACACCGCAAGGAAATATGGAAGGAAGTTTATATAAAACGCAGCTGTCTGAGCTTGCTTTATCATAAATGAAGGAAATTGTGAAGCGGGGCATTTTATTTGTTTGTCTACATTTGTGTCCTCACCTTTCTCTAAGGGCCTTTCATTTGTGTTCCTGGGGCTCCTGCATAATTCCTTCTAGTTCTTGGCTAGGTCCAGATTTATTTATTTAATTAAAACAATCATACCGCTTGGTTGTTTTAAAAACTTCAAAACAGTTACCGTATTTTTTGCTCCACAACACTCACTTTTTTCCTCCTAGAAAGTAAGGGGAAATGTCTGTGCGTGTTATGGAGCGAATGCCTACGGATGGCGGGGGGATCTGCTGCAGTCGTGAGCAGAGGATCCATGGTTCCCCTTCCTTCCCTCCTCCGTGGCTCGCTTTGCTCGCTTTGAAACAGCAAAGCGGGAGAAGAGCCACTGAGTGGGGAGAAGAGAGGGATAGAGAGCCTGGTTACAAAGCACGGATCCACATGGATCCTCAGGATTTTTGCACTGTGTCACCCCAAATTCACCATCAGATCACATAGCATGTCCATGGCTACAGCTTGCACCAAAAAAATCACGCACCCACTGTTGCCTGGGGCCGAGGTGGTGCAAAAAATGTGGTTACAAAGCATAGATCCACATGGATCCTCAGGAGTTTTGCATTGGGCTACCCCAAACTTACCATCAGATCATATGTCTGTGGCCACAGCATGAACCACAAAAATCATACATCCACTGTTTCGTTTAGAATATTTTTTTTCTTGTTTTCCTCCTCTAAAAACTATATGCGTGTTATGGTCGGGTGCGTGTTATAGAGCTAAAAATACGGTAGCTAAGATCTGCTTAGCTTTAGAGAGAGGAGCCTACAACAAGTACCTTCAGACCATTATCTGGTAATTCATAGAATCATAGAATCATAGAGTTGGAAGAGACCACAAGGGCCATCGAGTCCAACCCCCTGCCAAGCAGGAAACACCATCAGAGCACTCCTGACATATGGTTGTCAAGCCTCTGCTTAAAGACCTCCAAAGAAGGAGACTCCACCACACTCCTTGGCAGCAAATTCCACTGTCGAACAGCTCTTACTGTCAGGAAGTTCTTCCTAATGTTTAGGTGGAATCTTCTTTCTTGTAGTTTGGATCCATTGCTCCGTGTCCGCTTCTCTGGAGCAGCAGAAAACAACCTTTCTCCCTCCTCTATGTGACATCCTTTTATATATTTGAACATGGCTATCATATCACCCCTTAACCTCCTCTTCTCCAGGCTAAACATGCCCAGCTCCCTTAGCCGTTCCTCATAAGGCATCGTTTCCAGGCCTTTGACCATTTTGGTTGCCCTCCTCTGGACACGTTCCAGTTTGTCAGTGTCCTCCTTGAACTGTGGTGCCCAGAACTGGACACAGTACTCCAGGTGAGGTCTGACCAGAGCAGAATACAGTGGCACTATTACTTCCCTTGATCTAGATGCTATACTCCTATTGATGCAGCCCAGAATTGCATTGGCTTTTTAGCTGCCGCGTCACACTGTTGGCTCATGTCAAGTTTGTGGTCAACCAAGACTCCTAGATCCTTTTCACATGTACTGCTCTCAAGCCAGGTGTCACCCATCTTGTATTTGTGCCTCTCATTTTTTTTGCCCAAGTGCAATACTTTACATTTCTCCCTGTTAAAATTCATCTTGTTTGTTTTTGCCCAATTCTCTAATCTGTCAAGGTCGTTTTGAAGTGTGATCCTGTCCTCTGGGGTGTTAGCCACCTCTCCCAGTTTGGTGTCATCTGCAAATTTGATCAGGATGCCCTTGAGTCCATCATCCAAGTTGTTGATAAAGATGTTGAATAAGACCGGGCCCAAGACAGAACCCTGTGGCACCCCACTAGTCACTCTTCTCCAGGATGAAGAGGAACCATTGATGAGCACCCTTTGGGTTCGGTCAGTCAGCCAGTTACAAATCCACTGAGTGGTAGCATAGTCAAGACCGCATTTTACCAGCGTCTTTACAAGAATATCATGGGGCACCTTGTCAAATGCCTTGCTGAAATCAAGGTAGGCTACACCCACTGCGTTCCCTTCATCTACCAGGCTTGTAATTCTGTCAAAAAACGAGATCAGGTTAGTCTGACGTGACTTATTTTTCAGAAATCCATGCTGACTATTGGTGATCACAGCATTCCTTTCTAGGTGCTCACAGACTGTTTGCTTAATGATCTGCTCCAGAATCTTCCCTGGTATTGATGTCAGACTGACTGGGCGGTAATTATTTGGGTCCTCTCTTTTCCCCGTTTTGAAAATAGGGACATTTGCCCTCCTCCAGTCTGCCGCGACTTCGCCTGTTCTCCAGGAATTCTCAAAGATGACTGCCAGTGGTTCTGAGATCACATCTGCCAGTTCTTTTAATACTCTTGGATGCAGTTCATCTGGCCCTGGAGACTTGAATACATCTAAACTAGCCAAGTATTCTTGTACTATCTCCTTAGTTATTCTGGGCTGTGTTTCCTTTGCTGAATCATTTGCTCCAAATTCTGCAGGTCGGGCATTGTTTTCTTTATCGGAGAAGACTGAGGCAAAGAAGGCATTGAGGAGTTCAGCCCTTTCTGTGTCCCCTGTTTGCATTTCACCATCTTCTCCTCTGAGTGACCCCACTGTTTCTTTGTTCTTCCTTTTGCTACGAACATACCCATAAAAGCCTTTTTTGTTGCTTTTAACCTCTCTAGCAAGCCTGAGTTCATTCTGTGCTTCTCCCACTTTCTGGACAATGAAGTTGTCTGCAAGGCCAGTGAGGAATCTGTTTGACCTTATGCTCTTGGCTGAGTTTGACATCCAACAAATATCCGGGTAATTGAAGTTCCCCATTACTACTATCTCCCTTCCTTTGGAATGCTTGACCATCTGTTCCAGGAAGGCATCATCTATGTCCTCCGTTTGGCTTGGGGATCTATAGTAAACTCCCACAATGAGGTCACTGTTATTCTTCTCTCCCTTAATTTTGACCCAAATGCTCTCACTTTGGCTTTGAGGTTCTAAATCTTGGATCTCTTCACAGGTATACACATCCCTGACATATAACGCCACTCCTCCTCCTTTCTTGTCTGGTCTGTTTCTCTGAAATAGATTGTATCCCCCATTATTACATTCCAATCGTGGGACTTATCCCACCAGGTTTCAGTGATGCCTATTATGTCATATTTAGTTTGCTGTACCAAGAGCTCAAGCTCATCTTGTTTATTTCCCATGCTTTGCGCATTAGTGTACAGACATTGAAGTCCATTAATCATTCCCCATGTCTCTTATTTAAGGATTTTTCCTCCCACCACTAGGTCTGCGTGCTGTTTGCTCCATTTGGTCTATGACATTTGGATGATCATCTTCATCAATTGATAGACTCCTACCTTCAGGAGCACTGTCTCCCTCCCCCACATTAGTCAGTTTAAAGCCCTCCTGATGAGGTTTCTGAGATTTTTGGCAAAAACATTTCTCCCAACCGTTGTGAGGTGCAGCCCATCGCTTGCCAGAAGTCCATCTTCAAGAAACTGCAGTCCATTCCTGTTTACACCATTTGCGAAGCCATCTGTTCACTTCCACTATTTTTCCCTCTCTCCCTGGGCCACGTTGTTCAACTGGGAGGACAGATGAGATGACAATTTGTGCATTTAATTGCTTCAATTTTCTGCCCAGAGCCTCGTAGTCTCTTTTGATCTTCTGGAGGCTATTGCTTGCAGTGTCATTGGTTCCCACATGAACCAAGAGGAAGGGGTATTTGTCAGTGGGTTTTATGATTCCTTGCAGTCGTTCAGTTAAATCTTGGATCTTAGCCCCGGGGAGACAGCACACTTCCCGAGACATCTTGTCAGGCCCACAGATCACTGCTTCTGTTCCCCTCAGTAGGGAATCCCCTATCACCACTACACGCCTCCTCTTAGGTTTGGTCGGGGTTCTTCCGTGAGCTGTCCGTTCCAAGGTCGCCTGCACATTCCCTGAGGACTGACTTTGCTGCTCGTCTTCATATACCTGATCGACTGTAATGAGGGAGAGATCCTCAAATGGAGTCTGCTCTTCGTCTTCCATGCTAGGGGAGAGGACCTCAAAGCTATTGTGTATTTCTAAACAATCAGAGTGAAGCTTGGGCCTCCTACTTCTTTGAGTCATGTTTCTCCATATATCTGGCTCCTGTGTTGGTGAACTAGCCTCCTTCTCAGGCGAGTCCCCTGTCTCCTCCTTGGTGGAGACGGTGTGCTCTGTTGCTTCCAAGAAGAGCTCCAGCTCTCTAATTCTTTGGAGCGTAGCTACACGTTCCTCCAGTTGCTGGACTTTGTCTTTTAAGAGGGCAATCAACATGCAATTGCTGCAGGTAAATCTGCCTGCAACCTTTGGCAAGATGGCAAACATTGCGCAGGAACCGCAGGCGACTGCAGCTGTTCCCTCCCCCTCCATCTTGAGAACATGTCGTTGGGGGTGGCTACAGCAGTCCTCCATCATAAAAAGCATGAAGACAGGACAAATAACTCCCCCCACACAAAAAAACTAGGTCTCCCCCAACAAACGTTTGAGACTAGCTCCCCTAAATCTAAAAGATGGATCAAACCTTTGCACAGGGAGAGCAGCTAATCAGCCACAAGGAAACACACACACACAAGAAAACCCTTTTTGCTCCTTCTTATAAATTCATAAAGCTTTGCACTGGTTTTTCCCCAGTTGTTTTTTTTTTGGGGGGGTGGTATGGAAGTTTTTATAGGAACACAGAAATGGAAAGCAGGAAGGGGGAAAGTTGGCATGCAGCTTATTTATTTTGGCAGTTTTTGCCACCCAGGAAGGTTTTCTGTCATAACTCTTTGCAGGCAGGCAGGCAGTTCCCAAATTGTTAATCTTTTGTCATTAAAACCTGCCTGATTTCCAGCCTTTATTTCTTAAGTTTGTATCCAAAGTGCCGTTTGCAAAGCTACATGCTGTGGGACATATTAAGTCTTACTTGTGATCACATGAAGTCTCCCTGTCCATGGCACCCATCAAACCTCTCCTAAAATTCAGAGGACCTTCAGAAATAAGAAGTTGTTCATGAGCAGTCTGTGAAGGTTATGACCATTCCCCTGTTAGTTTCCAGCACATGGTCTCAAAGGTATCTGGATTCTGGACATCCATGACAGATGGCCATCCAACCTCTGCTTAAAAACCTCCAATAAAGGAGAGTCCACAGCCTTCTGAGGGAGTCCGTTCTACTGTCAAACAGCTCCTACCATTAGAAAGTTCTTCTTGATGTTTAGTCAAAATCTCATTTTTTTCATAATGCCAGTCTGCCAGATTTGGTAGAATCAAAATAACGGCAAAGGATTGATCCAGACAGAAACTTGTATAAATGAGTGTGGAGAACATCAGAATAAGAATTATTTCCCAGCCATGTTGTATATACATGATGTATTTGCATCATGCTTAGCATGTGTTGGTGGGACCACTGCTATGCTGCCAGAGAACAAATTGCCTTTGACTGAGCTTCCCATCAGTCATGTCCTGCTTTCACATGTGGGCTTAACCCCCTTACAAGAGGAGCATGATGTTCAGAAAGGCTTTATTGTTATCTGTGCAACATGTTCTGGCAAATAATGAGCAACATAAATATAAATGTAAAGTAAGCATAAAATTTGGTGAAGTCCTAGATCACAGGATAATATAGTGCATATTTAAATGTCCTTCATACTCAGCAGTGGATGCTTCCCTTAGCTCCAGTGTATTGTGATGATTGCTGAAGAAAGGGATGCAGTAGAACATTCATTATTTTATGAAATAAAACTGTCTTTTGAGGACTGGAATTGCAGTCTCTACACTGCAAGGACTGGGACCCAGAGGGTCCTTTCATCTCACTCAGCAATACTTTTCTTATCTTGTTGTTGTCAAGAAGCTTTCTGCACATGTAGAGGGAAGTGAGGGGCAGATGGGGCTCATCAATCTGGGAGGGTGGTCCTTCAAGGAGAAGGAAAAGGCTGATCCTAAACTCCCGCTACCTTACAGGACATCTTTGGGATTGTTGTTTAGTCATTTAGTCGTGTCCGACTCTTCGTGAGCCCATGGACCAGAGCACGCCAGGCACTCCTGTCTTCCACTGCCTCCCACAGTTTGGTCAAACTCATGCTGGTAGCTTTGAGAACACTGTCCAACCATCTTGTCCTCTGTCGTCCCCTTCTCCTTGTGCCCTTCATCTTTCCCAACATCAGGTTCTTTCCCAGGGTGTCTTCTCTTCTCATGAGGTGGCCAAAGTATTGGAGTCTCAGCTTCAGGATCTGTCCTTCCAGTGAGCACTCAGGGCTGATTTCCTTAAGAATGGATAGGTTTGATCTTCTTGCAGTCCATAGGACTCTCAAGAGTCTCCCCAGCACCATAATTCAAAAGCATCAATTCTTCGGCGATCAACCTTCTTTATGGTCCAGCTCTCACTTCCATACATCACTACTGGACTGGAAATGCAGTCTCTACACTGCAAGGACTGGGACCATAGTAGCATAAATTGTGCCCTACAGTTATATGCTGAGCAGCTCTGTAAGGGCTGACTGTTCATTTCATTTTCTTAAGTACACACACAAAAATTTTCATTAATTATCTGTTGCTTTAGTAATGAAGAACTTAATATAATGTATTGCATTTAATTTCAGAAATATGACAAAAGGCTTGGATTAAAATGGGGCCAGCATGTTCTTAATGAGCACTGATATTTCATCACCTAGAGCTTTTGTTTTACACCCTGACTTAATTTAATAGTTCATAACATGCCCTTTCTCCCCTAGTGCCAGATATATTGTTATCATTTTGGGATTATCTTTAGCCTTTGTCCTTTATTTTTTTTCCTTTTCCTTTTCACCAGATTGTTCAAGTGTGTGTGTGGTTAAGGCTGCAGCCAGAGACAAGGGAGAAACAGAACTCGGACTGCAGCACAAGGGATGGAAGGTTAAACCTTCCCTCCTCCATATTGTGGCCCCATCAAATCACTTTTCAGAGCTTTTATTCCCCACAGGCTAGAAGTAGCAGATAGCTAACTACAGAACTCTCTCCCACAGGAGGCCAAGTTGGCCACCAACTTGGAAGTTGTGGAGAATGTCAAGATTTTTGAGTGATGCTATGAAATTACGTCACCATAGGTCCTAAGAGCCATCTTCGTACCTCATGATGTCCGGACACTTTTATTCTAAAGTATCTCCTACTATGGTTCATTAACTGTGTTGTGTTCTGATCCATGTATATGATGTACTTTTCATGCCAGTAAAGGAGATTGAGCGATTGATTGAACTGTCATCTTTATTTCACAAAAATCCTGTGACCATTACATCTTAGGAACAGAGGCCAAGAGATAAGAAACTGCCCGAGGTTAGGCACTGAATCTTGCAGACACTGATAAAAGTGAATTAATATCCCAGCCTGGTATCCATACTAGAGAGTAAGGTTAATGTTTTCTCCCAATGTATCATTGCACCCAAAGGATGGAGAAGGTAGGACATTTATCTCTGCATAACTGAATGTGAAAGCTGCTTGTGTTTCAGAGTCATTTTATGTATGTTCTATGGATAATTTGATTCTGCTTCAGCCAGAAATTGTTTTAGTAGATTTGATATTTTAAAAAGTAGATTAAGAGCATTAGGCAGAGTGAGGCTTCTGCCTCAGGTGACTTATGTTGGAGGGCCCGGGAGTGGTGGCAAGGCTGTGCTGCAGTAATGAACCCTCTAAGTTAGCCTGGATGCTGTTCACATTGCTAGTGCTGAAGTAAGATTCAACTGCCAGTCTGTTCTACTTACATACGTAGAATGGAGGGTGCCATTTTGTATTTCAGCTCAAGCCACACAATGTTTTGGTCTAGTCCTCAGCAAAGTACATACATACATACATACATACATCATGCTCAAGGCAGCTTACAACATGAAAAAGTTACATAATTGCAAACGTAATGAAAGTAGTCATAAACAATAAATAAAACATCAAAAAGTATACAACAAAATTAAACAATTTCCACATAAATCATAAGATCTAAAATAAAGATACAAAAATATAAAATCAATAACAGCAATAAGTCCTCCGTCAACAAAACTCCTAAACCAGAGCTTTCCAAACTTTGTGTTGTGACATGTTACTGCGTTGGCTGCAGTGTGTCGATGTGTCGTGCAAATGTTCCCCGCACTCCTCCCAGGACTGGAAAGGGGTTAGTTTAATCTCTGGTTTGCTAGTAAAACTAAATTACTGTGTTGCGAAATGATGCATATCTAAAAATTGTATCAGCAACATGAAAAGTTTGGAAAGCAGTGCCCTAAATAATTCCAAAGTTGTAATCAAAAAATATTTTGATGGCTCTGTCACACATACAAGCCACTAGAATTTAGGTTTTTATAAAGCAGTGAATACTTCAAGCCACTTTTCTTAACTTAAGTTTGTTGTGTTTCTTTCCAGAAAACTGAAGAATGAGTTACTGGAAGCCAAAAAGAAAGGTGGACGGCGTTACCAGGAAGACAATGGCAGGGTCTGCATTCGGTGTCGAAAGAATTTGGGCCTAATCTTTGATAGAGGGGATCTCTGCCAAACATGTGGACTCAGAGTTTGCAACAAATGTCGTATTGTGGGAATTGGTGGCAACTGGAAATGCACAGTGTGCGATAAGATTGCGTAAGTTTTGTTCTTGGACACACTTGGATGTCAACTCACATTTTCTGATCTCCAGTTACGATGCCTTTGACAAGCAGTATGAACATCCAGGTGATGGAGGGGCTGGGCTGATAAAGGCATGTTTGATCCTAATTTGAGCTAGAGAGACGCTTAAAGCATCTCCTGCTGAATGAGGGTTGTCTCCTGCTAGTATCTTCACTTGAACCCACCCTCTCCAGCTATTGTTGTTGTTTCAGATGTTTCTGGATTTTAATTCCCATTGTCATTGACCATGTTGACTGGGGCTGATGGGAGTTCCCCATCCCTGCACTAAAGTGTAGTGTGTATGTTTGTTTTGTGCATTGGACTTATTCTGCCACTCTGCTAGGGGGAACGTCATACTTACATATAGCTTCCACAGCTCAAATGTTATAAAAATTAATTTCAAAACTTAATTGCAGCAAGGTCTTGAAGTGTTTCTCCATGTCTTGATCCAAGTCTCTATCAGCAATACCAATGCTGAGACCTTTTCAACAGGAAGTGAATTTAAGGCAACAGTTACATCCCTTGATTTTCTCCAGAGCTAGTGCCATTACAGCTAGTACCAATAGTACCTATTTATTTTATTTTAAAGTGCTTATTCTGCCCTGGGATATTCCGTCTTCTAGGACATCTAACAGACAAGTAAACACATAAAATGTATGTATTTATCTATTTCATGTGGTACTCTTGTTTCTCATACATGTTAAGGTGATGTGCCTCATAAGTAATAAATTAAAGATATAGACAGTAAAAATAGACTGTAAAAGCATTAAAGTAACCATGGTTGTTTGAATTCCTAAAAACAACCAACAATTTTAAAGGCCTGGTAAAAGTATTTATTTATTCAAATATTCATAGACAGCAATTTATATTTTATTTCATCGAAAGGTATTCAGCTTGTACCAACAAGGAGTAAGAGTTTGTGCCATGGCAGCCTCCCTAGACAAGGAGTTATAGCCAAGAGGGGCCCCTTCCTGGCTGCCACTTTCTTCACCTCTGAGGGTTGGGGTACCTGGAGAAGGGCCTCCAGCAATGAGGTTAAGGGCCCACTGCCTGATAGATAGATAATTTATTACGGTCAAAGACCAGCTCGCATAACACAATAAAAACAGCTTTCATAAAGATAAAATATGCAATTATGTATATGTAGATTATCTTAGCCCCACCTACAATTACCCATAGGTACATGTAACATAACTTGCTAACTAGCACTCTGGGCCCCTGTGCAAGATTTCTACTTTTGTAAGCTAGCAGCTCAGGATAGTGCTGATGTGTCTCACAGATGCTTTAATAAGTGACATCCTTTTACCAGTTAGCGATATTTGCTGTCTGCTGTGCTATCCAATGATGTCATCATGCATACTTAATAAAAGGTGTTTTATTTATTTATTGCTTTTTATTACATTTAAATCCCACCTTCCTTCCAGGGAACTCAAGGTGTTGTACATGGCCCTCCCCATACTCATTTTATCCTCACAACAACTCATGGGGTAGGTTAGACTGAGAGATTGCAATTGCTCCAAGGGGAAGCAGTGAGTCTTTGTCTCCCGGGTCCTTATTATTGCTTTAAAGGTTAGCTCGTGCTTCCTTAATAGTTTGCATGTGGAAGTGCCTTTTTGTGCCTAATATCACCATGGAAAGATGAAGAGAGGATTGTTGGTAAATATTGGCTTGAGGAAACTAGCATTTTTAAGGACATTGTGGCCCTGCTGTAGGCCATGGTAGCAATCAGGGAGGTAGCTCTTGTAGAAGAGCATAATGGCTGCCCAGGACCATGGAAAAAGATCAGAGCAAATTCAGCACAAATTACATGAGTGTGATGAACAAATTGAGCTGCTTGTTAGGCAGCTCTTGAGAATAAAGAGCTCCCTGAATTTCAGAGCATGCAGCAGTAGAATTATATCACAAAGCACTTTACTAAGCAATGTAGGCTGGGAATTAAATGCAAAATAATGGGTTTGGGGTGGGGAGAATCCCAAGCATCTTTTAACAGAAGAGGGAAAGATGAAAGAGAAAATACTGAGTTTTTCTTAAGGAACAGGTCTCCATTGTACTTTGCATGCATGAAAAATTTAAAATAAGCACTTGTCCTTCTAGAATGCTTTCCCACTTCCAGCACATAATTTCATTTTAGCTGGTGAAGGGCAAAGCGCAGGGTTTTGTTTTTAAGTTAACTGAGTTGCATGGCGATTGTGAAATGTAGCATAAAGACTTAAACACAGCTACAATTAAACCGCTTATGTGGGAGTTGTATAGGTATACGCTCTTAAAACTCTATTCATGAAGTGTCCTGCATTCAGTAACAGTAGTTTTCAAATGTCAGTTTCTAGCTTTAGAGGAACATTTCCTGTATTGCTCCTAACTATCAGAATCTCAGCACTTTGCCAAAGATCTGCAGCATATTCTAGGGACCAAATTGGACCTTTACTGCTCCTCTGTATGACCTGAGTGGGTTCTAAAGTATATGTCACACTCTCCTCGGCAATGCACTGCAGGGGGAACATGGGAAGTGACCTCACACTGAATCAAACCATGGATCCATCTAGCTCAGTGTTGTCTACACTGATAGACAGTGGCTCTCCAGGATTTCAGACAGATTGGGATTAAACTTGAGGCTTTCTGCATGTAAAGCAGTTTCTCAAGCTATGGCCTTTCCCCAATTTATAAGCCAATCATATCTCAGGTATAGGTGCCTGTCATCACTGTTCTTATCATTGAGAAAGTTGTAAGTTCCTCAGCACTCAGGAGTGATGAACACACATCTAGTTAGGATGCCATATGAATGGTGCTGGTAGATCGGTGAATTCTAAGTCCAGATTTAACACAATTACATAGAAATTAGATCCAGTTAAAAAGCCTCGTTAAAAAGCCTTGGATATCCTTCAGCCTCCCCACCCCCAAATGCACAGTATTTTTTCCAGTTCATTTGAGGGAGAGACTGTAGGGAGGTAACCTTGCAAAGGTCTACCTTTGAGAGCCCTTTGGCACTCAGTATAAACCTTCTGTGTGTGCATGATTGGGCAGCTCCAGTATTAAAACACACAGATGTCTGCTGCCATTTAGTTTGGCACAAAGCAATTGTAAGTGGATAGGGCAGGTGACTGCTAAGTGTTTCATATCTAATACATTCACATTATTACTGAAGTTAGAGTACCTCAACATTTGCATTTATTCTACAGTTTTAGCAAGTTGAGTAAATTTTCTAGACCAACAGAAGACAGTGAGTGGAACAGTCAGCCTGAGTTGCCATCATTATAAAGGAGCAGCCTAAGATGTGGGTGGAGGTTTGTGTGCTTGCAAACAAATTAAAATTTGGGTTCTATTCTAGTCGAATGCCTCTCTCTATTTGGTAGAGAGTGCTAATTATACCAGACAGTTGCCACATTCAATAAGACTGCAAGACATAAATAAGGTTTTAGGCAGTAGATTGGAATGGAGCAATGATGATTCAGAATGCAGCTATATAGATTGTGTAATTCTAGTTTTCACAGCTCAAACATTTCTCTTTCTCTGCAGTGTTAAGTTGTTATGATGTTCATGGACATCCTGGATTCTGCAAGTTATTAATCAAAGAATAATATAGGTAGCACAGTTGAGCACCACATGAGAGCAGAGGTTTCAGCCTCTTGGTCAATCCATGAAAGCAAAGAGGTTTCTGTTGATATCATAAGCAGTGAGAAGGAGTGATGACACCTTTGCAAAAGGTCCCCTTCTCCCTCTGGTGCAGTACCATTATTAGATCTCATAGAAGTTTCGGGAAATGAGATGAAGTGCTCCTTTATTCTTCCTATATAAGACACTCTAGTAAGGGCACCAAGTGTGGAAGGGGTCCCTTTTCAAAGGATAAAGAGACTTTATTTTTGCTCCCTGGGGGAGTGCTGGGGAATGGAACTATCTTTGTTCAGTAGCGTCTACAGCTGGTGAATGAATTATAGCTTGGGCCCTTACTAAGAGTGATGGACCCTGAGCATACCTTGAAACTACAAACCTCTTCTAGTTTTGTGTATGTTGAACCCATTCTGCGTGGGATTGTGCTCTCATGGAGGAAAAACAAAAGAAAAGCAGGTTTTCAGTTGAAGAGGTGCCTTGAAAAGCTGTGTAGGAGTTGTGAAATGAGGACTGCTTTTTAAAAGGTTTGCGTTTCTGTGCCTTACATAGTTCAGAATAAGGCACTGACTGTACCCTGAAGCAAAAACTCCATCCTTACAACATTTGCCAAGGTGTCATGGAAGCTGCCTAATAGAACAGTTTGCTTGGCATTTGCTTGTGCAGAACGGGCAGCAGTTATACCTAAAAATGCCTCGTATCCAGAATGAAATCTGAGCACACCTGATCTCCTGGCTGCTAGTCTGTTGTGGTTGGACTACAAAGGCTGCTACATTCCCAGGACAATCAACATCCTGGAGATTAATAGTTTTGATAAGATCGTTTGTTAGCAACTTTACTCAGGTGTCTAAACATTTGTTATCAAAGGGAAATGAAGTTCCGGAACACTGCTCTGTGGTTCAACTGAAAAGGTTTCTTTGCAGAATAAAAGTGACCAGAAGGAAATGGAAACGTTCAAAGGGTAGTAAGAATGGTTTTCAGAATACCGTAGCTTCTTGTATTCTACCTGTGTCTATCTTGATATCAAAGGGCTTGTTTGTATTCTCTGTCAATACCCTTGACTTTTGAACCTATTTGTGTATATCTGTTGTTTTAAATTAATGCAGTATCTGTGACTAATATCATTCAATCCTGGAACTGAGCAACCACGCTCCCTGACAGACAGAATTGGTGTTGGAGATCGTATCATTGGGCAACTGCTGAGGCCCCCACACATGTAGGGACTCCACTTCCAGCCCTGCCACTATGACTTCTCCTTGCTTATGAATCATGTTCACCTGTCCTCTCTGAGCATGAAAACAATGACTAGAGTCAGAAGATTGCAGCATCCTCCAAATTGCCTTGCCCATGCCTTCTGGGAGGTTGTGTGGATTGGGCCTAGAGGGAGAAGGCAAGCACAGTGGTGGCTATGGCAAGGTCTAGTGTCATATTTGTATAAATCTTCATAGAGGTTTAATTCTGTCCTCAACAAAATTTGAGAAGGTGGTGGGAACTGAACTGGGACTTAGAAACTGAAGAAGAGGCATGGAACAGACTGTGAACAAAAATGCCATACAAATCCTTATTGGCAACAACCAGAGAATGAGCCTTTAAAATTTTGCTTGGCTGGAACTTAACACCTAGATGCCTAGCCTATATAAAACTGAACTGTTCTCTTAGGGTTGCGTTTTGTTAACTTGGCTCTTTTTGTGCTTTTCCTCCTTCTTTCTTAGTTCATCATTTATCTATAAGGGATCACATGTTGTGGAAATGTGTATACATTATTAAAAGGAGATTAAATATGAGCTCTAATTCTGGTTCCTCTGCCTGTTTTGTAGCCAATAGATTTCTAAGGGCTAAACATAAATGTTCGGCTAAATATACTTTGAGCTGTTACCCTTGTCTGACCTTATCATGTAGGCCCAGTTCCTTATTTAATTTTCTGCTAATGTTTTCTAAAGCAATATATATTTCTTGGGTGGATGGAGTTAATCAGAGTACTTGTTTACATTGATTGGATCAGATTGTGTCTTTTTCCTTTCTCTTCTCGTTCAGGCAGCTTAGGATAGTTACAGGTGAATGGTTTTTTGAAGAGAGAGCAAAGCGCTTCAAACAATCCACCCTCCTTGGAAGTGATGTCGTTAGAAGGTCTATCCAACGCAAAGCCCCAGGTAAAAATAACAGGAGGGAAATGTGTTTGTTCTTCCTATGTATAGCTAAAGCCTTGTTGTCCCCCTAATTGATGGTTATAGTCTTAGTGCTGCATAATGAGCTGGGGCTTGCTGACGCCTTTTTAGTATTGAAACTTTTTTTAATACAATGGAAACCCCTTGGTCCCTTATCCAAGAGACTACTCTGGCCCACACCTACTTTGTTTTAGCAGCACCAGAACATAAAAGACTCCCACACTACTCAGTCAAAAATATTGATATGCCACAATCCTGTTCTACTGAAACCAGTGAGTTGTGTGCATCTGGGCTCAGGATTGCTGCCATGGCTTACAGCAAAGTATAGACCCTCTCATCATATGCCACACTTGCAGGGGGTTTTCCTGTTCATGCCTGTGCACATGGGTTCCATGTGCAAGCACAGGATTTCCTCTTGTAGCAGAGAATATTGCCTCCAGCTCATTATAGTATTCAGACTCAGAGTTCTCAACAGCTTTCCTTTATACACTGAACTATGTATAATACTGTAAGGGGGATTATCATGCCATTGGACAGCTTTCACCTGCCTGTTATTTCCCAGCTTTTTTGAACTACAACTAGACAGCTGGAGGGCACTAGGTTGGTGAAAGCTGGCATAGAGATGTAATGCAGCCAATTCTGCATGCATACATTATGAATGAGGCAATATGGGATTGTCATAATGCATGCTGGTGGCCCTGCTAGGTGTGTAATACACTCTAGTCTGAACAGTTGCAATTCTCGTAGTTCTGTTCTATAGAAAACACAGTTGTTGCAAGGGGTGTGTGGGTGTTCAGCTTTGTAATGAGAGTAATGCTTTTTATCTTTTGAATGTCTAAAATCTTGGTAACGTGTCTACTAGGGTATATTGAATTCCCCTAGTAGGAGTTATTTATTTAACAAACTGTATATACTGCTTGATACTAAGAAAACCTTTAAGGCATACTTACTACCTATCAGAGATGTGGTAGCATCTACATTAGCAGGAGGTTGAACTAGATAACCTCTGAAGTACCTTCTAACCTTATGATTCTGTGACCAGTGTCTGCTTCTTCTTTTAAGTGCCTGGTTCTCTTGTTCATGTCATATTTTTTTTTAAAAAAATATGCTATTCCTGTTTGTGTTTTTCTTCTTGTTGTGTCATTTCTACCACCCCTCTCATTATTTGCTCATGTTAGCTGCATTGGGCACTTTGTTTGAAACACAGCGGTGAGATAAAAAAAGATTAGAAGATAGGGATGTAGTCAGTGAGTGAGAACAAAACTCTGGACTTATGGGCCGTTGGCCTTATCCATATGCTCTTACGTTCTTCAGTTGTGGATGCTTCTGTACTTGCAGACCATGTTCAAATGAATGGTGTGTTGGTGTTTCACTTTGGACAGCTGGTTTAAACTTCTTGTTAAATCAGTGGGAAACTTGCCTTTGATCCCCTTTATTATTTTAAAAGTGCCTTTTTTCTTTTTAAGATCCTTCCTCTGAAGCTACAGGAGGAAAACTCAAAGATCAGTCTCCAGAGAGTTCAGAGGAGACTTCAAAGCAAGATGTGCTTGCTTCCTTTTCAAGTGGGGCAAAGTCAGTCTTCAGTGGGCACAGAAATATTGGGTAAGGCAACAGTTTATAATCTGAATGCTGAAGTGGATTTCTGTTTAGATTCACTCCAGAGCATTCCATCATTTGGACCCGATGACTGAGACCTTTTTCTTTCAGCAAGGATTTGTTGTTTGCTTCATTTATATTTGAAACATTTAAAGGATGTGTGGTTCCTAACTGGATTCTCCTTTGATAAGAGATTCTGAAGCAGCCTATGGAGGGGCTCCCTTTTGTGTGGTGTTTGTGGCTTCCTCAGATAACTTTCTTGGCATTCAAACAAAATGTTTCTTCCATCTTCCTGACTAGAACCACAAGGTGGTATTTGCTATGCATCGTAAAAAGGGCTTCCCCCTCTCCCTCAAAATAACAGAACTTGGGATTAGTCCATGAAACTAATTGACAGGAAATTGATAACCACCCAAAGGAAGTACTTCTTCACACAGTGTATGGTAAATTTGAGGGGTACACTGCCATGAGCTACAGTGGTGGCCTCTAGCTTAAAGGAAATTAGAGAAATTCAAGATGGCTGTATACCAGATCCTTGTTCAAATGTAGCATAACTCTGAACGCTGGTTGCTAGGGAACTGTGTCCTGCTTCTTGGCTTCCCGGGGGCATTTGGTCGGTCACTGTGGGAGACAGGATGCTGAACTAGATAGGCCCTTAGCCTGATGCAGCAGGGTTCTTCTTATGTCCTTAAAATATTGAAGATCCAGTAATGTCCTAATGACAACACTGAATCCACTTGCCTTCTTTTCTGCTACTGCTAAGAAATGTGTGCAACAGCAAATGGGGCACTGGCACAAGAAACAGACGGTGCAAATTTAGGTTGTGTGTGAGTGTCTCATTGCACCATGTAGTGTTTATTTAAAAATAAAAATAAAAATGGTAAGGCCTTAGAAAATATTTAACAGGTCTGGTAGTTAATAAATATTTTTATGAGTGAATGGGAACCCTTACAGCCCCTTCTCAAAGCCAAAACATAACGGAAGACACGGGATAATTACTGCTGTTCCTTCTTCGTTTTGTACAGTTGAAGCACACAAATCCCTGAGATTCTGCTTTTGGGGATAAAGGCCGAACCCAGTAGAGTGTAAATATTAAATGATGCTTTACTTTTGAAAAATTGCAATACTTTAGAAAAATTACTTGTCTTTCATGTTATCTCTATTATAGCAGAAAATTGCACAGTGCTACAGTTTAGATACATTCTTTCATTAACTTTCACCTTTGTCACAATATCTAAACTTGTTTTTGAATCTTGATGTGAAACAAAATGCAACAAGCTTACATGAAAATATACCATGGTGTACAGTTCTCATGAGCATCTTAAACAGAAAAAAGGAAAACTTATGTATAATCGTTATATGGGTCCTGTATTTTGATGGCTACCTGGTTGCCTTGACCTTTCTATTGAACAGAGCTTTATTCAAGGCTAAAGGAGAAATCGCAGTTGTGAAGGCAGAAGATGGAAGAAGCATCAGCTCAGATGTTGATGTCCAGAGTATAAATAGTGCTGATAGGTAAGAGAAATGGTATGACCTTTGTACGGTTGAACTTAATTTCTCCACTGGCTTCAGAAACTGATACAGATATTGAAATTACTGTAGTCCTTCCTTCCTCCTTCTTTTTGCTGAAACCACTCTGACTTAAGGTTCGCTGATGCTCATTTTCTACATGCACACATTTCTCTTGCAAGTTGTAAAGCAAGGTGTGGTCTTGTGTCAATTTTGTTTGCTGGTGGTTAGAGGGGGAGGTGGTACTGAGCCCTAGTAGTCAGTAAGCTGCACTCATCATCCCCATCCAGCTCAGCTAGCAGCCAAGGATGATGGGAGTTGTAGTAGAACAACATCTGGGGACCCAAGTTTGAAGAACATGGCACTAAAGAATACAAGCTGTCATTGTAAATGATCCTGTTTGCCATCTCACTACTTCCCTAAGAAGTCTTTATGGGGTAGGTGGGGGTTGATGGTTGTTCACAGCAGTAAATTAGAAGGTGATATGGCATAATCAGCCAAGCAAAAATGTAATGTGGGTGTCATTTCTAGTATATGAATGGAATTACCAAAAAAAAAAAGCAGAAAGGTTGCTTAGACAGTGAAGTGATGTGTTTTTAAGTTAAAACGTCAGTTGCATTTAAAAGCAAAGTTATTCTATTATACAGCTTTTTATTCAATTTCCTAGCAAATGAGGATGGATTCCTTGATGAATACCAAATTTAAAATTCCCATTGCTGAATTTTGAAAAGATACTGGCTTTCTCAAACCTTAGTATTATTGAATGGAAGGATAGTAGTGTTCTGAGATGTGCGTGTTTTGAAATGTCACAAAAATCAAATTGGCGAAGCATTGGAATGCAGTTCAGGTCAGGAATCAACAGCTTGAGACAAATAAGGCAAATTGGAGCATTGCTGCTCTTGAGCAGACAGGGCAGACAGATGGAGGTATTTAGAGCAGCTGAACAGTGTGGTGAAATCTCAAATGTCTGTGGAATGGCAAGTGTCCCTGGAGCATTGAACAATGTCAGAACCATCATGCCACACCATGTGGCCAACATGCCAGACTGCTGCACCATGGGCATGTTCCATTGAAGGCCTGTTTATCAGCTGTAACTAATTCCAAGTGTCCAAAAGAGTAGAACTGCATGTTGCAGATAGATTGTGTGTGACGAAAATGCAATAGCTGCTTTCCCCCTAGGAAGAGTAATTATGGAGCAGGCTTTTGGAGCAGAGAAGCTATGAAGGAGGAATAATAATAATAATAATAATAATTTATTATTTGTACCCCGCCCATCTGGCTGGGTTTCCCCAGCCACTCTGGGCGGCTTCCATAGAAACAAAAAATACAGTAAAATATCACAGATTAAAAGCTTCCCTGAACAAGGCTGCTTTAAGATGCCCTCTAAATGTCAGGTAGTTATTTATTGCTTTGACATCTGATGGGAGGGCGTTCCACAGGGCGGGCGCCACTACCGAGAAGGCCCTCTGCCTGGTTCCCTGTAGCTTTGCTTCTCGCAATGAGGGAACCGCCAGAAGGCCCTCGGCGCTGGACCTCAGCGTCCGGGCAGAACGATGGGGGTGGAGACGCTCCTTCAGGTATACTGGGCCGAGGCCGTTTAGGGCTTTAAAGGTCAACACCAACACTTTGAATTGTGCTCGGAAACGTACTGGGAGCCAATGTAGGTCTTTCAAGACCGGTGTTATGTGGTCTCGGCGGCCGCCCCAGTCACCAGTCTAGCTGCCGCATTCTGTATTAATTGTAGTTTCCGGGTCACCTTCAAAGGTAGCCCCACGTAGAGCGCATTGCAGTAGTCCAAGCGGGAGATAACCAGAGCATGCACCACTCTGGCGAGACAGTCCGCGGGCAGGTAGGGTCTCAGCCTGCGTACCAGGTGGAGTTGGTAGACAGCTGCCCTGGATACAGAATTGACCTGTGCCTCCATGGACAGCTGTGAGTCCAAAATGACTCCCAGGCTGCGCACCTGGTCCTTCAGGGGCACAGTTACCCTATTCAGGACCAGGGAGTCCTCCACACCAGCCCGCCCCTGTCTCCCAAAAACAATACTTCTGTCTTGTCAGGATTCAACTTCAATCCATTAGCCGCCATCCATCCTCCAACCGCCTCCAGGCACTCACACAGGACCTTCACCGCCTTCACTGGTTCTGATTTGAAAGAGAGGTAGAGCTGGGTATCATCTGCATATTGATGGACACCCAGTCCAAATCCCCTGATGATCTCTCCCAGCGGCTTCATATAGATGTTAAAAGCATGGGGAGAGGACGGAACCCTGAGGCACCCCACAAGTGAGGGCCCAGGGGTCTGAACACTCATCCCCACCACCACTTTCTGAACACGGCCCAGGAGGAAGGAGCGAAACCACTGTATAACAGTGCCCCCAGCTCCCAGCCCCTCTAGACGGTCCAGAAGGATGTTATGGTCGATTGTATCAAAGGCCGCTGAGAGATCCAGCAGAACCAGGAAACAACTCTCACCTTTGTCCCTAGCTCGCCGGAGATCATCAACCAGTGCGACCAAGGCAGTTTCAGTCCCATGGTGAGGCCTGAATCCCGATTGGAAGGGATCCAAATGGTCCGCATCCTCCAGGCGTGCCTGGAGTTGTTCAGCAACCACGCGCTCAATCACCTTGCCCAAGAATGGAAGATTTGAGACTGGGCGATAGTTGGCCATACTGGCCGGGTCTAAAGATGGTTTTTAAGAAGCGGTTTAATGACCGCCTCTTTCAGCGGATCTGGGAATGTTCCCTCACAGAGGGAAGCATTCACCACCCCGCAGAGCCCATCGCCCAGCCCTTCCCGGCTTGCTTTATTAGCCAGGATGGGCAAGGAACAGGAGACAGGTGGTTGCTTTCACGCGTCCAAGCAGCCTGTCCACATCCTCGGGGGTAACGGATTGAAATTGATTCCATGCAACTTGACCAGACAGAGCTCTAGCACTCTCCCGCCCTGGCCCTGCTCCCACGGTGGTGTCTAGCTCCTTCCGAATATGAGTGATTTTATCTGCAAAACTTTGCAAAATCGTTGCAGGAGATCTTGGGGTCTTTACAATGCCCCGGTGGTAAAGGTGGTTCCGTTAAATTGCGAACCACCTGAAAGAGTCTCCTGCTACTATTTTCTGCAGATGCAATAGAGGCGGTGAAGAAAGTCTTCTTCGCCGTCGCTATCGCCACTTGGTAGGCTCGACGTTGAGCTCTAACCTGTGTCCGGTCAGATTCGGAGTGAGTTTTCTGCCACCGACGCTCTAGCCGTCTCAGCGATTGTTTCATCGCCCTCAGCTCCGAAGAAAACCACGGGGCTGTCCGGGCTCCATGCAATCGGAGAGGGCGCGTCGGAGCCAGACAGTCGATAGCCCTGGTTAACTCCGCATTCCAGCGGGCCACCAGGGAATCAGCTGAAAGGCCATCAACATGGGCTAAAGCATCCCCTACCACTCTCTGGAAACCATTTGGATCCATTAAGTGGCGGGGGCGGACCATCCGAATTGGTCCCACCTCCCTGCAGAGGGGAAGGGTCGCGGAGAAGTCCAGTTGCACCAGGAAGTGATCTGACCATGGCACTTCTTTTGGACAAGGGTGCTTAACACTTCTTCGGTGGGCCTCTTCTCCACTCCAGATCCACACCCACAGAGCTAATTGTCAGTTGTAAAAACAGCTGATGGGGGCAAAAGTTCAAGTGCCTCTTTCGCCTGGGGTCTTCTGTTCCAAACAGAAGGGAACAGGTAACAGGAGGCCACTTACTTTCCCCTACTTGTGACATATGCAATACCAGGGATCAGCAAACTTTTTCAGCAGGGGGCCGGTCCACTGTCTCTCAGACCTTGTGGGGTGCCGGACTATATTCCTATGCCCCACAAATAACCCAGAGATGCATTTTAAATAAAAGCACACATTCTACTCGTGTAAAAACATGCTGATTCCCGGACCGTCCGCAGGCCGGATTTAGAAGGCGATTGGGCCAGATCCGGCCCCCGGGCCTTAGTTTACCTACCCATGCACAATACATTTCTTTCTATGGGTGAGAGCAACCAGTCTCACCCTGAGATTTTTCTGCAAAAATGGGAATAAAATGCTGGTGGGGGAAAAACAGAAGAGAAACAACAGCAAAGCAGCAGAGAAACAGAAACATCTTCCTCCAGGAAGGCAGAGCATATATGAGTTCCAATATTTAACTAAAGAATTGGAATGTCGTTGTGTGACTCTGTTAAACACAGAGATGCTCTGATCCAATTTTGTGAAGCCTGAAACTACTATCTCCTTTATAAACTAAAGATTAGGTGCTTAATTGGCCCTGGAGTGTTTCTTCTCTGGGGGAAAAAAAATACTGACGAGAAGCCAAAGAACGACGGTTTAAGAAAGGTGATGAATGACAAATTCAGTTTATGGGGGTGTGACAGGTAACATTACATGGCTGGGTAGCAATTTCAGTGGGTTTGTTCTTTATAATGTCTGAAAGGCCTAACTGGATCTGCTAAGAGGCATGTGGGATGAAGCTCAAGAGATGGTAAACTGAAATTACCTTGTGCAAACTCAGTTCCTGAATGCTACTTACATTATTGCCATTGAGTGCACTTCTGATTTCAGAGTTGAGTTCTTTGTGGAAGATCTGAAGCTCACCCTTTATGTTATGAAATAGTGTGTCTTTCTGATGCAGTATTAGCTGTCCTAAGAGGATAGATTTTTGGCACTGTTTCCTTAGGGTGAGCACCTATTCTCTCAATATGGAGGAACTGCCTGCTGGGCTGAAAGGAGCAGTTTGTGCCGCAAACCGAAGCAATTCTTCTACTCCAGTCCATCCAAGGTCACCAGCACTGAGCACACGCAGCATGACTGTAGATTATGGCAGAGTAAGTTGACTAATTCCCAAATTGTTCTCTTTAGACTTTACTGCCTCCAAAGAGGTTTAAAAAAGAGACAGTTGAAACATGAATCGAGTTTTCATTCAGGCAAAACTCAAATCTATGCTCCTTCTAAATGTTTTCTGGTCAGGGCTCTTTTTGTATACAGAAATTCCCTGCCCATAGAAAACCAGATATTTGGGAGAAGGAATCTAAACTAGCTTTCTCCCTGACATGCTAAGCTTCTGTGTGCCGGTGTCTTATAAACGGAGGAGCATTCAAGCATGTGACCTCTCCATCGTAGTCAGAACTGATGAGAACAAGTCTCTAATCTTAATAAGGAGTGAACATGGAGTTATCCCATGTTGTTTTCACAACCACCTTGCTTGATTGTTGAGAGACTTGTGACCTGCCTAAGGCTACCCAGTAAGTTGTATGGATGAGCAAGGATTTGAACTTGGGTCTCCCTGGTTAAAATTTAACCACATGCCTCCTACACTTCGTTGATTTAACCATTATGTTGGCTTCTATCAAACTCAGTGGCAAAACCCACATTGACTTTAATAGGACAGGATAATAACCCAAATCTCTTAAATTTTACATTAGACTTGGGGATCAGACTACTACCGACTTCATTTGGGCAGCAGGTATTCATTCATTCACCTTTGCTGGCTGGAGTCCCCTGGGAGGATGATGTGCCAATTTAAGTTCAGGCAATACAGAAAAACACATTGAAAATAATGCAAACAATTAGCACTCTTCCATGCCCCCACTTGAGTAATGTCTGAAGCCTCTCTTTTCTTAGTTGTTTTTTAAGACCAGTGTGAATTAGGACATTAGTCCATTCAGAGCAAAAGAAAACAAAGGTGAGAAAAAGTGTCCTGCCTAAGGCTATCCAGAACCAAATGCAGTACAATGAGGATAGTTTAGTGACTTTTGAAACAGAGTACTGATCCAATCATGCAGGGGTGCAAGGTAGCATTCAGGTTTTTTTTAATAAAAAAAAAATACATAAATCAGGGAGAGACTTGGTGGCTTTTGTCCCATGGCTTACCTCCCTGCAGACCCTCTTCCCCAATTTTCTCTCAGCCAGGTCACTTATCTTATTCAAATTCTAGTGGGAAGAAAATTGCCTGTTGTGAGGGTTCAGATCCTTTTACTCACACATTCCTGCCTTGAAAATTGGATCCTGTGTCCCCCATTTCAATGTGACTGGGCAGTGCTATGACGCGTTTGACCCACTGGAATTTTTTTGGAAAATCACTTGAGTTCACTGAATGAATCTGTATTTGTGGGGAGGTTTTGACAACAACCAACACTAAATCTAAAGATTAAACTTTTGGTCATTTACTAACCATGAATGGTCAAAACTAATTTGGTTCAGCTTTTCAGGATGGGAACACTGGCTGTTGTGAAGACATCAGTTTGCATAAACATTATGTTTGTAGCAGACATAATAAAAGCTTAGGAGAAACTGGGCACATTTGCAAAAAATATTTTGCAGATGGCATTTTTTCTCTTGGCTGCTCAAATCCTGCAGACTCTCCATAGAGGCTGATATTTAACTCTGCTTACATTACATATAGCAAAATGGTAAATATGGCAGTTGCTGACAGAATGTCTTGTTTTTGCTTTAATGTGTTCACTTTTATATTTAATATATTTTGCCACTTTTATAGTTTGCAATATGTTCTGTTTCTGGGGCACATAGATTTATTTGTATTTATTAGCTCACTCAGATAAATCAGATTATTTCATCAGGATTCTTAGTATGGTTAGGCAGTGTCATGCCTAACTGTACTTCACAGATACAGAGCAAACAAACAGATGGAAAGTAGGAGAAGTTTGCATTTTTAGCATATAGTTTAGCATAAAGTTTTTGGCACTGCCAACAAACAGAACTGTTGTAGTGGGTTAAAGAACTTGCCTTTTTCATAAAGAGGTTTTGTTTTTGTTTTTGTTTTTAAATAGCATTGTATATGGAATATCTCTGTTTCTTCTCTTTGGGAAGGATCCTGGATTAGAAAAAGGCACTGCTATGCCTGCAAGTGAAAGTATACCAGCAGATCTAGCAAAAAAGCATCGCAGGAAAGCATCTGGAACACCCTCTATAGCTGTTTCTAGGACATCTATGTCATCTGGTAAGCTTTTTCTTCATTGCTACCGTTTTCTCCTTCCTGTTTTTCCTTTCATTTATTCTCATTTGGAATAAGCCCCACCCACCCCTACACACTTTTGCTTAAAACCTAAGAGGCAACCATTTCCAGGTTAGACTGTTTTATCCATCTAGCCCACTATTGTCTCTTCTGACTGGCAGAGGCACTTCAGGCAGAGGTCACCTGCTGCCTGTTCCTTTTAACTGGAGATCCCAAGGACTGAATCTGCAGGCAAAAGATGTACAATGGTACTTCCATTGTTTTATTTCTCATTAGCACCTGCAATTTGTAATCCTTGCCAGGATTCCACTGCTTCCATTTGAAGAATGATCGGTCCATCTGCCTCTGCATTTTACTTTATACTTTTATTTATGCCTCTTATAGTTCACCATATTTCTTCTTTGGTTTATGGCCGTTTTTAAATATTTTTTTTAAAAAATGGCTAAGTTGCCAGAATTCTGGGTATTCAGTTGTGTGCAGCTTGATTTTTCTCTCTCCTTTGCTTGGCTTCTGCAGAAGACAGGAGAAATGAAGCTTCTGTAATGTACCAGAGGGATTCTTGTCCTAGCCCACTGCTCTGGTTCTTACCTTTTACTCTCTCTCTTTTGCTTTGGAATAGAGTGAGGAGAGGAAACTGACATTTGTGGGGAGCTGCAGAGAAGTTTGTATACCATGAACGGGGGGGAGGGGAATCAAGGGTGGTATTGGAATAGAATTTACTGTATAATTTTCAAAGAATCTGCTTTTTCCTTCCCCTTCTGTTTTTCAGATCACAGTAGATCAGAGAGAGATCTCAGTGTATCCTTCTCAGAAGGCAATGAGGATACTTTAAGCTTAAGAAGTAAATCTGTACCTGAAGCGTTGGACCAGGAGCTGGTGAGTTAAAATTATGCCACAGTTTAGAACTATGCCATTTTGTGTTTTGTTGTTTAGTCGTGTCCGACTCTTTGTGACCCCATGGACCTGAGCACGCCAGGCATTTTATGTTACAAGGGCTTAAAAAAAAAGGTTTCAACTGAATCCAATGGTTCACTTGTATCACACTCCATGCTGTGACTAAATGTATAGCAGCAGAAATAAGAATATAAGAGCTCTGCTAGATCAGGCCAAAGCCTACCTAATGTAGCCCCCTGTTCTCACAGTGGCCATCCCAGGTGCTCATGGGAAGCCCATAAGCAGGTCATGAGCACAACAGCACTTTTGTGTTCATGATCCTCAACAACTGGTATTCAGAGGCATAGGTAATACTCTAATCACGACTGGTGTAAGCAACCTTGGAAAGGTAGGATAGAAGTTGGGGGTGTGCACTAACCACAAGATTCAGTTTGGACCCCAATTCAGCATTTTGGATAACAGCTGCATACCTGAAGTGTGGTTATAGTAGTCATTAGAAGTAATAAACTTGTTGAACAGGAAAGCCTAAGTTACAGGAAGGGCAGGAATATTAACTGAAGGTAGATTGACATGATATATAGAGAATTTGGACTGATATGGCATCCAGAATCAGGAAGTGTGAAGCTAATGAGAGCAGTAATTGCCTAATGGCATTCTGTGACATGTAATTACCCAGAATAAATGCATGCTAGTGGAACTTTTTAAACAATTTGCAAAACATAGTTTAAATCTGCCACCCACTACAGGAATCTTACCTCAAATAGGCTAGAAATTCTGTAACTTCCTCATGAACAAGTTTCAGCTGTCCCTGTGGCTCAACTGTTCTCTGGAAGGGACAGGGTGATAGGGATAAGAGAGAAGACAAATGCTACTCTTGCAGTGATATCCATTCGATTGATAATCAGCAAGAGATGAGTTCTAGAGACATTGTATGTGATGAACAGCACATTTCAGAGCCAGGTGGACATGCTTATACTTTTTTTCTTTGTCCATTAGAGTTACCTGGATGAGACAGAGGAAGATATTGATGACATTGTGGCCTCTGGCTACTCAAAGAGACATACCAATATGATCAGTGGATTATCAACAGTAAGTTCTCCATTACTATTTATATGTATTTTCCTTGTACAATTTCTTCCTGTAGTGTAGTGTTGATGGCCTAGTTCATGTGTCACTTTAAACCATAGCTTAAAACCAACTATGGTTTAATATGAACAAGTAGAATGCGAGTGCATGCTGCTCAAAAGTTTCCACAGTGCTCTTCCTCTGTTCCTGCACCACGGCCAAAACTAACCAGAATCTGGCTTGTTGTGTTGTCTGAACCTAGTCTCCATCAAACAAACTATGAGCAAGAACAAACTTGGGTTTGTGTGGCAGAAAACAAACCATGAGCCCAGCTTTGGATAACCCAACAAGCCAGATTTTTTACTTGTTTCATCTGCAGCACAGAAGGAGCAGAGGAAGAGCTGTAGGAACTTTAGAGCAGCACATACCACCGTGTTTACTCATTCACATTAAATCATGGTTTGTTTAAAACTATGGTTTACTATGACATATATACTTGGTTGATATATGTTATATACTATTCATTCTTCTCTATTCAGTACATTCGTTTTACTCTCCTTTCCTTTATTCCTCTGCCGACCATTCTTTGGAGTGTGTGTGGGAACCACAACTCAAGACTATGTCCGAATCAATAATGATTTGTGGCCTAAATCCAAAATCTGCTCAGCTTTCTCTGTTGTGTCAAATCCAAATGTCCCTGAATGGTGATTGGACTAGAATTTGAGGGGAAAGCAGCTCACTGGAGAGGCGTTTAAACTGTTGTTTAGATTGTGCATCGAAAGCATGAATGATTTAAGACTCCAACATGTAAAATGAATCTTGGAATTCTATCAATGGACAGAACCAGGGCAGCTAGCCCAGCTGGAGAGAGAAGAATGCAGTTATTTAAAGATGACTTATTATATCTCTGTTGATGTATGCAGGGATGTAGCCAGTAGCTGTTGTCAGGGAAGCCAATTACAAAGATAAATGTGTTTTAGATAATAGATATACTGTATACTTGTTGAATTACTATAGTCTCACATATATTTTTGTAGAAAGAGATTCAGCTCTGTATATAATATATTCATCCTGAAGAAGAAAAAGCCACTATTGCAAAAAGTGGTGATGTTTATTTCTGCAAGCCTTGTGACAATATATAATCAAGATAAAACAAAAGTGCGTTTCTAGATTGATTTGCATAATAAGGCCAAGGGTGTGTGCGTATCACAATTCCATGGAAGAACAAAATTTGGTGGTGAATTCAGCTTCCTTAGAATTTCTGCTATTGTGTTATTGTTTTGAAAACAACATGGATAAGTTTAAAAATTTGTGGGTGTTCTTTGACGAAGATCAGAAGCCAGGCAGGTGACTGAATATTATTTCTTGCAGGAGGGAGGAAACTTCGATATCTTTGCCCATCCTGATTAACAAAATTGGAATATGCTATGTATAAGCGAAATTACGAAAATCTATATAATTTCCATAATTTATATGTGTTGCAGAGTTCTTTTGTTTTTCTTTGCACATAATTTAATTTCCTGAGCTCAGATTGCTAATACATTTTAATACAAAGTGTAACATGTTTGGCACACCTTTCAGCAAAAAATGGAAAACAATACAATTCCAGTGATGTAAATGGCCTGGGAGACATCCAGAATATCTGGAAAAATAAAACTGCTGAATAAACTGTTTATATTGACATAGCAGGAATAAGACAAATTGGGGTAATTGGAGATGTGGATTACGGGGAAGAGAGTTCTTATTGCATCCAGTCACAGTTCTATGTCATGTGGGGCCTGCATATCAACTGTGGATGAGGGTCACAGAAGGTAGACAGACCTCAGTGGAAACCTATTGGCAGAAGGTGTGGAATGGCATTCCTGATGGGGGTATCAAGTTTTTCTATATCCACAGAGGTCGAGAGTGCGCTAGAGCTCTTTTGCCTGTAAATATATGGCATCCTTAGTGCATTTGGTTTTATTTCCGTAGTGTTATGCTCCACTAATTTGAGTTTCTGGTTATTAAATGCCTCTGCTAATGACTTTGTACAATTTGGTATGCCGTGGCACAGAAAGACAAGACAGACACAGTAGGAGTTCTTGAGTAATGGGGCTATACACACACGGCAGAGGGAGTTGGGAAAAGCATCAACACCCCACTGTCTCACTTTGAGTTAAAGAATAGAGAAGCGCAAGAACTAAGGGTGCCTACTGAAAGCAACATTTTAAACAGGGAGTTTTTAGTCAACATTACAGTAGGATGGGTACTGTTTATTCAAAGCTGGAATGTGCTGATGCTGCATGCTGCTCAGTGTGTTGTTGTTGTTATACATTTTATGTTATTATTAGTTGCAAAAATATTGACAACTGTATCATTCTGGTTTATTCGGAGAGAGAAAGATTCCCACAATCAATTGAGATTCAGCTTTAGGCTACTTTTGGATTCTTAGCTGCACCTGGTACTCCAGGTTGTGGCAGCGACAAAGAACACTTTTCAGCAACTTTCACTGAGTGAAAACCGTGTGCACGTCAGATGAGATCACTTCATATATCTAACCTCAAGGCTGGGCAATGGTATCATACATGGGCCCATTTTGACATTTTTTCTTCATCTGGCTCACAGTAAAGGCCAAACAAAATGTGATGTAAGGGATCAGGAGTTGCTTTTTTCTTTTTCTTTAGTAGTTTTTTTTTGGGGGGGAGGGGTTGGATCTGATGAAGACCATGGTGCTGGGAGAGGGAGGTGTTAACCTTTCCCCCAGCACTGTTTTTCTGATTTAAAATCCCCTCCCACAAACAGAAGCTCTTTACCCGGGCAAACATACAGGCACTAGTATTTTCCCTATAGGAAAAATAACAGCAGTTGCCTGTGATTGAGGGGAACAGTTATCAAAAAATGTTGTGAGGGAAAATATTTAAGCCCTTCCCCTGGTTCTGCAGGTAGGCTCTATCCAGTCGCAGGGTGTGGCGGATAGTATTTTTCATTTCAATCATGGGAGATCCTGGTTATTAACCTCCAGCACAGCTCCAGTTTAGTGTATGCCACCCTTTAAGCCAGTGCTCCAGTTTCTGCCTGTTGTCTGAATGAAGCCCAGAAGATAAATAGTTTTGACATCCTGAGACATCCTTGAGCCCAACATGGATTTCTCTTAGTGTCATAACGGATGACTGTTGCCAGTCATCTACAGCTGTAATATGACTAGCAATCTGCGGCTAGTTCTTTGCGATGGTGAAGCCAAGCCCCATGGGTATTTTGCTAATTATGCCGCTCTTACAAGAAATGATTCTGGGTATCAGGCAAGCTGTATTTAGGATTAAAATGTCGAAAGTGTTGACTTAAATAGAAGGTTGACCATGTCACTTGATCCTTTATTTATTGTTTAAATCCAGCAAATAACATGGGTTTGATCTAGACTTGCCTTTTGCGTATGGTGGTGCTCACCTCATCTGGGGAATGCTTTTGACCTGAGCTGTGTACACGCACATTATTTTCCCCAAAGAATCCTGGGAATCGTATTCTATTAGGGGTGCTAAAAAACTGTCCACATTTCCCAGAATTCTTTGTAGGAAAATAATGTACACAGCCCCAGCGGTGGGATCCCATTGGCTGTGTTTGCTGATTCCCAACTCAGCCTCCATTCCCCAGCACCACCTCCCACACTGTTCTAGAAGATCTCCCCACCTTTCCAATGGTGTGGGCTGTGACACTGGGGGGGGGGGCTGTGGTGAGAGGGAAGAATAAGCAAAAGTTGCTTCCCACCCCTAGATTTAACAGCAGCAATGTTAACTGCACTTAAGGTAACTTCTACCTTTTTAAGCAGCTTTAAAAAAAGACTAAAATATGTTGATTGCTGTTCATTTGTAAATAAGTTGCCATAGACATCTCCCATATGATAAGTAAACCCTTTTATCCAAGTGTTCGTCTTGTGCTGCAAGAGAGAAATAAAATTATATTTTCTGAACATAGTTTAAGAGTAGTTCCTATTAGCAGCTTGAAGCACAGAGAGGTCATCACCCCCTGCTGTGTTTCAAGCTCTCTTTGCACAGTGCTGTTCACATCAGAGAGAGAACAGGGATCTCTTCCTCTGACATGTGTGATGTTTTTGGTTTCTCCCCTCCTGCAGCTTTCCCCCTCACCCCAAACTCCTATTCCTGAGTCTGCTGTGCTCTTCTGTGTGATGGCTGTCAGGGTATGTTCTCATTACTGCTTACTTTGCACCCAGTTTTCTTGTAAGATGGAAGCTTTTTTAAGAAAAAGCTCCTTGAACAGCCAGTATTTGTCAAGGAACTACAGGATCAATATGTCATGTGAATGTGGCCTCAAAAACTAGTAGTGGGAGTGCACTGGATGCAGAGTAAGAGGTAATGAGAGTATACCTAAGGTTTATTGTTACGGGAGAAAAATAACTTGCTCACTTAAGTATCAGCAGTTTTCTTTCTGTACATAGCCCTTCATTACATATTTGTGGTATATTGGAATAGGACTTCTCTTTCTTGATTTTCTAAAGCTGATCCTTGCATTTCTGAATTCTTCTGGCAGCTACTGAACACTTTGCTCTTCACCCTTTCTACATTTCCCTTTCTTTCTTTCTTTCTTTCTTTCTTTCTTTCTTTCTTTCTTTCTTTCTTTTCTCTCCCTTTCCCTGCCTCCTTTCCCCCTTTTTCTTTCTCTTAAAGAATTCTCCTTCAAGTTCTGACAGGAAATGGACCTATTTAAATGTTCCAGAAGCAGATGGTGACACTGTAAGTTCCCTCATTTTTCTGAGAAACTCAAAAGTCTCCTTTTTGTTTTGTGCTGCTCTTTCCATTTTCATAGACAGTTAGCTTAAATAACTAAAAATATTTTTGATAATTGATACTAATTACCTCATTAATTCAAAGAAACAAATCCCCTTACCCTTACATATGATGTGCGTGGTCGCATAACATCATAACATTAAAAAGAAAATTTATATTTGTTTTCTATATTCAGTGGATTTTAAGACAGGGGGCAGGGGGCATATTGGGGGAGGGGGACGGAAATAATAATAGACTTTGGGGGGGAAAACACCTTTAAAATGGGGAATCTTTCAATAGGTTTCAACTGCTACTCATAACTAGAGTTAGCACTCAGTTTTTCATATTGCATTAATATAACTACCAACCTAGCAGTTCGAAAGCATACTGGTGCAAGTAGATAAATAGGTATTGCTGTGGCGGGAAGGTAAATGGAGTTTCCATGCGCTCTGGTTTCCGTCACGGTGTTCCGTTGTGCCAGAAGAGGTTTAGTCATGCTGGTCACATGACCCAGAAAGCTGTCTGCAAACAAACACTGGCTCCCTTGGCCTGAAAGCGAGTTGAGTGCGCAACCCCAGAGTCACCTTTGACTGGACTTAACTGTCCAGGAGTACTTTACCTTTTACCTTTCATATTGCATTAATATATGAGTGGAAAGAAGTTGGCTGTTGTCTCCTGTTACGCTCAAATCACAAACATAAACTAAGTTCTTGAAGACCTGGAACTGAGTACTCCATGACTGTCAATCCATATGCTTGCTGGTTTTGCCTTATAGAGTAGTCTTAAGACTTGCAGCAAAATGGGTGAGGTAACAGCTGAATCAGCACTTTTCAGTGAGCGCTGGCACTGCCAAGTAATTTGCATCAACACAGAAGGATCCCATGCCCCAGGTCATATGTATTTGCATGGAATAAAAATCTGAACTGGCCCTGAGGCCACTGGTTTTATTCATTTTTGAACTTCTTGTGTAGTAAAATGAGGACTAAGGAGCTCTCCACTCATCCATGAGTTCACAGGGTGACCTTAGGCCACAACCTCAGCCTAACCTACCTCACCTCATGGTTGTGAGGATAAAAGGGAGCAGTTAGAATAACTGTGTAAGCCACTATGAGGTTCTTGAAGGAAGAACAGGATATATATGTATCAAATAACACTTGAATAGCTGTTTTCCCAACAATCTCAGTTATATTGGAAAGAAAAAGCATTTCCTATATTGAAATGCATTATGAACGTAGAGCACAACACAGTTTATTATGTAAGTCACTCTGTAGTAAAATGCCAAATTTGATTATTCTAGTTCTTCTTAGTCAGATCTTCCATGAATATAGGAGAGAAGCAATTTTTGCAGAATGAGTACCATTCAAGATACGGCTTTTAAAGATGTGACTCAGCCTGATGGACTATTTCTCTCTCGCCTCTCTTTTCAGACCAGCATCAATAGTATGACAAGTGTGTATAGTGAAACGGGGGACTATGGCAACGTGAAGATCAGTGGTGAAATTTGTCTCCAAATTAACTACAGCTATAAAACAGGAGCCCTCAACATCTTGGTAAAAAAATGCAGGAACTTGGCCATAGCAGATGAAAAGAAGCAGAAAACAGATCCGTAAGCAAAGAAGAACCTTTTACATAGTCTTGTGATTCAGTCATATTTGCTTGTGAGACAGCATGTAAGAAAACATTATACCCAGTTGCTTAGGATTGCCACCTGGCAAGGAGGGCACCCAGTAGTCTTGCACAGGTTCTCAGTGTTTTGCAGAAGGTGCGAAAAGCAGAAGTCTCACTTTTATCTTATCCAAACCTCAGTGCATCTGATATACTAATACTGGGAGACTGATGTAAGAGGTGGAGAGGTGAGCTGCAAACTGGAGAAGATAAGAAGCAGTGGTCTTTCCTAGTCTAACATTCTCAAATCTGCAGTCAAAGTGAGACAAGGCTCTGGCTGAGTTCATATGAACTGGGAAGCCATAATTTCCCACTACCTGAATGAACCGTGGTGAATGTTGTACATTCACTCCCCCCCCCCCATGTGCTTCTGCTTTTCAGCTAGCAGTTGTCTACAATAATCAACTTTTGGGAGCTGTGGTTCGTTTAAATTATGGTTAGCCAGGATATGAAGAAAGGATGAAGTTGTTTGCAATTTTCATGGCATTTGAGATCAGTTGGGAGTTGAGGGCATAGTACTAACCAGTGCTCTTTTCTGGGGGGACCCAGGGGTACGCATACCCCTAAACATTTTGTGAATCTGATGGTGGCTTCATTTCTTCTCCTGGTGATTTTCTTCAGTCAAAATGAGAGTACCCCTAAACATTTTTTTTAAGGAAAAAAAATCACTGGTACTAACTGAGTACGGTGGGATATAACTGTATTTGAGCTGTACTGTTCAGACTGCAGGTGTGGACTCTTGAGGCTGCTTGTTATTCCACATATCCATGCGTATGTAAAATTGGCATGTCAATGAGCAGAGTAGTCTAAAACGCTTCTTGAGATGCTCATTTTATGCATGCAGGATTTATTTTGTTTTCAGTAGGGAGGAATATTCAGTCATGTGAGCCATCACTTTCAGTCAGAAGTACTCCTGCCTGAACACAGACTTACTATCTCAGTGAGAGCTAGGCCTAAATTGTTATGCATGACTGGGTGAATAAACATACAGTCCTTTCTCATGCATCACAAGCAACTTGGTTTGGAATTATAGTCATGCTGTAAGAGTTTCTTGTCAGTGTGTGTAGCATTATAGCATTTACTGGATTCTGTTAATGATTTACTTCCCAATCTACAGCTATGTCAAAGCATACTTATTGCCGGACAAGTCTCGTCAAAGCAAACGGAAGACAAAAATTAAAAGCAATAGCACTAACCCTGAGTTCAATGAAACACTGAAGGTGAGAACTGAGAGCCACTGAAAATCTCCATGTTCCCTTTATGATCATGTGGTGGATTGGATACTTTGAGTAGCAATGAAAATTGTTTTTGTTTTGAGTTAAAACAGTTCCCTTAGGGGTTTTGTGAGAAGAGTAGTGGAACTTTTAGAAAGGGAATTTCTCTTCTTATTTATGTATTTATTTATATACCACCTTATAATAAAAATATGGTACTGTTGTATTTTTACATGTCTGACAGTGCACTGTCAAATGTGGACAAATTTCTCGATTCTTTCCCTGAAAAATTTGCAATGGGTGTTTTGGATTGGTGCTAAATCAAAAACCTAGCATGGAAGTTAAGAGCAGAAGTTCAATTTCCTAGCATATTTCTTTGTGACACTTTCATGAATAAGTATATTTCCCTTCCTGGTTTATTGTTTTTGGCTAGATCATGCCTGCTCTTGGTTGCTTTCTAATCCTATAACTCCCTAGAGTCTCCAGGTGTACTCTGAAATCTTCAGACTTTTGTTTAAGGGGGGGGGGGGGAGAATCTGGTTTCATGATCTGAAGAAACCATGAAAATGCGAAGCCAGTGCAGAAGTTAAAAGTAACTAGATTTCTAGAGAGTTCAGTAGTATCTGTCAGTTCTCCTTCCTTTTTTTAAATAGTAGACAAAGGGGAAAGGTTAATTGTTTCCAGCATCTACATTCATTGCTATATAGGGGGGGTGGGGAGTTGAAAGGGGTATTTTAAGAAGCTCCATCAGTGGTGGTTACTGTTTGATAATGAAATAATACAAGAAATAATACAAACTGGCAGCAGCAAGAAAGAAAAGGCTTGTAAGAGAACAATTGTATTTTATGGATCTCTTCCTATTAAGAATCTGCTCTGATTGATTTGGTCTGCCCTAGCAGAGGGGCTTTTTTTTCACTTCGCTGAAATAAACTGCTGGCACCTTCCTGAATTTAAAACTCCTAAGGCTTCTGTTACACTCCTGTAATCTTCTTTTGGCCTCTTGTCCCTCTTTAGTATGTCATCAGCCATACACAGCTTGAGACTCGGACCTTGCAGCTTTCTGTCTGGCATTATGACAGATTTGGGCATAACAGCTTTCTAGGAGAAGTGGAGATACCCTTGGATTCCTGGAACTTTGAACATCAAGCTGATGAATGGTTCATGCTTCAGCCCAAGGTGAGGAATGCCAATTGGCTTAAACTGAAGATGGTTTCTAGGTTTCACGTAGGTGAGTTTGCAGCAACAAAAGGTGCTTTATGAATCACAGTTCAGGCTTACCTCCTCAGTGGAAACCAATTTCTTGCAAACAGCAGGCCATGGAAATGAAGGACCTGAAATCTCTGCAATATAAGCTCATTCTCTTTATTTACTGCTTTGTAAGAAGATAAGCAAGGCTGTATATTGTCTCCCTGGTTATTTAACTTATATGCAGAATTCATCATGCGAAAGGCTGGACTGGATGAATCCCAAGCCGGAATTACGATCGCCAGAAGAAATATCAACAACCTCAGATATGCAGATGACACAACCTTGATGGCAGAAAGTGAGGAGGAATTAAAGAACTGTTTAATGAGGGTGAAAGAGGAGAGCGCAAAATATGGGCTGAAGCTCAACATGAAAAAAACGAAGATCATGGCCACTGGTCCCATCACATCCTGGCAAATAGAAGGGGAAGAAATGGAGGCAGTGAGAGATTTTACTTTCTTGGGCTCCATGATCACTGCAGATGGTGACAGCAGTCACGAAATTAAAAGACGCCTGCTCCTTGGCAGAAAGGCGATGGCAAACCTAGACAGCATCTTAAAAAGCAGAGACATCACCTTGCCAACAAAGGTCCGTATAGTTAAAGCCATGGTTTTCCCAGTAGTGATGTATGGAAGTGAGAGCTGGACCATCAAGAAGGCTGATCACCGAAGAATTGATGCTTTTGAATTATGGTGCTGGAGGAGACTCTTGAGAGTCCCATGGACTGCAAGAAGATCAAACGTATCCATTCTTAAGGAAATCAGCCCTGAGTGCTCACTGGAAGGACAGATCGTGAAGTTGAGGCTCCAATACTTTGGCCATCTCATGAGAAGAGAAGACTCCCTGGAAAAGACCCTGATGTTGGGAAAGATGGAGGGCACAAGGGGAAGGGGACGACAGAGGACGAGATGGTTGGACAGTGTTCTCGAAGCTACAAACATGAGCCTGACCAAACTGCAGGAGGCAGTGGAAGACAGGAGTGCCTGGCGTGCTCTGGTCCATGGGGTCACAAAGAGTCGGACATGACTAAACGACTAAACAACAACAACAAGATAAGAAAAGTATTGCTGAGTGAGATGAAAGGACCCTCTGGACCAGCACCTTGTTGCCTACAGTGGCCAACCAGATGTGCTCAAAAAGCCCACAAGCAGGACCATGAATGCAATAGCACTCTGACCCTAGAGGTGGAATGTAGCCTTCATGGCTAAGTGATTGATAGACATGGAAGATAAGGCTAACTCTTGAGATAGCTAAATTGGAGGCCACCATTGCACTCTGTACCAGTAGAGGGTATAGTTTAATTATGTGCTGTGTAGAGAAGTACTCCATTTTTGTCTGTCCTGAATCTTCAACCATTCAACTTCACTGAATGACCTCAGGCCCTATTATTATGAAAGATTGTGGGGAAGTCTCCTTCTCAACTTTCTCTGCAGCGTGCAGTTTTACACACTTCTCATTTATGGAACTAGCCATAATCAGAGACAACTTAGATGAACTTTAGGCCTATCTAGTAAGGTTTCAGTTGTTGCAAGGAGGTATGTGAACCATGCTATCACTGCAAGTTTGAGCACAGAAGATTTCATGAGCTACCTTTTCTGCAGCTCTTCCAAAACAAGTTGTCCTTGTCTCAGCAGCTTAATGGGTCCCTGGTTATTTAGATCTGACCAGCTCTGTATTAGGTTAAGGAAGTATTACTTTCCTCTATTTGCATGTACTTTCTTCCGCTTACCACACACATGTAACACAAACAGGGAAGGAACATTCCAATAACTTCTGTTTTGCTTCACCTTTTCAGATGGAAGTTGTAGCTGATACAGGTCTTCAGTACAAAGGAGAGTTGATAGTTGTCTTACGGTATATCCCCCCTGAGAGGAATTTAACACTTCCCCTAGGAGAAATTCAAGGTAAATATAGATGGGAGCATCCAGCATTCTCTGGATGATTTGAAATTTGTCATCTTGTGCAGACATAAAACTGCTAGGCTGTAGAATATGGAATTACCTACTGTTCAATTACTTACCAATCTCTGAAGGAATTTCTAGCTACACGTTTTTAATTTTCTGAAGTACTGAGCCCCAACAATAAACCTTTGGGAGCAAGTAGGATGTGTCAGCTTTCCTAAACGAGTGTAACTGATTGTTAGCTGTCAATTCCTCAGCCTTTTGTTACAATTTGATTTTTGGCTCTTCTTGGCTAAGGAGGTTTAGCATTTTCATTGTACAGTACACATAATACTACAGACACATGTTAAACATGTCTGTAGGAGACAGGTATCACCTTCTCTATAAAGGGGAAAAATATGCATTTCTTCTTCTTTTTTTTACATGATCTGCTTCTATATTCATGCAGCCAAGAGGTGCAACCCACATTATTATATCCTGGTTTTGCTCCAGTTCACCACCACCCCATAAATGTTTGTGGCCTATTAATTGAAGAATAATCTGTCATGCAGTTTGGTCAGGGCAGAGATTTAGTGTTCTTGATTATCTTTGTCCATCCCTTTATTATCAGTCCTTTAAATGTGAGGTATCACACTTGTAGACACATTTACCTTGTCAATGACATCTTCTATTTTACTTTAATAGAAGCTAAATATGGCTACTTGGTTTATTTGATAAACTGCATCATATTTATCTAGGCATGTTTGGGTCTGTAGGTCTTTTTATTCAGATTTATGACCTGATGCAGGAGATGGAAGGATGAACAAAGATTTGTCTTGATGTATGTAATGCTGAGAGATGAGTTATTGAGTTAAGTAAGACTTTTAGATGAGAAATATGAATGCATGGTGTGCAAGTTATTTTCTGCTTAGGAAGGCTAATATGGTTGTTTGGGTGAGCCATAGGGATAAGTGTGAAGTTTCTAATCTGGGATGGCAGTGGGTTATCTAAAATACTGAAGTGTGTTTTTATACACACGCTCTTTAAGCTGGGTAAAGAGGTTTCACCCCATTGGTTTATTTTTAAAATAGGAAAGAAGAACTCTAAGAAGGAAAAGAAGGCAAACCCACAACTGCCGCCAGGAGGCATATTAGAAGTTGTCATCAAGGAAGCCAAGAACTTAACAGCTGTGAAGTCAGGAGGCACTTCTGACACGTTTGTGAAAGGGTATTCCCCCCCCCCTCCTTAGCATGCTTGTGGATGTTGAATGTTTCTGCACAGAATCTGACATTTTTATTCAACAATATACTTTTAATTTCTCTCTCTGTGTGTGTGTGTCTGTGTGTGGAATAAACACAAGTCTTGCTCCTTGACGTCCTTCCTGCCGCTTTTCAATACTTTACGTAGAGAAATTATTGAGTGTTCACATCATACATTGGGGAAACACCATTGTGACTAATGCTCTGAATAATTTGGGGTGGGGCTGATGTCATACTTCCATTTGCAGTGGATGACATGGGGTACAAAATGGATATTTGGAGGAACCCACTGCTTACGTCATATGAGAACTCTGCATTTGCTCTTACCCTTGCTTCCTGTTCAGTTACCAATTACTGATGCTGATGTCCCACTGTTTTATCCCCTGGTGTTGCACTGACTTCTTTCCAAACCTCTACTAATGAGTATGGTTTTATTACTGTTGCATATTTTTGATAAAAGCTCAGCAATTCCACAATTTCCTTTTTATTGTCACTTGGGCTAGACACCCTGGGTGGTATTTAACTAACTTTTATTCTGAGCAGACCCATTGAAGCTAATGGATCTAACTTGAATCATATTCATTGATTTCATTGCATCTACAGTGGTACCTTGGATTACAACCATAATCCGTTCTGGAGGTCCGGTTGTAAACCAAAACAGGTTGTAACCCAAGGCACGCTTTCGCCAATGGGGCCTCCCCCCCAAAATTGGTTGTAATCCAAAAAAAGTGACACACACTTCCGGGTTTGATGTGGTTGTAATCCAAAGCGGTTGCAAACCAAGGTACCACTATACTCTGAGTAGAACTTAGTTGACTAATACCCAAAGGTAAGTCCTGACTTCATGTCTACACAAGGGAAAGAGGATGGGGGTGGAGGAGGAATAAAGAATGCTTGGGAACCAGCTCCTAAAGCTACACTCATTAAAACCTGGTCATTTAAATTACAGTGGAACCTCGTGTTACGTACTGCCCTCCTTGTGAATGCCTCGGGTTATGAGCTCCGCTAACCCGGAAGTAGATGCTCCCGGTTGCAAACTTTGCCCCGGGATGCAAGCGGAAGTGGCGCACTGGCAACACGGCAGTGAGAGGCGCCATTAGCGAAAGCGTGCCTCATGTTACGAGCAGGTTCGACCTCCAGAACAAATTAAGTTTTTAACCGGAGGTACCACTGTAGTGAGTCTCTCTTGTCATTTAGATTGCTTGTGTCATGAAAACCAAACCCATAACGTCTTACTGCTGTCTAACTCTTTTCTCTCCCTTAGGTACCTGCTTCCTGACAACAACAAGGCATCTAAGCACAAAACCCAAGTAATAAAAAAGACCGTGAATCCCCACTGGAACCATACTTTCACTTTTAGTGGCTTGAATCCTAGAGATATACAGAACGTCTGCGTAGAACTCACTGTCTGGGACAAAGAGTCCCTTGCCAGCAATATCTTCCTGGGAGGCGTTCGCCTGAGTCGTGGAGGAGGTAAGAGTAGTGATTTGATTAGACAGGCGACGTCTCTTGCCTCCTTTTGGTGGGTGGGGAACTATTTGGACAGACATCAAAAGGGCACGGAGGAATCAACAGGTTTTTGTCACGTTTTCATTTCTAGTGTGCGTCAGCTTCCCCCTCCCCAAGAACTCTGCCTGGCCTTCTCTTCCAACCTTTAAGTGGACTTAAAGACTTTATCCCAACAGGCTTACTGATTTTATTACAGGCCCCAAGTATAATTTAATATGATACTATTTTTTAAAATGTTGCAGTGCTTTGGGGCACCCCCAAAATGGAGGTCAACCAATTTCCCCCCCTAGTTGTCCAGTGCTTTACATTTTAGCTATATGAACCACAGCCCTAAATTTAAATAGAGCACTTTGTCTGATTCTTTAGATGTTGCATATATATAGGTTAAACAACATTTCATTCGTTGTTTAAAGCTCATTTGTTGTTTTTACCATTAATTTTAAAAGTGGGAATTCAAGACATGGAGCACTCCAGCCTTAAAATGCACCTGCTCCATTTTCATATCCATTAAATTTATTTTAAAAGTAACTTAGTTTTGGGTCTTTTGTGTTTTTTTACTCTTCTCTTCCTTTAGACTTAATCTAACCACATTCTTTAATAGTTTAGGGTTTAGTTTTTCCCCTACATGAAAAGGAAAATAGATTTCAGAGCTATAGGACAGAATACATTGGGCATTTATTTATTTAAAAAATCAATATATTTCTCCGAAGGTGACAAATGCGCTGACCTTTGCCATGTTTTGCAATTTCCAGGTTTCAGTAACGGCAAAGAAGTTGACTGGATGGATTCTCAAGGAGAGGAGCAACTTCTCTGGCAAAGAATGATTGATTGTCCTGGGGATTCTGTGGAAGGTGTATTAATGCTGAGATCTAGCATGGGAAAGCGCAGACTCTGAGAGGGGCTATGCGTAGGCACAGAAATAACTCCAGGTATTTCGCTTGTACAATTAATTACAGGGTGGTATGATGAAAGCCGACCTGCCATGGAGCAGCTCCTGGTGTAATTTGCACATGTAAAATAGGGAAAACAAGGACTTTCGGTCAACTTGGACTTTCAACTCTCTTGAAACGGATTATAAATGCATTCAGCACTTTCCTGCGATTCTTATCATTGTGTTTCCTACTGTGACTGAGTGGATGGATTAAGTTCTTTTAAAATTTTCTACATAACCCTAGTTCAAGCAGCTCCTGTAGATTGTTATTATTTCAAGACATGGTTGCGTTTTCACAGGAGAAATGTGATTAGTAGGCCCAAAAGTGCTTTGTGATACTGTGTAGGCCAATTCAGTTCAAGCCCATTTCAAGTAAGTGTAATGGTTGGAAGATGCAAAGGGGATGGGTGTCAGATTGCAGACAAGCTGCAACAATAATTAGTTCCATCTACTTTCCCTTCCAAGTTCTGCATGTTCATATTCTTGAATGGTTCCCAGAAGTGGCTTTGATAATAAGCAGTTAAGGAATCCCTACTTCCTCACTCAGAAGCGGAATGGCTATTTGGGGGGTGGGGGGTGGTTTAGAGACCAGGAGAATTTGCTGACATAAACATTTCAAGAGTCCCCACAAAACTCAGTGGTTGTGCCACTGTCCAACCAGGACACTCATAACAATTGGACAGAAGAAATTGCCATTAAGGGTTGCATCCAGTGCTGCTATTCTGCTAGTGCAGCAGGCCTCCACTTACGCAACGTAACTTTTCCTCCCCCTACAGTCTAAAAATCTGCTCCAGAGAGTTGGAAGATTCTACAGAGTAGATTTTGAGGGGGTGTGGGGAGAGGAGAGGAAGTCTCATTGTGCTGGCAAAACTGGATACCACCCTACGTTTCTACATATAACCAAGTTAATTATTCCCAGGACTTTGACACCTTCAGAGCAAAATAATTAATGAACATTCCTAAGTTAGTTGAAAGCTATCAAGCAGATAATCAAATCTGTGCCCTAAAACAGGGTTGTTAGTGCCTACTAAACTTTTTAAAAATAGCCTGTACCAAGTAACTGCACTGCACTAAGATTTAAGCTGTTTGCTGCTAATATATTTAACTTAAACCTCCTTCCCTGTTGTAAGGAATTGAATGATCAATTATTCCCCTTTACCCCAAACCCCCTTTAAGCACTTGAAAACTGTAATATTAATATCCATCACCACCCTCATCCCTTTCCTCAAGTTGTGCATACCTACTACTTTCAGCTTTTTGTTATTGTATTGTATTTGTTTTCTAAGTCAGGGGTGGCTAGGCTAACCTGAGATCCTCCAATCAGCTGTAACCCAACTCATGCCATTCCTGACTACTGGCCGTGCTGGCTGGGGCTGATGGGAATTGAAGTCCAAACATCTGGAAGGTCATATGTTAGCCACGCCTGATACAGGCCTTAAAGTACATTAGTCAGAGTAGGATGTGAAGCAGAATTGAAGTACAGCCTTGACGATATATTTCTTCTTCTTTCATAAAGCTCTGGTTCAGTCCAAAGATGTGGTGCATTAATCCTGCTGTGAACCGTTCACCACCCAACTCCTCAGTCACTGGAACTCAAATGGCACATAGTCAGTGCTCCTGCTGAGTAGCTTCAGGCAGTACATTGCGCTGAAGAATTCAAAGGGTGCAATGCTGTGCCTTTTCCATTTTAATTTGGCTGAAGGAGAATAGGAGCATTCAATTTGAAGAACTGCATTGGAAGTGCACTTTGACTTGTAGTCTACTTTGGTTTGCTTTCTTTTGAAGATAACTGTGAATACTGTGCCACTAAAGCAAATAGCAGAGCAGTGAGCAATAGGATCTTCACACTGTCGGGAGGCCCCAACTGCTGTATTAGTTATTGGTGATGCATGTCAGCTTTTGCCACAGAAGCAACCTATGTAATTGTGAACCATACTTCTGGCAGGGAGGGTGGCTCTCAAATGGTGTCCATGGCAGCACAACCATTTCAAATAAACATAGGCTCTTGGGTGAGGGCCATATGTCTCTGTGGCTCTTGCCAGATGTACTGCCCAAGTCATTATTTGTACCACTAAAGCGAAAGCTGAGCCCTGAAGTGCAAGCCCTGTCATCTGAGAGTTAGGATGTCATTGACTTTGGTGGAATTTATGAACATAGGAAGCTCTCTTAAGAGTCAGACCACTGGTCCATCTAGCTCTCTGCTGATAACTTTACCCAGCAGCAGTTCTCCAGTGTCTTAAAAGGACCATCTTTCCCACAGTAAAACAATAATAATTATGTTTAGAAATGTGAGAGACCTTTTGCATGTAGAGCAATATACTCAAATACTGAGTTACGGGGACACACACATGGTAAATTTCTGTTTACCGAGACTTTCAATTACACATTCTTAACGAAATCAAGCTCCCACTTATTTGTTGTTGCTTTTAAAAAAAACCAACACTGGCTTTTGCACCAAAAGAAGTACTGTACTCCAACTAGATGTGCATAGACTTTTTTGCACTTCAGTAACTAAAGTTAAAAAAAATAATCCTTTGGCTTTGTGGCATGGTATACATACATAGAGGAAGATTTTTAAAAATATATTAAAAATGGCTGAAACGCAGCATGTGAATCAGACCTCATTTAAGTCTTAGTGGGTGAAGAGATGAGGCACAGCAGTGATTCAGAAGAAGCACACCAAGTCCATTTCTGTGTTCAAAAATCACTTTTTCCATTTGAAAACTGCAGTCATTGCTATAAAATGGTATCGATACTAGGTGAAACTGGATACTGTAAATACCAACAGCAACCCAAAAAGCTAGGTTTGTGGCTGGTGCATGAATGGACAAAATGAAGTGTGGCGATCTGTTTTCCATTTAACCATTTTGTATCCCACAGGGTAGAGATGAATTCAGTAGAGCAGGTATGGTGGCAGCTTTCAAACTTTTCCTGTCTCTTCATATTGCCCCGCAACCGGATCATAGAATCTCATAACAGTATTGTTACAATTTCTTTCTCTCTCTTTTTTGCATTTAACTACACCAGTTTTGTAATTTCCCAGCTTATAGATAGATGTGAATAGCATTTTAAAGACCCAAAGTCAGAAAGTACAAAAAACAACCAGACTTCCACTTTTCAAATCTGAGAACCTCCCAAAATTCACAAATTTCATCTGTCTTAACACCACCCAAAAAAAGGTCTCTTTAGTTGAGACACACAGTTTGTTTGCTAAACACAGGTCTCACACTCTGCTGTGTTTCACATGCACCTACTGGGTTTCCTGGCAATGGTGTGGATACTTGGATATAAAAATAGTAGATCCTCTAAAAAAATCAGGATCAGGGGTTGCTAATCTGTGGTCTTGCAGATGCTGCTGGATACCAGCTCCTCCCCATCTCTATCACCCATTCTGGCTGCAGCTCATGGGAGTCCAACAGACTTTCAAGTGCCAAATGGTGGTCACCCCTTGCTCTAAGTGAAGATGTTTTCTTCTGTAACTTTACCAGACAATGCTGTTCGGTCTGCACCAAAAGTCCATGGGGCTACTGCCTTCTGACTGGCACAAGTAATGTTCTCTCTAGCACACCATGGAATAACCACCTCATACCACCAGGCTCCAACTTTTAAGAAGACAATGGGGTTGATTCATTCCCCTGCTTGAACCTTAAGAGGTTGACTAGCACAACTCAACTGTGGCAATAAATTATGCTAACTGTTTGCTTTAACTACTGTCCTGTAGAATTTTATCCTGCTAGTCTTCAGATGGCTTTGGCAGCGTGTTAAAAACATCCATGTAAGTTAGATTATTATTATTTCATCAGCAAAAATGCTTTGTTGTGTGCAATGTCTTTCTAATGTATTTTTTCCTGTTGTCTCATTTGGAACAATTATGTTGCGCATGAACTGTATTATGTTAAACCCTACCAAAAGTCAGCCAGAAACCCCCCCCCCCATGCAGGCTTGCTTTAGTGTACATTCCTATGTATTTATACAGACTTATGGATTGTGGGGTGGGGAAAGACTGGCTTTATTTGCAGTTAGTGTAAAAGATCTTATTTTTGTGTGCAATTAAAATATTTCACCATGTTAAAATTCCGATCTGTGCACAAGCTGAATTTTTAAAGAGGGACTCCTTTAGCTCAAGCATGTGGATCCTGTAGCCCTCTTGGTGGCAGGACCCCCAGGCCTCCCCAAGGCTTTGATCATTAGCCATGTTGGCTGTGGATGAAAGGAGCTAGTCCAGCAACAGCTGGAGGGCCAGAGGTTCCCCACCTCAATTCTAGGTCACTGTTTCCCAGTGTAGGCAGGTGTTGCCTTTGCTGACCTCTTTGGCAACAGGTTTTCTCTCCTCTATAATAAGTCATTCTAACCCTCAGCTATAGTAAAATTGCAAAATGCTGCAAAATAGAACAGAGATGGGTACTTGTTAGTGTACGGGTCCTCATGGGATAAGAAGATAATCTTTGCTGATGAGCTACATTTGTTTTCATAAAATATATTAGATTCAACCCAAGGGGATATTGTTTAAGACTCCCTGTGAGTGATTTTCTGCTCACAGGATGCTAAGGGTGTGAAATAGAACTGGTGCAAATTGTGTCCCTCCTGCCATTGGCTCAAAGGCTCTTTTATGATCAGAAGGGTTTTTTTCCCCATTTGTGGAAGAACATGTCTGGAGCCAACTCTACTTATTGATGATTATTCTTTAAATTTAAGAATATAATTATCCTTGCGGGAGAAAAGTCTAGTGAGAGTAGCAAAGTTTAAGGGAATTCACCCTCCCCTGTTAAATACTATGAAATGACTCTAGCATTGATTACTTAGTAGCCTAGCTTTAGAATATTAAGTTGGTTTTTCATGCCAACCTTCTGCAAGCTGGTGGTTGTTAAGATGGGTGATGTTAGGTTTTCAACATTGCTATGTATCACCAGACTGAACATCACACTCTGGCAAAACACTGCAATGTTGAAACAAGCTGCATTGGCCCAGCCTGTGAGGCGCGGGCTGAAACTGCTGCAGCTCTCACCATGGGAGCTGAGGCAGTTTCACCCGAAGGGGCTCCTGCCTCCCGGCTGATGTCTCTGTTGAAGAGCAGGCAGCCACATGCCCTTGAATGGAGATGTTTAAAGGAGCCCCACCCTGCCTCCAACTCACACCAGCTGTGGGCAGGGCTCCCTCCGCCTTTGCCGGTGTCAGGGGCAGACAAGCTATCTTTTTCTCCTGGGAGAGAGACGGAGGAAGCCCTACTGATGGAAACTGACAGGCTGCATCTGCAGGGCTCCCTCAAGTACAACGGACCCTGTCTCCAGTTGGCACAAGCCAGAGGCCAAATGGGGCTCCGTTGAGGAGCAGGAGCTGCACGCCCCTGAAAGGATAAGTTTAAAGGAGCCACCTGCCCGAGTGGGCAGCCGAGGAAGAAACAAGCTACATCAGCCCTGGCCAATGTAGCTTGTTCCTCTCTCAGTGGTATGAGGACCAGAGGCGGTGGTATATTTTGGGTGAAACCACCACTGCTCCAGAGTCCCCCTGCCGCAGCTTGTCTCTCCTTCATGTGCTGGGTGCCGGTGGCAGAGGGACTCAGCAGAGGCAGTTTCACCCACAATATACTGCTGGGTGAAGCAGCCACCACTTCTAGTCCTGGGTGATGTATCAGTACATCGCCAAGGCCTAGTCCCATCATCCCAGAGCATTTGTCATGCATGGCTGATGGGAGCTGTAGTCCCCAAACATTTGCAAGACAAAAAGTTGTGGGAACAACATTTAAAAATGGTTAACGACATTACTTCTTTGGTAAATTAGAAAACAAACTAAGCCACAGGCTGCAGTTCCTGCCTTATGCCCTGCCCCAGAATGAAGGAGTATAGCCAGAAAAGAGAAGCTGCAGCTACTAATTATAAACTTTGCGAAATGAAGTTTGATAATCAAGACATAATTCTCTATTTATTTCTTTGCCTCCATTCCTTGGGAGTATCTTAAATATAATGCCTTTGCATTGTCTGTAGTTACACTATACCCAAATGCTTAAGATTAAAACCATAAAGTGCAAAACAACATCTTTATTAAAGATCTGTAAAAAGAAAAGGAAACATTTACACAGGGAGCAGCGTTCAAAGGCACTCCTGGAAACCTAACCAAGGTAATTTGATATTTTCATTCTCTTCTATAGATTTTCTTAGAAATCTCTGGAAATAGTGAAGAGGCAGTATGTAAAATGCTAAAGAAAGGAAGCTCCACAACACACTCACAAAGCTAACCACAAACATACATTCATTTTTTTTAAAAAAAGAATCTGTACATCAGTGACTTCCCTAATACCATGCTTTGTGTAGTAGCACCAGAGGGCAGGGAGGGCAGCAACATACCGCCACGCGAATGGCTGTAATCCAGGCTCAGGGACAGGACTGGCCAGCTTCTGCTTGCAGTTTCATTTCTTCTTTTCTCAAAGGGAAAGTATCAATGAGCGCAAAGAGCTCAGCAGGAGTCGCTGGGAAAGGATATCGTTCTTTGTCCACACCATGTTTATCAACCACCACCATATTGAAGTTATAGTGGGGAATGCGGAGCAACAACCTGACAATATGAAGAGAGAAGCAGTTGGTTTGCTTTTAAAATAAGCAGCTACATTACATGTATGGTCACAGAGGTGTAGCATAGGCCGTTGCCCTGAGCACCTTTTGCTCCTCACGCTGCCCCTGCCAGCCCCATGCTGCTTTGAAAGTCCGAACCCACATCCGAGCTTTGCAAAGCAGCGTGGGCCTAGCAGGTACCCTTCTAATCAGTCCAATCCTAACTGATTGAAGGACATATACCTGCCCTGTTGTGTTCCCTGCACCCTGGGCACCATGAAGACATGCTCCGCTGCTGTATGGCCATAACTATCCATTGCAATGAAGTATGAGAAAGAACAACCCCTTTTTTTCAGATATTTTTTAAAGTCAAAGATTATGTACAACTGGACTCTCAGCCACAGCCAGCCAGTCAATATACAATTTAGACCATGAATTAAAAAGACAACTGTCCAATCTTGGAATGAAAGCTGCTACAGTCAATCTTGCACAAGTTATCGTGTTACATCTATAAAAGTTGCTCAATATTTTGTCCACTGGTGTGTTTTTTTCCAGAAGGACCATGCCTTCTGTTTTTATCACTGTGTTGGGCAGCCTGCCCTTCACCAGCCACTGATGCAGTGCTGAAAACTCCATCATTTCCCTACTCTTCCAAATGACTGGTACAGGCTTAGTGGGACCACTACATTCCTAGGAGCAGAAAAGACCCTAACTCTGAAACACAGTGCAAACTGACCTTGTGCAACACATCTGTGCTGAGGAAAAGTAGAACAACAACTGGTTTCCCTTGCAATAGGTGGAAATAGGGTTTGGACTCAACAATAGCATGATCCTGCCAATTATGTCCTGGTTTATCAATATGAGCTATGACGCTCAATTGTGGAATGAAGCAGCTGATCCCCTTACTGTGGTAGCTAACCTGGGGCGCTCCTGATGTTGGGTCCAACTGCCACTGTAGTTAATGGTCAAATGGCTGGAGTTAGACTCCAGCAACATCGGAGGGCCAGAGGTTTGCCACCCTGATATAGTGGCAATTTGAACATCCCATTTGTACAGCTCTAAGCATAGGAAAAGCGCATCCTCTGTAGACTCCAGACCTGTAATAAGTAGAGCAGCATTTCCACCTCCACCTGCCATGGAAGAAGCATGTACGGTAATGTAGCTGTTTATCATATAACTTTTGAGTCTACAAAGGCAGGCTTTTATGTGGGCTGGAGGACACAGTAATTGGTATAAGGCAGAGCTCTGCCTCAGAAAAATGGATTGCAAGATTAAACATCAGAACAGGCATATTCTTTCTATACACTGCTTGGTGATTATAAAATTTGCACCACGTCTCCTTGAGAAATATTCTCCAACTCATGCAGAATTCAACTCATGCAGAATTTCTGTTCAGGGATGCTGTTTGCTCAAGGGAATCTCACATTCAGTTTTATTTTAAACAAATATTGTGCTTCCCTAAAAATGCAATCAAGACATTAAAGGGCAATATTGGGGTGGGGGAACAATTCTGGATTATTATCAACAAAGAGAGTTTTTAATTTACCTGAGTTGCAAAGCCAGTGCAGGAGGCATCAGTCTCAAGCCTATTCTTCCCAGCTGTGCTGGATAGACTCCAACCAACTCAATCACGGTCATGTGCCGGAGATCTAAACCACACAGCGCTGGCTAAAGTAATCAAGATATGAATTGGAGATAAACATCAAGTGGATTAATCGTAATGGGAGTTTCTGCAATGTGTGCTTATTATTATGGTTCTGTAATGTTAGGGTCTCTCGAGACATAAAAGTTAATGCACTGTTAAAGACACGGTTCATCTACACTATTTTGGGAGCTAAAGTGGAGCTGTGCCTCACCTGCAGCATTCCCAATTGCAATCTATAGAAGTAATTGGCTGCAGTCGGAGTGGATATAATGAGCAGCCTCCGTTTCTCATAAAACTGGTCCAGGAGGGCTGCTGCGGTCCTCACACCAACATTAATGTTCATGGCTGAAATTACAAGCAAGAAGATGATAATCATCATAACAGACCTGTTTTCAACCTTAAGCAGCTGGAGATAATGGCAACTGATTTGGTCATGGAAGCCAAAAGGGGACAGAGCAGATTAAAAGAATCAAGAATGTTCTCAACTCAACACCAAGGTTTTAAATGGTAGCTCAATTCTTAACAGCAACAGAAAACTTTGAATAACTAATCCCCCACCTATTTGTGTCATTAGTTCATGAGGCAGACTTTGACATGGGCAGGCAAACTGTGAACTTCCATATGTTGTAGGACTCCAGTGTCTATCAGACTTAGCCAGGAAATCAGGGATGATGAGAATTATGATCCAACAGAAGCTAGAAGGCCACATCCAACAGAAGCTAGAAGGCTTCAAGAGATTCAAATAAGGCAAGCATTCAATCAAGAGAAGTCTTGACCTGACACCACACAGGCTCACAGAGTGAGTGGGGTCCTTGAAGCCTGTTTCATGCACAATCACCCAGCCAATGCCTGTGATTACTGGAACACATTTTAGGGATTGGACGCAATGCTACCTCTGCACACAACATTAAGTTATGCCAAATATTATGACATTATACTGGCATATTGGTGCATCATATTCTAAACTTATGAGAATACCTTTACTGAGTTACGACCATTGGCTCATCAAAGGTTTCTCTACTCTTTCTGGTACCACCTCTCCAGAATCTGAGGCAAGATTTTTCCTATCCTTTAAGATATTTTAGCTAGCCATGCTGAGGGTTAAACCTGGTGCCTGGCTTGGGCTCCTCCCTGCTACACACAGCTCTTAGGAAGTCTGCTAGCCATTAATGATACAGATGTTCATAATACTTAAGTGCTCTGCATGCATATCTTGCCAAGTATCTTGGATCTAGCAGCCAGAATACAGGAAAAGAATCACACTTAAATCTTTTCACTCACAACCTGCAACAAATTACTGCTTCTTCCAGATGCTAAGTGGTATCTACTTTGCAAAATCTGCACATGTTTTGAGTTGGCAGGAGAATGTGGGCGGATGTTTAGTAATCAATTCCTATCAAGAAAGAGAAAGAGATCAATAGAATGAGAACAGGAGAGAGATGCAAAGAAATCTCAAGCCAGAGAAAGGAAATCCGTATATAATGGATGTAGCACAGACAGCTCTTTAATGTGTGTGTTAAGTAAAGCTGCTTCTTTTTCATATCCAGGCAGAGCTCCCCAGCACCCTTGCCTGCTAATGCTACATTGCAAGCTGTTTCTAAACATGAATATGAGTTTTTAAAACAGCTTGTAATGGGGAATATAAAACTGGTGATTAGGAAATAGCATAAAAGCCTCACTGCATTTATGCAACTTCCCACAAGCTTCTGTGGGTCAGGGTGACTGAACACCTCTGGAAAAAGTGAGAAATGTATTGGCATTAACATAATAAAATACTGCATTCAGGCTTAGCCACAGATTTGTATCTCATGTCATCTTCAATAGACAGGTAAGCTTTATAACACGGAGATCATTATTCATTAGCAACATCTCATTTGCTTAACCCTGCATAAACAGCTTGCTAGCCAAAACCCAGTGAACAATTGTAAAGTGTTGAAGCATGTGGAACAATTACAATGTTTGTGCTAAGCAAGTCTTCCCACAATACACATCATCCTGCCACCCCACGTGCTGCTCTTTTACTGGAATTATTCATTACGTACGTGTACAGGTTGGCTCCGTTCCTGACCAGCCTAAATTGTACTGACAAACTCGTGCTGGACTTCCCTGCAATTCGTATCCACCAATGCAGGAAAATTCACAGGTTGCGCCATAATTATCCCCGTCACCAGAACATTTTATGTAGCCATTTTCTGGAGCATTCAGTTTCCCACAACGTCTGACTGTAAACACAAAATGAGGAGCACTCAGTGAGTCATTTTATCTCCTAATACATCACTTCTATGAAATGAAAATGCAATTGCATGGGCTTTGGTTTTTTTAGCCTTCAAGAGACATCAGCATCTTTTGATTTTATAATCAGTTTGACATATAGATTCATTAACACACACAGGTGTGTCATTCACATACATTAACTGATGCATGGTATAGCCAGATATTCCTTATATTGTTAATAGCCCTGAGCTTATGCTACATCAACATGGCAGAGTTTAGACCTAGCACAGTCTATTGCTAATGAATGGAATAATGCTAATTGCTACAATATGCAAGCACCATAGCTTCTAATACAACCTCTATATTACCAATTTCCTCTTGCTCATCCAGTGGCACAAGACTTCCCCCAACAGCCATTTAGTGGCACAACAGCTAGAACTGTGGGTCCGGCTCTCTGCCTGTTTTTCCAAAGTATACATAGCAAGGGGGCTGCTCTGTTCCACTGCCCAAGCAGGGGCCATTGCATAACCAGACTCTGCAGAAGACATTGCTATGTGCCAAACAGCCCAGTACTTTTGTGGTGCTAATTTTCTTATTGGTTGGTTCTGTGATTTTAATGTTATGATTTTAACAACAGTATTGCTATTTATTTATTTTTGCAAAATGCCCAATTTGGTGAAGGGTAATGGCAGCAGCAGCAGTAGTAACAAAGTGTGAACAATTCCAGTTGCGCATCAGTCACTAATCTTGAACATCTAACTCTCAGACAGGCTATTCTGTATGTATAAGCCATTTCTTAAGCAATGCTTCCTCCAACACTAAAACCAAGGGCATTCCACTAATTATTCGTAGCCGCTCTTATCAGCGACATACCCTGGTAGAACTCAAACTGGTGAAGATGGAACCATTCACAAGGGCTCTTTTTGGCACCTCTCGCCTAGCTATCTTCAAAAATTGTGGAACATAGTTTTAATTACAGTGGTATCTCAGGTTACAGACGCTTCAGGTTGCAGACTGCGCTAACCCAGAAATAGTACCTTAGGTTAAGAACTTTGCTTCAGGATGAGAACAGAAATTGTGCTCCGGCAGCATGGCAGCAGCAGGAGGCCCCATTAGCTAAAGTGGTACCTCAGTTAAGAACAGACCTCCAGAACGAATTAAGTTCTTAACCCGAGGTACCACTGTACTTATTAAGATATTTCCACTTCACGAAAATGGTCACAGGGTGATTGACACCTAATTAAGGCAACACAAAATATAACACATAATAAAGATTAAAACAATCAAAACTCAGAAATTATTTCACCTATCAGCCTCCAAAAGCCTGTCCCCCCCCAAAAGGGAACAGTTTTCACCTGGCATCTAAAAATAAATAAATACAAAGTGGGGGCAAGTTTGCAGTTCCCTAGCTTAGGAAAATTGAATAGAGGCGTATGATTTTACATATATTCCCACATCAGGAAGTATAATGGACTGATGCCACAACCTCCTGGCATTGTCTACATCTTGTACCCACCTGGTTAAGGAAGATCACATACACCGAATACCATCAGAGAAACTGCAAAAGCAGCAGCAACAGCAGCAGCAGCAGCCATGCTCCAGGTAAGATATACATAAATAGGGCCTAACTTTGATGCCCGTGCTTCCCCCAACCCCAACAGCAAATGTTCTTACCTTTAACTTTAACATAAAATCTGCACGTTCCCTTATTCCCGGCTCTGTCAAACACAGTGTAGTGGATCTTGTGATCTCCCTCTGAAAAATGTGATCCTGGTGGTAGTCCTTTCAAAATAACACTAAAAAGAAAGAAAACGTTGCAAACAATAATTATTATTGTTGCAGAGACAGGACCTTTTAGGGAATACAATTTAGAAGATTAATGTTCAGTTTGCAGCTCTGATTATAGCAGTGCAATATATCCTTTTCCAAAATTGCCCACTGGCAGCAAATATAACAGAATGCTACATATATAACCAAGAACAAACACTGTCCCTGTGGAGGTTTATCTGTAGATTTACTGCTTGAAGCACAACCCCTGAATCAGAAATCACCTGTGCAGCCGGATTTGCTCTGCCTGTAGCAAACAGACCATGAACACTTGAAATACAAGTTCTGTGGGCACATACAAATTTCCAGGAGTGACTGTGTATTAAATCCAACCCATGTCTTTATATGCATTAGTTAGTTCACACATTTTCACTCACTCTGTCAAAATGCCATCTGCAGTGTCCCTTCCCTCTGGGGTTTCCCAGAACACTCTGGCTGTCAGTTTATTGGGCTCTGCCGTTTTCTCCTTTACACTTGGGCACTGGATTCTAGGCGGCTCCATATCTGAAAATAAACACACAGATATAATAGCACAGGCACACTTGGTTTAAGCTGATATCCTGCAGGCAATGCAAACAGTGCAGAAATAATCTTGAACAAGTTAATCATCAAACTGCTACCAGGACACTTAAAATTGACTCTGGCACAACATTAATAACATCAAATGGAGATTATTGGAAAAAAGAAGGTATCTTCTTGAGATTAAAAGCAAGCAGATCAGGAAAGCAGCTGAAAATTCCTCTAATCTCCAGAACTTTCTGATTTTTTTAAAAAACACTTCATATAAAAAATTACTTTTCAGTGTATTGATGCATTCTAATTATTGAATATCTACTTTATTCTAGAGTGCAGTTCTGAATGCAAAAGGCCTACTTGCAGGTTTAGAGGCAACTTCACCTAGACACCTCTAAAAACATTTTGTATGAATTTTGCCACTTGAATGCAATGTAAGGCTATTGACAGTGTTCTGTATCAAAGGGCTGGGTCCTCCTATATGGGCCCAACGACACAAGATTCCCGATGCATTATGTTTTGAGCAGGGCTTTTTTTTCGGGGAACTCACCAGAACTCAGTTCCGGCACCTCTCAGGTGGGTGCCATTGCCATTATAACAGAACAAGGGAGGCGTTCATGGTGAGTTCTGGCACCTCTCTGTCTATAAAAATAGCAGTGTTTTTGAGCATGATACATGCTGGGGGGAGGGGGGCAGGAGAAGTAATGTATGAAGCAGTATTAAAGAGTCAGTACACTTGATTGCTCTCGCGCCGCAGGGCAGCTGCTCCCTGTTCATTGCAAAGGAGTCTTCTGGTACACTTCCTATTAGCAGAAGGTGGTGGTTCATTGTACAACTGCAGCCCTTCTCAATGAAGTCTGAGAAAGGACACGCAAAATGACAAATAGCTGCTGGTGCAAAATTGTCAGTGCAAGCTGCTTGCTATGCACATGAGAACAAGCAGTTCTACAGGTAAAGCAGTTGTGTGTGAAAGGACCCAAATTCTCGGTGCTTAAGCCATTACCTAAATATGTGCATACTCAAAATTAAATGAAAGAAGGAATGGAAACATTCCTGAGAATTGCAGTGTTTCTGATATGCAGTGGTACCTCGGGTTAAGTACTTAATTTGTTCCGGAGGTCTGTTCTTAACCTGAAACTCTTATTAACCAGAAGCGCCATTTTAGCTAATGGGGCCTCCTGCTGCCGCTGTGCTGCTGGAGCACGATTTCTGTTCTCATCCTGAAGCAAAGTTCTTAACCCGAGGTAATATTTCTGGGTTAGTGTAGTCTGTAACCTGAAGCGTATGTAACCTGAAGCGTATGTAACCTGAGGTACCACTGTATGTTTATGAGTCTCCTATAGCAAAGGACCATAGTTTCCCCGTATTACTATTAATTTCAGCTACTTAAGACACCAGACTTCGGTTACTATAGGAACTGCATCTCCAAGCACTCATGGATCAGTGAACTCTTCTTGCTGGACCACAGTGTTTTAAGCCATTTTAACTGCTTAGAGATAATCACTAGACAAGCGCGCACACATGCCCCTCTCTTCCCATTAATTTGTAGTGGAGAGGGCAGAACTGTGAGAAGTCATGACTAATTGGAACTTCCTCAACTGGGATTTCTTATCTGCAGCAATGTAACAAAACAAAAGCCACAAATTTAATTTGAGCCACATAAGGAGAAACTATTAAACAAAATAAATGAAAAACAGTGAGACACCATTTCAGCAAAGTCATCCTAGAAAGCCTCCAATGTTGTTTCACAAACAGTTTCACAAAGGTCAGAAGAGCATCAGCGGGAGATAACAGACATGGGAGTGTTCCGGTTTTTTTGTTTTTGTTTTTTTGAAATGATAAAATGGTTCATATCTGGTAGTGTCATCTTTACTTTCAGAGTGCAAAAGTGTGCACTGCAGTTCTGCCAGGCTGGTAGGTTTGTGAGAAAATAATCTACTATCAAACCCACTGTCAAGCCATTTCAAGAGAATTCGTTTATTTTTATCCCACCCTCCAAGGAGCTCAGGGGTAGCAACCCGTGGTTCTTATGTACCTCTGTTTACCCTTGCAACAACCTCGTGAGGTAGACTGGATTAAAGAAAGTAGCTGGTCAAAAGTAACCCAGTGGAGTGAGCTTCATGGCTGAGTGGGAATTTGAACCCAGGTCTCCCCAGCCCTAACAATGCACTACCCCTCTCTCATTATACACACACTCTGTAACCCAGGGCTGGGGAACCTGTGCACTCCAGATGCTGCTGGACTACAACTCCCATCATCCCTGACCACGGGTGAGCTCTGAATCTTGTTTTAGCTGCAGCAATATAACTGCAAAGCAGCAGTTGTGCTGCTATGGTAGGCAATCTCTGCACATCCTCCCAGGCCACACTTACCAACACAAGAAGCTGGTCGTCCACTCCAAAGTTTGTTATCCATACATTGTACTATTCGGTCTCCTTTTAACTGGTATCCTGGTGAACAATAATACTCACACCTGGAGTTATAATATGCACCATCTAAACACTTGAATCCTCCGTTACCTGGCATCGAAAGGGTTGGGCAACGTTTTTCTACAGAGGGGGGAAAAAACCCAACCAAAATCAAATGACTGAGAATATTTTTTTTTAAAAAACTTTGCACTATATGCAAAGATATACCTATTCACCGAAAAGCAAATGCATGTCAGTGTTGATTAACTGATAAAATATGAGGGCTTTCAAAGCAATGCACTACTAGTGGAGTCACTTTCCAATACTTCACCCTGCATCTCTCATGTGTTCATTATGATTAATGTATATGTAACATGAAACAATCTTCCAGTCCAAAGCTGACGGCATGTCAGTGGAGGCATTAAATCTGCATGATCCAAAGCCCAGCTGTTGATCCCAGGAAAGGTCAAAAAAATCCTGGAACTGGTGGACTTATTCTCCCCCCCCCCCCAATTAGGGCCAATGAGAGAGAGAAAATAACCACTGGAATAATCCCTTGGCAAACACACCTTCTGCCTCTGCCAAAGTAATGGATGCAGGGGGTACTTTACTACTCTTTGAAATGGCTGCATTGCCTTTAAAACATGAGCACACACAGACTGAGGCAAGGTAAAGTAAGCGAGCAGTCCTGCTTCTTCCTCCCCCCCCCCCCCACCGGGTCTGCTGTGGAAGAGGGAATTGCCAAAACTCAAGTGGACAGCCTTATGTTGGACAGTGATCCCAACAAAAGGGACATTAGTTAGGTGTGCCTTGTTTGCTGCTATCTTACACTTGGAGCAAATTGTGCTTCGGATTTAACCTGGGAATGGTGAGGTTAAAGGCAACAAAGTGTATTTCCATATCGTAAAACCGGGTCTTATTTAGCTGTCCTGGCAAGGAAATTGTTACAAAAACAGTATTTAAAATATTCTGCTTTAAGACACTAGATGGTGAGGCTGTTAGGAGCTCACATATTAGTATTTCTACAACCCTATAGTGGGTGGGGCTGGTGAGAGTGGGAGTCCTACAACATCTGGAGGACCCCCCACTGGCGGAGGAAGAGGAGTGCGGGGGAGCGCCCCGCCCCCGGCAGCACGGTCCCCAGGGTGCCATCGTGGCTGACCCCCCCTGCGCTGGGCGCCCCACCCGCGGGACACGCACCAGCTCTCCGCTCCCCAGTGCCGGAGCATGAAGCTCCGCCACTGGGACCCCACAGGTTCCCTAACACTGGTAGGAGATTGTTCTTGGTGACCTCCTTGCAGATGTTTTCTGTATATGCAACTTAAAAAAAAAAAAAGCATTGATAAGAGATAAGAGTGCATAGAGAAACAGAGTTAATATTTTTACTGTGTAAAAAACTCGTGCCTCTCTAGTATAGGTTGATTAGCCAGAAACAACTGAACTGAGAGCCAAAGTAATGATCCACTCACGTTTGCACAAAACTTTGCCAGACCAGCGTTTGTTTGACTGACACATAAGCTCCTGGGGACCGTGCAGCTCATAGCCTTTCTGACAACGAATGTCGCATTTCGTTCCCAAGACGTTTTTATAATACCCTCCGCGAGGGCTTCTGCAGCTGGCATAGCCGTATTTCACCTTGATAGGAGAGCACCATGGTGTATCTGGTGAAAGACATACGTGCATTTATAAGACGAAAAAGAAAATGCACAATAATACAGGACTGTATTTAAGGCTGCAATTCCACTTGCACAACTGACATCTGTTTGTGCAATGGAACTTTCCTCTCCTCTCCCCACAACCTTCAAAATCTGTGCCAGAGGGTTGGGGAATCCTTCAGAGCAGATTTTTTTTGGGGGGGGTGGTGAAGGGGAGAGGAAATTCCCTTGCTTGAATAGAGTTCTGCATACACATTTCTGGATAAAACCCACACGTTTAAAAGTGGTGTTGGACTAGAGTTTACTGGGAAGAAAAAGAGAACATAAAATTACACACAGACTGCAAGGTGATTATAGACTCCCTCCAAAGTAACAGCACCAAAGGCAGTTGCTTTGTATGTGTGGCATGTGAATTATATTTTCTGTTCAAATCTTGAGCCACTAAAAATCAAAGGAATGACTAGCACGGGTGCAGTGGGAGGATGAGCACTGACCCCTTAGTTTTCTGCTTGCAGTTTAAGCCTGCCACCATGTGGACAGTTAGAATTATTAGATATTTTGTTAAATTTTTCTCCTCAAAAGGAAACCAAACTATATTCTGTTTGGTTATAGCTCATATATTTACTTAAAATGATTTTTTAAAATAATGCTGGATTTTAAGTTCTGTGTCCAAGAGTTAGAAGTAATGATTATCCCAAACAATGGAATCTTGCTTATTAAACCAAGTCTTATTTGATGTGTGGTGAATCGATATTGCACTGTCCTTGAGGCAGTGGGGCCCTACCTATGGCGTATGCATCAGGAAGGGAGATCAAGGCTGGGGGCAGCGCTGGAGAGAGGGGGCTGGTCTACAATGTAATATTGTGTGTGTGACAAAAACTTACACATAGCATCCAAACTGATGAATTAACGTGCTTCACAACGCACATAAAGCCAAGGCAATTCAGTTTAAACACTACTCAAAGGAACTAGGCAAAGGAATCTCATGAGCCTTTTTCTTCAAGGCTCAATGTCACCTTTAAAAACGAGTCACAGTAAAAGGCACACATGCAAGAGAGAGATGGGTGATGGGAGAAGTGATGGGTGATAGGGATGGGGGAAGGAGATGAGGGAGATTATCCCATGGTCTGCTGATTAGGCAGCTGCAAGGTGGCAGAAGGGCAGCAGGGTAGTGGTGCTAAATTCTATGTATTGAAACCCACCAGCCAAAATATGGGCTGCAGGCCTCTAGTTTTGGGTTAGTGGAATTTGCTCTGTAAAATTTCTGCACTTGCAGAGGAATGATAGAATACTTACCACATTGTTTATACCAATGGTAGGATACTATAGACACAAGCATGGGTGTACCAGATTAAGGGACATTTGCAGCCTATTCAAAAAAGAATATATATCCCTGACATATATAGACAGAAGCACAGAGACTCCTTTTTTTTAAAACTTCTGAGAACTGAAATGCACTGGATATGCTCTTGTATAGAGGTTCCACTGCATATTGAAACACAAATGACATATTCAACAGACTGGAGGCAAGGAGTAAAGCATTACAGGAATACATAATGCAGGCATATGAAATTCTTACTAACTTTGGAGTTATGCCAAGATACAATTCTCAAAGTCACTGCAGAATGTAGAAGGCAGAAGGAAACTTTTAGATACCTCGGTCCCAACATATGTGGGTTTTTTAAAAAAAACCTAATACTACAAAACTGAGTTCAGAAACAGTTTGAGCCAGTGTAATCTACGAAGCTCTGGTCTAATACAGGGACAGCACCTAATTCCAGTCTGCAGCCTAGCAGCTGAATACTGGAATTACATATCTCAACCACCTGCAAAGGCAGCTCCACATAGTCTGTGATCACTGGGCCACAGCAAGATGCCTCCCACTCCTATGGTGCAACTCCACCCACAATAGAGCGCACCCACAACACAGCAAGGATTGGGGATTACCACACAAGACTACCCATCTTGCAAATAAGATTCTTTCTTCTTACCCTAGTTGTGGAGATGTCATGCAACAATATGCTTGCCTCCTGTGTTGCTAAGTTGTGACCTCAGCTCACAGGATATGTGGTGGGTTTTGTTTATGAAGCAAGTGGCAATTACTAGCATGGTTTTTTGTTATGAACAGAGTTATAGGCACCATCTACATGAAGGTTCCAATTGCCAGTCTTTCAAAATATTAAGCTCTAAGGTCTACTTTTTATGATACCAGCTTCTGTTCTTTTGGATTTCACATTCTACCCTAAGCATTCCTATAGCTTTATTACACCATCAGATTTTGAGGCTGTATTGCACAGATGGGTACCCCTATTAGCCAAAGTTCAGACAGCAAAACACAGGTGCAATCCAATAGATTTAAGGATAAATAAGGTTAGGCATGTTGAGACAGATAGTGGTGTGGATTGAATAATCCTGTTTATGCTGAAGTACACAAAGATATGCAGGTGGCGCTGTGGGTTAAACCACAGAGCCTAGGGCTTGCCGATTAGAAGGTTGGTGGTTTGAATCCCCATGGTGGGGTGAGCTCCTGTTGCTTGGTCCCTGCTCCTGCCAACCTAGCACTTCGAAAGCATGTCGAAGTGCAAGTAGATAAATAGGTACTGCTCCGGCGGGAAGGTAAACGGCGATTCCATGCGCTGCTCTGATTCGCCAGAAGCGGCTTAGTCATCTGCTCACATGACCCGGATGCTGTATGCCGGCTCCCTCGACTAATAAAGTGAGATGAGCGCCGCAACCCCAGAGTCGTCTGCAACTGGACCTAATGGTCAGGGGTCCCTTTACCTTTACCCGTTACACAAAAGTAAACACACAGAATACTCACTAGCTCTCTAATAACTTCCCTTCAACATGGGTAATTACAAATGTATGAAACATAATCAATGTCGGAGAAGCACTCAGCCATAAGAAGGTTGCTTCATTCCAAATAATATCTAAGTATGCCATTGTATATAAAAAAAGTTATTGCTCTATCCAAAAATATGCATTGGGGCAAAATGGTAGGCAGGGCTTTTGCAAGCCTGCTAAATGAAAACAACAACCCATTTCACTTTCAGTTGTCACCAGCAATTGATTTGTTTAGAAAGGCTGCAAACACTATCCTCTTAATAAAGGTTATGAGATTACCTGTGAATTCTTAGGATTGCCTGGTTCATAATTAGCATACTTTTTTGAGGGGGGAGAGGAACTGATACTATAGAAAAGCTATGGAAAAAACTCAGTAAAGTATCATCAAACAGGTAGAGATCACAGACAACTTTTAATTCTGATGCTATGGTGCACGAAAGCAGAAAGCAGCTTATTTTTAATTAACATGAACTATCTGCTTAATCTCCAAAAACTGATGTCAGATAATTAGAAACTTTTCCTTGGAAAAAAATAGAGAAAATCCATGAGTAGTGCTTCTACCATCCTCTGCTGTTCAACAGCAACAAGTACAGAAAATTCAAACACACATGAAGTCTGGCAATTCCAAGCCTGTGATTATGTCAGCACATCTCCATGGCAGCTTAACATTCCTACCTCTCTCCATATATCCAGCCTGGAAGCCATATATCCAGCTTGGAAGCCATATATCCATATATGTGGCCATTGCATTTACAGTAACTGTGGGTCTCCCCCACCCACCTCCATTTCTTTCCTTTGGAAGAAGGGTTGCCAGATTTTTGCACCTACATGTCAGACTGATCTTATGCATTGCTCTACAAAATCAGAACCAGGGACAATGAACTTGAGAATATATCTGTAAGACTGCTAAATAAGCAGGCACGAGTAAGATGGGAGAGTAAAGATTATCTGAAAGTGAAGAACATCATACATGACTTGTGCACAATCATTATTTTGGGGGTGCAAAATATTCAAATCAGTTTGAATATTTTGCATAAGGGTATTAATGATGTAAATACACATATTTTCATGGATTCAAAACAAACAAAACCACAGCAACATAGCACTGGAGTTCAAATCATGAAAGGGCATTCACAGCTATTCACAGAATAAATAAACCATGCAAAAAAATCTGGCTGGCACAGACATACCCTAAGGCTTCATGCTCCAAGCAGAAAAAGGATAAAAAAGCTTTCTTGGCAATGGGTGATCCTCATTAGTATATGAGCAAAGCATTCACCTTTATATCTATTGTGTGCATACACGTCTTCATCATCTTCTAGCGGTGAGTATCCCGATCCTACAATAAAAAAGAAAAACAACTGCAGCAAGCAAGGAAACAACATCCTTGAAAAGCGTAAGGAAAGCTCTTGCAGAGATGAGCGAAGGCAGAATTAGGATGTATCAAACATCCTAGAGCAAGTTAAACTGGGTAAGTTTTTGTGTTTATTAGACTTGCAGCAAAATCAGTTTATAGTGATCTCGGTAGTGGCGCCCTCCCTGTGGAATGCCCTCCCACCAGATGTCAAAGAGAACAACAACTACCAGACTTTTAGAAGACATCTGAAGGCAGCCCTGTTTAGGGAAGCTTTTAATGTCTGATGTATCACAGTATTTTAATATTCTTTTGGAAGCCGCCCAGAGTGGCTGGGGAAGCCCAGCCACATGGGCGGGGTATAAATAATAAATTATTATTATTATTATTATTATTATTATGAAATGGATAAAGATATACATTTTAAAACCGAATGAAGTCTAATTGTTTCCCAATATATATTGGATCAAGGAATTCATCTTGCAGGGAACTTCCATCACAAATTAAGATCTTACGCAAGTCTCAAGTGATATTTCACTATAAGATGGTTCAAAAGATGCAAGTGGATGCATCAGCCATCCTAGCAAACAGCTGCAGAGGCAGAATACAGATGTAACTACCATTCAAGATACATGTGTGACTGAGCTATTTAGCACAGCCAATGCAGCTAAAATGCCATTACATCCATTTTACCTTAATGCTATTCTGGCCAGTCAAAATAGCATTTTATTTAACTACTGAACATAAAGACTGTTAAAAAAAAGAAAAAAAGGCTTACCTGGGTGGATCTGGAGCATCATGACATTCTACCAGACATTGTTATATTTGTGTTAATTGATATAAAATAAACTTTCAACACAAGAGTACAGAGGCATATATTTCATTTTTATTTGGCAACTGCAGGCAATCCTTTTAGGATTCGTCCCTGTATGTCCAAGCAGAGTGATGCACTGGGGTAAAAATAAAATGAAATCCTTCCATATGCACCAGGCGAGACAATAATGGAGACCCTTGATGGAACTGGGTCACTCCATACAACTCATGGAATAGATGACTGGCACAATCACCTTCAACAGAGCCAGGCACCTGTTTGACAGGAGTGGATGGGTTAATAACACCAACTCATCCCTTTGGCAAGTCAACTTGTGGAGATTATTGTATGCAGCAGTGTGTTTAGAACCAGCTACTTTACACAAAGGAATCCATCCACCCAAAATATATAAGCTAATCCTAGAGAGAATCTGAGGAACTGCACAGATACTTTATTAATCACAAGCAGAATATGCAATACACAGTAAGGTACAATAATCCTATCTAAGGAAATGCTGAATGAGGTATGAATAAAATAAAAGAGATGACCATATAGCACCTCAAAGATTTATAAGTCTCGTTAAACGTTCGTCTCCTCTTTTATTTTGCATTTTAATAGAATAGATATAGCGGGTCCCCTGCAGAAGAGTAAAATTCAAACAAGCTGGGATTATTATAACTCAGTCTGTGATTGGCTGTGCAGACCTTCTTTTTATCATCCACACATCATTCACTAGAGTATTGTGGTTATGTGGGTTTTTTAACATCTATGGCCCTAGGACACACTTCTTCTTCTTCTTACTACTACTACTACTACTACTACTATTAAAAGTGATTATGAAAAAGTTCACAGACTGGTACAAGCACGCAAAGAGGGGAAATATCACTCACCACCAGTGAAATCACAGGCTCACAGTACTCAAGTAACCACATTTCGAAGAGCACTCATAACCGCAATTGACACCTCTGTGTGTCTGAAGGGATGAGGAATCACGTTTTCAAAATAATAGCCACAATATAGTTTGAATGCCGCAAAATAGCATTTATGTTACAAGCAAATTGTAGCTTAAGGAAGGATTCTGTTATCATATGCAACACATGAGTTAACAACTGTATAATTGTGCAGAAAATTCTGACACTTCAGAATACAATATTCCTTTATTTTTTTAACAGGTCATAAAGACAGACTATTATAGTGGGCTTGATCTTCCTCATGAACAGAATCAATTTCCTTTACCACCCCACCCCCACTTTTGCTAGTACAGTTTTCCTAGTATTCTACTCTTGTTACTTTCTTTAAAACTGCTGATGTCGGCAGACATGTTGGCATGTCAACAGCTCCATGGTAGAAAACACTAAACTTAGTAGAATTTTAAAGCACTGCTGAGCTATGTAAGTTTTAAATAGCAGTCTCTAACGGCTTTGAAGATGTTACTAAAGGAATGCTTTTCATGCTTTGTTGTGCGCTATTTGGCAGAATTCTGGGGTTCTGGTCTCAATGTTCAGCTCAAGAAAAGTGTCAACAAAATGTATTCTTTCAAACAATTTTTCAGAGAATTAGACTGATTGCTCCCCAAAGATGCCTCATGTAAAAGCAGCAGACTGGTGGGCAATATTTGAAGAGTTAGCTCTTTCAGTGGTTATTTTCAGAAAATGCCAAGAACATTTAAAACCCCATATTAATTTTTAATGGAACTTTTTGCTAACTTCTATGGAGCACTAAGGCTGCAATTCTATACTTGCTTACCAGAAAGTAAACTCCACTGAACTCAAAGTGGGCTTACTTTTGAGTAGCCGTGCACAGGATTAAGCCAGAGATTAATTTGCGGCCCCTTCAGATGTTGTTAGACTACAACTCCCATCATCCCTGGAAAAACAGCTATGGTGGCAGAGAACAGGAGTCTAACAACATCTGGAGGGCAACAAGATTCCCACCCCTAAACTGTCAGCCCCTAAGCCATGCATGCACCATAAATTTCACCACGCTCCAGTCCATGCAGGTGCAGTTATTAAAAGCACAGAAGAGAGTTAGTTCTATGTGAGGAAAATTCTTGGGGGCTGCAAATAATTTAGTTTGCTCTGTCAGGATGTTTTTCAGAAAGATCCCACTGTTTTTGAAATTACATGCTTCAACTTGTTTTCAAGAGAAATCCTACAGAAGCAATACACCTCTCAAGCTGACAAAATTAAGCTGCAATTGTAGTGCAGAACAGAATAACAGGCAATTAATTACCTCAAAATAGTTTGGGGTGGGAGGAATGAGTGATCAATCAATATCCCGGGAGGATATCATTTTCAGTTACAGGAAACCACCATTCTTATCAGGTTTCATGGGAAATGTTGATTACAAATAGACAATGGGATATATCCAGTGTCAGTCATTCAGAGCAGACCCACTGAAATCAATGGAATTAAGTTGGATTCATTCAGCCCATCATTGTGTCCAGGCCACTGCAAGTTAATAAAATTGCATCATTGGGATAAGGGTCTACAAATCTGCTTGATCTCAATCACCAGGGGTACATATGTACAAAATCTTGGCATTTAGCATGTACAGTGGTGCCCCGCAAGACGAATGCCTTGCAAGACGAAAAACTCGCTAGACGAAAGGGTTTTGTGTTTTTTGAGCTGCTTCGCAAGACGAATTTCCCTATGGGCTTGCTTCGCAAGACGAAAACATCTTGCAAGTTTGCTTCCTTTTTCTTAAAACCGTTACAGTAATACAGGGTGCATTGCTTGAAGAGGTGCAGTTGCGACTTGACTTCGAGGAGCAACTCATAGCACGCGGTGTGGTAGCCTTTTTTGAGGTTTTTGAAGACTTTGGTGATTTTTGAAGCTTTTCCAAAACTTCTTTTGCAGCCATTTGGTAAGTTAAACTTTTAAAACTTTTTTGGGGGGTTTTGGATTTTGGGTTGGGGTGTTTGGAATTCAAGGACTTGGTGTTGGGGAGGGGTTTGCAAGAATCTGGAAGCTTGTGTGGTTTTTTTCTGCATTTTTATGATTTTCTGTGACCATTGGGCCTCTGCTGTGTTTTTTTTTTTAAAATTCTGGATTTGAATTTCTGTGTGGTGGGTGGCTAGGGGAACAGTTGAGGAGCGGTTTGCAAGAATCTGGAAGCGTGTGTGGTTTTTTTCTGAATTTTTATGATTTTTATTGTTCCTTCAATTTTTGAATTTATTGTTCCTTCAATTTTTGAAATGCTCTTTACAGTATGTGTGACTTTAAAGAGCACTTAATAAACTCTTGTTGTACCAAATTTGGCTTTGTTTGGACTTTTTTTGACCATAGGAACGCATTAATTGAATTTCAATGCATTCCTATGGGATTTCGTGCTTCGCAAGACGAAAAATTTGCTAGACAAAAAAACTCGCGGAACGAATTAATTTCGTCTTGCGAGGCACCACTGTACGAATATGAGAAGCTGTTACTCTAGGAACAGGAATAATGGAGGCAAGCTCCATTTTAGCCACAAAAGTTGTAGATGGAACTTCACTGTTCAGAAACATGCACACGCCAATAATATGATGCTAGCGCTATGCAACACAGAGTGCCTGCTACTATTGTGCATGCTCACTATGGGGCAATTATACATAGACCTTGGGCCAAGGCAATTTGTTCATTCTTAGGGAGCTCCAGAGAACTAAACACTAGCTTATTCCTGCCCCTGTGCAGATTGTACTGATCACCTGCAGAATATATTCCTCCTCTGTGACTAGGAAAAGAGTCCCTAGGAAGTCATCAGCTTTGCCAACTCCTAGATAGCCATGAGTCCCACTGAAGAAGCACAAGACTCTAATGTTTTGAGCACTACCTGCCATGCATAACACTGCACAATGAACTTTGTGAAGAACTGTGAAGCAAAGCTACAAAACTTTGGAAAGAGCCTTCCTTATTTTGTTTCAGTGTTGTAAAAATATAGCAGTTTGTGGGGCTAGAAGGAATACGACCCAGCTACAGGTGTGCTACCGCCAACAAAAGGGTGAAATTAAGCCAATAGTATTTATTATGGCTCTCAAAGAAATCTCCCAAATCATATGCTAGACTTTGCCATTATTTCCCCTCAGAAATTATTCCAAATCTATTTTTAACAATCTGGCACACAGTAGCCTGAAAATCTGCTTTTGAGAATGCAAATGGAAAATGTGCATTGTTCAGAATTAGCCATTTATTCAATGAAACATTTGGAACAGCCATCCATTCATGCAGCATTTGAAGTCAGGCTATTTCAAAATACATCTTTAGAAGATTAGGAACAGAAGAAACAATTAGTATTAGATGTACAAAACATTCCATGTCCCCTTCACTGATATTTCTGCTTTACCAAAGAGTGGCAATTCACATTCAGCTGTTTTCATGGATATCTGCTTTTCATTATTTTTCACCATCCCCCATTCAAAGCCTTGATGTACTATAATGCATCATGCAACAATACATTGCTGGTTTTTCATATCCTTTCAAATGAAAAAATGGTATAAAAAATGTACCTGCTTTCAGGCAATTTGTAACGGTACTTCTGAAGGGCTGTGACATGGAAGATGGAGCAAGCTTGTTTTCTCCTGTGCCTGAGACTAGAACCCAATGGATTCAAGTTACAATAAAGGAGATTCTGACTAAACATCAGGAAGAATTTTATGATAATAAGAGCTGTTCAATAGTGCAATGGAAGCCCTTGAGATCGTTCCATGGAGGTTTTTAAGCAGAGGTTGTCTGGCCATCTGTCATGGAAGCTTTATAGTTGAGATTTTTGCTTTGCAGGGGGTTGAACTAAATGACTCTCAGGGTCACTTTGAACTCTACAATTCTATTATTCTATTATTAGAACACTTACGTTTAGCTTGGGAGCAACAGACAAGCAGTTCAGATAACATAACAAACCAGTGCTTGTAGTTTGCTGCCCTTATAGCACAGCGTGGCCAGAAGAGAAGGAGGAGCAAAGCAGGGACTGTTCAGCAACATGATCACCAAGGAGCAGCAGTGGCCCAAGCAAGGGGAGGCCAAAGGTTAATGGGATGCAAAGGCAAAGACACATTTGCCCCTGCAGCTGATGTCAACCATCTAAGTTATCTCAGCTAGGTCCTGGAGATACTGACTGAGTAATCACTGGGTGCTGCCTCCTGGCTAGTGAAAGGGCTGGTGCCTTCTGCTGTAGCCATTGGCTCCTTTGCCACAAAGGGGCTTCCAACTGTGGGGATATCTTCTCAGGGCTCTCTTGACCTGTGAGGACTCTGTAGACCAGCCATGAGACTCTGGTGGCAGAGGTGTCTCTTCAGAGGAAGATTTGGTGCCCAGACCCACATGGGGTGCACTATCTTTATTTTAGAGGTGCAGCTGCCATAGAACTCTGCCTGTGAGATCTGGTCTGGGGCCGTGACATTCATTTGTTAAGCATTATGGTTTAACATGGCATGTAAACACAGCCATTACATACAGCAAGCAAGATGGCAAAAGTTATCTGATAATAATTCCTTTTTATTTTGTTTACGAAGCTTTTATGCTTCCATTTTTCTAAAAGAATTCCAAAGTCGTGACTATGGTACCAAATGCTTCAACTGAAACACAACCAACAAGAAAATACTACATTTTGGACACCACCCAGTCCTGTACTGAGCACAAAAGCCTGCATATGTGGAAAATGCGGGTTGTAATCTAACTGCATATATTATGCAGTGGAACACAAGAGGCTTGGAGAAAGCAAATGCTGCCAAATGTCCCAAGTCAGGAAGGCTACAAGGAGGAGATCTTCAAGAACTCAGTCAAGGGCTTTGGGAAAGGCGCAGAGGAGAAAGAAAAAGCCCAATAAGATGCAAGAGAGGTGGCAAAAGTATATATGGTGGGAGCTGTAGTGGAAATAACTTCTAGCTACAAGCATTTTAAACCATTAACCTAGTACTACCTAACCTGGTACTCTAACCTAACCTTTTATTGAGGGTGAAAGAGGAGAGCGGAAAATATGGTCTGAAACTCAACATCAAAAAAACGAAGATTATGGCCACTGGTCCCATCACCTCCTGGCAAATAGAAGGGGAAGAAATGGTGGCAGTGAGAGATTTTACTTTCTTGGGCTCCATGATCACTGCAGATGGTGACAGCAGCCACAAAATTAAAAGACGCCTGCTTCTTGGGAGAAAAGCAATGACAAACCTAGACAGCATCTTAAAAAGTAGAGACATCAACTTGCCAACAAAGGTCCGTATAGTAAAAGCTATGGTTTTCCCAGTAGTGATGTATGGAAGTGAAAGCTGGACCATAAAGAAGGCTGATCGCCGAAGAATTGATGATTTTGAATTATGGTGCTGGAGGAGACTCTTGAGAGTCCCATGGACTGCGAGAAGATCAAACCTATCCATTCTTAAGGAAATCAGCCCTGAGTGCTCACTGGAAGGACAGATCGTGAAGCTGAGGCTCCAATACTTTGGCCACCTCATGAGAAGAGAAGACTCCCTGGAAAAGACCCTGATGTTGGGAAAGATGGAGGGCACAAGAAGAAGGGGACGACAGAGGTCGAGATGGTTGGATAGTGTTCTTGAAGCTACCAGCATGAGTTTGACCAAACTGCAGGAGGCAGTGGAAGACAGAAGTGCCTGGCGTGCTCTGGTCCATGGGGTAACGAAGAGTCGGACACGACTAAACAACTAAACACCCAACCTGGTGCTACCTAAGAATAAGCTGATAGCTTGGCCCAAGGTCTATATATAATTGCTCAGCAGTGGGCATGCATAACAGCACAATTATTTAACCTTTACTATAATTGTCAGTCTGTCCTTTTTTGTATTTCATTTCCCCTCTCATCTTATTCTGTGTATTTCCCCCTTTATACCCATCTACATAGATACCTGCTATTTAGAAGACCGCTTCATATCATCTGATGGATTCTAGTCCATAGCTCAAACCATAATAAAACGGTTAGCTTTAAAGCAGCACAAGACTTGGGAATATAAAAACAGCCTGCAGGATCGGGCCAAAGGACTCATCATACTGTTCTCACAGTGGCTAGCAAGATGCCTGTGGGAAACTAGGGGGCAGAACATGAGCACAAGAAAAATCACCCCTCCTGTGGTTTGTAGCAATTGTTATTTGGAAGTACTACTGCCTCCAACTGTAGAGGCAGAGCACAGCCAACATGGCTTGTAGCCATTGATTGCCCTCTCCTCCATGAATTTGTCTCATCTTCTTTTGAAGCCATCCTAGTTGGTGGCCATCACTGCCTCCTGGGGTAATGAGTTCCATAGTTTGACTAAGCTGTGCGAACATTTTCTTGTTTGCATCATAGCTTAGGTGAGCCTTAAACAGAGGATGTCCTTGCTCCCCTCACAGTCTTAACCACCACACTACTTCAGATATCTGTGAAGGAAAAGTGTAAAGCACTCCGAAAATACATTTTGAAAAGTCAACTCTCTCTCTCTCTGCAACATAATTTGGAGCTCAGAGCCTAGTGTCTTATTTCCAAAGAAGTCTTATATTTTGAACCTAGTTCTGACACAGAAGACAATTTCTCATCAGAATTGGAAAGTCAGTGGCAAAAAGATGGACAAATTGCATCTCAGAACTGCCAGCCTGAACCACAGTTCCCAGGAGAGTAAACCTTTGTGGTAAGTGAGAGAAGAGACAGGCTGACTAACAGTAACTCATGCTCTGCCATACCACACTGGCCAAAGTTTTGCCAGGCTTTTCAGTAAATCCCTCAGTACAACTGATGAAGTGTGGAAAAATACATAAAACAGTATACAGAACTGCAATGTTGTTCTGAAGTTGTGTGTTTCAGTGGTTCTCTCCAGTAATTAACCCCCAAAATGAGCCCAAGAGAGGAGTTAAATAAGCATTGTTCTTCCTCCCTAACGTACTTTCCTATAAAGAAGACATACCTTCTTCCTAAACTAGAACGCAGTTATGCATTCTGGTTGAATAAAATAATTTCATCATCCCTTAAAAACGAAAAAACCTCAAACTTCTAAACGATGGCCAACAAATTCACATAAACCATTTCTATTGCAAAGCAAGCTTTGAATACTAAATTTCATACTAAATTTCATAGTGAATCTTTGTAAACCATTCCACTTATAAGGTCTTAGTAACCAAGCTGTTAAGGTGGGAAAAGGTGTGTTCACACATGAGAAACATGAAATCCCAGAGTTGGTCATGGTTATCAAAACAGAATATAAGGTCACCATAAATTTGACCTAATTTGGCAGCAGTGTCATTTTCTAAGCAGCTATTTGGGCAACTGGAAGGTTTTGAATATGGTGATATTTAACAGGCCTAACAGTGCTATATACATGTTTACTCAGAAGCAAATCTCACTCATTTCAATTGAGAATGCTCACAGGTAAATGGGTATGGAGCTTTCATCCCCAAAATGCATGGACCGTCACTATGAGTCATTATTTATTTAAACTACATAAACGGACTACTGAAAGTACCAACATTTCAAGTTTTAGAAATTTTCTAGTAAACAAAAACAACAAAAGATCACCCAAAGAGCAACAAATGTATTACTAATGTTTGCCTAAGTAGCAACAAGTATCCTTGTAGAGCATTTGAGGATAATTTGAAGGTTAATATGGGACCAGTAGAATTTATAGGAATTGGGCTCAGATGTAGTATTTTCTGACATAGGACCACTTCCAACTTTAAAAAGGCATATCCAACAAAAACCCAAGCTCACTGATGGTACAAAAGATTGAGCACACAGTAATTTGAGAATTCCAGTTATGTGAACCATGTGTGTGATTTTCACTATAAAAGGAACAAAAAAACTTCAAAACTCAGCAAGATCAAAACAGAGCTAGCTGACTGGCAATGGCAGTTACACATGTGCTGTTCAACACATGTTGGAGTTCTGCAAACTTGGTCCTTTGCCATTTGAAGTGAACTTCAGCTGATGCAATTCAAATCGAGGAACTGAAGCAAATTTAGCATCACATTCCGCCTCATGGCATAAATTGTATAGCAATCTCACCATCAACAGCACTACTCTTACATGACACAAGAAAGGGAACTCCTTTTTCCCACCATATGCTCTTTGGGGCCTGGAGCTATTTCTGTAGTGATCCCCAACAAGCTTTTTCCACTTTCGCTTAAGAAAGACATGCAGCAACAACAGTTGCATTGGCAATGTACATCGAGTTAACAGAGTGCCTATTCAAAACTTCCCCTAAGTTCAATAAGCGTGTATAGGATAAGTTACTTCTAAATGAGCAATGACACACTAAAAAGTCAAGCCCCTACCCCTCTAGAAAACAAAGCCTTCAGATGAGGCATGGGATAGGGGAAAGAGTTGAAGGCTCAGCAGAAGCCAACCTCAGATTTAGGTTAGTGGATACACACACACATACGCACAGAAGTCCAACTCCCACAAATCACAAGCTAGTTGACACTATGCAGGAGCTATACCAATTCTCAGAATCAGTGGTTTTCTTGATTGACCAAATTAGCTCAATAATCGCACAACACACTGTGTATGCTTCACTGTTTCTCAGAGATACGACTAGTCACATCTGTTTGTTCAAGACAATTAGCAATTACTCCTAAGTGAGTAGATGAATGCTAGCACAGCAATATGGAAAGAACGCCTGACCTGCTTTTGGAGAACAGAAAAGGGGCGCACTTTTAATATATGGAACAGGGCAGCTGCAATATTGCCAAGCTGAACTGCCCTTGGCCAGAAAAGGCAATTGTTTCTATTCCATTTGCTGCTCCCAACAAGTTTGGGGAAGGTAGTTTTAACACCAGAATAGCAGCTTTTTAGACTGCAAAAAGTGGACCTTAATGATACTAGGGAACAGCCAACGGCAACAGAGTTCTAGTGTTTCTTCTGGATTTTTTTCAATAACCTTATCCAGAAAGCCAAACTCTGAAGACAGCAACTTCATGTAGCAAAAAAGTATCCATTCGTATACAGTACAGTGATCTGTCAGTTATAAGTAAATACAATTTAGTCAGACAGAACTTTATTGCATGTTAGGTTAACAATCATTGTATCAAATACTATTGTGTTTAGATCTCTGGAAGGGATGGAACATAAATTTAAATAAATAAATAGGTTCAGTTATGAAACAGTGCAAATCTGTCTTCCAGCATTTTTGCATTGGCAATGTTAGCTGAACTGCACCAACAAAAATAAATTCAAACCTTGCTTACAAACACAATTAATTCAGTAACTTTATGACCCCCAGTGGACAACTGTTACTTATGCAAAGTATGCTTGCAGGCCAAAATGATGCAATGCTCATCCATTAAGCATGCTCAACAGCTTTTTAAAAGTGGGAGGGGGGGTTGCATGCACTTAATAACTTCAAAATTGCACAATCTCACACACATTTGGCATTGGGTTGCTCTTTAAAGCATATGGAACTGTTGGATTTGGAAGTAAAATAAGTATCAGTAAAATAACAGTGGTCCCTGGAGAATGGATTCACGTTGTCACTATTTTCCCACCACAAGAAGATTTTGTTCTAATGACGCAATGCGTGCTCAAGTACCCCCACACAAGGCAATTTAGCAGACACTATGGTTTAAACCACACAGCCTACGGCTTGCTGATCAGAAGGTTGGCAGTTTGAATCCCTGCAACGGGGTGAGCTCTCGTTGCTCAGTCCCAGCTCCTGCCCACCTAGCAGTTCGAAAGCATATCAAGTGCAAGTAGATAAATAGGTACCGCTCTGGTGGGAAGGTAAACGGAGTTTCTGTGTGCTGCTCTGGTTTCGCCAGAAGTGGCTTAGTTATGCTGGCCACATGAACCGGAAGCTGTTTGAGGACAAACGCCGGCTCCCTCGGCTTATAGAGCGAGATAAGCGCCGCAACCCCAGAGTCGTCTGCAACTGGACCTAACGGTCAGGGGTACCTTTACCTTTATGCATAAAAACAGTAACTGACAAAATTCCACAAATGAACTTAAGGCAAAACCTAAGTGGTGGCAGAAAAAATTAGCAACTTTTGGGAAAATGACAAATAATGCTCTTATTCATTTAAAATCATCCTCAGAAGCAGATATTTCAAACCAGTCTCAGAGTTAAAAAAAAACAAAACAAAACCCATGGCTTTACCTTGAACAAATATCCTTTCTGTCTTGAAAACGGAAAGGGGAAGTGTGCAGATTTCCATGCTAATAAATTAGAGTAAATGTGTTTGCCAAATGGGAAGGCACATCAAACTGCTCAAAGAAGTCATTAAGAGGTTTGGAGGGAAGTGTCACCAGTATGCGAATGACACTGTGCTTTATTTATCCTGTTTTGACAAAACCAGATGAGGTGGTAAAAGTCACAGAATAAGTATGGGGAACCTGGTCATTACCTCAGCCAGCACGGCCAGTGAACAGAGATGAAGAGAATTGGAGCCCAACAACATCTGGAGGGCCACAGGTTCCCCCTGTCATAAATTGCTGCCTGGGATTAGCAATAATCAATTGATGAGGGTGAGCAAACCAAAGTTCAATCTAGATGAAATAGCGCTATCAAGTTGAGTCTGATTAGTTTGCAAGTTTGTGGCTCCCTTTATGGTTAAATGGACTTGCACTTCCTCTGAATTGTAAGATGAGCAGGTTGAACGTACTCCTCAACCTGGCTTTTCCTCCTGGAACCAAAGGCAACAGTGCTTTTCACTCCCTCAGTTTGATATGCCAGCTGAGGCCAGTGCTACAGAATGGTGAGCTATCCATGGAGATCGCCACCCTATGGAAGGTGCTCTGTTTGATGCTGCCCTTGAAGACTTGTTTGCAAACTTCAGTTAGCTTAGTTCAGAACTCATAAGTTCACTTGTTACCAAGAATAAGCAAATGGAAGCACAGAGCACTGGTATCTAAAGAACTTTATTAGCTTTCAGCTTGTTGGAGCAATTCAAGGTGCTGGTTCTAGCCTTGAAAGCCATAAAATAACCTGAGCCAGACTACCTCAAGAAGCATCTTCTCCCATGGAATCTTCCCTACATCATAGGGAGCATTACTCCAAATCCCATCTTTATCTAACTTTTGATTGATGAAAAGAAGGAACACAATATGGTCACAATATGGTCTTTTGTGACCATGCTGCGGAACTCTCCTTCCCAGTTATGCTCTTATAAAGACATTTTTATTGCAGCAAGCAATTGGATGATAAAACATGACTGCATCTTAACTGCTGTGCATAGGTGTTTTAGGCTGTTGTATTATTGTGTATATATGATGCTGTTTTATTGGTCACTGCTTTACATTTTTCATAAGCTATAAACTGCACTGATATGGAGATTATATCATAAAATAAATAAAACAAATGGATTTTTCCCAGTGGCTAATGAATATACAATAAAAATGCCTATCTACAAATACAACATAATTGAAAGGGAGGTGTAAAACTATTATTTTGCATTCATGTGTAAAACACGTAGTATTATGCTCCTGGAAATTAGAAGACCCTGTGTCATCTTGCCAGCCTCTCCCAGCACTGTATTGCCATTAAAAACAGCCAATTCTCAACAACGTCCAACACTAGTGAAAAATGCTAGGGTCCTCCTCATACAGTATGTACGCATCCTCTGCTCTTATAAACTATTCCAGAAAGAGAGATGGCAACAAACTAACATGTTCATGAGATTATTCAGCATAGTCCTATGTCAACAACCAACATACATTTAAACACAAGCAGAAGCCCCCTTGGGTAGACTAGTAGAAAGCCAAATATAGTACATTGGGTACCCACAACCCATCATGATCAAAGGCCCTAATATACTCTAATTAGCACTTTTAACAAGAAAAGCATTTTATAGTTTTCTCTTGCTCCTTCTTGCATCAATGCTTATGGTTTTCTTTGATGTTTTGCTTTTAAAAAATATATAGTTTAGTTTTGCCCTGTGAGGTAAATCAGTAGAATTCCCATTTTACAGAACTGAGGCTGAAGACTTTCCCTGGGCCACACAGGGAGGCTGTCACTTGACAGGGATTTGAACATAGCCTATAATCCAGTTAACAACCAGACAAGAACATCTAGCCCAAAGGACCCTGCCTTTAGCATGCAGGATCAGCAGGATGAAACTATCCTGACTAAAGGCTAATGATCAGGTTTGATTCACAGACCCACAGAAAACAGCTATATTTTGGCGCTCGAACCATGGTGAGCTTGTTGCATGCATCCACTGCAACACACAGGATTCAGATTTTGGTATGACCTGGCTTATATCATAGAATCACAGTTGCAAGGGACCCCGAGGCTCAAAGTATCCCAACCCTGAGCACTGCAGGAATATGCAGCTGTCCCTTACCAGGATCAAACCTATTAACCTTGGTGTTATCAGCACCATATAACCAACTGTACATGACATCAGACAATCTTTTAAAAATATATACTGCAGATGATCCATGTGAGCAGGAAGTCTGAACTGGGTCTTCAGGTGCATGGGGGAGTATACCATGCCAGTGTGATAACACTTCTCAGGCAAGCACAGCAACTTAACTTTGATGTGATGCCACCTGTAAGGGGCTCTGCTACTATTTCCATGCCAGGCATCACATTTAAACTGTGTGCCAGTACTTTGTATGTAGTGGTGGATACAAGGCTAACTGAAGCGTTTGCCAGCCATTCATTATTCCTATACTCGTATGTACCACATAACTCGGATCCATTCACGTGCAGAATAAGACTGCAGCCAACTCTTAATTACACACAGGTGTTAGGTGCATTTACAAGTTATCAGCTTTGTGTGGAACACTTACGTGGACGAGACCGCCGTTGCCCGAAAGATTAGCACCGGCTGGGGAGTCAACCCGCGCAAACTTTTAAAGTCTCTCCCCCCTCCTCCCAAGCAGCCTTCAACAACTGACGCCCCATGTCTACTAGAAGCTTTGTTTCTGAAAGGAAATTCTTATGCAAAAGAATTGCAAACCCACACGACGAGCACACTATATTCTTATTTCGGGGCGTCCCTCCCAAGGGTCGGCCGCCGCTTCCCCACCTTGGGCGTAACTTTCGGCCAGGTTGCTGCAGCCGAAGACTAAGCGGCGGCGGCGGCGGCGGCGTCTCTTTCCTCGAAGGCGCCTGAGCGGACTCGGAAGCGCCGCCTTCCCCGCGCGGCCCCGAATGCATCCCCGCCGCCCCCCTCCTCGGTTTCCGCCCCCTCTCCTGAGCCCCCTTACCTTGGTACGCGAGGCTGAAGCGCGCGCCCACCGCCAGCAGGAGAGCAGCCAAGCAGACGGAGGGGCTCCGCATGTTGCCCTCGCCCAGGCGCCCCTTCGGCTCCCACTGCAAGGCTGCCGGCCGACGCGAGAGCCGGGAGCAAGCGGACGGCTCGGGGAGGGGCGACGAGCAGGCAGAGGGGCTCCCTTTGCAAGCTCCTCCCTCCGCAGCCTCTTCCCGCTGAAACTCTTCCCCACAGCCTCCCACCTCCTCCTCTCCCCACCCGCGACGCGCAGGACGCCGAGCCCCGTTGCAAAGCAGCGCCCAGGGAGGCTGAGGTGGCCCCGAGGGGCGCCTTCCTAGCAGCAGCGCTCGTGCAACGCTCCCGAATCAACTCTCTCTCGGCGCTGGGATTCCGCCAGTTTTAAAAAAATAAATTTCCCCCACTGCGGTTTCAAAATGTATTTTCCCTCCACGGGCCGTTTGCAGAATCAGTTCACTTATGATGGGGGAGAAGCAGGAGCTTGGAAAAGGTCAAGCACACCACCAACCCCCCAAGCCGCCTCCTGCTTTGCTCAAGGGCGCCTTTTCGGCGAACCCGCCTTGGGTTTCCCCCTCCCTGCGTCAGCCCTACTTGTAATCCAGACCACGATGGTCTCCCGCGCCAGACAAAAAGGATGCCTGCAGACTCCCCTCTTGCCTCTGAAAGGCTCGAGGCCTTCCCACACATGCCCGCCGCCAAGGAGCTTTTGGTGTGTGGCGGGACTTCTTTCAGCGTTAGCCCTAGGCCGACACAAGTAGAGCGGTATCCTGCCGCCACTCACGGGGAGCGGAGCCTTTAGCAACTCTTCCTACTCCGATGCAGGGACGGAGGAGAGCACTGCCTAGGTTTTAGGCCAGTTTGGTTTTCTCAACAGGGACACAGAGGTTGCCTCAGTTCCAGTCAGTGGGGAGTAAGAGAAGCAAAGTGACCTCCGCGTGGGCTTCCCAGACATATCTGGTCAGCCACTGTAGGAGCAAAATGCGGAGTTTTCGGGAAAGAAAATGCAGAGATGTACATGCATTGACAATTGCATCAACCGTGACACCTATCTTCCTTAAAATCATTCCTCAAAACTCATTTTTTTCAGCATGCCTTGTCCACTTGATCCTAATTCCCAATTAACCGATCTTTAAGTACATGTAATGAAATCTGCAGACCTTCATCTCTCCCTCTCTCCATTTCCCCAGTTAGCTTTTAGATTGTAACCCTCTTGAGAGCGGAGTGTTCTCTAAATTGCCTGTTTCTTATTTATTGGAAACACTTGGTTTTAAAACGACACTTTTCTCCCTCTGTATGAGACACTAAAGGCTGCTCACAAACCATAAACAATGACAAAACAGATATAAAACAAAAGTATGAATAAAAATAACACCAAGTTGGCAGATATTACAATGCATATTCAGATCACCAGGAGAAAAAGGAGAGCCAAGAATTTGACATTCAAACCTCCTGCAGATTCAGCAAACATCCAACTAGAACAAACAAAAAAATCAGCTTGACACTGATTTCCATTGGGTAAGAGACCAAATAAATCTTCCAGGACAGGGCACCACAGTGCTTTTACCTGATTAACACAAAACAGGGCATCTCCTGATAACTTCTAGGAACAGGCAGTAGTTCTTCAAGTATCCTGGTCCTAAACTATTTACAGTTTTTAACATCTTCATCTCAAAGAATAAGTAGCTTAACAAGTATTCTTCTGGCTATCTTCCTGAATCAACTGCAATGTGAATTTATACTTGTAGATTCAAATGATAAATTTGTTTATAAAAAAAACCAATAAAATACCTCAACCCAACCTTTGAAGTACAAAAATATATATTTTTTATTAAAACACAGAGTTAAGGCCACAACATTTCAGTAGGACTGTGATACTCATCTTTGTTGCAGTAACTAAAAATATTAATACAAATAAATACTAGGAAGTTGGTCCAAAATCAATGCAAATCAGTTGAAACATGCTAATTTTACAAAAAAAATCCATCAATATGATCATTATATATCTGCCATTATCATTTTCAAGTATAAATTGCAGTATCTGCTTGCAAGCTGCCAGTTATGACACCACATTTATGCAAGCCTTATAAATTTAAGCATCAAAGTATTACACAGGTAGAGGACGTCTTTTTGGCCTGATGTGGTGCCTCCTTTTGATTTTCTTCAGCATGGTTCTGATTTTCGTCTTTACTCTTTTCTTTAGGTAAGTCTCCTTGATTGCCAGTTTCCTGCTCACTGTGAGGAAGATTTTCAAGTTTGTTTTCATCACAGCTGTGTGCATTCTTCTGCTTTGAAGTCTTTCGTTTAAAAAAAGAAAACTAAAACACACATAGAAAAACAAAACCCACATACAATTATTAACTATTTTGAAAACTATTGAGTATGTTTGACAATTCTTTTAAGGCAGAAAAAGGAGTCTGCATGCACAACTTTTTACTTATCTGGACATAATATGAAACAAAATGTTTATATCTAGAGAGATGATTGCAAGTTTGACCCAAATATCTGCATCTTGATCAATGTTTTTTTCAGAATTTAAGTTCCACTGAGTTAAGCAGGGCTTACTTCCAAGTAAGTCTTGCAGAAAGCATAACACAGTACTGCAATCTTAAACCAGTTAACTGTGCTAGGACTATTGCCAATAGAAGCAGGATGAAGAAGAAACATTCCTAATGAATTATTGTAACACAAACAACAAAGCATTATGCAACTTATGATAATTGAGAACAGATGTTTGTTTACAACATCCAAGTAGACTGCAAAAGATTATGCTCAAAAATAAATGGAGATATGTCAACAGAAACATTTGCTGCTTTCAGACTGAACAACTAATTCAGTCTGTAGTACTCTTGGTTGCAAATTTATCTTATCTAAATAAGCTGCACCCATCGTTTTCCAAGGGAGAAACAGTGATTAACTCCCATCCTGAGAACACATACTTGGAAGAAACTTGGATTTGAGCCATCTAAAGTTTCATACAAGGGCAAAGCATCTTGACAATTCACAGATCATGCAAACAAGCTAGACAATACTTTCAACTTATTAAGGTATGCAAATATGGTGCAGATTTTCCCATAAGTACTAATTTTGACTACAGGATCATGAATACATCTTTTCGATGTTCCTTCATTAACCTCCCTTGCTCCACACATAACAAATTAGCACATCTGAGACTATGCTCAAACCTTGGTTCTTGACATGATTTTTCAATGTGCCATCTTTTTTTTTTTTAAAGAGCATTCAAAAACCCTCCACCTGCAGTCTGAAGTTACATAGTCTAAACTTTAGAGTGTTCTGCCACATGCTATTTCTGCATGTTGAATTGGTTCTTCGTTAAGATAATTTAGTAAAAAAAAAAAAAAAGGCTAGCAACTTTATATAATAACAGGTTATATATACTGCTCAAAAAAAGAACAATTACAGTGGTGCCCCGCAAGACGAATGCCTCGCAAGACGAAAAACTCGCTAGACGAAAGGGTTTTGCGTTTTTTGAGTCGTTCCGCAAGACGAATTTCCCAATGGGCTTGCTTCGCAAGACGAAACATCTTGTGAGTTCTTGCGAGTTTGTTTCCTTTTTCTTAAAGCCGCTAAGCCGTTAATAGCCGCTAAGCTGTTAATAGCCGCTAAGCCGCTAATAGCCGTGCTTCGCAAGACGAAAAAACCGCAAGACGAAGAGACTCGCAGAACGGATTAATTTCGTCTTGCGAGGCACCACTGTAGCACAATGTATAGAAACACTCCAGATTAGACTACTGTGGTTTGATATTTAGTAGCAATGTACTGCTAGGCACTGAACACAGACGCCACAGTCTCCGTTCCCAGAAAGACTGCAAACCAATATCCCTATTCTAAACATACACACTTGGAAATAGCACTGGGTTATGCATAAGTAACCCAACCAGAAGCTTGACTGCCATTAATATTATCCATAATTGTCATGTATCAGAAATCGAAGTACACAGAGACACAAAAAAGCCATGCTGCCTTGTTTAAAAACAAGAGTTTAATGGGCATAAATGATTTTATATGTTTATTTGTCACTGTAGTCAAAATAACGCTGCCTCTCCCACCCTTTAGAAAATATTAGCTTAGAAGAAAACTGTCTTGTTTTACATTTTGCTAGGTTTCGGAATGCCCAGGCACATTCAAGAGGGTGAAAAACCATGATAACCTTGAGAAAAAGTACTTTGGTATTTCTTGGGAAGATGTTGATTTGTTCCATTAAAACCCTATTTTAATATCTGTACCCCAAATGCATCTGTCCAGAGCCATTACTGATCCTTCCCCATCTTCACTATTTGCTCACCAAGCATCCTGCAGATTGCACACCCTACTGCACTGTGTACAACGATTAGTAAAAGTATACATTGAGGTTGCAAACCTATACTCATTTACTTGGGAATAAGGCCCAGTGAAAGGGGTCCGGGTGGCGCTGTGGTCTAAACCACACAGCCTAGGGCTTGCCGATCAGAAGGTCAGCGGTTTGAATCCCCGCGATGGGTGAGCTCTCGTTGCTCGGTCCCTGCTCCTGCCAACATAGCAGTTCGAAAGCACGTCAAAGTGCAAGTAGATAAATAGGTACCGCTCCGGCAAGAAGGTAAACGGCGTTTCCGTGCGCTGCTCTGGTTCGCCAGAAGCGGCTTAGTCATGCTGGCCACATGACCCTGAAGCTGTCTGCGAACAAACGCCGGCTCCCTTGGCTTATAGAGCGAGATGAGCGCACAAGCCCAGAATCGTCCGGGACTGGACCTAACGGCCAGGGGTACCTTTAAGGCCCAATGAATAGGACAGAAAGTTCTAAACATGGTTTCAGGTGCTTGTCAGGTTTAATAATAACACTTTCCTTCTGTTGGGGGTCAAGTTATCCAGGATGACATGCAAAAAAAATCTTTTTTTACCCTTTTTGCCTTCTGCGGTAGTTTTGTCTTGTCCTCATCACTGTCTGCGATTGGTCCTGAAGAATTGTTTGTGACGCAAGCCACTGCAGTTTCACACTCTGAAAATAACCCAACAAATTAGCTGCCATTTTCAAAGTCCCACATCCGACTAATTCAGCCAACACAACCTTAAAGTCATGAGCCATTCATCTTAAACATGGAGGCAATTAATCAGTAAAGCTAAAACTAGACAGCCAAACCTCAAGAATTTTATTTTTATTTAACTCATATCTATTCTTAGTTGTTGTTCTCATTGGGATCCAGACACTTATAACAGAAGAATGAGTATAATGTTGGTGGGCATGTAAATTGTTTTGTCTAAAAATCTTACAGGCAACAGAAGGCAGGGTATTCTCCATCAAAGCAAGAAAACAACAAACATGACCCATCCCATAAGGTTCCCTAAGATATCTGAGCTGCATTGGAACAGAGGAATGTTCTGTGCTGCTAAGAGTATCTCCACATAGCAGAATAATCCTCCCTCTCTCTTTTGATGCACAACTGAGTTACCATAGCACAGTGGCAGAACACAGACTTCATTATTCACCCAGGCCATTGGATCTTCCATTGCTGTGTTCCTGGGGGCTGAGTTTGTTGTAATGGCTGCTCCATGGCTTGCTTTGATGTATTGTGGTTTAATTAGTTTAAGTATATTGTTTTGCTTTAGTGTGCTATAAAACCACCCTATGGTTTTAGACAAAGGGCAGTCTATAAATAGAATAAAGACACAACAGATCCCAGGTTCATTCCACGGCATCTCCAGAAAGAGCTGGGGAAATCCTGTTGGAAACCCCAGATAGCCACTGCCAATCAATGTAGACAACAGTGAGTGTGACAGATGAATGGTCTAATTCAATATATTGCAGCTCCTCCCAGTTCCATATCACAGATCTTATAACCAAAAATAAAACACACCAAAACTGGTGTGAGAGGGGATAGAAAACCGGGAGTAGGTGGACATGAAAGATGGAGGGCACAAGGAGAAGGGGATGACAGAGGACGAGATGGGTGGACAGTGTTCTCAAAGCTACCAGCATGAGTTTGACCAAACTGCAGGTGGCAGTGGAAGACAGGAGTGCCTGGCGTGCTCTGGTCCATGGGGTCACAAAGAGTTGGACACGACTAAACAATCAAACAACAACAACATGATACCTCCTATCAATCTCCTCTTTACAACGCCAAACATACCAGACTCCCTCATTCATGCTTCATAAGGCTTGGTTTCCAGATACTTGAACATTTTGATCACTCTGCTCTGCATACATTCCAGCTTGTCAATAGTCTTCTTAAACTGCGGCACCCAGAACTGGACACAGTACTCCAGGTGTGGTCTGACCAAGGTGGAATAGAGTGGTACTATGACTTCCCTTGATCTGGACACTATATTTCAGTAGATGCAGCCTAGAATAGTATTAGAATTTTTTTCTGCTGCTTATGGTCTACCAAGACCCCTGGATCCTTTTTCGCATGTACTGTACTACTGGCAAGCCAGATGTCCCCCATCTTATATTGGTGCAGCTGGTTCTTCCTGACTAAGTGTAGAACCATACATTTCTCCTTATCTGAATTCATTTTGTTAGTTTGGGCCCACTTCTCCAATCTGTTAAGGTCTTCTTGAATCGTCTGTGGCATTGGCCAACCCTCCCAGTCTTGTGTCATCTGCAAATTTGGTAAGCATCCCCTCAATACCTTCAGGCAAGTCATTTATACAGCCGTTTAACAACAATGGGACCAGGCTAGAATCCTGCAGTCCCTCACTAGTCACCTTTTTCCAGGATGATGAGTAGTGGGCTCAATTCTGTGGAATTCCCTTCTACTTGTGATCAGATCACTTGTTGAACTTCCAGGGACTACAGAAGACCTTTTTTATTATTATAACAAGCATTTAATTGACATCTGGTTTTATAGGTTTAACCAACTGTTTATCTTTCCCATATTTTATTTCTTGTGTACCACTTAAGAGACAATTGTAGTTAAGTTGGCTCTGCAAACTGACACTTAAAGGATCTCTAAAAAACAAGCCCTATTGTTATGCAGCTCAGATCTTAAAGTTTCAGCCTGTATGGGAACTATAAAACTCAGCAGTTCATGCAGGATCAGGACTTTAATGTATTATTTGGTGTTTGGTGCTTATTTGGTATTCAAGCAGGGACAAATGCACTAAAAAATATTTAACAAGAAGTTCCTGAGAGTTAGCTGGAATGAAAACTCAAGGATTCTCTTTTTTCTCCCCACCCTCAGGAATTATAAGTTTATTTGAATCTTTGTTTTTACTTGCATGATGAAAAGCAGATAGCAATACATTTTTTTCATACTTAGAAATAGGTAAAACATTTGTAAGGAAACTTCTAGTATCCTGCTTTTTTCCATTTGAAAAATTACAACAATGCAGGCTGAAACAAGATCTAAGACAGCTTGCTGTATTTGCTGAAAGTTTCCTGAAAAAGGCTTAGAACTCTATGCAGTTAATACAAATTGGCATTAACAATGTTTTGTCTCTCCTTTTAAAACTGGCAGAGTTCAGTTCTTTTTCTAGCTGACACAAACCACAATGACAGCGTGGCAAGGACAAAGGGGCACATAACTCTTCTGTAGTAAACTGTAAAATTAAGACTATATTAGTGACCACCTAGGAAAAAACAAATCTGACAATTCCACCCAGCAAGGGCTATCCTTAATTCATCCATGATATCAATTTATCATTTGGGCAGGTACGTGAAAGGAAGACGAGCTAAAGCAAATGGCTCACTAAAACAAAGGATCTTGTTTATTGACCCACGGAACTGTCAGTCAACACAGAGAGAATTACATCAATTAATACAAAGCAGGGAAGACATACATGTAAAATAGTCTGGAAGCAATCAGCACCACTCCCTCCTAGCAACTGTCTATGCAGCGAATTCTAGAAAGGATAAAATATTGCACCAGATGAATGAAAGAAGGTGTTCTTGTGTAAGAATCTACCGTACGCTAGTTTCTACACTCACAAACTCACACACCCCTCTCTACCCTCCAAGCACGAGGCATTATGAGAGTTCAAGGGCACACTCCAGCCAGCCAAATACACTTGAAGTACAAAGCAGGGTGAGTGAGGGTTCCCACAATGGTTTAACCCAGGTGACTGTTCTTGCCTGTCAATCTGCCAACCTGTATCATGTCTACATTAGAATCAGGAGGACAGATAGTATCTTCAGTAGCCACGATTCTTATCTTCTTGTGTCCCAAAATGTGTTGGAAATACTTGGTGTCAATTACGACATGATGCTGGTAGTTAAATTAGTGTGCTAACTTGTAACTAAAACTGGGTTGTATTTAGTGAGCAATCCCATGGATTGATTTATATACAAAGAACTTAATGCTGCTGAACAAAAAGCACATTTTTCGATTCTATTTAGATGCCTAGATTATTACTTTTTAAAAAACTAAACTAAACTAGATTATGACAAAGATTTTCAGAAGGCCAACACAACTGATAATTTAGCTAACTGCTGACTCTTTATCAGAATGCACACACAGTGCAACCCTATGCATGTTTATTCAGAAGCCAATCCCACCAAGTCCAATGGAACTTAATTCTTATTAAGTGAGCTTAAGACGGCAACCACTTTCTCCTAAGAACAAGAGCAGACAATTAGCCTGCATATAAGCCCTTGATAGAAAAGGTTGATGCAAACAATTGCTGATGCTTGAAGAGCTATGGTTTCTTAGGAAATAAAACACAGCTCTTATTTGAAGTCAACATTATGCAATGTTTCTAGAAGCAAACAGGTAAAAGTTAAACGTTGAAAGTTGACTGGCACATTTGTTCCTACCTTGCTTAGATGGGTCTTCTTCTGTACATGCCTCTGCTTTCTAAAAATACAAATATATAATATTGTTTTAAAAAGTGGTTAAAAAAGAAATACTTAACTGAGAGTACTTAAAAAAAGGAGAAGCCCCAAAGGAATACACCCACCCTGGGGTCAAGAATGATGAAGGGGAGGATGAAGATCTCCTAAGTCAATACATTATTTAAAAGAAAATCAAACTATCTCCCTTATTTTCAAATAACAACCATCATTTAGTTGAAAGAAGGAAGGAAGGACGGAAGGAAGGAAGGAAGGAAAAAGAAAGAAAGAAAGAAAGAAAGAAAGAAAGAAAGAAAGAAAGAAAGAAAGAAAGGTTCATTGCAACAGCAAAAACGTGTCTGAAAAAATACCGATATTGCAGAATATGAATTTTTTTTTAAAAAAAGCTGAAAGGAATGCAAACACAGTTTCCTTGCCTTATCTACAAAGTCCTCTCTATAGCAGGCCCTGCATGGGTCCCAATTTGGTCTGTGAGCCTGTTTTCCCAAACCATGCTCATCCACCCCACACCTGATGTCATGTGAAGGAACAACTGACAGCTTTAAAGTGCCTTTCCTTTTTAAATGAGGCTTGCTGTTAGTGCCAATCAGCTGTGGTGACAGCAAGCCCTGGTGGGACTGGCTGTGCTATGGAGTGATCCAGTGGTATCGGGACTTGCTGCAAGATTCCTTTGCAACACTGGCTTGAATTCAATATGGCAATGCAAAAGATGGTCCTCTGCAGGCAAGGACTGAGCTGTGCCCACAAAGGAAAAAATTACACCACTGAGACATCAGGTGATTGAAGGATGGGAGGTTCCATCAAAATGGTTGGAAGGTGGTGAGGGAGGGCAGTATCAGGCCTGCCCACTGACTTTGATCCCCACCTGTGCTTTATAGTCTTGCTCCAGCTTATTTCTGTCCTATTATAGTTCCAATACAACCCTACTTGTGAGCTTTACTCCTCCAGTTCCCTCATCTTCCATTGTCCAAAGGTCTCCTGGCTCTCTCAGAAGACTTTGCCTTTCTCTTTTGCTGTCCTATATGCCTGCCATGAACACTGATTTAATGCCATCTCTCTGCCTTCCTTCAAATCCCTCCTCAAAACTTCCAAGGTTCCTACGCCCTATTGTACTTTAGTCTGTAACCCAGCCTAAGCCCACTTAACTGAAACATACTATGTCCCTGCCTCCCATTCTTCCTTGTTTCGTCATGTTGAATTTTAGACTGCAAGCACTTCAAACACAGAAAAATGCACAAAATCCACAATAGAGCTCTTCAATTTGTTTCTTTGTTGTTTAAGTCAGCTGCTTACCTTGAATACACATTAGAACCAATCTGTGGCTTAATTGTGACAAGACTAACAGTACAGTGGATAATGGGATCTTGAGAAAGGTACAGAACTGAAAGTGAACAAAATTGTTTCACCTTTATAGTTTCTGTAGCCATCTGATTTGTTTCCTCAATCTCACATGATTTACTGCTGTGGCCCTCATTTTCAGGTGATAGATCATCATTATGTTCCACTGCAACTGGTTCCTGCCCCTTTTTCTTGTCCATTTCTTCTTCTTCTTCTTCTTCTTCTTCTTCTTCTTCTTCTTCTTCTTCTTCTTCTTCTTCTTCTTCTTCTTCTTCTTCTTCTTCGTTATCATTAGTCTCTTCCTCGTCGGATGATTTTTGAACCTGTAAAATAAGTGAATACATTTTATGGCTCTGAACACATGTAGGAGATACACACTGCAAAACAATTTTCTGGTTAATATTATATAATAATAAAGCAATCCAAAGCTGCATATACACTATACCTTCAAAGCACACTGAAGGCATATATCCACCCCCTGCCGAAAAAAGTATCCTGGGATTATTAGGAGTGCTGGGAGGAGTAAATTGCTGTTCCCGTTATTCTTTAGGCCAGGGAGATTATGTTTTGAATGTGATTTAAAAGTATGATGTTTATGCAAGTCCAACTCCCCAGCCCATCATGTGGGAGGGAGTTTGAGGTGGAGATGTCCCTCTGCTCAGGCCTGCCTGGTTTTGCCGATGAGGGCCTGCTCAAATGACAGCACCAGAAGAAGCTCCCAGCCACAAACCCTGAAATGGGGCACCTGCAGGTGGAGGAGGGCAGAGCTGGGCCACCACAGAATCTACTGTATCCTAAGTCATCCCTGCTGCTGTCACCTGATGTCAATGATCCTAATCTAGGTTGCCTTCACTGCACCAGCTAGGAGCTGGTACTGTATAGCTATTTTCCTCCCTGCCCTGACTGGTGTGAGCTGCAGTGCTGAGAATGCAACAGAAGCTATGATGCTCCATTAAGCCCCACTGCTGCTGACCAGAAGGTTTCGACTGCAATCTAAGTAGATAACAGAAGATGAACCATGATATCCCCAGTAAGTTTAACCCTGAACGTGAATAAATGATTTACCTTTATCGTTTCTGTAGCTGTCTGGTTCTTTTTCTCACTCTCAAATGATTTGCTGTTCTGTTGCTCATTTTTAGGTGGTTGATCATTATCGTGTTTCACTGTATCTTGTTCTTCAACCTTTTCCTTCTCTATTTCCTCAACCTCCTCTTCCTCCTCCTCCTCTTCTTCTCCTCCTTCATCTTCTTTTTCCTCCTCTTCCTCTTTTTCTTCTTCTTCATTGTCATGATTCACACCACCATCACTCTCTTCCTCATCAGATGATTTTTGATCCTATGGTGTCATTGAAGACAGGTATTTTTTTAAGCTTAGGTTTGGCAGAATAAATAAAGGCTTGATAACCCCATATAAACTGTGTATGGAAACTTGCAAAGAAAGCAGTCAGCAGGCTTTGCATTAATAATCTATTTTGTAGGTGTAACAAGTTGAATGAAACAAAGTCCAAAGTAGAGGCAACATCACAATGTCCATGAATTTCAGTGGAAATAAATGTTCCTATGATATTAAAAATAGAGACTATAACGTTTTCATATGCATTCATCCTCACACTATAATACAGATGCTACAGCATGTTTCGAAAATCTCATGTATGTTAACCATCAGGGAGATGGAAATGGATCACCAGTCCCACATTTATCAATTAGGTGGGATTCTCCTGTTAAAGGCTTTTCATTTTGTTTGTTTTTTGCTTTATATTTTTGCATATAAGAACTGTGTAACCCTTTATGAAATAAGGACATTCATTCTTTGTGACACCTGTTTGTATGCTTGGTGTTATCATGCTGAAATTTAATTAAACGTAAAATATATATCTCATCTAAAATGTGTGTTGATATTTAAATCTAGAATTGTATTTGATAAAACTGAGGTTTTTGCTAAGCTAATATACTATTCTGTATATTAATAAAGTAGTACTATATGAACAAGCTAATGAGATGGCTCAGTTTGCATGTGCAGAGTTAATTTTTATCCAAGCAATTGTATGTTGCCATGGTAATTATTTTCAAGAAACATGGGCAATGCTTTTATGTTGGGTATTTTAGATAACTACCTCTTATGGCAATTTTTGAACTCTCCAGTATTTAGCTAATACACTAAATTTGATATGAATATTTTTCATTGTCAATCATAGTTACCTACGGGATAGACACAGTTTGTTCGAGATACCTGATGTATAAAGAAAACCTGTTCCAAAGGGATGCTGTGATTGTCAATCAGGAGTCAGAAGTCAATGTATTTTAAAATACAGTCACACCCAATGCTAAGCAACCATATCATGTTTTATACAAGATAGGGAAAGGATGTGGAAAAAATGCACAAAACAGGAAATACATACAGAGATTTCTAGCACACACAGTACACTGTGGGCATGTCCACACTAGAGCATTTCCATTCACATTTAATATGTGTAGTCAACATGACAATGACATCGAACCCCAATCTAGAAGCTTCTCCTCTATAAATTTGGGTTTACTGGGGATAATCTGATAGAGTGGGGAAATGAGGCTCCACTTGGGGACACAGATTATTTGTTTAGATGTTCTTTTGGGGGTGGATCCATTGTCATTTTCTGCTATTCGCCTTTCCATGCCCATTACTTCCTCAATGCTTTCATTACTTTTCCAGCTGTGCTTATATCTATTTTCCGTGCACTCCCTAAGGAATTATTATTTTGTTATCCCTCATATCTGCACAAAACCAGAAAACTGCAAAAGCAAATTTAGAACTGATTATGTGCTTTTGCACACTTATCAAGCAGGGATTTTAAAAGAAAACACAACAAGGTGTGCTTGCAACTATCTGTGTGCATGCCTTATCCGCACTCAATTGGTGCAACAGAACCAACAAATTTGAAGGCATAGACAAATACAAAAGGAAATGCCTGTTGGTATGAATGGAAATTTGCTCCCCATATACAAATTCAAGTATGTGTGGGGGTGGACTACTCCAGTCTAATTTGAATGTGGAAAAAGTAGATTAACAATTAAATAAAGCTCAAATGTGAACAAGCCCTTAGTCTAAAGATGCTAAATTACCTTCTGGTGTGCCAGTTCCTGGAAAGCAGAGATCTCCTCTTTATGTCCACCTCATACATCTGAAGTTGCTAAAAAAAAACCCAGAACTTCTTCCAAACATTTCCCTCTCCCATTTCCACTGTTTTACGGGATCTCTATGTCTTCTCCACGGACCCTCCCCCCTGAAATATTACTAAACTAGTTTGCTCAGGTTCCATTTAGCCAGGAGAAAGCAAAGCCAGCTCTCCTCCCCTTCGTCATGCTGCATGGGAGGAGTAGCAAAGTTGTGACAAAGGAAGGCTATGGGATTGGTTACAACTGGGGTCAAGTGTAACACGAGTAAGGCAAAGATGGCTTTAAAAATGCAGTCTCTTTATTTACCAACCCCAAGTGTCCCTCACATTGAGGAAATCCTGAATTTGGCAAAGTTCTGCCTCCCTTTTACGTTCGGAGAGATTAAAGGGCATAAACAAGCAGTGGCAGGAGGCAACATGCTAATGTGGGGCTGAAAGAATGAAGACAGCCATACAAACCAGCTAGAGAAAGCATTTATTAGCTCTTCAGTGGTGTCCTTGAGATATCAAAATTTCCTTGATGCCAAAGAAACTATGGTCAGGGTGGAGATAAGAGGACACCCATGTGCAAGAGAGAAATCACAGATGAAGGGCAGGATCTCAGTCGCAGAGCACCTGCTGCTTTGCATGCAGAAGGTCCCAGGTTCAGTCCACTGAGAAGTCTGAAACCTTGGAGAGCAACTGCTAACACTGCATAGACAATACTGAGCTATATGGACTAATGGTCTGACTTGATATAAGCAACTTCCCACATTCCAATGAGGCCAGATCTTTGCTTGCTGTTCTATTCACAGCAGTTCCCTTTGGCCAACCATAGGCTTGCCATACGTCTGGAAAATTCTGGACATGTATGGAAATCGGATGCCTAAAATGGCATTGGTGCGTGTGTGTGTGTTGAATTTTAAGAGATGCCAGAAATTTACGGGATGTATGGCAATCCGTTTTTTCCCCCCTTCAGTTTTCTGCCCCGACCCCATTTTTTCAGGGTTTGTTTTTTGCTTTTAATTTTTCTGAAGAAGGCTGCGCCCTGGCGGCAGTGGAAGTGACAAGAGGTCACTTCCCTTGGCTGGGGGGGGCAGGGAGAGGGAGGAGGCGGGGGGGGGAGTGGTGAAGCAGCTGCAGCAAGCCTGGCCGTTTTTCGTTTTTTCCGGGGAGGGGATCACGTTTTATTTGTTGTTGTTTTTCTTATCGGAGCTGGGCAGAGTGGCCATCCAGATGTGCTAGACAGTGATCGCCCTGTGGTGTCACAGTCCTGCAATGGGAAAGCTGGTGGGTCTCCTCCCCCAGGGGTGGCGGTTATTCATAAAACCCTGCTAAGTGTGCCTCGTCTGCAGTTTGGGGCAGAAAAAACACCTGCATTTTCTGTCTTCTTCCTTGAAATCCACGGCTGACAGGGAGGGGCCAAAGACTCTTCTGCTGCTGCCAAAGGCAGCTGGTGCCTTTGAGGGTCCCCCTCCCGCAACAGAATGAGCGCAGCCAGAAGGAGCTCAAGAAGTTTGATGGTTTTGTTTATTGGTTAAATTTATATCCTACCTTTTCACCAAATGGTGTTCAAGGCAATTATTAGCAAGTGAATTAGATGCTCTACATCTGTTCATAATGTAAACGATCATGCAGATGAAATTCCTGCATTGCAGGGGGCTGGACTAGATGACCCTTGGGGTCCCTTCCAACTCTACAATTCTATGATTCTATGAAAGACATATTTGCCAAAGAATTACAATCTGCTGTGTTAAAAAACAAACCAGAAGATCCATTTACTTTAACTGTCTGAATTTTGGAAGGCGAGGCAGAGGAATGCTGCCTAGAATCCATAGCAGTTTAACATTCCTGATGAAAATAGAAAGTAGCTCAAGTTTTCAATCCAGGAAGATTTATACTTAAGATTTATACTCAGTGGTAAGTAAGACCAGAAAGCAAACTAGACATGTTTGTTCCCTAAAATAGCCTGCTATAAATATAAATGCAGCTTTTAAAAGGAATTATGGACACATTTTGTCCCAGTTGCTATTCTTTGAGAAAAGTAAGATTTTGCCTATTTATCCTGTTTAAAATCATGGAATAGGATCTCTGACCCTTTTATGCAATTCAGATTAAGATCACAGTCTCTCTGTATTTTGCCAGAGTAGCCGCTTAAACCAGATTCAGCAGATATGCATCAAGGAATTCAGTATGTTCATCCTTCAACAGAAGTTTTATCTCCTTATTCTTGCCCCTTATTCTTTAAAGATCCAAAGGTGCACATGTGAACCATTCAACTAAAGTTATGCTTTTACTTTTGAATTGCTCCATATTGTTTTACTGTATGTAAGCCACCTTGGAAACATTTGTGTTAAGAGGCACTGTAGACTTGTGATAAATAAGAGATTAAAAACCATCTACATGACCCCATGTGTTTTCTGAAAGTTGTATTTTCAGAAGTTGTCTCTATAGAAACCCAAGCTGCTTTTTCAGCTAGTGATGTTTAATTTAATTTCTCCCAAAAAGAAATGATCAGAATCATAGCACTGGAAGGGACTCTGAGGGTCATCTAGTGCAACCCCCTTCAATGCAGGAATCCTGCCCACAGATGTTTGTGCATGAGTCACCAACCTTCTGGTTAACAGCCAGACGCACTGACCCATTGCATCATAGGCAATCCCTGTTTCCCCTACATGCACACTCACATGCTTGATCACAGTGGTCCTACTGCTAAGTCCCAATTCTGGAATATGAAACATGTCTATAGGAACTGACTTCTTTTCTACAGTAAAAACAGAATGAAAGCCAAGAGAGCTAGAAATTGATCTTGCAACTATCTATTTTCAGATTGTTTACAAGCTCGTGCAGTTTGTTTATGAGCTCCTGTACATTTTACCTTCTCTTTCCACTTCTAATATACAAGGGAAGAAGAATTAATTATATTTTAGCATCTTCTAATAGAGCATCTTTTCCGGATAAAACCATGTTGTTTTCACCACCCCCCTGCAACGACTGAAACATTGAAGAGGGCAGTTACAATCACTTTAATTCTGAATATGAGCCCAATCAACGTCAGTTAGCCAGATATATTACGATACTGAACTCCACTGTGCTTACTTATACAAACACTTAAGACTTAAATAAACAAATCACAGCCTATTCTTCAGAATACCAGTAACACATTTGGTTCTCCTCCACAGTCAGGATGTTGCCAAGTGTAATGGAAAATGTCTACTTTTTCCTTCAGGCTTGTTTACTAAACATTTTAATTAATAATATACTTTACCTTCCATTCTTTTCATGTTGCTCTATTTTGACCCTTTGCCAATGAATTCAGAAATAAGAATTCAATCAAAAGAGAGAAAGAGTGTTTGAGAAAGAAAAGGTGGTTTCTGGAGCCTGATACTGAGTTAGAAAAATATGGTTGGGGATGACGACAACTCAGCCTTTTGCTCAATATCTCTCTTTGTAGACTACGGAGTCCTGGATCAACAAAATCAATACTAGCATTAACTTTCATTTAACTGTAAAAGTGTCAAAATGAGGGTTAAGGGCCAGTTCATATGTCCCCCTTGTTAAACATGGGGCAAGTCAATCCCTCTTGACTTTTTCAGCAGATTCTACAGGATAGAACCAGTCTGGAAACTTCCAAGTAATTCAGTAATTACCACATTTCAAGCCGAAGTACTGTGAGTGGCACAATGGGTCAGTGTGTCTTGCTCTCAACCAGAAGGCTGGTGGTTGAAGCCCACCCGGGGATGGCTGTGGGCAGGATTACTGCACCGCAGGAGGTTAGACTAGATGATCCTTGGCATCCGTTCCATCTCCACAATTCTATGATTATGTGAGTTACACAGAGGCTGCAGCCTTTGTAAACACTACAGAAGTTTGTGATGATGTCACCAAATCATTATGCACTATTAGTACTGTCGTACCTTGGTTCTTGGACGCACCAGAACTCGTTCATTTCAGCTTCCAAAAGATCAAAAACCGGAAGTGAATGTTCCGGTTTTCTAACGTTCTTTTGGAATAACCACAGTATGCAGGTACTGTATTAGACGAGGCTTTGGACTATGGAAGGACGATGCCACTGTGAGCAGGAAACAGCTGCCCGCAGCTGCGTGTGGGGAGAAGTTCAACAACTTTGGGCCATCTCCCTTCATTTTCTTAAAATCGAGTCCTTAAAAATGGGGGGGGGGTCTTATACATGGGGGCGTCTTATAGACGGAAAAATATAGTAAGTGCTGATTCACACAAGTCAATGTCGTTTCTCGTTAGATGTGTGGTACTAGTTATTTGAGATAGGATGATGGTTGTTACAGAGCACATGATGTTTTACTGTGGTTTTATAATTTGCTGGAAGCCTCCCAGAGTGGCTGGGGCAACCCAGTCAGGTGGGCAGCATATAAATAATAAATTATTATCAAATTATTATTCAGATGAAATCCTGAGCTGCAAGGAGACCCAGTATGGATGTTGAAGCTGCCCACGACAGCAGCAAGGTTTGGGGAGCTCCAATCCTTCCTCCCATTTTTCATATATGCAACTAAGTATACATCCAAATAAAATGTCCCAAATAAATATGCTTGCATAGCAACAATAAATCAGAATAAACATTAACATGTTTTTTTTAAAGAAGTGCATCGTAATTTTACTATTTTTATTGGAAAACTTATTACAAGGCACAGTAAACGTATTAAAACAACAGAAGTGCTTAATATGCTTTGAACAAATGAAAAAGGAACCCACATTATGGGACGCATAATTGGGCAACATAAATTATATGTCTGCTGTTGAACAGAGACTGAAAACAAAACAAGCGTTTTTTATCATTAAATGACAAACCAAATTCTTAGGGCAGGGGTACGGAGCCTGCAGACCTCCAGAAGGTGGTGAACCCCAAGTCCCATCAGTCCCTGCCAGCATAGCCAACAGTCAGGGATGATGGGAACTAGGATCCAACAACAGTGGCAGGGTCACAGGTTCCCCATCACTCTCTTACGGCATGGCTGCACTGCTGGCAGCTTAAGGACAGGGCTGCAAGAGCAAAACTATTGTCTTTGCTGGATCAGATCAAAGGTCTGTATCATTCAGTGTGCATGGCGCATGCAAGATATGACTTCTCACGCCAGCGTTCCTCGTCCCTAAATAGTCACTCCCTTTGGTGGACCCTCCAGAGCAATCTCTAATAAAAGCGCAATGCAGTAAGCACCTGCAGTTGGGAGAGAAAATTCAGAGAGCATGCCTAAAGGGCTCTTTGGATCCCAGTCTCTGTCCAACAGCAGAGAGCCAGATACCTGCAGGAAACCTGTAACCTGTATTACTGAAGAAACAGCCACTCCCACTTATTGGCCCCTACCTTATCTGGCCCTTGAGGGGCTTGTCACCAATACCGTGTTTCATTCACCTTCCCCTTTCCACCACTTCTTGCAGAAGATTTATGAAGGACAGCCAGAGAGCTCTATTGTCCTAGGCATGCCACTGTTCTTTCAGTTTTACCCCCCTAATAGGACTGTCAAGCTGAGATAGCCAGCAAGTGTGTCTTGAAACAATACGTCCAAAGAAGGAACGCATGGAGTATTTTCTCTCAGTACAAGAAAACCTTTAGTCTACACACCATACACAGCTTTTATGACCATGCAATGTTCAAAAAACTCAACAGTGCAACAGCACTAATCTGAAACAGCGGAGATCTCATAATTTGAACATGGCACCTGGTTCTCACTGGCAGATTTGTCACAGCACAAGACTGCTTTTAGTGTGTTTTATAAAGTTGAAATTTTAGGTATTTATATAAAATGGCAAGTAAAATTGTTTAGTAAAAAGAAAAAAGCATTAAAAAATATAAATTTTGGCGTAGTACTGTATTACAATTCCCTATACAAAATTTCCATGTAAAATCGAGCTTCAGGGCTACTTTAGTGTCAAATAATGTGGTAGCACATTGTTCCAAAATTGTGAATTTTGTAGTCCATTCACAACATGTTTTGATGTCACTCTTTGTTTAGAGCTTTTTATTTTATCATAGGTCTCCTGTTTCCTCTTATTATTTTCTTGATGTTTATGACCTTTGGTTTTCTGGACTGCTTTTTCTTCCTCTACATGCTCATCTTCTTCCTCTTCTCTTTTGTCTTCCTCCTCCCTGCCTTCTTCCCCTTCCTCAGCTTCTTCCTGACTCTCTTCAGCTTCTGCTTCTTCTTCCACATCTCCCTCTTCATTTTCTTCTTCCTCCTCCTCCTCTCCCTTCACCATTTCTTCTTCTTCTTCTTCTTCTTCTTCTTCTTCTTCTTCTTCTTCCTCCTCCTCCTCCTCCTCCTCCTCCTCCTCCCCCTCCTCCTCCGTTTCTTCTTCCTCTTCCTCCACTTCTTCTTCCTCCTCCGCTTCTTCTTCTTCCTCCTCTGCTTCCTCCTCCTCCTCTCCTTCTCCCTCTTCTCCCTCTCCTCCAGTTTCTTCCTCCTCCTCCTCCTCCTCCTCTCCCTCCTCCATCTCCATCCCTTCTTTTCCTTCCTCTGCCTCAACTTCTTCCTCTTCCCCTTCCTCCTCTGCTTCTGCCCCTTCTTCTTTTTCTTCCTCCTCTTTTCCTTCTTCCTCCTCCTCTTTTCCTTCCTCCTCCCCTTCTTTTCCTCCTCCTCCCTCTTCCCCCTCTTTTCCTTCTTCTTCCTCCTCCCCCTCTTTTCCTCCTTCTTCCTCCTTCCTGTCATCTTCTTCCCCTACTCCCACTTCTTCCTCCCTCGTCTCTTCTTCCTTCTCCCTCTCTTCTCTCTTGCTCTCTTTTTCTTTCTCCTCTTCCACCCATTCATTCTTCTCTTGCTCCTCCTCTACTACCTCAATTTCCTTTACAAATTCACCCTCCTCTATGTTTTCATATTTTTCTTCCATTACAGCTTCATCTATATCTTCTTCTGCTTCTTCCTCTTGCAGTTCAAAATCTGTGTCAACTTTCCCTTCTTCCACCTCATTCTCCAGCCTATCCACATTTTCTGCTTTAGACTGCATTTTAACTTCTTCATCTCTATCGATGGCTCCAGGGTCATCTTCTTTATTTGATTCATTTTCACCTTCTTCTCCTTCAGATTCTACTTCACTGTCATTTTTTCCATCTTGCTTCTCCTCTTCATTTTCAGCTTCTTCTGCAACCACTCCACATTCTTCATTGTCTTGCACACTTTCAAGATTCTCTTCTTCTAACTTGGCAGCCTTATCTGAACTATCTATATTTTCATTCTCTTCACTCTGAGCTTGCATACTGTTATCTTCAAAACACTCCTTTTCTTTATTTTGCTCCTTCTCCCAATTTATATTTCTGTTTTCTTCATCCATTTCTCTCTTTGTTATTTTGCCATAATTATACTGGTTTATCTGAAGAACATATTTTGCTGACTCATTACGAGTTTCCTCACTTGAAGATGATGACACAGTTACTGCTGTTTGCTTCATAAATATCTCCTTGTGTTTAAACTCTCTCTGTTTTTCTTTGCTTTCTTTACCTTGCACATATATTTTGCCATATTTATCAGATTTCACTACTTTGACTTCTGCTTTATTTTCCTGGCAATCCACATAGTGTTTTTCTATCATACCATCACTAGCATGGCTGAATGGCAGCTCCTGAGGGGTTGAACTAGAATTTACTTGGCCCAATTTTCCCTTTTTTGCTACTTTAAATTCTTTTTTAATAGTCTGGTCAGTGTCAGGCTTCAGTGCCCTAACAGTAATGGCCTGTGCAGACTTACTTTTTGAGTACTTTTTACCAGCCTTAATTTTCCTCACAAAAGCATCGTAAAAACTTTTTTCTAAATTGGGATCCTTTCCTAGACACTCTGAATGTGTAGGTTCCACCTGAGAAGATGTGCCACCCAATTCCAAACCCTTCTGAACTCGGGAAGGAACAGACTCTTTCATCCCACCCTTACCATGAATATCCAGTTTCCCATTTTTATTTTTCTTCTACTCCGCATGGGAAGCAAGAAAGAAAAGGGGGGACAAAAGAAAGGAGAGTGTTACAAATAAAATGAGAGGAAGGCAAAAGGCAAATAAATCAGAACATGAAAAGGGAACGTAAGCAGCTTGACAGGATGGAAGAGGATCATAAATGAAGGTAACGTAAAAGATGAAGAAGAAAATGGGCAAGATTCAGAGAAGCATAAGCACAATTTCACTTGCACAGCAGGAGTCTCCTGCCCGCTTTCCCACTGCAACATATATAACAACAATGTATATAAACCTTTCGCTAGTAATAAGCAGAAAAGCAACCTGGGGTGGGGAAAGATTTGCCCTTATCCTAAATACGTGCCCAGAAACAAAAGATGCATCAAATTGTTTTGTGTGACAACTCTTATTTAAGGCATATTTAAAATTTACCTGTTTGGGGGGTTTTTTAAACTAGAATCAGTAGAGTTACTGTAGTTGATGTTTTATAGCAACAGGAAAGATAACCACTTTTTAGATAAAATATTTTTTTTAAAAAAAATAAACAAATAAATAAAAAGTCAAAATACATATATAAATTGGCAGTACCTTCTGTTTTTGTACTGGTGCTAACTCCAAGGAATGGCCATCGGGATTCACTCTCATCACATGGGTCTGGAAAGTATTTTAATGAGAGTAGTAAATAACAGCAACTAGCTAACAAAACAACATTAGATACACATTCATGAACTCTGCTTTTTAACTGGAAGATCTCAACATACCTTCCAGACTAATTGCCTGATGCCCAAAGTACCAGAATTATAGCATTGTAAGAATCTGTCTTCTGCCTGGTAAAATATGTTGCCTATCTAGCCCATTACTGTCTACTGTGAGGGGTAGCAGCTCTCCAAGATCTCAGGCAGAGAGGGGTCTTTCCCATCCCCTCCTACCTGATCCTTTTAACTAACATTAATGCAAAACATTTACCCAGAACTATGCAAATTTTCTTGCTACCTAAATACTACACTACGGAGGTCCCCAGTAAAACCTAAGTGGACTTGGGCTTGTGCACCACACCCTCCCTCTCCAGCAGATGCAAGGAGACTGGAAGTTCTTGTTTCAGTTTTTAAGAAACCACAGTTTAGTGTTAAGTTGCCAAGCTAAACTGTGGCTAGACTTAACTTCTGTTTACTAAAACAGGTCTACTTTGTAACAGTTTTCATGAAGTTGAGTCGTTTCAATAAACCATAGTGAAAATTAATCAGTTTATATATAGGCTGATCACAGTGTTAAACTGTGATTAACTGAAAACAGATGTGAACGTTTTTGATCTCCTCATGGTGATACTGGAGGAGAGGAGGAATGTGTTGCACAAGCCCTTGGCCCATTCCTGAAACACTAAACCATAGTTGAGCATTATGTCCATATTAAACCATTTTCTCTCTATGTTGTAACTGTGGAATGTGGAAGTGGCCCAGGAAAGATTCCTGTGCTCTTCCTGCTGTTGCTACTGCCACTGGACACTCCACAGGAAAACGGTTATACCTCAGCCACAAACCAAAGTATAAATACAATCACTAGTAGCAGATGTGTTTGTGGGAGGGGTTTTTTGGTTTGTGGGATGTTTTGTCCGTGTTTTTATCATGTATTTTGTGCTTTTATATTGTATTTTTATGTTGCGAGCCCCCTGAGATCTGTGGAGACAAAATAAATAAATAAATATTACCATATTCAAGACATCTGTGGTGCTCCCAAGGGTTCTACCCTCATTTTCATCTGAATCATCTTCTGTTGAGCTCTCTTCTGCATCATTTTTCTCCTCTTTCTTATCTCCTTCAAAACAAAATACAGGATATACAGTTATTCATGTATGCACTTATTTGAGGAAAAGGAAGTCTGGATGCTCCTCTAATTACCGAGAAAGAACTGAAACAGAAGGGTTCCTGGCAGTCTCAACTGGCACGAGGAGTAATCATGTTTCAGTAAATACAATAAAAGGAAGAATGTGTTTTCTGTCCATAATGATGCCTGCATATTTTGCTTGCCCTATGGGTCAAATGGCAGCAAGTATGGAGGTGGGGAGGCTTATTTAATTGAGAAAAGCAAGAAAGAAAGCACAGAGATTCCATTCACAGATCTCTCATGGCCCAGTTCACGTATCTGGTTAAACAATAGTTAATGGTTTACCATGAACATGCAGTCTGGGCCAATTTTCTCCTTCCTACTAGCACATGGCAGGAAAAAACCCCACAGACCATGACTTTATGTTATGTCTGAACCAGATATAGCAGTTTGTTTTGCTCAAACAAACCACAATCCATAAGTCAAAAGCAAAACTTAAGTACGGATCTTGGTTTAATGGAGCAAAGCAAACTACAGTCTCTGGTCCAGACATAATGCTAAGCCTGGGACTGTAGTTTCTTCTGAACACTCAGATTGGCATGCTCACAGTAAACTATAAGCTAAGTTTTCAGTGGCAGGCAAATGAGGCCATTGTGCAAAGAAAAAAAATCCAATCACATAACCCTGCCCAGTGACTTCAAATGTAGATGTATTGCACTTGTCCTGTCTTTATGTTGCTCAGTATCACAACTGATTATTCAATCAGCAAGTGAGACTCTAAGTGATAACTGCATTGCAGTTTTAAGGACCTCTGATGCTCAAAAACCCCAACAAATGATTGATAGGAGCATAACAGAAACTGGTGATTAGTTTACCTGTTTCACCATCCAAAGCAGATTGGGTGCCTTGACTTCCATTAGCTGCCTCTGAGTCAAGGTGGTCTGATCTGAGTACACCAAGGGGGAGAGTGTTGCTGATGGCACAGGATGCAAGCTTTGAAGGACCTTCTCCTAGTGGAGGAAGTGTTCGTACCAGCCGGCTAACCTGTTCCGGTGATTTGTCCTTGTGAAAGGGTGAAAAGAAAGCATAGCAGCTTTTGAGTCACTTCAAGGTAACCAATAAAGGACAGTGATACAATGAGGAGTAGATTGAGGGATTGAGGGCAGTGTTTGCTTTTCATTTTCCTAGAATGAGCGCTGTGAATCTGCCCACAGTGCAGTAATGCTTGAAGTCAGGAAATCATCTACAATGTGTGCTGGGTCTTCCCTGGCCAGATTCAGGACAGATGAAAATACCAAGGCTATAGTAAGTTCAAACTGCATGTATAAGTAAAACTACAATCATGCAAGTTAGAGGCTGCACCTACTGTTCAGTTAAAGAAAGACATAATAAAGGAATTATTACCACAATAAATTACCAGTCAACTATAGCATGGAAGTTTGATGTGCTATTTATTTATTTATAATGCAGGTATTTTCATAGCACTCTTCAATTTAAAAAAAACTTAGGGAGGGTTTACCATCTTGGATCTCAGTACTTTATTGTACAGCTGCCTGGAGATTTTAATATTGAAAGTCAAGCAGTTCTCCTCCAAGTGTTTCCTAGTGAATCTCTTGGCCTTTGGCACATACAGCCTGCACTGCCCCCAATGGTGATTTGTTGCATAGCAACTAGGTGTGATCATGTTGTTTTTTGACGTTTTTGAAGCTCAGTAGAAACAGTTTAAAATATACCTTTGCTCTCCGCCGCAAGCGTGCCGATAACGTCCGATGGAAGGTATCTATTACTAATGCATCTCCACCCACTTCAGAGACCACAGCAGACAAGTGGTGTTCCTTTTGGTCAGACACATGAGTTTCACCCAGTTCTTTAGGCCTCGGTGTGGCAAAAACTAGCATGTGACAACCACCACAGGAAACCTACAGTACAAAGTCAATGCAGGGATTAATGGAGGCTGTAAACTTTGCAGGTACATAGGAAGGGGAAACCTAATCAGAAAGTACACTTCTAATGATTTGGTACAATCTTCAGGACTTTCACCATTACGGTCCCTCAACACATGTTATGCATCATTTCCAAATCATAGTATTTTGAGCGAGGTCAACGTGACAAATATGAGACTCTAAATGGAAAGAAATGAGATATTGGTGTGAGATTACCATTTGGTGGTGTTCTTTTTCTAAGTGATTGTCTCAGGGAGACTTAACTCACTCACCCTCACTCTGTCCGTGAAGCAATTGTGGAAGGGCTAGAAACAGTGTGCCTTTTTGGCAAACTTGTTTTGATATCTCACCCTAATATGATTATTTTGGCAAAATAGTGACAGGCTGGGTGTAGCCTTGATCATAGCCTTGATGTCAAAAAATCCATTAAGTAGCAGAGGTTTATATCCCAACTGCTGTACGGAAATCTAAGAATCTGCTGTAGAATCTAAGAAATTTGCTTAAAGATGTTAATTCCTTCAAACAGTTTACAGTGCACATAGCACAGCACTGGCTTTGATCACAAAGAAACATCTCATACAAATCTATTTTTCTATCTAAAGAGAAAAAGTAAACCAATTATTTTTTTTAAAAAACATACCAAGAAATATAAATGTCTCCAGTGCTCATCTACAATTAAAAAATATAGCACGGTATAAACATATGAATGACCTCTAAATATGGTACCTTTAAGTACAACATGAGATATACTGAATTAGTATTTCAGAGCATGAAGAAAAAAGGAAGCCTTACCGACTGTATAGCAAACCCCCCAAAATTGGAACATAGCGTAGGAAAAAACTGATTAGTGTAATTTTCTTCCCCAAGCCCTAATTTGCCATGCCGTCCATCTCCAAAGGTGTACATAAGGCCGTTCTCTAAATGTGGAGAAAGAAGCATGTTTACTAATATGTAATGAAGCAGTGTGTAAAAAGCAGTGGGTGAAGCCACAACAACTAATTAGAAAAGAGAATCACTTTCTTTCCAAGAGCAAAAATTCTGAAATAAATATTTCAACCTGTAACATAGTTTTTCCACTAGACGAAGGAAAACGACAACAAAAAAGTTAATCTGGCTAATGTAAAACATATAGCTATGAAAATGATGTTCATAATATTATTACATTTGAATGTTTTGGAATGTTGACATTCTCAAGTTTTCCATGTCAATTGCTTCCTAATGGAACCATTGAACAAGTAAAAATAAGGAGTTAGTGCTCCAAGTATCAAGAGTAGATATTGTATTCTAGCCTTCAGGATTACCCGGCTTCTTCAAGTTTACCTTAAAAACCCAAACATCTATTTACAATGCAGGTATTAACCCTTCAATACTAAATCTTCATCAACCACTAGGACCATTAAGGCCATGAAAAATGGATAGCTACTGAGCCAAATCTATAGGAAGTACATGCAAGCTGATTAAACTAGAGAAGGCAAGCTGATCAGAAAATAGATTTGCAGCAGAAAAACTGCTAGCATCATTAGCAGAAAGGTCATGTACCTTCTGAATTACATTAATTATGCTAAAATAAAATTAGCATACAAACAGGAAAACACATCTGGTGAATATATTTATTGCACAGTCTGGAGATTTTTTCAGTGATCTTGATGACTTCGTTAAATTAAGATGTATATTCACGATTGGTAACTGAGTACTACAAGCCAGGTTTTGCACTCTTCTGAAAAGAGTGCTTCCCATTAAGCCTGCCTAAGCACTTCAGCAGCTGCCACTGATATTCTTGCCTGGTTCGCAATTTCCATTAAAATCATAAGAATGGGTTAAATCACACATATGCATCATGAACCCATGGATTCCCATTCTAATTTGTAGGCATACCACAGTTTGTCCAGTTCAGACTTAATTACCAATTATGGCTTGCCTGCACCAGGTAGTATGTCAGAGCATGTGAAGGAAACATTGCTCAGCCCATGGTTTGGCCACTGAATATGAACTAAGCAAATGTCACTGCAGTACTCACACCAGAGAGTATACCCCATTGAATTTATTGAGATCCATTTTGAGGAGGCAAGTATAGGACTGTGCTGTACATGTTGCATGGCTTTTTGTTTTGTTTAATAAACTACATATAGATAAGAATTACTATGAAATATGTTTAAGACCACCAGGGTCTTGTCACCTCCATTTATACATATTTAATATTTTGTAACTTATAAAATCTCAGAGAGTCATCTCCTTCCCCCGTTCCACCAAAAGGACACTCTTACCCTGCTTCCCTGAACTGCAAACAAATACAAACGCATATTCTTCCGAGTCCCCCTGTTGCTTAAGGCTCCGTCAAACTCAGAAATGCCCCTTCAGCAGGAACAACTGATTCAAACAATAGAAGAATTGCTTTCTTCAATGATACTTCCTGGAGTTTCTGTTTATATAACTTGCCCTTTGCCCCAGAGGGTCCCTTTCAGCTGTTCTGAGTCTTAATTTGAGAAAATTTTATTTAAAATGTTTCATAGGAAAAGTTTTACATATCTCTCTGTGACCTGGCAGATTTAAAAACAAGAAAATTTTGTATTAAGCACAAAAATACACCAATAGCATTGCAAATACGTTTCACAGCTAACCGCATACATACCTGTCACTAAAGCTGTATGATTTTCCCCACTGGCAATGTTACAGATTTTATGCTTTCTCAAACAATCCACCATCTTTGGTTCAGAAATTTCAAAAATAAATGTACCATGTCCAAGCTGCCCATATTGGCCAAGGCCAAATGTGTAGACCTTCCCCTCTGAAAAACATACATGAGATTAATATTCTATCCATAGTTTTCCATCCTCCAAGTTTCCTAGTGCACACTGCTCAAAAGTTCCCATGCTGTTCCTCCCCAATTCCTGGCATGCCGCAGAATGTGACTTGTCATGTCATCTGAACAAAGGTATGTCTCTTCCAACCATCAATGAGTAGTTGAGTAGTAATCAAGAATTGCTCTTGATTTTCTGCTTGTGGTTTGGAGGAAACAACGTTTCATATGTCTACTACACATCAGCAGGAGTGAAGGAGGAGCACCACTGGAACCGAGCAGCATGAACCAAAATGCAATGTGTTCACACTAAACCACATTTTGTTTTAGCCTATGGGTCAATGTGATGCGTACACCAGGCCTTGTACTTAAAAAGAAAAGTAATGAGAGAGAGAGATTTTTAAAAATGAGAATAACCAATATATTTAAACCCATAATATCATTGTAAGACTATCATATTACATAACCCAAAATATTATACTAAATAAAATATTAAAGCTCCCTCTGCTGGAAGATACAGAAGCAAAATAACAAGGAAAGAAAATAAAACCACACCTCTTTAAAAGCCTCAGTAAGAGGGTTAGGTGTTATTTAGAATAGTAAACACCTTTACCCCTATTCCCTTATGCAGGGTCTAGTCTCACTAACATCTCAGCCTAGTTGTCAGTAATAGGAATCAACCAGAACACATAGGATTCAGCCTGAGCAGTAGCATGCCAAAGACCTGAGTGTTGTTATATAAAATCACCACCAGACTGACGGCTAATTTAGCTACTAGTTCTAGTACTGTGCATATGTGCAAATGGTGTAAACCCAGCACTAAAACTCTACATCATATAAGAGGACCACTGAACATGCGCAAATCCACACCATACATTTAAATCACATAATATGTACATTTAATGCCCTTGACGTCTCCCAAAGAATCCTGGGAACTATACTTTGTTAAGGATGCTGGGAACTTCTGTGTGGGGAAAACCACAGTTCCCAAGAACCTTTGGGGGAAACTCATGTGCTTTAAATATGTGTTGAAAGTGCCTTAAATGTATGGTGTGGACCTGCCTCTAGACAGATGCTTCACACTGTCCCTTTTCTTAGCCAATTCTGCCCCTTCTTCCATCACTTTTAAATAAATTTTCTTTACTTAGTTTTGCTCTACAATCACTACATCCATTTGCCACTGACACCTTGCGAATTAATTTTGCTAAATTATTTCAACAGAAACTAAGCAGCTATTTTATAATTGTCTCCACCATCTTTGACATACAGCATCCAATATGCTAAGTCGTATGTAGGTGGACCCATTTAAATGTGTGGATTAAACAGTTTAGGATTGTGGGGATTAAAACATGAGCCCACAATTTGAGGAGCAAGAAGCTAGTATACCTGCAAGCGCTACTGTGTGTCCTCCTCCACAGGCAACCTTATTGGCCCTGCCAGAAATTCCAGAAACAAGTTGTGGGACCTTGTAGTTTTTCAGTTGCTCTTTTGAAAGACCTAGTTTTCCATTCTCAGGCTCTCCAAAAGTATAAAGTTCTCCATCTCCTGTAAGAAAACAACAAAGCAGCAAAACTGAGACTAAGGCTAGGAGAAAAGAGGTATTTTTTTGCGTGTCTCCTTTATGACAAATGAATAAGACAGGGCTGTATTTAAACTTAAACACACCACCACTTTATTTTTAGATTACAGGTCCATCACTAGATTAGCTTATTCATCATCATCATCAACATCAAACTATATTGCAACAACTCTGCACAAATTGCAGAAAGATCAGATTACAGAAATAAATTCATTACCAGCTTTATATGACTACTGATCTTATTCCAACAGTCAATAAATTCCATTACCATTTCCCCACTACAGTAGTTAATGCTCAAAATCCATACCTTCTATGTACAGAAACTGTCAGTTTATTTATCTCAGCTATCAGTATGTTAAGGATTATGTTTTTCCCAAATAATAAGCCCAAACCATTTTTGCAGAGATTAATAGGTTCATGATCAATACTTTATATGAGTCTGACCACCACCAAATTAGTAGCATATATCCAAGCAAAAACAGAATCCAAACTCTTAACCAAGTAATGACAGGTAATCTAATCCCAAACTACTATAAGGGGCATAATCGGATTTAATGACTGAAAGTACACCACACCTCTGCATCTCTCCAGATTTCCACACTTACGTGTTATTAAGGCGGAGTGGTAGTATCCACAAGAGATCCAGGAAACGGGTTTACCAACATCCACTTGATGAGGAACATATGCATTAGCTTCATCAGCCAAACCAATTTGTCCTTCGGAATTGTCCCCCCACATAAAAAGCTGTCCATCCTCTTAAAAGAAAAGAGAGTTTTGTAAGTGTATTATTTACTTATTTAAATAAGTTGGCTTTACAAAACCCAGGATCCATGATCTAGTGGCCATGTAAGTCCTATTCAGGGCTTACGTGGCCACTGTATCATGGCTGCTGTGCTTTGCAAAACCCCTTTCCCTCCACATGTTTGAGGGCAACTGTACGAAGCACAGAGCCTACTTCTACCCATGTGGGCTCCCCATGCAGCTTAGAATCCTTTCCAGCATTCTACATCATGCAGAAGTCTCCATGAGACACTCACCACTGAAATTGTGCAGGGCGACTGGAACGAGGTTGTGGAGCTAGCACACCCCACACATGGTATTTCCAATTTACAGCAACACCTCAATATTGTGATTCCTGAAATGCAGTCCTTGCAATACAACATAGCATGTTTTAAACCCTAGGAATTTGGTGGAGGGGATTTTAAAAGCATCTTGTAATATAGTATATGAAATGCTAGAGAGCTGAATTTCAAAAATCACAGTAAAAACTTCACTGGAACCATGATTCCCCCCCCCCCCACATAAGAAACAACATGTTGTATCTGGAAACAGATTGCTAAATGCTATGCCCTCCTATCTAAACTTATTTCTCTCTTAAATCAAGACAGCAATGAAATTAAATTACACAGAAAATGGCTACATTTAGGAGCAGTTCAATGTGAAAACTAGGAGACTGTGGTAGTCAAACTGTCAAGCTACAAAGGACCTACGAAGACACCCTTGAATATAAATATATGCTATTATACACCTAAAGAGGTTCATAATATTTGGATACTCACAAAAATTTTCCCTAAAATTATAGGAAAACCCAATAAATAACTGTAGGGCAGGATACTTTCCAAAGAGTTAAGCAAAGCAAAGCATTTGCTGTTCAATGATATACTTCAGTCAAGAACTAGGAACCAAGTAAGGATGTTTTTGGAAACACACACACACACACACACACACACACACACACCATTTGTGTTAGCTGTTGGGCTCACCAGTTAGTGCTGCTGACGTGTAGGATCCAGCTGCCAGCTGTTTGATCTTGTGCTGGTTACTAAAAAAACTAATTAGATGAAATGTGCTTCTTTCCTCTGTGTCACCTAATCCCAACTGCCCTTCACTGTTACCTCCAGCAGCATATACATTTCCTTGTTCTGCACACAGAAAAGCACATGTAGAATAAGCACACTCTCATCTGAAGCAACAGCAAAACCTAAAAAAATCAGACCAGCTCAAGTTTATTTTCACCCATGTACAAAAGTTCGATCCCTGGTGCCCTCAAATGCTCAAAGTCTGCCTGTAGAAATTCCTATTTAAGTTCTTAAGAATCATCGCTCTGCAGCAGGATTCTACATTCCAAAAATATACTATTGGAATATGCATAACATAGTAAAAGTAGTTTCTGCTCATGGCTGGAAATCAATATTTACAATTAGGAATGACTTGTTTTATTCCTTCCCTTCTAAACAAAAGGAAAAGAACCTCGGAGATAGACAATTTGCAATGGGGCTGAGGAAGCTGTAGTTCCGCAACACCAGAAGATTCACAAGTTAGCCCCCCTGCGCTACAGGTAAAGGCTCAGCTAGCAATGAGAATCAATTAGCATGTGTACTCAGGCCAAAGTTAATTAAATGCAATCTTGCTCGAACATACAAACTACAAATGTTAATGACGGGCATTAAATTAATTAACCACAACATGTGCCTTTCTCATGTTTAACCTGACACCTTTTGGTCCTGATTAAAATGAATTCATGTTTAATGAAAAATGTACATAATTTACAAGGGAAAACAGACATAAGAATGGCAATCGGATCTAAATATTTTCAAAATTATTCATTTCACAATATTACTGAAGACTTTAAATTCTACCGTGATAAGGAAAGGAGAATTTCCTATAAATGATAAATGCCTTGCAGGAATTTATTGACAGGAGCTACCTTGAATGTTTCCATCTCAGTAGGATGGCAGCATCAGATTTACTACCTGAATTCACAATAAGAAAACAGCTGACTTCCTTGCTATTACCATCTCCACAGAAAGATCTGTGTAACCAGAGGTTTATTTGGGTTAACCACACTGAACAGGTTAGCTACTGCTAAGCAAAATCTTATCCAAGATATTGTTTTTAAAAAATCAGCTCTATTAAGGATAGTTGAAAATTATTCAGTAAGGATTAGGGAGGGTCACAACTTAGATGTAGATCACATACTATGCTTGCATACAGATGACATTTAGTCGCAGGATTTTCTAGTTAATGAATTTCAGATGACAAGGCTGTCTCGGGCCTTAGGAAAGGTGCAGCCAGTCAAATCTGGCCATTTTACAGCATATGGACCAAGTGTCTTGTTCAATATAAAAGGTGCACATAATGGGTTTGTTTGTTTTTTTAAGGTTCTGACTATTTCTTAGAATGTGCACAGAAAGCAGCCATAAGATATTTGATGTGCAAATATAGATGACGTACCTGTATAAATCAAGGTGTGGTTTCTCCCGCAAGCAGCTAGTTTTACTTTTTCTGGTTTTAAAGCTGAGGATTAAATAGACAGTGGTTACCATTAAAAAAAAAAATACTGTTAAATGTATTAAGCTCCAACTTTACATACTGTCTACTAACTATGTATCAGTGGTAAGCAGAAAAATGGCAAAAAGATAGACCTTCCATACTCCAGTCTAGAAGTTACCAGCATGGGACCCACAGGTGCGCATTAGCCACTGAAATTAGGTTTGAACTCATTCTAGAGCAACCAACACAATAGTTTGCAATGTATTATTGGCTGCGGTTTTTCCATTTTGCAAATTTGCCCATAGAACCTATTCTAATTCAATGACATTTTTATAATAATAATGGATCATTAAGGCTGCAGTCCTATACACACTTAACCTGGGAGTAAATCAAGGCTGATACTCTTTCTTAAGCGTTCCTGGCCAGAAATGAACCAAAACACTGATTTTTCACTCCTCATCCTCTTAGTTTAAACCACAGGAAACAGCACATGTCCTGTTATTTAGGATGGGCTTGTAACATAAAAGAAGGCATATTTTCAAATAGATTTATTTCCATACTTCAGGAGAAAACGCTGGATTGTCAAATACCTTAAATCTTAAAATGATGGGAGAAATAAAAATACTATGCATTTTGTCAAGCGTTAGAGCTATTTTAGTTTTTTCTTTGTCTTAAATAAAAAATGTATATGAAAATAATTTGTCAGTGTCATTACCCTTCTACAAAAGAAACTCCCCCTTGCTTTGTAAAGTTTATTTGTTGCTAAAAAAACTTGCATGTATCGTCTTCTTCTTTAGCTTTTTCTACTATTTCATAAATCGTAGCTGAAAGGCTTTGTCTGTGGTTATATTCTAACTGTGGTTATTTCAATTCTCAAAAGCCTTTTGTTTTCCTTTCTCTCTCTCTCTCTCTTTTAAATAAAGTGGGGCAATAGCTGTTAAGAGTTCTCATATGAAAGCTGTGCCTATGTTCCAAATGTAGTGAGAGCTATTATAGTAGTGGTGTTGGGAATCTCCATAAGTATTAGCGACTGAGTTCATTCTTCCACTCATTTTCAATTACGGCATCTGTTATAAAACCACATATGTGAGACTAACCTTTCACGCAAGTTGGCTTGTTGACAGTATTCCTTGTTCCAAATCCTAGTTGTCCCCAGTTGTTGCTTCCAAACATGTAAAGTTTACCATTTTCTACAGAATATATTAAAAAAGGGGGGTGATAACCAATGAGTTTGCTTTAAGGTTCTCTAAAAATGTGAAATAACTTTGGCTGGCCTTTTGCCATTGATCCTCCCCTGCTCAAATAATAATCATGTATGCTTCATATACTGCAAATTATTACAAAAACACACAGAATCATATTGTAGAGCTGGAAGCAGGGGTGCCATCTCGCCCTCAGGATTGTGGATCTCCGCTGAGCAAAGCAGACGTGCAAAGTCATACACACTATGTGCAGACATGTGTGTGTGCTGTTGCACGTCTGCATTGCGGTGGGGGGCGCCGGTGGCTCCTCCTCTCTGCAGCCAGATAGGCACTCTTTTCCATGGTGAGGGTCTCGGACTCAGAGGCAGAGACACCTGCCCCCAAAATGGTGCCTCACTTGCTGGCTGCAGAGGGCAGAGCTGAACTGCTTTTCTCCCAGAGGCAGGGCCACTGCCGCCTGCCGGCTTTTCTCATTGCCTTTTTGGGTGCCCAGCCCCCACAATTGCATTATTGTGGGTGTCCATGCACCCATGGCCCCGTGGAGCTGGCTCCAATGGTTGGAAGGGACCCTCAAGATCATCTGGGCCAACCCCCTGAAATGCAGGAATATGCAGCTGTCCCATACAGAGATCGAACTTGCAACCTTGGCATTATCAGCACCATGCTCTAACTGAGTTATCCAGACTGACAATAATTATAAAGTCGCCCCACTCTAATTAAGGTTACCAGACGTCCACATTTCCCAGGGACAGTCCCCGGATTTACAAAACAGTCCTCTGACAAAATCCATCTGTTTAGTAGGAATTTGAAAAGTGTCCCCAGATTCATTGGAAAAAAATCTGATAACCTTACTTTAACAGCCAGTGGATCCAGGATAAGGATTGTACTGTAAGTATTTTTCAAAATTGATACCAGTGGACTGGTCTCCCAAAGAGATTGTTCAGATGATCTTTGAACATCATTATTTGTTTTTAAGTCTTTGATCATCATATTTCAGCCAGTTCTAGTCCTGGGTTAATGATGACTTGTAAACTGCATGGCTTCAGTTGCTGCTGAATTTTGGTATTATCACCAAGTATACAATTTCAAGGATCTTGTGAAATTTACTTTAGGAGTAACAACTATTGCTTTATTGCTTATTGTTTCCTGAGATTGCAAGCTGCTCTCAGAAGCCTCCCTTCTCTTGATGATAGAAAATACTGGATAAATATATATAAAGTAAATCACCAAGAAACTGAATTTTGAATTAATCAAGAAACAGCTTTTTTATGATACATTTTAAAGTTTTTAGACCAGGAAGATGCAAACAAAGCTCATGGCATGTATCTCAGCATGAAAAGACACCTAAATTTCCATTTCACGTTTACATAATAACACTATATAAATTTAAATAAGAATGTATGGGAGTATCTTATATTGAGTTTGTGTGTGTGTGTGTACATATACATATACATATACATATAAATATATCTTTGTTCTTTTTCTCCATTTCACAAACACAGGAAGGTCATGTTACCATCTTGCAAACATAATTACTTCTGTATAACATCCAAGTCTGCCTCAGGACTGGGCCTTCATAGTGCAATTCAATGCATTCTTTCTTCTAAGTATATCCTACTGGATACAATAGGTCTTGCTCTCAAGTAAGTGGGTTCAGACTGCTACCACAGTGTGATCAGGACAGGAACCTTCACAATAAAATATTTTGAATTTGTTAAAATACTAGTACAATGCTAACTTGTTTTTCCTGAAATGCTGCTACAGCAAGTAATTAAAAGAAAAACACTAACCTGTTACAACAGAAGTATGTTCATCTCCGCATGATATGTGAAAAGGCTTGTCATTTTTAAACCAAAACTTGCTAGGCACATTATCGGCAAATTTGCTTTTTCCAAATGTGAATACAGCACCTGATTCTTAAAAAAGGGGAAAAAATAGAGTAAATATTGAATTCTATTTCATACTTTACTCCTAACAGCATTCTTTCTGAGAGAATGGCATCTGGAAGAAACCTCAGAAGTAATCTAGTTCAGCTTGGTCCTGATGCAGGAAATTCACTGCTATGGCACACTCACCTTCTGCTTAGAAATCTCTAAAAAGGAAAGTGTATCACCTTTAGAAGCAGTCTGCTCTACTGCTGAACAGCTCATGCTGTTAGGAAGTTCTTCTTATGTTTAATCTAAAATGTTCTTGTAATTTGAACCAATTGGTTGCAACCTACAAGCTGGAACAGGGGAAAACACACAACTATATAACAGCCCTTCAGGTATTTTAAGATTCCAAAATCCTAGGGTGTACTTTTCTGCCCTTGGTGTCTGAAGTTCTGCTAATATAGAGACAAATATTTTATTAAATTGTCCAAATACTTTTTCAGATAGTCATATGACAAGCAGCGCTGTTAGGTACAAGGTGAGATTCCTTATTTAAAATTGGAAACACAAGTAGCAAGAAAACAACCAAAGGCTGCAATCCTAAACAGTTACCTCAGAGCAAACCCTACTGAACTTTTATGAGAGTTGCTTCTGGGTGCGCATTAATAGTATCGCTCTGTTAAAAAGTTTTCCTGGGAGCAGGTGAGGCCAAAATAAAAAAAAGTGGGTACCAGTTACTTTTAACACTTTAATTCAACGAGTCTTTGCAAATAAGAACATTTTAAGAGCTTGATGGATCAGGCCAATAACCCATCTAGTCCAGCGTCCTGTTCTCACAGTGGCCAACCTGTGGGAAGCTGGCAGGCAGGACCCAGGGAGAAGAGCACTCTCCCCTTCTGCAGTTTCCAGTAACTGGTATTCAGAGCCTAGTCGTTCTGGCTAGTAGCCATGAATAGACATATCCTCCTTGAATGTGTCCAATTCTTTCTTTTTTTTAAAGCCTTCCCAGTCACACTGCCTGCTGTGGGAGTGAGTTCCGAGTTTGAGTATACAGTGGTACCTCGGGTTAAGTACTTACGGTAATTCGTTCCGGAGGTCCGTTCTTAACCTGAAACTGCTCTTAACCTGAAGCACCACTTTAGCTAATGGGGCCTCCTGCTGCCGCCGGAGCACGATTTCTGTTCTCATCCTGAAGCAAAGCTCTTAACCTGAAGCACTATTTCTGGGTTAGCGGAGTGTGTAACCTGAAGCGTATGTAACCTGAAGCATATGTAACCTGAGGTACCACTGTACACTACATGAAGAAGTGTGTGACAGGCCCTATATCTGACCTTTTAACCATTTTCCTCACTCATCTGGAATGAAACATGTGGCCTAAAAATAATGCCCTGAAATACAATGTGCCACTCTGCATAATGGGGCTGAAACACATTGAGGGCGTTTTACTTACTTGGAAATAAGTCCCCCAAGAAGTAAATGGGACTTACTTCAGGGCAAGCACGGGCTAGGAATGGGTTCAAACTCTCCTGAGTCTGAAGCAAATTCCCCGCTTCTCCCTGCCTCTACCATGCAATACGGAGGAAATAAAGAGCAAAGTGGGGGGAGAGGAGAGAAAAACAACAGGGAGGCGGCGGGGAACCTGCCGCGCGCTCGCCTCGCGGGGCCCGCCGATGACGACAGAAGCAAGCGAGGGGCGCCGGCACCAACCAACTAGCTTCCCGAGACGAGGGGGGGACGGGACTGGGACTCACCGGGCACCTGCTCCTCGGCCTCCCCCATGACAGGCTCGAGGGGGAGGCGCCTAGGAGACAGAAGGAAGCGCGAGCAGCCTGGCTCCCGGAAGTAAACAAACCGCCTGCCACTAGCAACGGAGGCCGCTAGAGAAGCGACCATAGAGAGTCCCCTGCAAGCCGGCGTAGAGCGTCATCTCCAAATACCATAGAGGTTTTCTTTTTAAAAAACAAAGGAACAAAAAACCCTCCTCAAAATATTGCTTTTACGAAAGTTACCGCCTGAATAGTTCAATTAGCAATTAGCAAGACTCCTCCATGAGCATTGCAAAATGGTGGGCACCGAGAACAGGGGGGCATTCCCACTTGGAAACTTTCCAAGGGCATTTCATTTATTACACGTTTATACCTCCCGTTAGATCATTGTTCGCTGTGCCAATGTTATCCTCACAACCAGCGCTCTTTTTTCCTAGAAAAAGAAGTGCAGGAACTCCCACCTTTTTGGGACAGACAAAGTTGTTGAGCCCAGGGTCACCCGGAGAGTTTCAAAGGTTAGCAGGAATTGGGCAAAGGCTCCTTAGTCCGAAGCACTGTGGAATATTGGCTTTCTTTGGCCAACTGTTGGAAATCGAAGACTCACAGATTCATAGAGTTGGAAGGGATCCCGATAGGTCCTATAGTCCTACCCCCAGGCTAAATATACCGGTATCTATCTTTAGCTATGGAAGAAGCTGCACCTATTGAATGTTAGCCTTTTAAAAACATGGAATAGTTCCTCAATTTGCTTTCTTTTTGATGTATATTTTTTCCATATAAATAAAAATCTAAAAAATAAATAAATGCCTAATTCATATAATAGTTATCCCCCATAAATAGGAGAGAGGAAAGAAGACTGCATGAATTGGGTTTCTGTAAGGCTATGATTCAAAAGAGTGGCCAAAGCTGTACTGGGATGCAATCTCAAAAATGATAGAATGGTCTCGATACGAATCCAAGGCAGACCTTTTAACATCACAGTAATCCAAGTTTATGCATCAACTACCGGTGCTGAAGAAACTGAAATTGACCAATTCTATGAAGACTTACAACACCTTATAGAAATGACACCAAAGAAGGATGTTCTTCTCATTATAGGGGATTGGAATGCTAAAGTAGGGAATCAAGAGATAAAAGGAACAACTGGCAAGTTTGGCCTTGGAGTTCAAAACGAAGCAGGGCAAAGGCTAATAGAGTTCTGCCAAGAGAACAAGTTGGTCATCACAAACACTCTTTTCCAACAACACAAGAGACAACTCTACACATGGACATCACCAGATGGGCAGCATCGAAATCAGATTGATTATATTCTCTGCAGCCAAAGATGGAGAAGCTCAATACAGTCAGCAAAAACAAGACCTGGAGCTGACTGTAGCTTAGATCATCAGCAACAACAAAGGCTATGAGTTTGTGTGCAGCAAGTCCATCACACCTGTAAGACTTGGTGTCTGTACTCAGTACCTGGCATCACATGTAGGTCTCTCTGTGGTGGAGAGGAGGGAGGGGCCCATGAGAAGACCTTTGGCAGCCTAGTAAATGCCTCGACTGGGCTGTAGATTTTGCTGTGTGTTTAAGGACAAAACCCATGGGTTTCGCAACTCTCCTAACTAATGACACTTATCCATAGTATTTGCATAAGATTACATACCGTGAATTCCTGAGCAGATCTCACAACTGCTAGAGATAGCACTGTCTCGTGATAGTTTTACCTTTGCTCTTTCACTGAATGCATTCACTATTTCACCTAAGTTTAACAAGGTGACTATAACTATATCTTAGCATTCGGTAAATATGCTGTTTAATGTTCGGTCCCTGTTCAATGTTGGGAATGCAAGCAAGATCAGCAAGCATCTGGTGCAATGTATTCGGTAAGTGTTTAAATGCCACACAACAACAGAGCTGGTGGAACATCCTGGGCTGTCTACTCCAGTTTTTAGCAACTACAAGACTGCTGATATAGGCAAATCATAATCTGTCTCTGTTGCTTAGCAGCATTCATTCATAAACCAAGAAACTGAAGCAAAGAAATTATATAGGAAAATTGATATGTCAGAGCAATTACCATCACTGTTTTTTGTTTGCAGATGTTGTCTGACAATTTCATATACTTGAAATAAATTTGCATGCTTATTTCAAACCCAATAGAATTGTATTCTATTATTTATCAATCGCTCCGACTCTCTCTGGAATAGCTGTGATCATGTGAAGGCCTCTTTTCGGTAGGATGGGAGTGAGTACCCTTAGAAATATCTTTTGCACATCCTGCTGAGTGGGGCTCTGGACTTCTGTTTCAAAGTCCTGCCCTGATGGCACCATAACTTTATAAAGAATAAACTGGAATCATTCATTATTTTGTTAAATGTCTTTTGTTAAATACTGACAGAATACTTGTTTGCAGCAGCAAAAATGTTAACTAGGAAGGCTCCTGATATGACCACAGTATCTGAATGGCCTTGTTCAAATCCCTAGCTATTGCAGATATGGAAAAAACAATGGATACTGTGTGACTACTGGGGGTGTGGATGTGGGTGTATGAAAGGAATGTTGTGAGCATACTGATCTTTTTTTATTATTGGAATGTGCGTTGTAGAACACCGGGAAATTATTATTATTATTTTGGTAATTTTAATGGAAGTATATAAATGAAGGGAACAATAATTTTCAAATGACTTACAGTCCCATTATTAATATATAAACACAACACCATTTGTTCTGATACGGTGAGTGGGGGTGTAGGGATAGTGATGGGAATAATAATAATAATAATAATAATAATAATATATTATTTATTATTTATTCCCCGCCCATCTGGCTGAGTTTCCCCAGCCACTCATGGCAAAGGTAGTGACAGTGCCACATAGTGCAAACAGAGGCAGAATCTCCCCCTACCCCATGCATACATCAGCAATGGTTTCCCTAAGTGTAATTCTTCACACATTTCTATAGTAGCAATATGCATATATATAATACTGAAGAACAACAAATGCTTTTATTTTTCTTGATTATTTACTCAACTGTTCACTTGTATCCTGGTATCATGCATTTGTAGAGCATTGCGCCTTTGAGCCAATAACCTGGGACCACAACCTAACAGTGGTTATTTCAGAATACAAAATTCTGAATTATGAGGTAGTTGAACTTCTTTTGTCATTTCCCTTGGAGATACAGGCATGGGCCACAACCTACTAAAACTCCCACCCAGTTGAAAGGCCGGGACCTTCTGACACTGCAAAATTATTCAGCTGAAGACATCAAATATTTGTTGTGGGTGGCAGCAGATCTGAAGGAAAGAATCAAATGTAAAGGAGAGGTATGTAACATTTGCAGTATGAATTCTCTTACCCTCATGTCTTTTTAGTTGTACACATGACCTTAGCCACAATCCATAGCTATCATGTATCTGCCGTCTTGTTTCTTTTACGTGTTTTCCCTGAATTCAGCTTCAATCCAGATTTTAAAAAAGAACCACCTACCTGTGTTTTAAAACACAAATGTGGGTGCTGCCTAGTTTGGGATTTGAATCCTTGCTGGTGGGAAGGAGAGGACAAGAAAAGTCAGGGGTCAGCAAACTTTTTCAGCATGGGGCCGGTCCACTGTCCCTCAGACTTTGTGGGGGGCCGGACTATGGTGTGTGTGGTTTTTTTGGGGGGGTGAACGTAGTCCTATGCCCCACAAATAACCCAGAGATGCATTTTAAATAAAAGCACACATTCTACTCATGTAAAAACACGCTGATTCCTGGACTGTCTGCGGGCCAGATATAGAAGGCAATTGGGCAGGATCAGGCCCCCGGGCGTTAGTTTGCTTACCCATGGGAAAAGTAGACCATGTGATCTTCAAAGTGAAATGAAGATTCCTACCCTCCACCCGCAAGGTTTAGAAGGGTTGTGTTTGAGAAATTGCTTGGGCTTTCAATGTTAAAAATAAAGAAAAAGAAAGCTTACCATATTCTAGAAATATAAATCTAACCAGAACTGAAATGTATGATGACGAAAAAAATCTTTGGCATATTCTCCTACCTCACAATTATCTGGGGCAGGGGAATCACATTTATATCCTCTCTCTCTCTCTCTCTCTCTCACACACACACACACACACACACACACACACACACACACACACCCCAGCATTCCCAGTTGGGGGAGGGACAATTGAGTCTGTGTCATATGTGTGTGTGTGTGTGTGTGTGAGAGAGAGAGAGAGAGAGAGAGAGAGAATGCACACATGCAGTTTACATGCCAGGTCAGCTCTCAGCATATTGGCGGGGACAGGGTGTGGAATTCTACATGCAGAGCAGCACTAGAGGGAGTAAAGAAACTAGTAACTAGGTCACCTCCAAGGCACAGAAGCCCTGAATGTGACAAATTGACAGGATAATTGCCTTAGACTGAAACAAGTATTAAGATTTCATTTTTCTAATGGAGCCCTTAAAGTAAGATACAAAAGTGAAATATTAAATACTTTCAAAATTCAAACCTGCATTCTTAGGTTTTATCAGATTTTGAATAGTTACACTTTTTTTTATTTCAACTTGGCAAGAACTTCTAGGATTTGGCCAGCTCCTCCAACTGTGTTGTAATTAAGCCACTCTAAGCCACATTAGGGACGCAGGTGGCGCTGTGGGTTAAACCACAGAGCCTAGGTCAGCGGTTCGAATCCCTGCGACGGGGTGAGCTCCCATTGCTTGATCCCAGCTCCTGCCCACCTAGCAGTTCGAAAGCACATCAAAGTGCAAGTAGATAAATAGGTACCGCTCCGGTGGGAAGGTAAACGGCATTTCCGTGCACTGCTCTGGTTCGCCAGAAGCGGCTTAGTCATGCTGGCCACATGACCCAGAAGCTGTACGCCGGCCAATAAAGCAAGATGAGCGCCGCAACCCCAGAGTCGGTCACGACTGGACCTAATTGTCAGGGGTCCCTTTACCTTTACCTTTAAGCCACATTAACCATTAGGAAGAAGCCGTTCCCAGGACCTAAAGTGTAACTCTATTCAGAAGCCCTACTGAATTAAACTGGACTTACTCTCAGGCAAATAGGGTTAGGACTGTAGACAAAGCAAACAACTGAGATGGAGCCTAATTCTGTCCTGTATATACTAAAAGGACCTCACACCCTGCAAGTGGTAGTGTTCGAAATTACTTTCAAGTGTAAAGCAGAAAGTTCAAAAATATTTCTTGTTCTTACCAGTGTGTCACAAGTTCTTTTCCTTCCTGTTTTTCAGTATTTGCCTTTGCTGCAAGGAAAATCATTAGCTATGATTTTTGAGAAAAGAAGTACAAGGACTAGATTATCTACAGAGACAGGTGAAAACAAGCCAAGAATTTGACAGTAAATACAGCCTTCTGTATTAACTGTATATTATTTACCTGCATATGATGAAACAACATTATTCAAAGTAAGAAGACAAAACAAAAGAAAAATGAAATTGAAGTTTGGAAATTCCTTAAAAGTTGTTACTTAGCCATTAGTAGTTCAGCTATCTAGTTGACCATTAAAATCAAGTCAAAATGGAATTTATAACAGAACGTAATGGGCACAACACAACCAGCATTATGCCAACAAGACTTAACATTGCATAATTGCCAGGAACTGTTTGGGTATGCACAGTGCTTTTTTTTTCTTTCTAAAAAAATGTTTAGGGGGTACTCTCATTTTGACTCAAGAAAATCACCATTTTATAGTTCAAAACGGGAAATATCAATATAGTAAATGGACAAAAGTACAAAGATTCACAAAATGTTTAGGGGTATGCGTACCCCTGTGTACCCCCAGAAAAAAAGCACTGGGTACACAGAATGTTATCTCTTTGGGGGCTTTAATAAACATTTCATTCTGCAAAACATTCAGCTTAGGACAGACATGTCCAAAGTCCAGAGGGCCACTTGCAGCCCCTGGCTGCTTTCAAACAGCCCGCCAGGCAATTTTGAAAAAACAATCTCTTGCGGCCCCCGAACACCTGGCCACCAAAGGCATTTCCTTTTTGCGGGCTCGTCACGAGCTCTCCCCTCTGTGCAGGGGGCATGGGAAGCCCCCGTGCCATTAGGGAGTCCCCGGCTGAATCATTCCTTGGGTCGACCCAAAACAGGTCCAGGAGCGGCGGCGAGAGGGGAAAAAGTGCGTCCTATAGAGTGAAAAATACGGTATTTAATTGAGAAGGGGATTGTAACTAAAACACTGGGGCCTAATTTGAATAGCAGAGAGCCTGGTATCTGGTGGACAGTCCAAAGCACTCGTCAGGAGAACTATGAGATTCAGGTGAGGAACAGATGCCTTGTCAATCCCGGCAGGTATATAACAGGAAGACCTGGCCTGCCCACGCAGGCCGCCAGTCTCCTAAAGAGGAGAAACCTAGTATGGAAGACCTGTGTACAGTGGTACCTCGGGTTACAGATGCTTCAGGTTACAGACTCCACTAACCCAGAAATAGTACCTAGGGTTAAGAACAGAAATCACGCGGCGGCTGCGTGGCGGCAGTGGGAGGCCTCATTAGCTAAAGTGGTACCTCAGTTAAGAACAGTTTCAGGTTAACAACAGACCTCCAGAACGAACTAAGTTCTTAACCCGAGATACCACTGTATAGTACGCAGATCTGAAAGAGCCACAAAGGGTAAACCATCCAAAAGGTATGCTGAAGAGTTTGCTAAAACAGTCAAAGCAGATACAGCTGCTGTTAGTAACTCAGAGAAGGTTTGGGAACCTTCAAGCTTCCAAGAGGTCCAAAGTTTAACCTCAGAGGATGCTGAGCCATGGTTAAATGCCATGAAGGCTGAACTTCTGTCTCCTCAACACCTAAGTGTAAATGTAAGTTAAACCCAACAATTTCTGTGGGGAGCAATGTTCACTTCATCATATCTGGCCCTCTTTGAAAAAAGTTTGGACACCACTGGCTTAGGACAATGGTTGTGGTGCCATCTGCTGGTAAGGATTCAAACTTTCCTAGTATACGACCCCAAGACAGGTTTAAAAGCTGGCAAGATTATACTTTTGTACCTTTCTTATGACTAAAAATAATGCTTCATCCCAGAAAATATTATGAGCATGTTCCCAGAAGATACATTGACAGTTGTGTGGTGTTGTAAGATTTTTACAATATAATTTTGGGTTTTTTGGTTTTCAAAATATATCTGCTTTTTGTGTTTTTAACTGTTTTTGATGTTTTGATTGTACACTGCCTTGAGATGCTTGTGTAGAAGACGATCAGTAAAAAATAATAACAGGTTTGGTTATTACAAACAGCATCAATAGAGAAAAGATTGTGCATATCTCTGTGAGATCTTCAACACATGTAACTTGTACATTGTTCTGGCATGTACAGAGGTTATAGAAAGAGGCAGTCCTTGACCACAAGTTTACAGTCTCTATAAGATCCGACACAAAAGGAAAAACAGAGGAAGCAGAGGGAGGAAAACAAACTTGGGTACTAATTCTTAGTTACATAATTGCTTTTGTTACGACCACCTTGATTGGAAACAGTGGAGGAAGCAAATCGTAGCTAGTCTTTTAGCCAGGCTAGTGGAGCAGGCCCTGCTAAAAGCTGATAGTTCAGAGCTAAGATTATCTAAATGCATCCATGATAAGAACATGGCATTCAGGTCTTTGACAACATGATAACATTTTAAAAGACTCACAAAAATTATATAAACTTCTCTTTTAAAAATAAAAACTTGAAATATTCTTTGGTACTAATGAAATTCTGAATGCCATTTTCTCCTGTATTTGGTTCACACATAGATTTGCCATTGGGATAGGGGAGGGCTCTTGCAGCTTTATGACCGTGGGAAAAGACATAAAGTCAAATTATCCCCATGTCTGCAGTTCTAAGGGAGAAGACATGTAGTATGACTTGCCATAATACTTGGAAATTACAAAGGAAAAAGTCTTAATCATTGTATTTATTTTAGGATTTGCTGTCCTTGGTGGCCATCCCTGTTTCCTCACAACACAAGATATTCACCTGGGCATTAATGAAAGTATCACTGACACAGCACGGTTTGTACGACACCTTGTGTGACTGTTATTTCCTTTCTATATTTAGATGGTGAAAGCTAGGGTTGCCATATTTCATATTGTTTTTAGGAATGTCCAAAATTGTTGAGCTTTGTTTGGGAGGGGACGACCCAAAAGTTGTTTAGCCAAAAAAACCACAAAAAACCATGATTGGCTTGATCCAGAACAAAGTGTCACCTTTCACCTTGAAAGTCAGTGTGGTGTAGTGGTTAAGAGCGGTAGTCTCGTAATCCGGGGAACCGGGTTCGCATCTCCACTCCTCCACATAGCTGGGTGACCTTGGGCTAGTCACACTTCTCTGAAGTCTCTCAGCCCCACTCACCTCACAGAGTGTTTGTTGTGGGGGAGGAAGGGAAAGGAGAATGTTAGCCGCTTTGAGACTCCTGAAGGGGAGTGAAAGGCGGGATATCAAATCCAAACTCTTCTTCTTCTTCTTCTTCTGCTTCGTCTTCAGAAATTCCCCCTGGATGTCAATTCTGCCTTTAAAATCCTGGTAATGTCCAGGATTGCAGCCTTACAAAAGCACTAAAATTGCTTGAATTCAGCAACTTTCAAAACTTAGGCTGCATGAAGATTTTACTATGCATCCTATGTATTTACACCCTGCTCTTCAGCCAGAGAGGTTCCCAGAGTGGCTTTTAGATCAATAAAAGCAACACAACCTTTCCCCTCAGGTTTAGGTTAAAAAGATAAAGACACAAAAGGAAGAGGGAGGAGAAAACAGGTGAACTCGGGCACCAAATTATTGATGTTGTATTCTTATAAAGGCCTTTTCAGATGGAAACAGAATCCTTGCAATTCAAAAACAGGCCTTGGTGGTCCATCCTTCCTAGAAAGAGGTATAAGAAGTTGAAGTTGCAGGATGGGGTCTTGGCCTTGCCAGGCTAGCTGGAATTCGCCATTTTCTTGTCATTTGTACTGTGGCATGCAGGCTTCTTGGGGCCTCTCACCCTCAGAGCAGACAATCCTGGTAAACACAGTTTGGGTTGTGAGTCTATGGTGAAAGTACTCACTGTGTTTTGTTTGTACACAGAATCTTCTCAGAAGGTTCCTCAGAATGAAATCAGGAGAAAAACTAGTTCTGTAGTTTATAGTATAAACTGTCCATGCCCAAGTACTGCTTGGCTGGAAACAAGAAAATCACAAACTTTATTTACATTAAACAGTTCATTGATATTTCTGTCTTCTAATTCTGTCTCTCTCTCTCTCTTTTCACTGCCTTATTTTTTAAAAAAATATTTTCAGTGGTTAGCAGTCTACATCTGTATTTAACCATGTTGTGCAAGCACTTAAAATTATTCAGGTGGATTAACCATTATTAAAGTACTAATTGTCTATGAAAAATTGAGTGGGCTTTACATTTATTTTGCTTTCTAAAGGGTGTTGTCAACCATGACAGACGCAATCCTGGCACGAGTGTATAAACACGTCGATCTGGAGGTGCTGGCACAACAGGCCACAATCCCAGTGATAAATGGACTGTCTGATTCTGACCATCCCCTCCAGATTTTAGCTGATTACCTTACACTCCAGGTAATACTCTCCTGTTCCCTGCTTAACTGCAAAGCTTTTAGCCACCTCAGCTACTCTAAAAGTTCAGACCTAAATCCTAAATAGTTGAGATGTGGAAGACTGCAAAAATATAAAGGTCTGGCACTGTGAGTGTGAGTTGTAAGCTGTTCAATTCTTTCTTCATTGGATGGACTTGGGCAGGCTGCTGTTTCCAGGCTCAATCACCCCCAACTGTAGTATGAGGTTATTAATACTGAGCCACCTTACACGACTGTGGTGAGGAATATTTATCCTGCTTTTAAATGCACTGCATAAATGCTAAGTATATTAAATTATTTTCCTTAGGACCTTGTTAGTGTCTGTCCACTCATCCAGCTGTTTAGAAATCAGGCATCCTGGTCCCTATCCAATGTCCCTCTACCTCTAATATTGTCTGTGTGTCAAGCAAGGATTAAGCAAATGCCAAGGGTTTTGGTAGTAAAACCAGTTCAAGTAGCAACTTGCATCTTCAAGCCATCTGTCATTTGGCCCACAGTTTCTGAACTTCATGAAATTCCTGCATCAGTGTTCCTGGTGCAACTCCAGGGGAGCAACACAGTCGTCCATGATATGGTTCAGATCCAGTTCGGGGGAGCTAGCTATTAAATCTTTTATGACAGTGGTCTTTGAAAATTCTCTCTGAAGTGATACATAGGGGTGGAGGAAAGCTCTAACCCCCTAGAGGTTATTGGACCACAACTCCCATGACCCCAGACAAATGGCCATGCTGGCTGGGGCTGATGGGAGTTGGAGTCTGACAACATCTGGAAGGCCACACATTCCCCCAGTCGTGGTTTACATGGGCCTGAACTTCTAAATTGCAGTCATTCTGTAAAGCACCTAACTAAATGTGCTCAGATTTCTAGGGCATCTTTCCTTCACACTGATGTTCGCATAAATAGTGACATTTTAACCTCACCAATTCAACCTTTTTGACTGTGAACAACTCTGCATCTTAGGTGGCAATTTGTGTTTGATATTGGTACCTCCCTCACTTTGGTGTTTTGTGTACAATTGTGTAAAGTGTAAACGACACATAAGCAGCCTTCCATTAAACCTGATGTGGGCAACATGGTGTCCTCCTCATGTTATTGGACTGCAGTTCCATCAACCCTGAGCAGGGCCATGCCGGCTGAGGTTGGTGGGATTTTGATGTAGTACGTTGGCTACTTTTGTTCCAAATAATTCATTCATGTACATGTACCTGGGTATCCAGGACACAGGTGTTTAAGGATACAACCTGTCTTTGCTGTGGGAAACACCAGCATACTTATGGCAAAAAGATTAGCTGTACAAAGTGTGGCATCTCTTCTTTTGGCTAGATGAATCACACAAGTTAAGCTCTGAGTGGGTGTTTTTTGATTGCACATGGAGGAATCTGAAAAGTATTCATGCAGGAGGCTTAAAATGCTGTGGGAACCGTGCTGGGTGCAAAAATGGCTCTTTCCATAAATTCACATTTGGTGATGACTTGTTTCTATTAAAAGTATCATTCAAGGTGGGAAGAATTACCCAGTTATAGAAGAGCAGGGTCTCTGGATACTCCATGAAGGTGGCGTCCCGCCAGGCTTTGTGAGCTGCTGTAGAAAGATGCAACACCTCAAATCAGGTCCTAACATAAAGAGAAATGTTGGCTGCATTAGAATGCAGGGTGAATAAATCATTTCCAGCTGTTCATTTTGTCTGATAACCTTTGGAAGGCATTTCATCACCAAGAATTGACAGCTTTTCAGTAATTGCAAGTGACTCATGGTTCTTATGTAATAGTTCGCTGCCTGCTAGCTGTACTAGCTTTTAGCATCCTGCCAGTTCCCTTCTAGGCTACCTGTTTAGAGAGAACAGTGTTATTATCCACATTTCTCTCTCTCTGTCTTGGCTTCTGTGGTTCAGGAGATCGAGCATGACAGATGGTTCTAATACTTGACTCTTGTCATCTGATGAACTATGCCGACTATCTCTACAGAGATTAGAGATATTAATAAAGAATAAATATCTGATTGTTTGGATAGCAAGTTATTATTGGCTTTGGTTACGGCTATTCTACCCCACGTTTCATCATCATAAGTAACAATGACATTTAAATCTGTGCCAAAAAAAGTCATATTATGCAAATTAAAACAAATATTCATGAATTGATTTATTTTGTATAGTCTTTCCTGCTTCTAATAGTCATAAGCAAGACAAGGAATTATTAGCAACATGGAAGACCAACCCTTAATTGTTGGAAGTCTGCTCAGGCTTCATTGGTTTTTTTGAGGTATCACTTTCACATTATCTACATGTTTATAAGAAGAACGCAAGATGCATGCTTTCTAAAATAATGAATGAATGAAAGTTACCCACATTGTGGCAAATTCTCCATCTAATATAAATGCAGTGCTAGAGTTCTGTGATCACAAGCATGTGAAATACACAGATAGCTATATATTTCCCTGTCATTCATACTTATGTGCTAGAGAAGCATATGCTCTTGTATGGAACAAGTATAACAAATGGCTCATAGAAAATAAGGCAGGATATTGTCCATTAGTGTATAGGCACTTAAGCAATTTGCTTAACCTTGGCTGGGATAATAATAGTGTATTGATTGACAGAATAATGTTAATATCCTGTAATGTTTATGACAAAGAAAGAATATGGGCAATGGCAATTTGTTCAAAGGCAACATCCTTGTTGCCAGATCCCAGACTACACGGTATGATAAAAGTTGCACTTCAAAACTGACAAGCACTGTAAATAACTGTGGCTTTGTTTTGTTTTGTTTTTGGTAGGAACACTATGGATCTTTGAATGGATTGACCCTAAGTTGGATAGGTGATGGAAATAATGTCCTAAACTCCATTATGCTTAGTGCTGCTAGATTTGGGATGAATCTGCATGTTGCTACTCCAAAGGTAAGAAAATCTTAGTTGGGGAGAGAGGGAGTCAAATGTTCTAAGGCAAAGAACATGGACTGAACCTCCCATCATCCCTGACCATTGCCCATGCTGATTGGGCTGATGGGAATTGGAGCCCAACAACATCTGTGATTTAGTGATTGCTGTTCTAAAGCTGAAATACTGTTTTTCCATAGTTTTCACATTTTGTTTAAAGCAGCATGGTTTCAGGGTAGCATGTGGCTCTGAACAGGGCCAATAAAGTTGGTTGTCAGCTTTGAAAAAGAAAAGCATTTGTGATTTTATTAGAGAGTTTAACCTCACAAAATCTATATACAAGAGTGCAAAGGCAAACTGACTTTGCTTTGGAAGCTAATTTTAAAAAATCTAAATACATGTCCATTGATAAGTTTAATGGTATAAAACTGTTAACAAAACTAGCCCATTATCACTCTGAAGGAAAATGCTTAGCTACAAGGAAATGGCCTCATGATTCAGAGTTCAGGAATGGGAGGGTTAAAGATTAGACTGAAGACAGAAGCCGAAGTCGCCATTTCACTCGAAGAACAATGAGCTAGTCCCCATGAATTAGATTCGGAAGATCCAGCCCCAGAAGAGGCAGAGTTTAATCTCACAAACAGTCCCTGAACTTTTAAAAAAAAATCTGTGCTCAGTGTAATAGGTTACTTTACTAAGACCAGGACAAAATTGAGTAATCCGGACTGCTAGCTGGGCACAGTAGATTAAGTAATTTGGGTGGTTAGGAGATCTGACAGATCTTTTGATTCTTGGTCTTCTTGAAGAGCCTCTGTGCTGGCTGACATTTACCAAGCGCTTCCCCACATTAATACTCTCCAGATGTTGGAATCCATCAACCCCAGCAGCATGGCCAATGGTCAGAGATAGTCCATCAACAAATGAAGGATGCTGTCAGGAACCAGGCAGAGGAGGAATGGTGGAGACTACCTCCCCATCCTGACCCTTCCAGGGAGGAGGAAGCCGAAGATAGTATGGATTTACAACAGTGGTTTGAGGGAGGTCACAGCTCAGAGGCAGATGAGGAGAAAAGTTGGGAAATAATGGGAGAGGAGGAGGCAGGACTGAAACGGCAGCTGACTGACACGTTATCTTTAGAAAGCATTCCAGAGCCCCCATCTCCAAGAACCCGGTGAGCCTTAAAAGTAGGAGAGCAAAGAGCTCAAAGGCAGAGGGCATGTAGCAGCATCCATAGAAGTGACAAATGAGGAAGTGGGAGAGACAGGGGGTGGAGATTCACTCGGGACAATGCCGTTATCCAAGAGGCTGGGTTCTATAGCCTCTCTCTGTAATATTGAAATAAAAAAGGATGGTAAGAAACTTTTCTTTGTCCTTATGCTTTATGTTTGTGTGGTGGAGTGACAGCAAGGTTGGGAGCAGGTAGTGACACTGGTGGGACCTCTGCTGCAATTCAGTTCTCCTGACAGTGCACCCTCCCATCCATCTCGCCCCTATTCCATCCAGGTGAACAGCAGTGATGCTGGTGTCAGGAGGGCAGCTCCACCCTACCATATGTGGTGTTGCTGCTTTATAGGGAATTGGCATCGACCCAATACCCACACACACATTTGCTGGTATCATATCTCATTTTGGCTCCAATGTGGTTCTATTTCACTTCCGGGGGGCGGCGCGAACGGTAATGGCGGTCTTCTCCCGATCGGAGAAGAAGCTCCGCTGAAACCGGGTCGTCCGCTACGGCGAAGCGGAGACCCAAGGAGAAAAACCCCAGGCAGCAAGAGCCTGGGGTCCTGAGGCTCGGCGGGCGCCAAGAGCAGCCCTCCAACTGCAGAAGGAGCCTCGTAAGAGGCTCCGGAGCGTGGAGGGGGGCTGCGGCGCTGTGAGCCGTTTCACAGTCAGCGGAGTGAAGCCGCGCTGCTGCTGCCGGTGAGCGCTGAACCCTTTTCCTGCTAAAATTCGGATCTGGCAGAAAACAACTTACTCGTGAGTAAAGACTGAATCACTTGGAATTACAAATTTTAAATGAGAAGGTTTAAATTGACTTGAATTTGGCTGAAAGCGGAGAGACGTGGAAACAGGAAGTCCGTCTTCCGCTGCCATTGAACTTGGAAAAAAAAAGCAACTAAAGTGGAGGAGTGGAGGCTGAAAGAAAGAGATTTTAAACTCTACACAGCCAAGCATCTATGGAACTTACAATTTAAAGTAAAATTAGCAAGTTAAAGATTTGGACCTTTTATTTGAACTTGACTTTCCCCGTTTTATTTGATTACAAATTGGAAGGTGAAACCCAGAGTCAGGATTGCTTGAGCACTGTAACAGTGGGCTGTCAGTGTTTGACTTGGATACTGTATATTAGAAGTTGCAACAATCTGAGGGTATTGAGACCTTTTAAATTTGAAACATTCTTTGGAGACAAATAAGCACTGTCTGCAACAAAGTGATTACTTTTAAACTCTGCTTAATACTTATATTGGAAGGTTCTGGGACATTAAATTAGACTCTGAAAAGACACTTTAAGCTCCCCCTAGAGGATTGGATTAAAACAGTGACTTTATAAAAACATTTACTTTCGATTCTCTTGCTGTCTGCTTGCTCTGGGCCTCTCTATTCCTGTGGGAAAAACTCAGTGTGACCTTGACTGATAGATAACATTGGAATGAGTGGTACAAGAAGAAGAGGAAGAGTTAGACAAACAACTCTAACAAATCTAACCTCAACCTCGCAGACACGTAGATCATCTGTGCCTACTTTGCCCTCAGAAGTACAACTTGAAGAAGCTGCCTTGTCACAGGCAAAAGAGGGAGAGGGTGAAGTAGAGCAGTTACAATTGGAAGATATGGCCTCAGGAGCATCTGTTTCTGTGCTAGAAAAATCTTTGAAAAATTGGAAGCTTTGGACAAGAAAGTAGATGCGCAATCAGCAAAGATTGATAAAAATACAGATTGTCTAAACAAATTAACTACACAGGTGGGACAGAATACACAAGCAATTGGACAGTTGACGGAGGCCTCAGTAGAAAACCGAAAATTGGCTGAGGATACCAGACAAAAATTGGAAAATTTAGAGCAAGAGGTAAGACCACTCACTAAACAAGTTGGGGAACATCAGACTTATCTTTCTATGATAGAACTGCGAAATCGTGAGAATAATCTGAGGATTAGATCATTACAAGAGGCAGAAGAAGGAAATCTAACTGAGTTTTTGACCAAAGAACTTTCCAAGTTCTGGAATTTGGAAGAAAAGGACTTTAAAATTGTGTCAGCTTTCAGACTTGGAAGATTTACAAAGAAGGAGAGGCCCAGGGATTGTTTGATTACATTGAGATCGAAGGAGGAAAGGGATAAGATTTTGGGCCTACATTACGAAAAGTCACTGGAAGTTTTGGATAGAAGAATTGAGATATATAAAGATATCCCAAGACAACTGTTGGACCTTAGAGCCGCCTATTCCGAACTTGCTAAACTATTAAGGAGCAACGCAATTCCATTCAGGTGGGATTTTCCCCAAGGATTATCTTTTACCTTTAGAGCGAGAAAGGTTAAAATCAGAACATTGGAAGAGAGAGATAAATTTTTGGCTACACACGGAGAGGACCTACATAAAGGAATTGAACTACCTTCCGGGCCTGAGGCAAAGCCAGCATCAATACCTCCACCTCGGGAACTTGAAGATCAAGAGAAGACACCACCCCAGGAGAAATAACCAGATAGATCCAGGATGTCTCTGCAACTGTTGAGTTGGAATATTAATGGTTGCAATATTCCGGAGAAAAGGAAGAAAATATTTCATATATTAAAAAAGAACAATTGGACATTATTTGCTTACAAGAAACACATGTGACGAGGCTCCACAGAAAAGTGTTAATAAATAAAAGATTGGGCCAGGAATTTATTTCGTCGGATAAAGTGAAGAAGAGAGGAGTGGTGATATATGCAAAAGAGAGCCTGTCACCTAAATTTCTATTTAAAGATGAGCATGGAAGGATTTTGGCTATTGAGATACAATATCAAGGAGAGAAACTGCTGATATTAGGAATCTATGCGCCTAATGAAGGGAAATCGGAATTTTACAAGAAGTTGCAGGGGACAATGCTGGATCATCTGGATTACAACAACATCATAATGATGGGAGACATGAACGGGTCGTGTCAACTAACATGGACAAGTCGCAAAGTCAAAACATCACAAAAGATGGCAGACTACCTAAAACTTTTTTTGAAATGACTGACAATATGGACTTGATCGACATTTGGAGAACAAAGAACCCACTAGGTAGAGAAGGAACATTCTTTTCTGAAGCCCAACTGACCTGGACAAGAATCGACCAAATATGGATCTCTAGAGGCCTGGCACCTAGGGTTAGAAAAGTGGAAATCTGCCCAAAGACCTGTTCTGACCACAACGCAGTAAAGATGGACATGACACTACTACCAACTGGATCCTTTAGATGGAAGATGAATGACAATTTGTTTAGAGATCAGGAAATTACCAAGAAGGCCCAAAAAGTTTTGAAAGATTATTTTGAGATAAATATGAACAATTCGGTGGAAAAAGAATCGTCTGGGACGCAAGCAAAGCTGTTATGAGGGGATTCCTGATACAACAGAATGTAGAAAGAAAAAAACACAAAATGAGAAAAAGACAAGATTTTGGATAAAATAAAAGAATTAGAGAAGAAATTAAGAGTGAATCCAAAGTCACAGCCAACTCTGAGAGAAATTAAACTGTATCAAACACAGTATTCTAAATTGATAAATCAGGAAATTGAATGGAAGATCAAATTAATGAAACAAAAACGTTTGAGTCGGCGAATAAATGTGGAAAACTGCTATCCTGGCAGTTGAAGAGAAGACAAAGATTAAACACGGTTACAAATTTAGAGGTTGATGGAAGAAACATTCAGAATCCGGTGGACATTAGAAAGTGTTTCCAGAGATATTTTTAAAAAATTATATACCCAAGGGCCGCAAGACGAAGTTGAGATTAAACAATTTTTGCCAAAAATGGATTATCTAAACTGTCACAAGAAAATAGGACAATCCTGAACTCTAAAATAACACGACAGGAGATTGAACAAGCTATTCAGAACATGCAACTTGGCAAATCTCCAGGGCCAGACGGGCTGACCTCCAAGTATTACAAGATACTAAAAGACTATTTGATACAACCTTTGATGGAGGTTAGCAATGAAATTATGGAGGGGAAGAGGGCACCGGATTCGTGGAAGGAAGCGTTTATCACATTGATACCAAAGTCAGAAACTGAAAAGACACAACTGAAGAACTACCGTCCCATCTCCCTTTTAAATGTGGATTACAAAATATTTGCAGATATTTTGGCAAGTAGATTTAAAAAGTTTTAAATGAAGTAATTCATAAGGACCAGGCCGGTTTTCTCCCAGGTAGACATTTGTTTGCTAACACAAGGAACATTATTGATATTTTGGAACTTCTCCAAACTGACATAAATACAAAAGCTGTTTTAATTTTTATAGATGCGGAGAAGGCCTTTGATAACATTTCTTGGAAATTTATGATGGGAAACTTAAAAGAGATGGGAGTGGGACGGGGTTTTGAGAATGGGATTGAGGCGATATATTCAGAACAGAAAGCAAAACTGATAGTTAATAATGTGGTTACAGAAGAGTTCAAAATTGAAAAAGGGACACGACAAGGTTGCCCTATTTCCCCTTTGTTATTTATTTCGGTCCTGGAAGTGCTATTGAACATGATTAGAGGGGACCAGCTGGTGGAAGGAATTCAGGTTGGTCAGAAACAATATAAATTAAAAGCTTTTGCAGATGACCTGGTTTTGACCTTGCAGAAGCCAGAGCCTAGTACGAAAAGAGTATTACAATTGATTAATGATTTTGGTCGGGTGGCGGGATTTAAATTAAACAAACAGAAAACTAAGGTTTTGGGGAAAAATCTGACTGAGACAGAGTCAGAACGGTTTCAGAATGAGACGGAACTTAATGTGGTTAAAAAGTAAAATACCTAGGGGTAAACATAACAGCAAAAATCTAAGTCTATTTAAGGATAATTATGAAAAATGTTGGATAGAAATTAAGAGAGACTTAGACAGTTGGTCAAAATTGAAACTTTCTTTGTTAGGCCGAATTGCTGCGATTAAGATGAATGTATTGCCAAGAATGTTGTTTTTATTTCAAACACTGCAGGTATTGGACAAAATGGAGTGCTTTCAGAAGTGGCAGAGAGACATTTCGAAGTTTGTCTGGCAGGGCAAAAAGCCCAGAATTAAGTTTAAGATATTAACCGATGCTAAACAAAGAGGGGCTTTGCCCTGCCAGACTTAAAGTTGTACTATGAAGCCGCAGCGTTCTGCTGGCTAAAAGACTGGCTACTTCTTGAAGACACTGATGTGTTAGATTTGGAGGGGTTTAACAATGTTTTTGGATGGCATGCATATTTATGGTATGACAAAGTTAAAGCAAATAAGGCCTTTAAGAACCATATTGTTAGAAAATCACTGTTTAATGTCTGGACAAAATATAAAGACTTGCTGGAAAATAAAACACCAAGGTGAAAAGACCCAATATGGAGGCCAAATGGCCAAAATATTGGGAAATACTAGAAAAAGATGGAGACAATTGGAAATTGCAGAGCTTGGAGAAAATGAAAGACAAAGTGCGAGATTGGTTACACTATGCTCAGATTAAAGAAGTTTTTAAAAGTGATAAGAAACTAGGGTTCCAGGTGGAGAAATCGAAATTAGAAACAGAATTGTTAGAACCAAAGACTAAGATACTTTCAAGGATGTATAACTTGCTGTTGGAATGGAATACACAGGATGAAATGGTTAAATCGGCCATGATAAGGTGGGCACAGGATATTGGGTATAATATTATGTTTGAGGACTGGGAAAGGCTGTGGAGTAATGGATTGAAATTTACTGCATGTAATGCTTTGAAAGAAAATGTAATGAAAATGATTTATAGATGGTATATGACCCCAGTCAAACTTGCAAAAATTTACCACCTGTCTGACAACAAGTGCTGGAAATGCAAAGAGTGTGAAGGAACGTTCTTTCACCTCTGGTGGACATGCCCTAAAGTGAAGGCGTTCTGGGAAATGATTTATAATGAATTGAAAAAGGTATTTAAATATACTTTCACTAAGAAACCAGAGGCTTTCCTTTTGGGTATTGTCAGCCAAGGGGTGGCAAAGAAGGACCAGACATTTTTATGTATGCAACAACAGCAGCAAGGATACTACTCGCAAAACATTGGAAAACCCAAGATCTACCCACACTGGAAGAATGGCAGATGCAACTGATAGACTATATGCAACTGGCTGAAATGACCGGCAGAATCCGTGACCTGGGAGAAGAGAGAATCGAGGAGGATTGGAAGAAATTTAAGAACTACCTACAAAAACATTGTGATTTGATTGAATGCTGAATAAGATGCTGGACTAAATAACTGAGCACCACTTAACTTAGAAATTTTTAAGGAAACAAGAAAAATTGTGAAAGTTTAACTCTTTATGAGAACTTTAAGATTATGAAATATCGAAGAGATATAAGAATTTAAATAAGATGATAAATTGCTGACAAAATGTTATAATGATGAAGGTGGGAGCGGGAGATGTGAGGAAGTCCAAAGAAAATGTGAAATTATGTTAAGACGAATGCTATATTGTTTATTACATTTATTCCTATTGTAAAACCCAATAAATTGCTTTAAAAAAAACAAAAACAATGTGGTTCTATTTATGCAATTACCATCTAGAAGCTTTTTAAAGTCCAGGAGCCAGTTTTCCATAGCTTGGAAATCTAATCCAGAAACTCTCCAACCAACTCTAGGCATGCTGCCAGTTCAGGTATTGTGAATGATATAGTTAAGAGTACCCAGGCTACTGTCTATTTCTAGAAAGACTGGGAATGTGTTTAATGTTCTCTGTTTGTAGCAAGAATGGAATACATTGTAACACTGTAATCTATTTTGACAGGGTTTTGAGCCAGATCCCATGGTCATCAAAATAGCGGAACAGGAGTCCGTAAAGGTACGAGGATGTGACTGTAAAATGTTTTTTTTCTACTGTGCTCCACGTGAACTTAGTGCATTTCCTCTGATTTATTCATGTTAGCACCGCACCAAGTTGTTTCTCACCAGTGTCCCTACTGAAGCTGCCAAAGGAGCCAACGTTTTGATCACAGACACATGGATAAGCATGGGGCAAGAGGCAGAAAAAGAAGAGAGACTGAGGGCTTTCCAAGGTTATCAGATCACAATGAAGGTAAAATGCAAAGATTTCCCACCAAATTTCTAAGGTTTTGTAGATTCCAGAAGAAAACTTTAAAAACATTTTAGGCCTCATATATGTTTGCATTACCTAACACTGGAGATTTGTGGTACATGTTTGTTGAAATATTTAGAGTACATATTTTCGATTATTATAACAATGACTACAGCTATTCTGAAGCAACTGTTAACCTTAATAGAGTGCCACAAGAATATCAGGCTGAACGCTGCATAAGGAACTTCCCTACCTTCCTGAAATAGTGACCTGAGAGATGAAGTAAACATAACCAGTATATTTGTGTGTGTGTATTTATATATAAATATTAGAACCAAAAACAGGAGGCCCTGATCCTAGTTAAGACCACAACATGCGGGAAAGGGGGCCTTGACTCTTCTGCTCTCTACTATGACTGTGAAAAAAATAAATCACACAACCCTGTGTGGCAAATAGCAACATTCTACAAAAAGCACCTTCCCAGTAGCCCATAGTTTTTATTCTACTGTTGGTACTTACTGTAGGGGGTTCAACTTTTTCAGGATTGCAGCATGAAATACAAGGGTGAAGTCTCCCCTCCCCAAATCTCACACCTTCTCTGTGCTTGGTTTTAATCTTGTTTTTGGTTCAAGTAATACTAATGTGTGGTTAGGCCCTGGGAAATGTAGAAGTCACATCTCTGTATCTGGATGCTATAGTGCAGGGGTAGGCAACCTAAGGCCCGTGGGCTGGATGCAGCCCAATCGCCTTCTCAATCCTGCCCGTGGATAGTCCGGGAATCAGCGTGTTTTTACATGAGTAGAATACGTCCTTTTATTTAAAATGCATCTCTGGGTTATTTGTGGGGCATAGAAATTCGTTCATCCCCCCCCCCAATATAGTCCAGCCCACCACATGGTCTGAGGGATGGTGGACCAGCCCACGGCTGAAAAAGGTTGCTGACCCCAGCTATAGTGCCTGCATGGATGAATGCACATAAATTGCTCACTGGAGATAACAGTGGATGAGCAACAGTCAGGGAACAGAATGGATATATTTCTTCAGGATCAATGCACTCACATACTTAAGCAGTACTCCATAAGCAATTGGTACTCCATATTTATTGTGAGCTATCTATTGCGCACACCATTAGTTCAGTGCTACATTGATTACAATGTGCACAGATCAGCTTCTAAGAAGCAGGGGCATTGTTAGGGAGGGGCCTGTGTGTGTGTTTTATTTTATACATATAAATTAGGATGTGCAATTCGTTTTATGTGGCTGTGGTCTCATTGCTTTAACTACCCATCATTGCTCCAGAAGGATGTTTCCTTCTTGAGCCCACTGAATTTCTCTTCTTCCGATATCCTCTAAATTAAGAACGGTTTGATTCTGCTGTTCAGGGAAATATACTGCTCAGGAATAAGACCCTATCAGGGGAATTTCTCCATCTCTTTTATCAGAGAGCAATAAATAAATGGATGAATAATGGATGGAATCGTCCAGAGGGAGGCATGGGCTTATACTATGATAGGGACAAAAGTAATGTGGTGAAGAAAATCCAGCATTTTGAATAGAGGTGGGAGCCAATTAAAAATAATAATAATATGAAGTCATTATTACTTCTCTCTTACCTCATCCCATTCTACTTTTGATGTGTGTAGTCCCTCCCAGTTTATTGGGCTTTTAGTACAGGTTTGGGGGTTTTTGTACTGAGGTGAGATTTGTTATCTTAGGTGATTTGCAGTGATACTGTTTCTCTCTAAAATCCCTTTGTTACTTAAGTATATTTAGTAAGAGGTTAAAGCTTTAAAGTAATTTTCTGACTGTGTTGTGCTAATGTTTCTTTAAAAAAAAAGACCAGGCAGCATGGGAGGGTCACATTTATATAAAAATATGAAATACAAAAAGGTATGTGGCTGAAATATTTCTTATATAGCAACTTTAAAATAGAAAATGTAATCTAATAAAATATTTAAAATGGTTACATGAAAATCCATTCTCGTTATTAATATCTGTACACTAAACTGCCATATTTCAACCCTATTTCCCAGAATGGTAGTGTTCAAAATTGCTCATAGTGCTATGAAGTTTTGTTCAGGTATTAGATTAATATATAATGAGTTATTGATATAAAGGAATACATTTGGACTTTTAAGGCATGCTTTAGATTGTGGTTTTTTTAAGGCATGATTTAATAGGCAATTATTACCCTTACAAAAACATTATAGCAGCATGCATAGCAGCAGTGCAAAATGTACCAGTGATCCACTGTAATTTTTTTTTCTGAAGCCAAAGATGAACCTCTTGATTACACTGTGATGTATTTTGAGCGACTCCAACTGACAAGCCTACCATTGATTGAATGAGTTATAGGTCCCAGCTGCTGGCTCTTAAGGGAAGTGCTGATCAACCAGTTGCTCAACTGAGAGGTGGCAGAGAGAGGAATAGGCAGCAGAAAGGAAGTGAGGTGAATGGAATGCTAGATGCACATTCAGGGCACCAGAATCAGGACCACTCTGGCAGCTCTGCTGAAGAGAGCCACATTCTTATGGCACACACATTTTGTGCTTAAATCAAAGGCTGATTTACCATTCCGTGGGTCATCCATTAGTTTTACACAACAGCACTGGACTCTTGGAAACAGAATATACTCTTGACGTAGGTTGCCTTTTTAAGCAACATATTTTGTTTTCAATGCCTGCCACAATTTATCTGAAAATGCACAATGTGGATGGCAGAGAGTAATACAAAATGGATTATGTAACTCGAAGTAGATTGGAAAAAAATAGTTATAATTGTGGCAAGATGTATGAAGTGGGTTTCAATTGCTGGTAAAGGACCTCAATAAAGTCAAGTTTATATTATTGAAAATTTTAAGGGTAGCTTTGCATGCTTTTCACATGTGATTTTCCTAATTGCTCTGCATGTACACAGGTACATGTGTAGGGTACAGGGAGCATGCCAGGTAGTAAAACCCATGGACTTTTACCCAAGCAAATGCATGTATGTTATGATGTCCATGTCCCCAATACATTAAGCAGGTCTGCATGTAATGTTAAACCGTAGCTAAAAATAAATTATGACTTAACATGAATTAGCAGTGTGGCAGTGCACACAGCAAATGCAGTGCTTGCTTTGCTACTCTCCTGTTGCTGCTCCTGCTTTTGTTGCTGCTGCAGCACCTTTAGTAAGTGTGGTACAGAAGTCCTGGTTCTGCACGTATCCCTAAGTACCTTAATTCTTAATGAAATGGAAGGTGTAACACATTGCATATGAAAATGCTTGTTGTATAAAGGATTAAGAGAAGAATGACGCGCTCTGTCAATTACTAAGTTACTAGTAAATGAAACATTTGTTCAGGCTGCGAAGTGATGATCCAGTATTTAGGGTAGTATTCAAATATATTAAGATCAGCTCTAAATGCTCACAGAAAATTTAATAACTTATGTAGAAGCATGGCATATGCCACAAAACATGCTTCAGTATATATCCTTAATATTGGCTAAGTAATGGATGGCTAGACCATGTGGGACTGCCCTAGTCATGTAATTCCTGTGAAAAATTAGTGCTACTTAGTGCATAAATGGGTTGTGATCGTAGAGCTGCGCCCTAGACTCATTTAGGTCACACCTCCTCTTCTCTGATGAAGGAGGAAGTGAAGTCTTCTTTTCCTTTTCCCTCTCTCTCCACACTGACCAAGGAAGACGTGCCTAAGCAAACTCCAAGCTTAGAGCATGTATTTGAAACTATCTTTCTATACAGTGGTACCTCGGGTTAAGTTCTTAATTCGTTCCGGAGGTCCATACTTAACCTGAAATTGTTCTTAACCTGAAGCACCACTTTAATGGGGCCTCCCGCTGCTGCCACGCCGCCGGAGCACAATTTCTGTTCTCATCCTGAAGCAAAGTTCTTAACCTGAAGCACTATTTCTGGGTTAGCGGAGTCTGTAACCTTAAGCATGTGTAACCTGAAGCGTATGTAACCTGAGGTACCACTGTATTTTCGACCCAAGAGTCTTCTGCCTATATTTTCCTTGCTGCTGCTTGGATAAATGCATGAATCTGAACTTTGGGACACTTTATAAGTATTTTAACTTTACTCAGCAGTGTGTGGTCTGTTCATTGAAAAATGGGTAGAAAGTGAGAAGCACTGTTTGCAAGCAGACTAAACAGGATATAAAGGTCTAATAACCTGTATTCCTAATGCTATGCAGCTGCTTGACTGTTGTGGATTTAAAATCTGCTACTGAGGGCTCTCTCCTGCTGGAGAGTGAGTTTAGCACCACATTTTGAATCTGTACATCCAGCTGATTCTTTTATTATTTACTCCAGACACATGGGTCACAGGGATTCATATTTTCCTCACACAATTCCTTCCAATGCCTGATGGATGGGGGGGGGCACGCGTGGGAAGTAATGATGTGATGCTCTGTGATCTGATACATTTATAAGATGGTATAAAGCTGAACCACGTTTTGTTTGGTTATTTTTTAATAGGGTGTTGCCACAGTAATATATGTATTGGGCTTAGGAAAAAAGAATTACATAAACATATCTGGCTGTTTTCCTAGCCCACCACTAATGATGTACGTCAGTGTGCATAAATTGCATAAGAAGGTTTATGTATACTCAGTGCTTCTATTATTTTTAATGTTTTGTGTAATTTTTTGGCATTTAAAGAAAATGAAACGTGAGTACACAGAGAAAGCAAAGGGGATAAATACTCCTTGGCACCTAATCAAACTGCAAAGAGGAAAGCACACAGCTTAAAAAGAGGCGGCTCATGGCTGACACAGCAGTGAGCAAGAGAGCAATTACCATAAACCGTAGAGAGAGGACAAAGAAATCAGAAGTAGAATACTCACCCAATTCTTTCAGCTTGTTAGACCCTAGCATGACCCACACAATGCTGCCAAAATCAGGGCTTTTGAGAAAGAGTAATTTTAAGGGATACATGCATCATTTCAACTTTTCAACTTTGTGTGTGGTCATCTGTTAGCATGTTTTGGCGTTCAGTTTCAAATCTCTCTCTCTTTCTCTCCATCTCCATCCATCTTTAGACTGCAAAAGTGGCTGCTGCTGATTGGACATTTTTACACTGCTTACCCAGAAAGCCAGAAGAAGTTGATGATGAAGTGTTTTATTCTCCACAGTCGCTGGTTTTCCAAGAGGCTGAAAACAGGAAGTGGATAGTTATGGTATATGGGCACTCTGATCCGATAGGCGTCAAAGATCTCATGGCATAAAGAAGGCATTCTGTGTGCTGCAGGGGAAATAACCCCAATCTGTTATCCACCTGACATTTACAACTGCCCTGATGTCCGCTTGCCTATATATATGAAATTCTAGGTCTGTGCTGATTTAGCTGACTCAGTAGTACTGACTAAAAGGCTTTTCAGGATGGTATATAAGATCTCCCTAGTCCTGCCAGTTACCAGCCCAGTTACTCCACTCATATCTGAGCCACTTAAAGGCTTGCTAGTCTTTCACTGACTGGGCTGCATTGGGCAGTGGTGGCTGTTGCAACAGTAGTCTCATCAACATGCTGGTATAATAATGGCAGACAGTGACACTGCACTGCAGTTCTTGCACTCCGTCCTATGGCGTTAAGTGCTTGCTAGCACAGCAGTTCAAATGACTGGGCCATCCTAAAAGGCAAGCGTAATTCTCACTCATGTGTTTAATTTGCCAATTCTAGTAGCGGGTGGGTCAGGCACCTGGCAAGGTCTAGAGACTGTTAAAAGAACACCACCAAAAGCCATTTTATTTTGATCTACACCCATGGTATAAACCAGGAGTGGGGAACCTTCCAGAGACTGCTTGCCAAATGGTGGGTGAGGCCAGAGGCAAATGTGGGAAGAGTAATGGGGGCAACTCTTAGATTTGGCACATAGGCTACATTCCAGCTACACAGAAGTCAGAGGTTTCTAGACACACCAACCCACATGTACAGATGCATGTATGTTTTCATTCTTCATCAAGGCATGCAAGAGGTATTGCCACATTTCATTCCAGCCAGTCCAAAACACTCAGGGAGGGTGCAGGGCAGAGTCACTGAGGGGTGTGGTTTGGAGAGGGATATCACAGTATAGAGTTGTAGAGTTGTAAGGGAGCTCATTGCCCTACAGTGCGGGAATCGCAGCTAAAGAATCCTTGACAGATGCAACCTCTGTTTAAAAAACTCCAAACAAAGAGAAGTCTACCACCTTACGAGGGAGTCTGTTCCACTGTTGAACAGCTCTTACTGCCAGAAAGTTCTTCCTGATGTTTAGTAGGAATATCCTTTCTTGCAATTTGAATCCATCGGTTTGAGTCCTACCCTCTGGAGCAGCAGAAAACAAGTTTGCCCCATCATCCATGTGACAGCCCAAATATTTGAAGATAGCTATCATATCACTCCTTAGCCTTCTGCTGGCTAAACATATTCAACTCCCTCAGCTGTTGAGCCTAGCGAGCGTCCCAAAGGCCCATAGAATATGCATTCAGGGTCCTGGCCTGAGGTTCACCACCCCTAGTATAAATTAATAAACAGCAAGATCAATGTGACATTTTTTATTAAAACTTTGCATTTTCCTGCACTGTTGTAAATTAACATTATGTATGCAGCACCATTTCCCAGTGTGGCTGGTTATTTCATATATTTATTAATTCTCTCTTCTAGGCTGTCATGGTGTCCCTACTGACAGATTACTCACCACAGCTGCTGAAGCCTACATTTTGATCCTTGGATTTCTGCCAAGAGAAAAGATTCCTTACCAGCATGCACCATTCTGGTCCATGAAGTCTCTCCTTCTCTCTAAAAAACAAGATCAAAGCAATGATAATTAATTAACAGAAATGGAAGTTTCAATCATACTTTCATTCTGCATCTGTTCTATCTCTTAAACACTGCAGCTGCATTTCATTATCCAGCAGCTTCTTTCTTCCCCATCCTACATATTGATTAGCCCCCTAAAATGGTTACAGTTTAACAAATGGATGAGTCAGAAAGGCAGGCAATAGTAGAATTGATCTCATAAATGTGTCCTGGAGCTGTGTACTGTGAAAACTGCTGCAGTTTTCTCAAAAGCTGTCATATTTGCCTGCTGATCGTGTGTGTGTGTGTGTGTGTGTGTTTCTGAATGACACAATTGAAATATACCTTTTAGATTCTGATATTAAGGCTGCAGACCAAAGCTCACTTAGTAGCTCACACTTAAGTTCAGGGGGATTTACTTCTCAGGAATGAACTGCAAATATATGATAACTAATAGTAGTGATGGTGGTATATTAGTTTTTGTGTGATTTTGGATGTAGTTGGTATATTTAGTATGTTCATAGACATATATTTATCTTATACAGTTTTCTATAGTTTTGCTTTCCTAAAATGTAATCAGAAAGAATGTTCTTTGCTGATATCCTGCACTACCTCCTTATTAGCAAATGTGCTGCCTCATTATTTTATTAATGTCTCTAGATTTATTAAGACTTTTTATGATATAAAACAATAAATGATAATAAAAATGAAATAGAAAAGGAATAACCAAGTTAATCCAAAAGTTTCAAAGCAAATCTATCTTCTTGTTGGGTGATACAAAGCTTTCAGAAAGTACAGAAGCTTCAGATAGTAAATAATGTCCTTCTTGCTACAGTCCTTATGGCTCTGGAATTACTGAAAAGAAAGTTTGCTCTTTTCAAGTGGATAAGTAGAAAGATAAAGAACAAGACAGATGAAGATGAAAGGAACGCAAGAAGGTGGTAGTGGAAGGTCCTTTTTTCCTACATCAATTGAGCAAGGAACCAGAGTACTAAATCACAGCTGCTGTTTGGAGACTACTGTTGTAAAGAAAGCTCTCCAGAAAGATATCCCACCTGCCATTAAATTTGTGACATATGTCACTTGCTGTCGGGATGCCAGTTCTAGAAGTTCTGTAAATCAATCATCAACATCAAGTGGAGAATGGGATTTCCAAGTCCATAAAACCAGTAGCAACTAAGCTTCACAGTTAACTTAAGGTTTGCAGGTTAAACTCATCCTTGCTGTCCTGGTGGAGCACCTCAACTTAACCAATGGCTTTACTTACCGTATTTTTCGCTCTATAACACGCACCCAACCATAACACGCACGTAGTTTTTAGAGGAGGAAAACAAGAAAAAAAATATTCTAAACAAAACAGTGGATGTATGATTTTTGTGGTTCATGCTGTGGCCACAGACATGTGATCTGACAGTGAGTTTGGAGTAGCCCAATGCAAAAATCCTGAGGATCCATGTGGATCCATGCTTTGTAACCACGTTTTTGCACCACTGCGGCCCCAGGCAACAGTGGGTACGTGATTTTTTTGGTGCAAGATGTAGCCATGGACATGCTATGTGATCTGATGATGAATTTGGGGTGACCCAGTGCAAAAATCCTGAGGATCCATGTGGATCCGTGCTTTGTAACCACGTTTTAAGTGGGGAGAGAAGGAAAAGCACTCAAGGGACAAGGAGCACACGTGGGGTGTGTGGAGAAGGACGCTGCTAATAATGCAGAAGAGGGGTTTAAGGGGAGAAGAAGCACGCGTGGGGTGAGTGGAGAAGGATGCTGCTAATAATGCAGGAGAGGGGTTTAAGGGGAAAAGGCTCCTCTCCTCTCCCACTTTGCTCCTTTAAAGCAAGCAGGCTCTGCTTTTCTCCCTCCTCCCCGCTCATCCCTAGCTTAGCGAGCTGAAAAACTTTGCTGCTATTTAGCGAGCTGAGTGGGGAGGAGAGAGGGACAGAGAGCCTGCTTGCTTTTAAGGAGCCAACCGGACAGGAGCCGCTTACACTCGTGTAAGCGGCTCCTCTCCTCTCCCGCTTTGCTCCTTTAAAGAAGCAGGCTCTCTGTCCCTCTCTCCTCCCCACTCAGCGGCTCTTCTCCCGCTTTGCTGTTTCAAAGCGAGCCACGGAGGAGGGAAGGAAGGGGAACCATGGATCCTCTGCTCACGACTGCAGCAGATCCCCCCGCCACCCGTAGGCATTCCCTCCATAACACGCACAGACATTTCCCCTTACTTTGTAGGAGGAAAAAAGTGAGTGTTATGGTTCAAAAAATACGGTACTTACTTACTTACTTACTTACTTACTTATGGTATCTGCTCACTGCCAAGTCAGTGAGTCACTTACTCAAGTCAAAGCCGCTTCCCCATCAATAAAAAATTGAGATAATTTTTTTTGTCCTCACTTTAGTGAGCCTAATTTGAAGTTAGCAAAGCAATTGGTGAGCCCTGAATGGAAGCTGTGGGAGATGAGCACAGTATTATTGTGCCTTGGAGGCTTGTCATGAATTCATTACATAGAATAAACCAAAGATGAATACAGATGAGCAATGAAGATGCAATAAGATAAAAATAGTATTTTTGATAGAAAAATAATTCCCAGAGGTTAGTGCTCAGAGAAACGAAAATAAAAGTATGGTGGATGTGAAACTTTTAACAATACCCCTCATTATTTTCCTTATGTTTCTTTCAGTATATCTGTGATGATCCTTTGTTGAGTATTTTTAATTATAATAGCCAAACCTCTTTTCCTGAATGCTCAAAGCACTTCACATTCATTTTATCAGTAATTCTCACAGCAGGCCAATATTCTTATCCCCATGTGTGGAGTACTGGAAAAAAGAGCAATTTATTTAATAAAGAAGGCCCTACAGTCATGTCTGCAAACATGCAGAGATACCTGGCGGCCCCCCACCAAGGAGTAATGATGGTGTGAAGAATTTTGCCCTCTATGGAGTGCTATGCAATGGCAGTCTCTCAGGAAAGGTAACTGTAGCTCCGTCCACCCAGACGGACCATTTAGCTCCTTCCTGTCTCACCGGAAGACAGTGAAAAGTCTTACTGCATTTCGGTATGCCTTTGGGGTCCTGTACATGCTTTAGTCCTGATTCTTTGCACTTTTTTTTTTGCAATGCTGCTTATGCTGTTGTCCTCTGCTACTGATTACTCTTCAATCTCAACTCCTGGCATGTTCTCTGGACCTGCCTTTGGTTTACCCTCTGATTCCAACTGCTGTTTGAACCTGACTCCTGGATTGTTCTCTGGTCTTGCTTTCTCATTTTGTCCTCTGATCTTAACTACTCAGCATTCTGGGCTCCTGGTTCCCATCTCACTTCAGTCCAGACTGCTTACCATGGCCAAACCCAACAGCTATTCAGCAACTCCCAGTATGTCACCTTTCCAAACATGGATGCTCACTGGGAAGCAGCTGGGACTTCTGGCAAATAAATAGACTGCAGAGAAGAGAG